CCATCCACATGAGAGCACACTTCTCGGAGATTACCCGAGACCCTCAAGACACTTTCGTAGCGACTAGTGAGGTCAAAGAGAAGGAAATTCGCCGAGTCGCGAGATCGAGCCACCTCCCCAGGCTGCATGATCAGATTTGTTGGCAAATCTCATCGAAAGGTATGTTCCTGCATTTCCAGACAAGGGTTTACGAACCTGGTTTTCTTTTTCTTTCTCGAGACGCTGCTTTGATCAAGGCGAGTGGAGCACTGGACACCTACTGCGAGTTGCGGCGGCCCATAGTCATGGACACACCAATTGTTACACCGTTGAGATTGACGCAGAAGGTCCCAAGCATGGATTCCGAAAAGTCATCAAAAACCATGCCTTGGGCGCAATTCTTGACGTTACCCCCTGCCATCTTCCGCAGGTCTCGCGCTAAGCACCCGGCGCCACTCAGTGCACGTGAATTGCCTCGTGTTCATTCTTCGGTCTTACTCGCTTCGGCATTTTCAATGACAATTCGCCAAGAACCATACTTACTTTTTTTGTTCGCTCTACTGAAGACGGATCAGTTCTCTTCCGAGAGCTAGTTCTTGTCCTGGAGAAACGGAACACATCAGCCCACATCAGTGGCGTAACTAATGAGAGCAATTTTGACGAAGTGAAAAAAGAAGACCCGCCGCGAAAATAACCTACACATAGCGAAGATGGGCTGTTGGTACGTGTGATGCTTTCTAATGCCGTGACAGCTGCATATGCAACAACGGTCTAAATTCATCTTGGGCTTAGTTCTGGTCGCCCGCTTGTCAGATATCAGATTTTCAACATTTCGCATCACCCCACCTGCCTTCAAATCCCCACAATTTCCAACCTCCCTCCGAGCCCCACAAGGACGAATCTTCGCCAGTCGCGGCCGATCACCCGGCGTCTGCCGCTCGATCGAGATTAGATCGTCCTCGACCGGCTTGAGGTGGGGCGGCATGGTTCCCTCGTTGACCTTCGGGGAACCCCCGCCTTCCCCCCAGGCACTCGTGCTGGCTCTTCCCCTGTCCAGCGTTGAAGATTGGCAAGAGGTGGCAAAACACAGTATGGCATACGGAATACCTTTGGATCGTCTAATGTCGGGAATTTAGGGGGACTCGGAGCGATTCTAGTGTCTCGGATACACCTGCGCAGGCCCGTCTTGGGCCGACCAGGCGAGCTTCTCGACGTGCAATGGAAGGTCTGGGCGAGACACACGCCTCACAACTCTCCGAGACAATTCGAGACTCGAGCGAGATCAAGGACAAGTGGGTTGTCGAATTGGAGCTATTAGTAGGCACACTGCACTACACGGGTACGGTCTTAAATGTCCGGATGCTCCATGGATTTTCCGAACACCCCATGGAGTGACTTTTCTGGTACCATGGAAAGGTTCGGACAAGAACGTGGGGTCAACGGAGGGTCGAAGACGACCCTCCGCTCCGACCCTTCGCGGTGCACATCCCAGCCTTAATCAACGAAGTACCGACGACAAAGGCAGTTTGAGACCGGCATTGTTAGCACTATCGCTCCCGTTGTCGTTCTCGGCCTCATCCGATCAACAACAACACGAAAAGATGTCTCGTGCTTGAAACCTGACATCAAACCACGCGAGCGACATTTTCTTGATTGCTGCAACCCAACTTATCAACGACACTAGCGAAATTACTCGGACGCGGCTGATCCGATCTGGTCAACCACCATCACCTCCTGCACCCCGATCCATGCCTTGGCCTAGACCATGACGGGCGTCTCGAACAGTGTTTCGTTCTCCCTCCGGTCGTCGTCGGGCCCTCCTCCGCCCTACGGGACCGTACGGGCAAGCCACCACAGCCCTGCCATAGCATCCATGGTCCCCCCTTCCCTCGCAGTCGTCGTCAACCCACGGCCGGACGCAACGACCGGCGAACATATCGCGGTATGTCCCGTGCTAGGACCTCCCTCTCTCTATCCCTTTGATTGCTCATTTGGCAGCCTTACCCCGGCGCCCAAGTCCCTTCATGCACACGGGGGGGGGGCGCAGGGTGAAAAGTGCAAGTAAACAAGATCTAGACTCACCAGGTGCAGGAGAGGGAAGTTTGTTGTGAGGAGGATATTTGAAACGAGGCAAAGAAGACAGAAGTTAGAACCAGAATGCAGACAAGAAAACGTAAAAATAAAACGAAAAAGAGACTGTCAAATGAGATCAAAACCAAGTGCCCCCTTGCTTGACCTGCACTTGCATTGCCACACCCGCGCCCTGATCGATCCGGATCTTAACAAAGGACGTGATCGTGTCATGCATACGGCCGAGGAAGTGGACTCGATATGAGTGGAGCCCGAGTCCCTTAAGGACCGTATCCAGGGGAACAGGGAGAGTTGTGTCATGAAGGCGGAAGCAAGGAGCCGGAGCAAGAGGAGTCTTGGGGAGGGGGGATAGGGCAAATGTAACACACACCCTTCCATGCCGGCTTGCCGGTGCAGTAGTACCATGCAGGCGGGAGGCCACGTCGGCGGTATGATACTCTGCGTACATTGACTGGGTACGGCAGGCCTGGGGAGAGATGGTGCCATGGAGGAAAGGTAATAAATTGAGTCTAAAAGTCGGGATATGATGTGTTACAATTGACGAGAAGACAATAAGAATGTGAGATGGAGTAAAGGGAAACAGATGTGAACAAAACTTAGTCGACCTCCAAGCAAGCAATTTATCTCTTCTGTAGAACGCCTCTCATACACAAGAATCCGCTCAACATTTTCCGTTAATTAAAGACTTGATAAAAACCTCTCAAGCCGCCGAGCATTGATCGAGCTGACGAGGGAAAGGGACGGACAAACTCGGAAATGTGCCGACCTCCGTTTGTATGATTCGGCTTCCGAATATCCCAAATGCTACCGTAACTTCCATCGGAATCCGGGATTCTACCTTAGCGTTGTATGCCCAGTGGGGTTATTAATTACATCTTGAAAATTCACACTGAACTGACAAAGGCCATCCCTCGGGTTCGGATTCTTTTTTTCAGGCAACTAGATGCCCAGACATCCCCAGAATTCAATCCAATCGATCATTTGATCTTTGTGAGAAGTCACAAAAGAGTGATAGAACCAGAGAACAACAAAAATCGGTCCGCGGCCCGATCCCCGGGCGGGCTTATGCAGGTTGCCGCTGCTCACGGGTCTGCTGATACATAAGAATGAAACCTCATGATGGACAATATGCTCCGGCGGGGATACGATGAGCGAGACCTGGCCCTGATACGGACCACCAGCTGGAGTGCAACGCTTTTGTTTAGGGCATCAGCAGCATCGGAAGGCAGAGAGATATTTTTCGTTATTGGAACACAGAGTCAGATTATCCCGTCCTTGCTCGCTGCCTCCCGTCCCATACTCTGGCACCAACAAGGTACCCATTCTGTCATTTTCTTCTCCCATCCCATCACTAGCTGTTCAGCAAATAGATGCATTTCCATTCTCCTTCCTTCCACGCGATATATATATAAAGCCATTACACCATTTCCAGGTGTTCAGTCGTGACTTCGGGTATGTCTTATAAGCCCAGTGTAATATGCTTATACAGTATAAAAAAAGAAAAGGAAAAATAGCCGAAAGGCGGCGGTTTGTCGTATATTAATCAAGCGAGGCATCGCAAGCAAAATATAAAGAAGCTAAGTCAATAGAAATAAAGATAAAGAAGAAAAAGGTATGAAGAAGTAGAAACGGACAGGTCAAAAGAAAAAAAGGGTTGTTGCGCTGATCCCATCGGTAACTTTCGGTCTCCCCACGGAGAGGAAAACGGTATTGCCTAGGCAGAGAAATGGCATACCCCTTCTTTTTTCCCTGTCCCATCATTTGGACAGTTCACCACGCTGGTACCAGTAAGTTGTACGAAAGCCGGTACTTTGAGGCGACACCGGCTGTTCCGTCTGGGTTACTGGAACTGCCCCTTTGTTTACTCAGGAGACCTCACGCGACGGCTCTCTGTTTCATCATCAGCATCCCACTCACTCCTTTCCAAAGTCCCTACTTGGATGAAACATTCCATTTTCTATCTGAGTATCACAAAGCGAAGATGGATCACTTCCTACCTCGCAGTAACGGACCGAGCCTTACTATCGACCCCGCCAGTGCCCACCACTGGGTTCGTCTGACACCATCGTCTTACTTTGGTACTTTGGACACAAAACCTGAGCCTCCCAGTTTGTATTTCCCATCGTCACATTCATGCCCCCACTCCCTTCCCTGCAACTATTACTACCCGTAGTTTTAACTGCTTCGTCCAAGCCGTAGTGGGATAACTATGTTGCACCACCCATCCGCGTGGCACGTTAATTACTTATCCATTACTTACCACACACCCCCTCATCCCTTTGCTTGCGCCATCGTGTGTGGAGTGGTACAGCGTAACCTATACCCATTCATCTCGCTACCAAGAGTTTTGCAGTCGGCCTGGCCCATTCTCGTGCATTTCCCCTTGTTCCCTGATCCATTTGGGCTTCTCTGCCCGGTGGAGGGTAACACCATCGCTTAACGAAGCCCTGAAAGGATCCACGTGCTTGGCTTCGCAGAATGGACAATGAACCAGTGAACGGGCGGTCTACAACCACCCGGTCACCAACTGGGCTGTACACATCCATTTACAACACCGCACTAACAGGAGAAGGGCGGTGTAATCTGGATGGTATTGTGGCTGAATGAGTGCGGATGGATGTACTACTGCGCCCAGCCGTGGGGGTCACGGATACTTACCGTAACCTGCCGCGCGTCGGTGATGCGGTGTTGAGGCTTTGTGCGGGATCAGAGAAGAGGGGTGTGGGATTAAGGGGTTGAGTCTCATATGCGGGCGTTGAAGTGGGAAATGTGAGTTGGCTGAATGAGGCAGGACATCGACATCGACGAAGCCATGCAGGTGGGAACGGAATCTGGGGGATGGAATGATTGAACTATTCCATCATACATTCGAAACCTACTCCCGACTCCCGCGGTAATTACAAACAAGATCCGATTTGTAGACTGCCCAACTAAAACTTCCTCTTCTTTTTCGCCGGCCCAGCTGCAGCCCTCTTCTCCATCTCCCGCTGTAATTCCGCTCTCTTCCGGTCTGCCCGCTCCTGGGACGTCTCTCTCGCAGCCTTGGCAGCCGCCTTTTGTCCCGCAGATGCAGCTGGAGTCTTGCTCCTCCCTCGGGTATCATCGCTAGTGGAGGAGGGTCCAGAGCTCAGGGAGGCCTCCGCGCCTTTTTTGCTGCCGATTGTGCCGAGCTTGTGGCGTCGGGGAAGCTGGCTCGGGGGTCCGTCATCGTCCTCTTGGGCTGCAATAGATGGCGAAGCTGAGCGTGTGTTTCCCTTTGTGGCCTCCTGTGGTTTGGGTTTGCCGCCGATACGCCCGAGACCGCCGCGTTTGGGGCCTGGTTTCGGGGATGGAGGAGGAGGAGCATCTTCTAGATTTTCGTCGTCGGCTTCGGAAGCGGTTTCGGATTGGGTATCAGACTGCGGCGGAGGTGGCGGTGGAGGAGACGGGGATGCCCGTCGAGTCCGTCCGATAGCGCCAAGTTTGGATCCCGAGGCAGGCTTTGACTTTGCGGGAGGAGGAGACGGAGGCGTGGCATCATTGGCGTCCTCCCCATCGGACGTCTCGTCGTCATCCACCGGGGGTGCTAGTTTCGAGGGGCTGCCCCGTTTACGCGTGGATCTGGCCCCGGGTGGAGTAGCCTGGACCTGGAAGTCATCGTCGTCTTCCTTACTCGGCTCGGGTTCTGACGGGGGTAGAGGTGCGGAGTTGGATTCCTCTTGGGATGTACGTTCCGACAACACCACGCTCCTCCCTTTGCCCAGTTTTGTCCACCAGTTGTTGAGCTCGGTAGATTCTTCCAAGTCCGTGCCCGGCTTGTATCGCAACCCAGGCGCGCCAAAGGCAGACCCGAGCAAAGCCGATACATCGGAAGTCTTCGAAATGGGCCGCAGTTCAGCAGCTTTATTCCGAAACTCGGATTCCGAGAAGGTGCCCAACCCCTTCACCCTATCGCCAGCGGTAGCCCTGCTAACGTTCCGTTTCCCAGAGAGTGCATTGAATACATGGTCCAGGCCTGTCCCCGTGGCCTCGAGTTTGTCCACCAGCCTGTTGATCACGGCATCTTTTTCTCTCAAGAGCCCCACGAGCTGGTCAATCTCTCTCGTGCGAGCTTCATGAGCCTGAATCAACGGGAGCACGAGTTGAGACGTCAGAGCCGATTGCGAGCCCTTCGCGAGGTGCATCGGCCACTTGAAGGGCTTCAACGGCTTGGGCAGCTGGCAGGTGACATGGATGACTAATGCATCGGCACCATCACCCGGTGCCAAGGTGAGGGAGGTGTTGCCGTGCTCCGGGTCGCTGCTATCGAAGGCGGCCCGGAGTAGTTCGAGCATTTTGCGGATTTGGTCGGGTCCGTCGCTGGGATCGATGCTCGTGTCCTCGACCATGCCGCGTTTGATAATGGGCCGTCGGTCCATGCTCTCGGCCCAGACATTGGCGAGGTCAGTCAGGTGGAGGGTGTAGGAGTCGGCGTTGAAGCAGGCGGATGCGAGGAGGGTGGGCAGCCCGGGGGCGGTCGCCGGTAAAAGGCGCCAGGCGTAGCCAGCCATTGTGAAAGACAATTGAACAATCTGGCAGTATTCTGGCAATTACAACAAACACGTCAAGTGTTTGTTGGGAGTTTTGAGCTTTGCCGCGTGGGGCGGGAGGTTGAGCCAGCGGAGGTTTAAGGGCGTTTGGCGCTCAGTTGCTCGCTGATATGAGTGCAATGAACTTTGATGATTTGCCGACTGTAGGTTGATCGCGATATCTCAAAGCTTCAAGCTCAACGTAAGAGCGAATTGAGAATTGCTTTATGCGGAGAAATGAGAGAAACCGGCGGCGTGATTTGCATCGGAAAAGTTGTGATGAAATCGAGGAAACTCAGAAGGAGTCCTTCGAATTGAGTCACGGACAAGGGGAATGAACGCGTTGACGCCGTTGATTGGGTTGTTGAGAACCAAGTTTGAGGCAGCAGAGGAAGCCAGGCGTCAGCGACAAGTTTTGGGTGTGATGTCACTGCAGGGTTAGGGTTATTGAGTTACTCTTGGCTTTCGCTCGCTCATAATTACTGATAATTATACAGATTAAGTATAGAACTTGCCATTCCGGCCGCCGAATTTAGCAGGGCAGGGCCGCTATTTTCGGGGGTCCAAACAGTGCGGGGCGCTTGGTTATAGCCAAGTACTCAGTACCTGAAATTCATTAGGGGACCTAACGCTACAACCCTTACCTCCTCTACCTGTGACGGATCGTCTCTCAACCACACTCTGAAAGGGTTCACTGAAGGTATGACAAAAGGGTTGTGATCCGGTGAAGTCAAAAGGTTCACAACAAGATAATGATCTGGTTTCAATGTTCACTGGCCGTACAGACTTCACCCAACGGCTTGGTCAGAAAGATAACGTTGTTGCACAAAAGTGTCGTGGCCTCGCGCAACTTGAACCTGACCTCCATGTCACCGTCATCGCAGCTAGTCTCAAGTTGCTTCACCCTCGAGAAAATTTGTCAATTCATTGTTACCATGGCCGGTACGTCCGACCACAGCGAGGCGTCCGACTCCCTCCAGCACGCCGAACTGGCTACTGAAGCACTGATTCACCTCTAAGTTGGCGAGCGCTACTTCACCACCACGAAAGACACCCTGACCGAGGGGAGCGCCTTCTTTGCGGCCCTTCTATCCAGCCGATGGGACAATGCCCTCGACGACGGCTCCTACTTCATCGACGCTGACCCTGCCCTCTTCGAGCACATCCTGCGTTATCTGTGCCGAGGTATCTTTCCCTTGTTCTTCGACATCGTCAAGGGGCACGACTACCACCTTTATGTCTCCCTCCTGGAAGAGGCCCGATATTTCCAGATTCCCCAACTTGAGGACTGGCTCGAGCGGAAGCGATATTTGGACGCAGTGCAGGTAGCACACACCGCCGACCAGTACGATGACGACTACTCTTTTTGGGCCTACTTGAAAGTACCCTCAGGCGTGACGGTGGAGTATCACTCACAATGGGCCATCAGAAAGGTGTACATCTGCCCGAGGGGTATACCAGGGCACAGAGGCAGCCCAATGTCTTGTGGGCGCCGTTGTGCCGCTGCTAGGGCTGGCAATGATGATAATTTTGAGGAGGAACCGTATCTGATGATGTTGGTTCTGAAGAGGACAGTGAATTTCAAACCTGAAGTTTGCGTGGCTCGAGATAGTTAACACGCCCCCGGGGGGCGGCGTTGTTGGGCCAGTCCAGACAGTTTCTTCGGGAAAGGGGCAGTTGCAAGTCGGCATAATGGAATGCACATTTAGCTCACTTATTGCAAATCCTGAAGTCGCGATTAGAGGACACGACTTGCTTCTTGCCAGCAGTCTCTAGCGTGAGCCGGGAGACCGCTTTGCCGGCCTAGTCGATATGCTATTCAAAAGCCTGTTCCCAATTCTAGTCAGGCCAGTATCTTTCTCACTTACAGTAGTATATCTTGTGTTCGTTGCGAATCGTATACAGGGCCCGATCTCTCAGCCAACTCTACATCTTTCGCTAGATAATCCGAAGCGACAAGCAAGGCAGTGGGACAGACACGAGAGATCTCTTCGGCAAGGGCTTCGAGCCCCTGGTTCGGCATACGCGTTTTCTGGTTTCGAAATATAAGTGATCTAGAAGGGTAGAAAACCGGTAAGATCGGACATACATTATCCTTTCTGCAACATCTGTAAAGGTTACCAGCAGCAGCAGATACCTTCTTACAAGAGCAGTCCAGCGCTTTCCGAGAGATATAAATTTGGACCCTTCCCCTCTGTTGGCGGTTCCTGTAGCACGAAGGTAGATATCAATAGCTATTGTAGCATCCCGTTGACTACGCTCCCCAACGAGGAGTCCATGTCGACAGTCGTCCTATATCTTCTTTCTAAAAGCGGCCAGTATACGTGTTAGCTGTATATAGGCAAGCCTCGAGACAACCCAGTCCTCCGGGTATCTAATCCTGTTGTCTAACTCCCGAATCCATTCAAGCACCCGGCTATCCGTACTTGTTGTATTATCCGGCAGGGTGGTTTTCTCTAGGAGCTCCTTCCAGACTCTGTGAAGCGTCTCACAGTCATCCGCAAAAAGTTGCCGGGCATTAGGTTTAATTAATGAATGTGTAACTTGGTACTAAGCCTCCCATCGTTCATTGGCCTTCACATGCTCGCCATTAAGTGAAGGACCCCGCCTACCGCTTTCTCGTGCGAACATGCAATGCCGAGGAATCAAAGCTCTCGCACGGCACTGGCAGGACAGTTTTGTACGACCAGCCAGCTGAGGGTTTTCTTTGACCTTCCACCCCGCCGAAGTCTTCTTTCCCTCACCACCGCAGCCCCTCTTTCAGTCTTTCTGCCCAACTGGCGTCGTCAAGGTCTGAACAAGTGTGGTACGTCCGCCGACAATATAGGAAACACGATGCCGGCGGAGGACTTGTTCGTGGGTCTTACCGACTCGCCGACCAGATCTCCTGCGCAGTTCGAGGATACACGTATGTTGACACTGTCCGGGTAGCGCAAAGCGCTCGTGACACCAGCTTACACTTACGTGCCTTGTGTCCTGCAGCCTGGCACGTCGCACACTCTGGTCTAGTTTCCTATGGTCGAGCTTCGGATTATCTAGATTACTATGGTCCAGAGTACCCTGGTCCGGCATTTGATGAGCGCTGGGGGATCGGCACGGAAGCGTCTTATGAATATGATGAGAGCACGGTCTATTCCGAGTCACAACTCGGAGCCGCGCCTACGACCGACTTCACGGGGGATGACAGCCTGACTGTCACAGGTTCCGACGATGGGGCCATTCCATTGTCTGCCCTTGGCGATGAGATCTTGTCCCCTGTGCTGCCTCCTGTCCAACTCTTCCAAGCCTCATTCAACAACATCGGCGAGGCAGCGGAGAATGCCATCGACGACGCGCGCCGTAAGATTATGGAAGGACACGAGAATAGCAGATATGTATACAGGCCCAACACCATTACGTCCGAGGAGATTGAAAGAAGGTAGACACGGGCCCAAGGCGAAGCGTCGCCCAGCGCAGTGATACGGGCCCTACTCTACGCAGCGCTTTACCGCCATTTCTGCGACCAGGACCCCCCGAACCCTGAGCCGGCCATGTTTTTAAGGGACGCTGCATATCAACTCCAGGTTCGTTCCCGCAGGGCGGAGGCGCTCGGAGTCAGCCAATCTGTGTTATTGGAGTAGTCCTCCGCAGCCTACAATCACGCCTGGAAGCCGATGCCAGGGAGGACGACAGAACCAGCTTAAGCAGCTAGGGCGAGACCTCGGGCTCTGATCCAGAACCTGCAGCAATGCCGGCTGAGTAATTTTGCCCGAGTCCTGCAGTTTCTCCATGTGTAAGCACATACCTACTGACCCAAGGTAACATCTGCCAGCATGCCCTCCGCCAGCCGCGCCGTTAGACTTTTACGAGAAGCGCAGGGGACAGAGAGGTATTACTGCGACTACCAGGACTGCAGTCGCTGCATCAACCCTTTCTTTGGCAAGGATCACTTCCGTGACCACCTCCGGATCTACCACAGAGAGGATGTTCTCCGCCGCCCGGGCGGGCGCGGTGGTGATAGGACCTGGTGGAAGACCCGCGCGCCGTGTGTCATGCTTGGCGGTTGGTGGCGATGCAGCTGGTGTCTTGTCCGGGTCGAGCAGGCGCGTCACCAGTTTGTCTGTCACGCGTGCGGGCGCGCTTGCGAGACGGAGCGGAAATAGCTGCGCCAGTTGATTGTTGGAACTTGATAGCTGTGCGAGGAGAAGTACAGCCCTCCAAGCTGTTGGACTCATACCCATGGAGGTACTGTACCTGCGGTTGCTGATGTCGATGTCTCTGCATGGTGCTTACATTACGATGAAATGGATGTACATTGCCAAATTTTGCTTCAGATTTACTAGGGCTCGGTGCAGTCAAGGTCTCAGAATATTGGATTCGCCTTGTCGGTGCCATCGTGAACGTGAGCTGAATGTCGCAGGTAACTGAACCCCAAGTCCTACCCTTGGCGCCAGCCCCTCGTGAGTTCCAATCTAAGTCGAAATTGATGAAGACTGGGAAGCGTCGAAGCTAATAGCATGAAGACTTGTGTTTATGTTACGGGTTTGTACATACAAAGTGTGTGCTTGCTAAAACTCCGAAATATGTTGAGGAGAGCGTCGACGGAGGAGTCCTGACGAGACAGAGAAAAACATTGTGGTGGCCCGGCCGGTCAGCAGATGCCACCGACTACAAAGAAGAATCCCTCGACACATGGCCGTCTCCTGGCTCATGATGCTCTTTGGCTTAGACTTCATCGGACGGATCACAGAAAGATCTGTTAGAGGAAAGTAGGAACTGGGTACCTATTTAGGGCTCTCCTGCGGGACATCTGGCACTGGTCGAACCATCCCGCATTCTCATACCCCAAGAATCCAGCACTTGGTCAGGGTTCCCACCATTTCTTCCTGGGCTGGTGGGCTGGCCGTGACGGTGGGACGGGGGTTCGAGGTGCGCCTGGAGGGAAGCTAGGCGCTGCTGGTGGCCATCAATTTGTCTGCATGTTGGGAACCCGGGCAATGAACTGCGAATCGAGCTTGATCTTCTTCTTTCTTAGTCTTTCTGCTTTCTTGGCTTTTATTCTTTCGTAAACAAGTTGATTAGGGATCAGGTGATAGCTTTCCCTTCCCGGCTTCAGTCTTTATAAGAAACCTCATAAATAACTTGATTACCTCCGCCCATGAAACCTGAAGGAAGTATTTTTGACTTCCAGGTTCTTTTCTCCTTTTTCTTTTCTCTGGTTCCTTTGATTCTTGCGCTTCTTTTCTCTTGGGATGGGGGGGAAGGGATGTTGATGCTGCTGAAGACCACCAACAGGACTAGGTACCTACGTACCGTACAAAGGGAGTAAGCTAGTATGGAGTGCGGTGTCCATATACATACTAAGTACAGAGCTTGATGTTCTTGATGCCGGATTTGGCTGGGCCGTGCCGCCATTTTCAGGTGTCTTGACAGCGCGGCGGGCTGTGTCACAGCCAGGTCTCTGATATCATCATAGAAAGCTGTGTATTTCGGGAGGCGCGAATCCTTGTAATCGAGTTCGTTCCAGGGAGTCATGATTTCAGGTTTACTGGCACTGGTACCTCTTCGTGTTGATATTACGTACAAGAACTCGACACGTCAGCTGAACTTCGCTTGGACACTCCCCATCGATACACCGTCCACCTCGAGCGAGAAGGTCATTAGCGCAGACTTGAGCGTGACCACAAGATCATAGCTGATCTCGTAACTGCAGTCGGTGAGCAAAACTGTCCAGCAAATAAGGAACGAAAGGACGGAGAGAAGAGAGAAGGTAGGGAGATGTTGGGGGGGGGGGGCTTACTATGGTTTTCCCTCCTCGTCAACTCCCTTCCTGAATTGTTTGCTCGACAGAGAGCGCAAGTCGGCGGTCACCTTACAGTTGGGACGGATCTTGTTCCCTTTGCTCTGATGTCTCGGTGCCTGCCTGTGTATGGGACTTGATGTTAGCGGATCCGGCCGGGGGACAGGGAAACCAGGGTTTGGGAGCTGGGCATACCGGTCGGCACACTCATACAGCGTGTCGCGGAAAATGAGATCGTTGGGTGTATAATCTTCGTCGATGATCCGGTAGAAAGGCAACTTGATCTCTTGATTGCGCTGGATATCGTCACCCATGTTGATGAACCACGTCATCTGCCAGTCATACGAGCCCCGTCGGTTAGCCACTGGCAAAGCCTGCGCGGGAGAAAGTGAGGAGTGAACAAATGGATGGGGTATCGTATACATTTAGAGCTCTCTTGGTCCCGTCCCGTCGGATCCCGCTTGGGACATCCTTATCCAATACGGGGTCGTAGATTATCCAGGCTTCAACACCGTAATGTTTCGGGGCTGAGGTAGCAACAATAGTCGCTTGTTTTGGCAGCTTGCTTAGGGCCGCTCCCCTATTAACGTGTCAGCCTTCCATCCCCTTCTGCGCTTCTGTTCATGATGCTCTTTGCACTTACTTGACAATGGCCGCCCACGAATCTGTCGGCTGGAGCACCTGGATGTCGGGATGTTCTCTCTCGATGCACGCCTTGAGATACTGGCTGCTACCGAAACCTCCGACCAGGAAAATTCCCTGAATGTTGGGTCAGTACGGTCTTTTTAGCCCCGAAAAAATGTGGAAGGCGAAGGCCTACCGTAACACCGCCGCCAGGGCGCTTGATCATAACCGACTTGACTTGATCATCAATTAAGCGGAGGATGTCGGTGATGAGGGGAGCAAATATAGCTTTTAAATCGGTTCTACTCAAGCCATTAGCAAGGCATCCACTTCAGATCAACATTCATCAAACTTACCCCGTCACCCTCCAGCAGTTGGCTTCAAGCCCGAGATCAGGGTCATCGTCCAAGGAAGCCATCGGGAAATTGACAAAGTACTCCTCGTCCGGATCGCCCTTGAACGCCCGCTTAACTTCTCGGTCGAAGCTTTTTGCAGCAAGCAAGAAGCCCTTGGTCTTGCGAAGCTTGGCGAATTGGTCGTCGCCGACAAGATTCTTCACCGCTTCGGCAAAGCGCTGGTTCAAGCCGAGGGATCCAGCCATGCCACCTACGGTAAATTAATGCGACTTAGCTCCTGGTTCGAGAAGAAGGGGAGGGGAGGAGGGGGAGGAGGGGGGTGGTTAAAAGGGCAAGACAAAGGAATACAAATAAGCGCAGGACGGAGAAGGAGACATCTTACCTGTGCCTGGGACGAGCTCCTTGACCTGAAGGCTCGGGCTGAGCCCGACGACTTCGTAGGAAATGAGATCGACGGTGCCGCCGCCGGCGTCGCAGACCACGAACGCGTCTCCGATGTTGAGCGAGAAGTCGAGAGAGTGCATGGTGTATAGGGCGGCGGCCTCGGGCTCCTTGATCAGGGTGACGGGGAAGATGCCCGCGATCTTGGCGGCCTGCAGCGTCGCGTTCTTGGCCGCGTCCGACCAGACGGCGGGGACAGACAGGACGAAGTGCTTCTGACAGATCTTGAAATAGTCGTGGGGGACCACCTTGGAGATCTCGCCCAGGGCATGGCGGTACACGGCACCAATGAAATCAGCGGCAATCTCGACGGGGGCTTTGGGGAGGCTCTTGATGGTCCGTTTGACGTTGGTGGTTGGGAGGTACAGGGGACGTTCCTGCTTCGGGTCGAGCAGCAGCTTGACGCCGACGATGTTGTCCTGCATACGGTTCACCGACGCTCCCCACGCAAAACCCCCCCCGTCGGCATCGCTGTAGTTGATGAGGGTGGGGATCTTAGGGGCGGATTCTCCTTCGGCACCGGGCCAGTCGAGAATGGCGACGACCTTGGTATCTCGCTGGTTGGCGAAGCAGTAAGCGATCCCAGAAAACGTGGTGCCAAAGTCAAGGGCGATGATGAGCTTCTCATCGGATTCGTAGGCCGTGGGCGCGTCCGTCTCCATATCGTGAAACATTTCATCCAGCAGCGCAGCGAGATCGTCAGGTTTAGGGGTCCGCTGATTTTTCGGCATTCTGTGTCCACATGCAAAGTGTCCGCGCGTTACGTCCACGTTGACGACGAGGAGTTGGGGTGAGGGAAGTGGTGGAGGACTGGGGGTTTATTGAGGCAAAATCGTCGAGGGATCGAGGCAAACCACTCGCAGAACCAAACTCTTTCACGCAAAGCCTTGTCAAATTTGCAGGCACGACGCTCTGATCCAAAGGCGAGACGAGGCTCTGGGTCTGATTGGTATTCAAGTGGTTCTTGGTACTGGGCATCTGGTTCTTGTACATGTGGTCTGCAAGTCCAGGATACTGTAACATTACCTACCCTCTCACACTTTGGGCTTCCTGAAGCAGTCATCTCAGTTCAACGTCGCCCCGGCTAACTTGAAACGTGTAAACTGTGCATGTTTGACGCCGTTTCCCAGGGCGTGTAGGGTAAGAACCAGGCCCCTGCAGTTGTTCGGCCCTACAGCTGAGCCCCGGGGAGTGTCAAGCCGCGAGTATTTCGGTTTTCTATTGGTGCCTGGCGTTGGTTGTAGGGTAGGGCGCGGCGATGCGATGCATGCCAGCAGCGCTTATCGAGACGGGATATGTCTGGGCGGGACGCGTGCAGCCGTTCTGACCGACCCGTCTAAATCGACTGTGTGGCCGTCTATTTTGACGGAGTACAAAAGTACATCAGTTCCAAATACGGCAAGGTCGCGACCCGCTGACTATCGATATGACGAATCTGGCAAGAAGGCAAGTTGATCACGACTGTACTCTGGAGCATTGATCAAAGTATCCCCTAACCTCTAACCATCTGCCCAAACAACCAAGAATCGTAACATGTAACTCAAGAATCACACTGCTATTGACCAGAGGTAGCTAGACCTATATTTAAAGGTACTTATATATCCTATTATAACGGCCGCCTCGTTGTAATATATCTTGGTTTTGGTAGACGGTAGGGAGGACTTTGATTGAGAGTCGGTGGGTCGCGACCTTGCCGTATTTGGAACTGATGTACTTTTGTACTCCGTCAAAATAGACGGCCACACAGTCGATTTAGACGGGTCGGTTTTGACATCCAGCTGAGCCCGGCTCAACTTTCGGGCGCTAAAGGAGAATAGAGTGTCCCTAACCGGGCCGTCCAGGGGGGGGATAGCTCAGTGCTCAGATGCCAGAATCACCAGCCGAGGGCGGCTCTTCTCTTGGACCAGGCATCGCTCGAGACTTTCCGCCCTCCTTTCTCACCAACTTGGCTGGTCTTCACGATGAGCCGAGACGAGTCTCGCCACCGTCTGCATGAGCGTGGACGTCCACCGGTGCCACCACGTCCCACGATTCTCAGGCCCACGACAGTCCGTGTTCGTCGTCGAAGACACAGCGACACGATGGACGGATATGACCAAATGATAGACCTTCCGTCTCAGGGCGCCCCTGCTGAAATCAGCAGCGATTACCGGGGCCAGGAGTCACTCCTAACCCAATTCCAAGCCAAAGTCATCCAGGACATGGCCGGCATCCAGTACGGACTGAACCGCTTGGCGCAGCAGGTTGCCGCTGTCCCTGACCAGGTTTTGGAGGGGATGGTTAGGGTTGAGGCCCCGGAGGGGAGTAGTTGGCGCAGTTGGTTCACAGTGTGTACCCAGCGCCCCTTCGCTCCCTATCGCCAGCACAAACCAGTCCCGCCACCTGACGCCAACGCTGCCCGGCTCGCAGAACTTGAAGACGAAAGCAATGTGTTGAACAACCGCAACAATGAGCTCCAGCGTGAACTGGACGAGGCCCGCCGGGAGCTGCAGACTGTCCGGCGCAGGATGGCCGGCATGGAGGGGCAACTCCATGAGAGCCAAGAGGAGGTGAAGAAGCTCCGTGGGAAGGAAGCCATGTTTCGAACCATAATCCTCGACCAGGCCGGCGTCCAAGAAATCAGCGACAACGACATCCTCCAGGGGTTCCTGAACATGCGGCAAAATGTCCAAAAAATTTCGCGCAGTTCGGCTTACGCGGTCGATACCGACCCTCTTCTCTCGGCTACACTAGAAGCGGCCGCGCCATCTGTGAAGAAATTTTACGCGTCGGCTGCCTGGGGGATGCTTGGTGTCGCAGATCGGCGACTTCGTCTGCGTGCCAAGATCTTCAACGAGCTGTACGCCCAAATCCTGAATTCCAAGTGCTTCGGGCTGCTAGAAGTTCATACATCGGACGGGGACACGAAAGGGCCGGTCGAGCCTGGGCTCCGGCGATTCGAATCCATGCTCAAAGAACGTGGTGGTAAGCACTCCAATTCCTAAAGGATTTGTTTCCTACTCCCCCACTCTCCCCGACCTGCTCCCCAGGGACAAGTCCCACTCGCAGAAAGGAACACCGACAACTAACAGGCACGGTCGAATTATAGTCAGCGACATACTCATCAGTGACTGGATCATTTCAACCATCAAATGCGTGGAGGTGGCTGGAATTGAGGAGATGAACAGTGCGGTTGCCGCACGAGACATCTTCGCCATCCTGGCACCCCTTCTTTCCACGCATACCCGGCCATCGGAAGAAGATGCTCTCCGCGCCAACATCTTGGAGTTGTGTAAAGATGCTTTCAAGCTGAGAATGTTGATGCGCAAGTCCAAAAATCGATACGTGGTCGAGACGATGGATCCCAACGGGATCGTTTTACTCTCCGCCTGCGAGGACAAGGCGGAGTCGGTGGCAGTGGAGGGCGGGAACAACAGCGAGAAGAGTGACAAGGTCGCATATATGTTGTTTGGTGCTCTGATTAAACAACCGCTGGCCGGGGATCAGGTTGTTAAGGTATTGGAGAAGGCTCAGGTTGTTCTCAAGACGAAATAACGGGGCAGGAAAGGCGATGTTCATAACTCTCAGATTAGATCCTATCTCCTACATTCTTAGTTGCGGGAACGTGCGGGGACGGGATCTAACAGAACGCTATGCCCGATTAAGAAGGACGCTATTCCCAGGAGATCTAACACCAAGTTCTCCATTATAGATTAAGTATGGAATTTGCTGTTCTGACCGCCGAATTTGGCAGGGCAGGGCAGGGCCGCCATTTTCGGGTGCCTTTGACAGTGCGGGGCGCTTGTCGCAGCCAGGTACCAGGTACCACCTCCAATCAGTTCATCTGCAGACCTGCGACCCCACCTTGCCCCACCGTCCAATGAGCGTCCCGTCCTGGGCCGCAGTTGAATCCGTTTTCTTCAACCTCGAATCCATTTTCGGCTCCCCAGCACAGCGGCGCGGCGGCGCAACCAGACAGAATGGCACCCCTCGCGCCTCCCATCGTTCCCGGCTTGTCGACTGTCATCGTCAGAGCCGATAGCCCTCGACACTCAACACCAGGCACCGCACACAAAAGCCCCCGCTGCTCGAGCCGTTCAAGCAGATCGAGCACTGCCTCGACGCCGACGCTTCATTCCCGAACTTGTTACCCAAGGGTGTCGTGACGGCCACCGACCAGACGCCGACCATCGACACCGAGGTCAGCGGCATCCAGCTCAGCAGCCTTAGTGTGGCTGGCAAGTGCTTCGTGGCCATCGACTTCCGCAAGGGCTGCTATATGGGGCAGGAGCTGACCATCCACACCGAGCACCGCGGGGTGGTGCGCAAGCGCATCTTGCCGTGTGTGCTCTACCCAGACAACGGCCAACAACCCCCGCCGGGGAACTTGGATTTGGTTGCGGGGTATCGGCCCGAGATTGAGGATGGTGTGACGGCCGAGCAGATCCCACGCGAGGCGAGCATCGGGCGGGCGCCGGGGGGCAAGAAGGGGCGGAGTGCGGGCAAGTGGTTGAGCGGGGTGGGGAATGTCGGGCTGGCGCTGTGCCGGCTGGAGATCATGACTGATGTGGTGCTGCCGGGGGAGGCGAGTTCGGGCGCGGGCGGGTTTGGGGACGGGGATGAGTTTGTTGTGGGGGTTGGGGCGGGTGAAGGGGAGGAGGGGAGGAAGGTTAGGATCAAGGCTTTTGTGCCCGAGTGATTGAGGAGGGGGTTGGTTCGTGGGGAGGGGCATTAAAGGGGTGGGGTTGAAGGGCCGCGGTGTATACTATAGTGGGTGTTTGGAAAGTGTATGAATCTTATATCGAGATGATTCGGCAGACGGAACACTTAGTCGTATTATTACTTCACTGTCTCAACGCCCCTGGCGTCTAGGGGTTTTCCGTGCTCTTGCGGCTGCCTCCTCTCTTCTCCGCCTTATCTTAGCAAAAATCTCACTCCAGTCCGGATACCTGAACTCCAGCTTCGCACCCGTCTTCCTATATATCCGATTCGCCATAACCGCCGCAATCGCCCCTGGGTTACACGTAGTACTCACTTGCTCCCAATACTCAAGTTCCGGATCCCAATCCTCGTCCTCGTGCCACCCCGACTTGTACCATTCGCTCACCATCTCGTCCCGAAACATGCATTGTGCCAGATCGACGATACGCGGTGTCTGCGACTTCCCGTCTACGACCACGTTGCGCGGCGTGCAGTCTTCCATAATGATGCCGTGCTTGTTGATCTCATACGCTGCATCGGCGGCCAACTGGATGATATGCTGCCATGTCCTTAGGTTTTTTGGTAGGGGACCGAGCGTTAGATTGTCCAGACAATATCCGTCGATCCGTTCCAGAAGGATACCTCTTACTTCAAAGTAGGGCGCTACTTCCGGTGGTATGATAGTCGCGGGCTTGGTGGCCGACAGAAGACTTACATAGGCATAGAGGTGTGGGACTACCGTGCCCTGGAGCTTGGCAAGTCGGTGATAGGCCTTGGTCTCGCATTCAAAGTGCTCGCTACAGTCTTGCCAGAGCGCAGCCTCGTACTTGGCAAGACCTTCGGTACGATTAGGCTCGTCGAGGAACTCCCGAGCCCCGACGGGGAGAACGCTCTCCTCGGGGTCGTTTCTTTCATGTCGATGGCGGAGGAACCCAGGCATCATACCCCGCCTGACAAAGGCCTCGAACGCTGCTTCGTTTTCCTGTGTGTGCGGCGCGACCCTGTCCCCGTCAACTTCTCGCAGGCATGAGCCAAATCGACGGTCGTAGAGCTTGAGCACATGGTGGACAGGCAGGCCGTGACGGGTCTGGAAGGTGACATCCAGCACAACGGACATGGTCATGGAGAGCACTTTGCTGATGGTGGCGGTAACGCGGGACGGCAGGTCGGGGGAGTAGCTTTTGCGCACTTGGAGCTCCAGTGGCCTCCCTGCTTGGTAAAGCGTAGGATTGAACGTGGTGGCCCTGAAGTGGGAGAATATCCCGGCCAAGTTAGCGAGAAGGGTTAGCGCCGAGGGGAACCACTTGGCGTTTGCTCACATTGTGATTTTGATCTGCGCTGGCGGATAGTGAAGGGCCGCAAGGGGGGGTAACAGAATCACAGGAGGAGGAAAGTGATGCTTTTTTGCGAAGGATAACCCGTGATGAGACGGTGGTGAGACGCAATCGGCTTGGAGGACCGGAAGTTGCCGAGGGGAAACTGAAGCGTTGAAAATGCCAGCTGTAAGCTACATGAATGAAAAGAGGAAGGACGGGCGAAGTTGTCATGTCAAGGAGCTGAAGACGGGAGGTGGGCCTCAGCTTTATCTAAATGGGTCCCGCCGCGCGACTTGGCCCCGCCCCACATGGCCTACTGCTGCGGCCTTCAAGTGGCTCGTGGACTAAAACGACAACGTCGCGGACCACCCACCTACCTGGTACCAGGCCCGCGTATAGGTGCATCATGATCGTGTCATGCAGAGCCGGGCCGTTTGAGGTTTCCCCCTTTGCATGTCTCGGGCGCTTGGTTACGGCCAACGACCGGACGGCCAACGCGTATGTACACGTACCTTGGGTACCGTATGCATTCTATTTCTAGCAGTCCTATGCGCCGACTGTGTATTTGTCAACAGCCAGGGGGCGCGGAAGCACCCTGGGCTTGTTTAGTTGGACGAGTCACGAAGCCGATCGACGCCTGGACGATGGGGGATTTGGGGGCGAAACCTGGACGTGACCTGTGACAAGCCTGGGCCGCGCTCGCGGGAATGGATTCGGGTCGCCAGTTGGTTCGTGAGGCTGTTTAGGGTCTGGCTGCGCCAACAACCGACATCCAACACTGTAACATGGCAACCAACAATCACCAACAAGGCGACAACAAACCACCAACCTCGAATCAACGACCAACAACCAGCGGCCAGGCCAGCGCGGACAGCCGAAACAGCCGGCTCGGGGGCCCAGCCCAGCTCAGCCTCCTCAGTCAACGACAGCGCGGGGCTACGGGATCTGTCTACATTGCGGTCTCCAGCCTGCTGATCAGGGATGTGTGAGAGAGCATGCCTCAGAGTTGTTGTTACCCAAGCAAGTTGGGGGCCGCCTAAAAATAGTCAGGGCGACTCGTACCTGGCCACGAGCTGTCGCAGAAGGAAGCCGTGACACTACCGATGAACCATCAGTCTTGGGGCGCAAGGTTTGAGCTTGCAACAGGTCTCCGGCCGATGGACCACGGTCTGAGTCCGTCCATCCGTCTCGGGATTCGACCTTCTATCCAGCGTAAGATACAGATCCATACTTGGAGTGGACTAGAGACTGGCGAGGATAAATATCCCTGGCGTCCGTCGTCCTCCGAGTCGTAATTCCAAGTTGACCACCACCACCTCTCGACACTCCCTGCCTTCCGTTGCCTTTTGATATCCCGGTTTATTTACCTTGCCTGTTTAAGGTGTTCCTACTCGCTGGTTGAGACTCGGTACCTAGGTACCTACTCGAATCACCAGTCGAAACTACCTAATCCATGCTGACCAGGTGTCTTAGCAACTTCCAGGTTATTATTCGTCGAAAGAGAAAAGGAAGCCCCTAACAAGTCGTCAAAATGGGCAAGGGAGGAAAGAAAGTAGACAAGGTCACGCTCAGCAAAAAGGACAAAAATAAGATGCAAGTGTACCTCGACGCCGCGAACCCGGCACAAATCTCGGTTCCGCAATGGGGCATCGGGTTGTGGCAAAATTCGCACGGCGAAGGGCGGTCGACCTCGACGCTCACGTTTCACATTGGATTCCTCTACGCGACAGACACGGGGTGCTTCTGGACCTGCATTCTCCTCAAGGACGGAAAGCGCCACAAACCGGTGGCAGGCACCCTTGTCAACTGGGGCACCGAGCAGCCGAGTCCGAGTGACGTCCTGGAGTATTACAAAAACGCTCAGTTCCCGCTACCGGACCCAGACTCTGAGCCCAGCGAGTCCGGCTGGGGAGGAGGCGCTGGCGGTGCCGGCGGTGCCGGCGGGTCATCATCCGGTGGCAGCGCCTGGAAGAAGGATGTTAAGCCCGACGGCAACGGCGGATACTACTACTTCGACCCAGACTACCAATGGATCCCATGCGATGCTTCGGGCAACGAGATCTACTACGATGCTGCCGAAGGCCACCGGACCAGCAGCCCTCGCCACATCAAAGCCGTCTTTGGTCCTTCTGGCAACACCTACTACTACTCGGGAGGCAAAAAGATGGCCTGCACACTGCGCTCTGAGAAGGCGGGGAACATGAACCGGCTTGTGTTCGTTGACGCCCAGGGCAAAAAGTGGCAGGCCCATTACGAAACCCCCAGCAAGGGGCCTGCGTCGGCGGCGAAGACCAACCAGCAGCAGTCATCGGTATCTCTGGCCGCTCGCCCTGCTCCCGCTCGCCCTCCTTCGACTCGCCCTGATCCCGCTCGCGCTGTTTCCACTCGCCCTGCTCTCGCTCCACCTGCTCAGGCTCTCCGTGCGCCGGCTCACCGAGCTCCCGCCCTCCGTCCTACAGCGACTGCGTCTCCCGGCAACCGTTCCAACACTTCTCTCAATTCTCAGAGCAACGTTCGTCACCAACCTCGAGTAGTCTAACAGAAAGTGAATATGTCGGCTCCGATGGCCGCACTTACGGGGGGGTGTAACCGACATGGAGTCGGCGGCGTGTTCAGAAACATCCGGATATCCTGCGGGCTGGGGCATTGAGTTGTATCAGGATTGGTGGCATCTGGTATGCCTGGGATGTGATTTATCCGTGCCGGAGCTGGGACCTAGGTAGGGCTGGCGCTGGCGCCACTTCGGCCGGTGTATGTGTGGGCAAAGGGGAAAGGTGGCGGAGAGAGACATTCGTTTAGTCCAAGAAGCTATCATCTATGACGCTCATTTCCTGAGGCACCGTTTCAGTTCCGAACCTGGGGATAGACTTTTGACCATTATTCTAACTTTAAAGACAGAAAGAAAGGCAAGAAGAAAAATTGAGGTAAAAAGATAACTCTCCCTCTCTTTCTCTCATCTCCTTCTTTTATTTTAGTTTTTGAAAAAATATAAAAAAACACAAAAGAAAAAAGAAAAGAAAAGGAGCAACGGGAATAATTCTGACGATTATTCACCCAAGGTCAGGCACTACCGAACAAACAAAGGGGGACTGTATTACCGAGAGGCCTGGTTGCCACTCCGTCAGCCCCCTTTAGGACCGACCAGTCACAGCCGTAGCACGACACACATCAGGTCTGACTGGGCCATTGTTCTACTTTACTCACGGCCCATCTAGTAAAAGCTGTTTCGCCGAAACGTCAAGGTCCGCACGATCCAGGGCTCGATCTCCTGGTGCCGACATCCCTCCTGACAACAGTCGACCGCCCATCCCTTTCAGGAAAGTCACCCTCCTCGTCTGATTCGTAGAGATTATCAATCCACTCGTGCTCACGAATGTTTCTCTCCGCGATGGGAAAGCCATCCGTTTCACATAGCCACAGGAAGATACTGCGGGTTGTCTGGCCTGCTTGTAGAAGAGTTCGCCGCAAAGATTCCAGATCGGGAATTCAACCCAACTGAGGTGATGTCATTTTTCGCATCGAATTTCTCGTCTCCGGAAGCGGCTGTTAATGGCGTAGAGAAGTGGGTGGCGACAGCCAGGTCCGATGGGGGAGAAGATGGGGTACCAGTCGGGCAAATGACAGTGGACAAGGCATCCGGCCTGGCGAAATAGGGATCGGAGCGCGAGCGAAATTAGGCTAGCGAGCTGGAGACGAGGGAGGCAGGGGAACAGCAAAGCAGAGGAGGAGGCGGGGGGGCTGAGCGAAGGGGATAAGAGAGGGAGGAAGTCGAGAGTATAAGAAAGGGATGTCGAAGAGGAAGGCTATATTTATGCGGCGGGGGCGGCGGGACCGTGCGAGGATGCGAGTCTGACGGAGCGCTATACCCAATTAGGAAGGCCGCTGTTTCCGGATGCAGCGACAGCATGTTGAACATTACAACAATATAGTGGCCTACACAAGGGTATAAGGTACCTTGATTAGATGAAGGCTTTAACAATTCAATATAAAGCCAAATTTTTTTTCATCATGAGTGTGGTTCTCCATCCACCTTTCGATACCCTCATATTCATCGAACATCGTGAAAACAAAACCATCCGCATTTCTAAGGGATGACACCGTGGACTTGATTCCAATTATACCTCAAGATACTTAATACCCTGGATGACTTAAACAGAGATCTGATCCAACCGCCAACATGCCGCTACTCCTACGGATTCCCAACCCAACCCCTCTTAAACTCCTTGAACTCGTCCAGCTTCTTCAACGCTTCCACCCTCTCACGATCCCAGAAACAAAACCCAGCCCACCGCCACCGATACGCCCGCTCTCTTCTCTCAAGCTTCGTTTCCTCATCCTCACCCGCCAGCGATGGGAGCATATGCAGCGCTTCCCCATACCAGTTGACGTAGTGACCATTCAACGCATCCGGCCAAGCCCAAGGTGTCCCACCTGCGTCGGCGTCTGGGTCTTCGTCGCCCGCAAAATCTATCGATTTGAGGTCCTCCTCCCACCCCTTGGTCTCGGGGTGGGGAATTAAGTCATATCTTCGGCGTTGAAACCTGTAGGTCAAGGGGAAGAGGCCGTAACGGTCGAGATACGGGTTCTGGAGGCTTTCGTGGTCCGGGGGCAGTTCGGCCTGGGATGATAGGATGCGTACAGCCTCTTCGACGAGGTCTGGATGGGCTTTGATGTACTGCACCAGATAGGACGAGGACCGGGCGTACATATTGCCGAACTTCACTTCTCGGTTAGCGCTCACCGAATATTGCGGTAGTATTGGATAAAACGGCGGGGGGGGGTCTTCGCCACTGTCGTCGGAGCCGAAGTTGTCGGAGCGAGAGTCGTCGGAGCCGGAGTCGTCGTTATCATCTTCCTTTTCCGCCATGTCACCATAAGTGAGGCGATCGAGCGCAATGCAGAGGCGGCCGAGAAACAGGTTGATGTGGTCGACCTGCTGCGTCCCCCAGGGCTCGAACGCCGCAAGGATTCCCAAGCTCACTTCCCTGGTATCATGCTCACGCCCGTCTATGTTGATATTGCCCATACTGATGATGTCCTCCTCTTCCCATGATTCATATCGCTCATGGCGCCTCGTTGGAGCCCAGGCATTACTGACGATTTGACGACGGTAAAGGGCCCGCAGGACCCGATGGCGCTCAGTAGGAGTCAAGGGAGCTGCCGCGGCCAAAACCGACTCGTTTGAGGAGACATGTTTTTCGACGTAGCGCCGAAAGGTCTGGAGCTGTGTGGCGATATACAGGTCCGCGATTTTGTTCATTTTGTACAACGCGTGAGCAAACTCGGTGAGTTGGTACGGAGTCGGTATGTGAACCACAGGCCGGCTCCAGACTCCCAGACCCCTCACCATGCTGATGTAGATGCGGGCGATATTGCGGACCTGCCCGTGGTAGTGGTATAGGTTATCCGGATTCGGCTCGGCGTACTCAAACGTGTATAGGATTTTGGCATCGATAACCCCGGGCCCAAGCTCCCGTTGAAGGGCGCGCCAGATGAGAACAGCTTTCTCAGCGTTGAAGCGGCCGTATATGAAGCGCGACGTACGCACGAACTGGCCGAGTGTATACACTGAGTCGAGCATAGATAGGATCTTGTCGAACAACTCTAACGGTAAGGAGGCAAGTCCTGTAACCTTTTCGTCGGACATGGTCCCTGTTTCCTCCTCATTCGCCTCGCTTGAGTCGATCGACTCGTCGAGAACTTTAATGTCTCTCTTCTCCATTTTCACCGCGATCCGTTCACGTTTCGGTGGTAACATGGTTGGTTTGCGCACGGGAGAGGAGAATCAAACGAGAAGCGACTTGTTTGTTGCGAGACTGATGGTTCGTAAATTGGAATCGGGAAGTTGGAACCCTTCAAAAATCAGGAGATGCCCGAGATGGGGTCGGGTCAATCTGGTCAAATGTGAACTAAATTTATCTGTTGGCTCTCACACAGGAGAAAAAGATCGAGGGCGTGTGGCACAGCAAAGTTGCAACCACTCAAAATTGCAGGTCGGATGGAGAGAGGGTTTCTGTTTCTGCGCGAAGTTGGCGTTGGGCCGGCAAGTTCAGGCCCTTGTGGACTCTCGACAACCAACAGACTCAGCTCGACCAACTGCGAAAGCGGCAATTCTTGTAATTACCATAGCTCCCGCATCGGGGGCGGCACAATTCGATGTGTGGAAACAATGGAAAACTAAATAACAAATGAAAAGAAGGAGATCGGGGGAAAATGATTTGAACGGTTCAAAGAGTGTTCAACTCGAGTAAGTTTACGAATACCTTCTTGAGCGAGGGGTGGATGAGTGGGTCTTTTCTTCATGCGCATGAATGGGGTCCAACCCGTCTACAACTCCGCATCGAAGCATAACACAAACAAATGCCCAACAATTCGGCCTCTGGTGGGTGCCGGCCAGAGTTGCGGCCTTTCCGGTATCTCCACTGAAATAAACTAAAGGGGCAAAGCTAACCGCTTCATTATTACCTAACTTCTTCGACCTTGTCTTGGGTTTCTAGGTCTTCCAGGTAGAGATAATTACTGGCTAGAAGTTATTCAATGGTCAAAAACGAAGCTAGCGGGCTTGATAGAAAGGCCAGCTCAATTTTATTCCTTGCTATTGAGTACTATAGCGACTCTTGTACCTATTGTATCAACTGAGAGCGTGGAACAATGAGACAGGGCGGAATTCACTATGCAGATAACCCTGCGGCTCTTCATAACCGCCAGTTGCCTAGGTAATCCAGGTAGGTTTCCAGGACACAAGGATAACAGTATGGCCGACTCATGGCGTGGTTAAAGTGCTAATTATCCTCTTTCCACGGACTACTCCTCCACTCACACACTGTCATCAATGTCCCTTGGGAATTTGACCCAACCCCTTCCTCCAACGTCTCTGTCTTCTGATGTCTCACTCAAGTCTTTGACAGCAATTGGTGGGCCAATTCCTCCATTCAGTCCTCAATAAGGCTCTCTTTAGGCCACAATCGGGAAATGTTCCGTAATCCGGCCAACAGATATCCACAGTCTCCGCCCTCGGTCTAATTTCCGCTACCCTGGGGCCTGCATCGTAAGCTCGGAACCAACTCCGAGCACCCATCACCAACAGCTCCAACTCTGGAATAGCCGACCTCCCATTGGCGATCCGCGCCAACAAGTGACTCAGATCGGTGGACGCGCCGAGATGACTATTCCATTCTGCAGGGGAAGAACTGAACCGTGAGTTGCGGTCAGCTCGGAGGCGACTCCGAGACAACAGACAGGGGCGTGGGGGGGGTAGATGGGATCATATTCGGATACTCCTGTAGATAAAAAGTACTTTGCACGGTGAATGGAGTGATTCTAGTGTAAAAGGCCACCATGGCTAATTCTGATCCTGACACAGTGGGCCAAGTAGCCTGCGACGAGCAGGCGTGAGGATAACACGGAACCGACGGTAGGGGGGTGGGTGATGTGGATTGAGGTTCATTCTCAGGAAGAATCTTGGCGAAGGTTGGTCGCAAAAATAAGTCTTGTAGCGGTGCGTTGCAATAATCCCCCAAAAATGTAGAACAAAAGGGAAATCATGTAATTACATCGGAGATCCCAACATCATGGCCATCTAAGATATCAACGAGTCCTACTCTGAGCCCTGTTTCTAGATTAGGTTAAAACAAGAATTGATTACCCCCCTCAATACGCACTGCCTATTTTTGGTTCCGAAATTTCCATCCTAAAGTCGGTATGGACTCTCACCTCCCTACTCCCTAAAGGAGGTTCTGGCCTCGTAATACCTACCTCTTCATCTCCCACGTCTCTTGTCCTCCCATGCGACCTTTTCCCGGGCACACGCTCAACCAATTCAACATCCACCCCCCAAGCATCACCATCACCATCTTCCAATTCCACATACCCCCCATCTACCCAAATCCTCCTCGGACCTCCTCCGCCGCCTCGACCCCTATTGCCCCCACCATCCCCAGATTCAATCCACACATCCCGCTCCATCGCCCCCAACGGTCCCAACTTCTGCTTACTCGGCACACTCCCAATCGTCGGCGGGCCCCCAGGTCCGGACCCCTTCGACAGATTCACCAACGTCTCACTACCTCTCCTACTTCTCCCAGACCCCCCACCGTTCCGACTCTCCGCCCCCGGCCCATGCCCATACCGCTGCCACCTCCATTGTCTCCTTCTTTCCGCTGCGGCACCTGAGCTGGACGTCGATCTGGGTCGTGCGCCTGCTCGAGCGGCAGCAGCAGCGGCAGCTGCGGAGGAGGAAATGGATGAGCTGCCCCATGTTCGTGGGAAGAGGCGGGCGAGTAGGGGTTTGAGGGTCATGACACAGGCGCAGACGATGGCGCCGTTGAGTTCGACGGCGGTGAGGTAGGAGAGCTCGGCGGCGACGTAGGTGAAGTCGGGGTCGGTTTGGGCGCGGATGAGTTGGATGAGGCGGAGGATGGAGATGAAGCAGACGCTGATTGGAGGATGTGTTTTTAGCAGGTTTTTCTTTCTTTCTCTCTTTTCTTTCTTTTCCTCTTTTTCTTTTTTTGTTTCTGAGTAGTAGACTGGAGATTGAAAGGGGCAACTAACATGAAACCAAAACCGAAGATGGCGGAGAGAATGTACTTTTGTCGTCGAGGAAGCCGGATTGTCCAGACCACGGGCATGGGAAGAATGAAGATGAGAAAGTCGGTGACTATGTTCGTTATCAACCTTCACGCTCCCGAGACGACTCAGAATTCCCAGGACAACTTACCCATGTGCAATCCAGTAGCCGACCACCACAAGGCTTGGGGATGGCAGTACTTGTCCGTCACCGTAGTGTCCCAATATGCATACAGCGGAATGCAGGCCGTGAACGCGAGCAGGGTCATGTACAGATGAGACACCGCCACAATCCCAAACAAGATCTGCCCAGCGCGCCGGGCCCATTTGAACGTGAAGAGGTGGATGTAGAGAATAAGGATAGCAAATTTGGCGAAGCAGAGCGAGATTTGGTAGAAGAGGATGCCGTACCAAGCGGCCTGTTGTCCCAAAATCAAGGTGTCAGTGAGGACTTTAAGCGTAGAGGTCGAGGTGAAAATCGCCGTACCCGGCCCCAGGCAAGAGCTGAGGCTGTATCATTGGGATCGAGGTCCCATATGTGATTCCCGGCGCCATGCGTAGCCTCTACAAGGTATTTATCGTTAGCCCGCGGCAGATCGAGGGCAGAAAACGCGGATGAAAGACTAACGTTCTATGACAGCGCCGCCCGTCGCGGCCGCAAACAACTACACCGTATCAGCATTCGTCTGCTTCCCATGTATATCCTAGTTCTGTGGACGTACCAACGCTAGCAGGATACTCCAATCCGATGGGCCAAAGACCCGGAGAATGAACCCTCTCGTGTATACCCTCAACGCCACAAAGAACGCGGCAATGAACCAGCATATTGTTGTCGACACGATGATGTTGACCTTTAGCGAATCGTGTGGGAGATCGGCTGGCGACGGCGGTGGGGGTTGTGTGGTACTCATGATCTTCGTGCGGAGCAACAGCAGGAGTAGCCCGGTGTATGGGAGGCGCAGGTCGGACGCCGAAGGGACATTATTGCCAGATTCAACGATCTGGGGTCACAGTAGCCCTGCTGTGCTTTTGGCGCGACAATAACGTTCTCAAATAGTAGATGATTGCTCCCTGATGTGAAGGGAAAGGAAGAGTAAAAGGCAAATCCACCAAAATAGAATAACCTCAGAACCTAAATCTACGGGTGACAGAGTTCTTAACGGGCCGCATCTTACTTACCAAAGCAGGCCCCTCCCGACTTCACCCCCGAGCTATTACGGAACCACCACATGGCTGAACTCATCAAACCAACGATGCATCCGCTTCAGCCGGCACACAGACCTTCTGCAGATGGCCCAGAATGCCGCAGCCTTCCTCTGCCAAGGGACCTGTCCCATCAAAACATAGACACACTTTTAGACCGCAGAGTGCCAGGAAAACGGCAGGGAATGCAACCATAATTCCCACGAGAGCCAGTCCCAGACTTCCCAACCATCTGGGGGCGGGAACTCTAACTCGGTTCCGGCCGCCCCCTGGATCCATACCATCGGCAGTTCGCTTTCCCACCCATTTTTCCAGTCTGGAACTTTTGCTGACTTTATTACGGGACAGGCAGCATGGGTTCCAACGCAGGCGCATGGGAATCGTTTCGCTCTGCATCATGCGAAGCATGAGAACGGGAGCGAGGGTAGGAAATAAATCATGTGAGAGCACTGGATTTCTTGTTGAAAAGAAATGCTTGACTTAGCACTTACTGTATGATCGACCACTAAATCCTTTTCATTGGTGTCAAATCCACTGCCCCGCCATCCTTGAACTAAAAGATCGAGTGGACGGAGATCAAGGTCGAATGAAGGCTGAATGAGGTTGGCTCGTGCCACACTTTGACAGATCCGAAAAGATGGGGTTCAGGGGTCGAAGGAAGGGACTCAGGGGGGCAGCGGGCGCGCGATGAGACGCCACTAGCACACCCGCGAGGGTCTTGCCGTCTTCCGAGCAAGAAAATTCTCCTTGGGCTCAACTCAACGTAACGGTCGGTTGCATTGGATCTTTGTGGGAAAATAGAAAAAGTGTTTCTAACTTGATCATGATCAATAGCTGAAACCGCATGTATTAATTGTTTTGTAGCCTCGCTCAGCTCGCTTGGGAAAAGGGACAGTGAAATTCACTTGACCCCTTTGAGTATTTTCTCTTTGACAGAGGAGGAGGGCGCTGCAGATTTCCCAAGTGAGCGTTAACGTTACCTCAACCCCAATGCCCCTTCGCACATCTCATTCCCCGCAAAAACGCCATTGCTCAACCGGTGAACAACCAACCCTGGCCACAACCACGCGCTGACCGTCCGTTCACTTGCCCACATCGTTGGTTCCGAAAATCCGAATTCTTGGTTGGCTGGTGCCCGGCTCAAAGGCCCAAGCCAACACCCGTTCGTCTCAATAGCTTCATCCATAATTTATTGTCCATGCTTCTTCACAAGAGCCCTTGCATGCCCGCACCTTTCTCGTCCCGGCAAGAAGCTTGATTTGTCGGGATGTGGGCGGGGACGCGTCTGTGCGGACGGCACGGCGGACGCTGTGGCCTGCGTCGTGAGCTGCGTGGCACGAGGAGGATGACCGAGTGTGTAAGCGGGAGTCCGTACCAGACTTGACACGCGGAAATCAACGTGACAGGCTGCGGGTAGATAGTGCAGGAACTCTCGTGCGATGGAAAGACCTGGGGATGAGTTGAAGAGAATCATGCCTCAAGTTTAGGAATGTTGTGAGGAAGGCGGGACAACATATTGATGATGTCCCTCATTCACGGCATCAGGTCGCCACCCGCTTTGGAATCCTTGCAGAGTGGTCCATGACTACGGAAGCCAGTTTCCGTAGCAGAAAGCTGTGCATTCTGAAGTTCAGTGTGAGTGCAGATGACGCGTATACCCGGGCCAGTCGATCCTTTCGGAGCCGGGGGTTCATTCAATTTCCACCCATTCCCTGGAGAGGGTTGTAGCTTCACTAATTGAGGGTAGTGAGGATAGTTGCGTCTATAATTGTATTACGAATACTACTTATTCTGTCCGGGGGACAAACTATGTGTCAGCCATAAGGTTGAGACAGAAAAGGAGTGGGTTGGGTCACCGATGTGTTTGTGTGAAGCACGCCTCGGTCGAAGAGTCCGGATCAACAACAACCGCTTTACCGAGCTGGCAGTGACCAAGCAGCCCGACGTGATGAGCCCGTTTTCAGCTCCAATCCTTTAAATGAACGCGTTTTAGTGTTCATGGACACCTCGAGATGACACCTAAGGACTTCTGAGCGCTAACTCAGGGGCTCACTGCGCAGCGTTCTCTCTCAACCCCTTGGTCCTCAAACTCAGCTTCGTCTCGCCCTCCTCAAATGGCAGTCCAGATCCCCCATGCGGACCATTAAAATCCCCATTACCCTCTCGCATCGGATGTTCCCGACCCCCGTTGGCCATCGCTTTCCGCACGAACTCATCCCTCTGCCTTCCTGCCGCTTCACTCGCGTCACTGCCTCGTCGGCTGTGCCCACCCAGACTGCTGGCATCATCGCCCGTCACCATGCCAAACCCCTTCACCCTCCCCGCCCACAGCCCTCTGACACCTCCCCGTTTTCTCTCGGGCACTTCGTCTCCTCCCGCGCTGCACACATATAGCAGGTACTTCAGATTAGGCAGCGTATGTCGGATATCCACGACCTTCAGCGATTGTGACGCACACAGCGCTTCAACATCCTTGTTGAGCAAGAACCAGGCGTAGTCGAAACGGAAATGCGCGCTCGACCCAGACCCTCCCCGTGGGACATACAACGGGAACTCGCGTTGCGGGTCCGGCAGCTGGGAAATGTCGTCACGGATGCTGGAACGTGACCCGAATGCTCGGATTGGATAGGGCAACGGGACGGAGAGGTAGTACTGCAAGGAGTCGGCCAAGTGCGCGACGTACCCCAAAGCAGCAGAGAGGGCGTCTTCGCTCAGACCGGCGGATTTAGTGGCGGAGTCGTAGGTGGTATTGGGCAGAGGAAGGTTGCAGATTTGGAAAGAGAGTGGTGGTCCGAGAAGCACTGGTGTGATGTTGTAGATGCGGGAGAGATCTTCACAGATGCGTCGGCGCTGGCCGTGTATGTCGCTCTTAGCCTTCGCGAGGAGAGTCCGGGACTGGGCCAGTTTTTCCGTAGCATTCTCGACGTCGTTGGCAACTTTCTCCTGCGTTGCGCGACCCTGCGCAATGGCTTTACCCCGCGCCGCGATCGATTCCTTCAACTCCGTGTTTCGTTTCCTAGCTAGCGCGATCGCCTTCCGTTGTTGTATTAAGTATTTGTTTGTCAGGGAAAGTGCATCTTCGGCTTCGGGCACTTCATTTTCGGTTTCGTGAGTCAGGAGGTCGTTGATCTGTTGCGTGAGAAGTTCACGGGTAGCAAGCGCGTCTTGAATCGAGTTATCCAACGTCGCAAGCCTCATCAAGGCATTGTACGACGAGGTCGGTGCCGGAATAGAGTGTTTTGGTGGCGCAGGCTTTCCAGTGAGCTCCAGCGAGTAAATGCCGTCGACCATGTGGAAGGCCAAACTGTTCGGCGGGAAATGAACACTCTGGAGCGTCCCAAGCCAATTGAGCGCCCGCAGGTCAACCGTATCTTCCCGCAAGAGTGACCAGGTGTCGTGTCGTTTGGCCCAGACCTTTATCGTGACCTGAGCCGAGTGAGTGATGGAGGAGTCCAACTCAGAAAGCTCAAAATGCCGGAAGTTGAAGTTCTAAAACTATTAGCTCGGAACAGGACTTCACGGCGCGCGTGAACCGGTCCCAATGATCCATACCGTGGCACGCTCCTCGACCTCGCTTATGTATATTGGTTCCTCCTCGTCCTCCACGTGTAAGGAGAAGAAAGCATCGGCTAACTTGCTGTCGTAAACATCCTCGAACTTTCTCTGCCGAATGGCCGGAGTAACGTTGGCTAAATTGGTGCTTCTTCGGCGACCCGCTGGTGGGCGCAAGTCTTCGGAAGACAAAGCATGGTGAAGATGAGGTGTGGTTGTTCGTAGCGACTCGAGCTTCGCGGGACTTTTGTTATTGAGGTCGGCGTCATCGAGCGTGCGTCCGCGGGGTCGGGAAAAGACAAGGTTCCTCAGCGCGATGCCGCGCAAGTGTCGGAGTTTGCGATTTTGGGGTAGTAACAACGGGCGCGTGGTCTCGGTCGACATTGTAACATTTCGAGGGTCTGGTTGGGAAAAGATGGAACGGCGGCCGCGGCGGCGCGCATCATGAGCGCTGTTGATGACGATACCTCAACGCCGTTTAGCCTTGACTTGCGCCAATGGAGCTTGGGGATCGGCCAGGGGTGAGCTTCCTGCAAGCAGCTGTCAGGAATGGAGCTAGGGTTACAGCTGGTTGGCACCTGTGGCTTGGTCTGTGCTCCAGTTAACGCAGTTGCGCCTTGAAAACAGCATTTCGAAACACTCCAGCAGGAAACAAAACGTCGAGACCTGACCTGTCTCAACGACACGCGTGGTAAAAGAATCTTTAAAACAGGTCAAAAAATATATATAGTCTTGACTTCAACTCCAAAAGCGCCGCATCGCGGCTCGCTCGACAAAGCTCCGATGACGGGCATGGTATCTCTCTCCCAATGGGTAATACACCGCTAACATACAAGAAACAACACCAAATGAACCCCCCAGCAGACTCATAAAGTTACAGAGAACAAGAAGAGAGTGTATCGGTCCAATTCGCAGCTCACGCATCAACTTGCCCCGGGAGGACGGTACGGCTTGTAATATGGTGCCGCCGGGCGCTGGACCTCGCTCGTACCTCCCGACGACGATGGGACCTCCGAACCCTCGAACGGATTTTGCGTCGGTGGTGCTGATGGTGCAGTGACCTGGCGCTGTCCGCGGTAAAACCCGGGGTCATCAACCGCATTGCCGAACGCGCCATTCTCGACCATATTGGGCTGGAGCCCATACATCCTGTCCAGATCCTGCTCCTCCTGCGCGTTCTTCCGCTTTCGCCAGAAGTAGAACAGAGCGCACACTGCAAACACGAGGACGGCGACCGCACAGGTGACACCAATGGCGACTTTGGCGCCGGGGCTGAGAGGGCCGTCATCGCCAGAGGAGGTTTGACCCTCCTGCAGTGTTGGCGGTGTGTTGGTCGGTTGGTTGGGGCCGCCGGTGCTCTGGCCGCCGGTAGGCGAGGGGCTATCGTCGGTAACGAGAGTCTCGGTGGCCGATGTGGAAGCAGTATGTGAGTGGTCGTCGCTATTGCTGTGACTCGACTTTGTGGCGGATGAGCTCGTGTGGGTCGATTCTGAGGATGACTTCTTCGTTGTTGAGGTCCGACGTGAAGAGCTCGAACTCGTCGAGTGAGAGCGATCGCTACTTTGCCAGTTGATTTGGATCATGGGTGCATACACGCTAAAGGTGGTGATGGATGCTTCCTTGTTGGGGACCGTCATCGTACCAAGCCCGCCCGTTGTGTCTCCATCGCACGTCACTGTCGGTACCGCCGTAGATGTGGCCATCATGGTACATGTTTGGCCGTTGTTATTGGCACAGCCATACCCACTGAGCAACTGTTAGTCAGGCCCATCTCCATCGAATATGCAAAAGAAGTGCCTGACCTTGGACAACACCCGACCGCCGTCTCTCCGTCTCGCAACTTGAACTGCACTGGCCATTCCGATCCTCCGCCGCTGCCGCCTGTCGCCGAGCAAGCCGTCGCATATCCAACCGGGCAGTGCAACCCAGGCGAATAGAATCCCCAGCCATAGAGCGGTGCCTTCGTTTCCGCAACTCCCGCTGTTGTTTCTGGCCAGCACCCTGTGTCGTCGTAGGCCTTCCCCCACGAACACGCCTGTCCAAGATACGCCACGTCCTCTTGCCCTCCCAAACCCAACCAACCGCCCAGGCCGCCTGTCGCAGCGCCAACCGCAACTGTACACGCTGGTGGCGGCGTGAATGTTGTTGTGAGCGGCCCTAGGTTATTGGGCGCCTGCCCTATGATTACCGTCATTTTGGATGATTTCGATCGTGTGATTTTTGGCGAGAAAGAGCAACCTAGCGGATCCTGCAGTCCTTCCCGACACGGGGGGTGAGTGGGAAAAGACTTTTTATGAGATGGGAGCTCACCCCTCGCTAGCGCGGGAGATCTGAGCTGCAGAACCCGTGCCGGAGTCCATTCCCACGCGAGGCCCTCGGCTTTCTTTTGGGACTTGTCTTGGAAACAAACTGGTTTCCCATTGGTGCGCCCCCAATCGACTTTGTTTCAACCCCCGACCTTCCCGCACCCACGCGGGCAAACCTTGGTGCCGAAGCAACACAAGACTGCCTCGAAGCTCGGATCACCGAAGTCGTCCCAGGAACGGGATGTCGATCCCGTCCTGTTTGGGGGTTAGCCCCCGCAATGGCAGCCCCTGAAGATCCCAAGACGGAAGTCCGGCAGGGCATTGGTGGGTGAGCTCCAGTTGAGCGCAAATGCGCTGAAAAAAAAAAAGGGAGCTGTGTGACCGTTTCAACTCGCGCTTGGACAGCTGGCTCACGCCCAGTGACGCCAAACTCCCATCCTTTCAGCCAGTGAAAATTACTTGGAATTTCAGGCACTCCGGTAGCGCCAGTCAGGTGATGTTGGCGGTTAGAGGGGCATCTTGTCGCTTGGTCAACTCTTTGCGACCCCTCCTTCCATTTCTCAGCGGCAAGAGGCGGCAGGTCACCAACCAATCGATGAGGGTCTCGTTGCGGCCCAGCACGGCCAAATTCTTGACCGCGCAGTCGGCCCGTTGTCCAAGATGGGCCATGACATTGCCATCTATCACGAAACGGACATGCCCTTGAACACGGCAGGTTCGTTGTTTGCTGAATCTGGCTGCCTAACGCAACCACAAAAGGAAGTTCTTCATGGAGACTGCCCGTCGGAAACACCCGAGGAAACAACGGTTGGTCGAGCCCCACAACGGCCACGAATCTGGGGGAGATGCTTATTTTGGCCAATCATAACGACTTCGAAACCACGCAAAACGGTTCACAAAGGGGTGTCCCTGACAACAACCTCTCGTGTATGGAGAAGGAGGTCTAGAACTCCCAATGACACCACCAATTTGTTCGCACTTCATCTTCAACCTCTACCCTGACAACGCTGCTCAAGCGGGGTCGATAATGAGCTCGAACCAAGTGACGCCTGTGTGGCGGCGTCGATCCGCAAATCCAACCAATCTTCAGTCAATATCCGTTTCGGTGACGTCAGGCACGTGAGGGTCATCGAGAAGCCATGATAACCTTTCTCGACGTGCTCTTCTTACGAGAATCAACAGTCCCAACTGTCCGTGATCTAATTCTAGCTGTGACTTGGTGATTATCACCTTCCCTTGTAACCCAATTTAGAAAAAAGCATATCAACATAAACAACATGCGGGCGTTACAAAAACCGTTCACCAGGCCAATCCCCCGCCAGATCGTCCCTCTACGCTCCCCCGCCATCTTCACCCTCCTCACTCGTAGCAAATCATCACAAGCAACTCCGTCAAGCCCGAGCGCCACCCCCTCCGTGTCAAACGGAACCCGCGTCGCCCTCGGCCCTAATCTCACATCCCACTTCACCACCCTCGACCGCGCCCAACAACGGCAGAATTCCACAGACGACCGCGCCCGCGGCCTCTACAGCACGCAAATCTACCACGGCCAAGCAAGACCCTCCCCTTCATCCTCTCACCCCTGCCGCCGAGCCTTTCACACTTCTACCCAGTCACTCTCCCCCGTCCATGTTGCTCCCGGTCCAGCCACAGGCGCAGACACAGGCGTACCCATCGCCGCGCAAATGTTCGGCTCCGAGGTGAAAGGCAACCCGACAGAGAGCGAGGCAGACGTCGCGGCCGATCGGTCAGATGTCGATCCGCTGCCGCCTGGGAAGCATCATACGATTCGGCTGGGCCCCGGCGACGCGGCCCCGCGGCCGACGGAGAGTGAGGAGGATGTCGCGGCGGATCGGGGTGGAAACGGAACGGATCCGTTAGGCGGGGGTAAAAAGGTTCGCTAGGGGTTTTAGGATGAAGCTTACGATGGGGTTGACTACATATTCGGCGTTATTGAGTGTTTACCCGGTTTTGTGAATTTAGGTGTATTGAGCTGATAGCTGCACCAAAGATTGATTAACTCCCCAAGTTCGACTCGTGGCATGTTCTAATTTATACCTGCTCCCACAATCAGTATGGTACCTTGCTCCCCAGTCCAAGCTTACAACAGCAGCCCAAGCCCTCCCGCCAGAGCCACAACGACCCCCAATACCGCCAACGCTCTGTCACCTAGCCCACCAGCCAAAGGTGCCAGAGGTCTCGCACCCGACGACGGCCGCGGCGTCACCGTCGCCAAGATCGCCGCGCTGACGTTGAGGGAGATTTGCGGTAATGTCGGCGTACCTGTGAAGCTATTCAAGCTTTGGGCGCTCCAGTATGCGAAGCCATCACTGTCTACGATGGCCAGGTGCTGGAGGCCGTCGAGGCTCGAGAAGCTGAGCGTGGTGTTGTAGGAGCCCTGGGTCGCGTTGCCGAGCGGGATGACCACGAAGCCGGTGCCGCCCGTGTCGCTGGAGTCGGCTCGCTGAGGGTAAGGTATCCATTGTGTGGTGTTTGACACAAGCGTCAGCGTGCCGTCGCTGTTGGTTTGGACGGTCGGGTCGTCGCTGGAGTTGGCTGTGTCATCGCGGCGGCGCATCTTCGCCCCAGTGGCTGAGCACGAGACCATCCTGACGACGAACCGCTGCCCGGGTCGAATGTCGTAGAATTCGATAAGGCAGTTGATGAAAGGCCCTTGGAATTTTGAGTTCTGTGAGGCTAGGATGCACATCCGCGTGGCGCTGGAGCCGCCCTCAAGTATCGACGCCATCGGGAACTCGTCACACTCCAGCTTCTCATTGATGGACTCCTTTGGCCTGGCAAGCATTAACGGAATAAACCCGAGAGAAATACTAGGACCGCAAGCAGGTAGGTACTAAGGTGAATTAATACACCCATGACTCAGTGGCTGACTTACCTGAGCAGTACCCATCGCACCCCGCTTGTCGGCGTCTTAGCCTCTGGCCCGCCGGGTCAGAACCTGCATACGTAAGGACCATTACATCGTCGCTGAGCACTTGAGTTGGGCGAATGGTTTTTTGGTTTTGGATGCCTGAACTTGTTAAACTTGGCTCCTATAATGTTTGAGCCCATTTGCATGTGGCTAGGGAGGTAACACTGACCAGCACACAGTCAAAGTCCATGACCGGCAAGCATTCTCCATCAACGTCAAGGTAGTCATCCGGGTCATTTCCCTTTGGACCGCAAAACTTTTCCCGGACACCTCCACGTTTTGCGAGGGAGGTCGATGATGGCGAACAAGTCTTGCTCGTGAGTGTCTTTGTAGAAAGTCAGAAAACGGGATTGAAAAACTGAAAACGTTCTTGCACGCAACTAGAGCTTTGCAGAGCCAGCAGCTCGACCCAAAATGAAAGTGAAATACTAGTTCCTGATTCACGTTCACGGCCTCCCCACAATAGCGACATCTTGTCTTCGTTGTTGTTTAAAGGGAGCGGTTTTCTATCCTTAGAGAGACCAGTTTTAGACCCTTTTGAGCGGACAGAGAAGATTTATAAGCAAAAGGGCCGTTATTGGGTTGGGGGTCGTAAGGAATTTAGCCGCTGAACCTTACGCAATGTGAATCCACAAAAAATCATTGAGTTCTTATTCTTCGAGCCTCACTCGAGAAATCGAATATCAAGGCCGACAACAATGGACATGTAATTATCGAACATCTTTGGCTACCAAAGAAATATGACATCAAGTTCGATGATTACTACCTCTAGCATTACATGTGCATATATGGATGTCCATCATAGGGGTTTTATTTTTTTCTACCCCTTTAACTTGAAGTGCTCGCTCAAGCCTCCGTCGTTCCCTCTGTCACTGTGGGTGTTCTGACAGCTTCAATGTAGGTAATCAAGTGTCATTTGCTTTCTCCGCCGTGATCATATTTGTTTCCATCTCTCACGATTTCTTCATACTGTTCTCCGGATTTTCTCCTGCTATAGCTCTCCCAATTCCTGCCTCCGCTTTGTTCTTACTCTGGTAGTAATCCAACTTTTGTTTTTCCCCACTGCCCCTCTTAAATTTTAGCTTTTAATTAACTAGTCGGTTAATGAGAAGAGTCAAATAGGCGCGTATCTAAGGGACTGAGGGTAAGGTAATTTCCACACTGTACGATCGATCGTATGTCGGTTGATTGGCCAGCAAAACCCAACTGAACGTTCCCTAAATGGATTTGAGGGAAGTCCTTAGGCACCAACCGTCTGTAGAACATCCTGTGGCTCCGTCGCTCCTACCCCGCAATCCGATCCGTGGCACAATCAGATATTCCTAAACCCTTTCCAGGCACGCCTCGATCGAGCCCTTATTTATAACTTTCCGGGTCACTTAGGTCACTCACGCCCTCACACCAGAGCCCAGACACTTCAAGCCATGGAGCACGATGAGGATCAGTTACCCCTGCCGACAAACAACCCAAGCAATGAACTTCCCGGTATCTTGTGCCTCTCCTCCGAGCTCCGACTTCGTATCTATCGAAAGCTGGAGGGTTGGGGCTGGGGTCTACATAGCTGCCGCCATGCCCTCGACTTGAGTGCACCAGAACCGCCTGGAACCCTGACCGAAAAGGATTATTATAATTCCCACCTCACGGTCAACACGCGTAGAAAGCAGTTTCTGCGCTCCTTGCAACCGCTTCTTTTCTCGTGCCGCACGCTCTACACCGAACTCGCCCATATAATCTACTCTGTTGAGTGGTTCGTTTGTTATTACAAAGGTCCTGGTTCCCTGGCGCAGCTCCAATCGTTGACCCCATCTTCGGTGGCATCTTTGACGAACCTCAAGATCGTTCTTAACAACGCGTCGTGCCATTCCCAAGAGGGTTGGGGAATGTGCTCCGTCACTCCTTTTATGTACCAAATTTACTTCCCGCCTAGGGACGAGGGTCAACCCGCTTCCCTTGCCCCGGGAGCCGACCTTGATTATGATGCACCCCTTTCCCTTTCCAATTCATCAGCGGCAGACATGTTGGCAGAATGGGAAAAGGTAGCGGGGTATTTAGGCTCCCATGTTACTCCTGGGGAACTGGAGCTTTCTTTGGTGTGCGACGTCGATGTGGAAAACGATGGCGGTTTGGCTCGACGAGTGGCGGAGTCGTTGAAGTACTTTCCACGTCTGAAGGAGTGCCACCTCAGACTAGCCAAAACACCAAACTACGCCATCCGAGAGATTTGCCAGGATGCTGTTATGGAAGCACGTGGTTTTCTACCCCCGTCTACGTTGCACAGCACCCAGGGCGCCGGATCCAGCACACCTAGGAGAACCGGACTGCTCGACTTGCCACGTGAACTACGTCTACACATTCTCGAGTTCACCGACCTTATTACGCCCATGAAGGAAGTCATGTGGTCTCGAGCTCACTTGAAATACGTAGCAAGTCGATCGTACTGTCCGAGTTGGGAGGGAACAGGGGACCATGAATGGCCAGCTGGCCATCACTGGTGCTGCCAATTCAATCGCTGCTGGGAGCGGTCGTATCCTTATAAGACCTTGGGGTGCTTTTGCGGGAGTGTCCATTCAGCGTTCTCGTCGACCTGCCGGTGTTGGGCCCCTCCGACCCGGCTGTTCTTGATTTGTCGCACACTTCATCGAGACGCCAATTTGGTCTTTTTCTCCGAGAACCGCTTTGCTGTGATGGAGGGCGAGGCAATCAGCGTATACTCGCCAATACCGTGGAGCGGGCTCGAGAAGAGGGGCTGTCTCGCAGCTAGCGAGTTCCTGAGACGCGTTGTCCCCCTCGACTGTCTGGGCCACCTCCGGTTTCTCTATCTCGTTTTTCCCCCCTTTTACCCAGGCCAGTGGCCGGCCAAGGGCAGTGCGGTCTATCAGGACTGGCTAGCGACCGTGATCTGGGCCAAGAGGAGGCTCAGCCTAGCCGCCCTCACTATACATGTGTGCGCTACATACAGAGGCGATATGGACGACTATGAGCCCTCGGCTCGATTCACGACGGCAGACGCGGAAGCCGTCCTGGTGGCTTATCAGGAAATACTGCAACCGCTCACGCACCTTGGCGGTAACCTGGGGCTCGCCGGATTTGATGCCGACCTTTCATGGCCGTGGAGTCGGATCCCAGTATTACCGACATCGTATGATGCTGAGGAGGAACGGCTCAGGCAGTTCGACAGCAAGGACAAATCGCTCAACGACCAGGCACTGATCCAGGTCCTGGGCGAAGATCGATATTATGCCCGGTTGCCTCCGCGGTTCGATGAATACGATGGCCCCATAAATGACGGGGCATGGCGTGACATTTTTGCTAGGCACTGTTAGTGGGGGAGGGAGCTGCTGGATGGTGAAAGCCTGTTGATAGGAGGTACGAAGCGTAGCGATGCACGGCGCGCGATGTGTCAGAAATGTAACTCTCATGCAAGCTCCGCATAGTCATAAGAAGAAATGCCTTGGGCCCCTTTTCCGCGCCCGTGTTAATAGTTTTATTCACCACAACACTGTGGTATGGTCATGTGGCTAACTGATGATAATTACAACGACATGAGAACCTTGATGGGAAGGACCTTTCCGAGACACATGAGGAGGGGAGTTACCTACATGTCCCGGTGTTAGTGGGGAATGTTCGGAAAATAAATGTAGCCGAACCTAACTCAACCCAATCCAACCACACCTCCGCGTCGTCCACTCCTTTCCACCTGTCGGATGTCGAACATCCGCAAACGGCCGCGGCTTGCGCGGCCGCTCTTCCCCGAGCACGGCCCGCATCGCGATGATTCTGTGTCAATCACGGAAGTCTTGGCTCAGCTCTCGTTAAACCTGGCTTGCAGACGGCTCGCTACCTATTCGGGTCCTCCCGCTTCCACAAGTGTCTTGCATGCATGCTTCCTCCCCACAACCACGCCCCATTCCCAAACCGCCAACCAAAATACCAAAGCCGACCATGCGTTTCGCTCACCGACTGCACGCAGCTCGATGAAGCTTTGATATATGGAGCCCATTAGTCAAAAAGTAAAAAAGGGGTCTGGGCAGGATCGTTCTAGACTACGGATTAGACAATCTTGTACCACATTACGCCCAAGATGACGAAGATGGTGTGACGGCTGCCGTGGACGTGGCGTCAAGGCACATCATTTACCGTAAATCAGCTCGAGGGGCAAAGGGGTGTGTGATGTGGTGGAGCTTGCCTCGATCTTCGCGCTCACGGCGGGTGGTTAATTCGATGACAAGCGTTCACACGGATGACAGCCGATGAGCAATGTCTTGGTGTTGATGGCAACTTCCGGCCTGGAGATGCAGGTTGAGCGACGGTATGATGTCCATATTTCATGGTGTGGACATTCTCGTCGAGCGGGGAACCTGCCATCACGCAGTTCAGCTGGTGCAAGTTCATGGTAGATCGCCATTCTACGTCGTGACAACCTCCCGGGGAGGCCATATCGACTGCAGGAAGCAGAGTTGGGATGTCTGTATGTATCATGCACCTCGACTCGGCGGGGAAGGTGGACGGTGAGTCCTGCTCGAACGTCTGGCAACTGCGGATAGGGCGGCTTTCGAGAAAATTCAGGAGATGTGGAAACGACAGTGTCGCAAAACGCGGAAGAGGATATTTTCGTGTTACCGGCGTGGACGGATTGGGGGAGCTTTAGACATGCGAAAAGTGGCGTGAGAGAGATATAAAGTCGTCACTCTCCTCCTCCTTTCTCTCATCATCGGGACTTCTCAACAACACTCGCACCAGACTCCGAGAACAAGCATCATCTGCCTGCTTCCCTCTTCCAGTATTCTCAAAGCCTTTTTACCACTTACCCCTTTCCCCCAAAATAATTCACCATGACGACCGCACTTCCCGTCGAAGGCCAAACCAACGAGGTCTACTTCTGGCACGGCAACAACTACGCCAAGATCCGCTTCACGCCGAGCACCAACGACGATGAGATCGTCTTCGGCCCAGCCAAGGTGACCAGCCACTGGAAGACCTTCGCCCAAGCCGGCTTCACCACCGTCGACGCCGCGGTGCCAGTGCCCGGCTTCCCGCGCCAGGTGTACTTCTTCAGCGGCACCCGCTATGTGCGTGTGGAGTACAAGGCCGGCACCTCCGAGGAGAAGATCGTGTACGGGCCGTACCCGATCACCGAGCAGTGGCCGTCGCTGGTCAAGGCCGGCTTCGACACCGTTGACGCCATCCTTCCCGTGCCCGGTGAGCCGAACCAGGCGTACTTCTTCAGCGGCAACCAGTATGCCAAGATCAAGTTCGAGGCTGGTACCAAGAACGACGAGGTGCTCTACGGCCCGACCAAGATCACCAGCGAGTGGAAGACGCTGAACGAGGCCGGCTTTGACAAGATTGACGCGGCGTTCCCGGTGCCGGGCAAAGAGGGCCAGGCGTACTTCTTTAGCGGCAGCCAGTATGTCAAGATTGAGTTTGTGCCGAGCTCGGGTACCGAGAAGATTCTGTTTGGACCCAAGCGCACCTACGAGTACTGGAAGACTCTGGCTTCTTGGGGCTGGTAAATGGACTGACTGGCTCAACCCGGTCCTCGCACCGAATAGGCGGTCCATGGTCAATGGGATGAACTACAGACAGAATGGTTCACAATGGATTATGATGTTATGATGTTGATGATGGGAATCCAGGGGGTCATGACTCATGTTACTCTAGCCACGCTCATTTTTGCCCAGTCAATATCAACAAGAAATTGTCGGGGAAACTTGATTTGAATTTTGCACGTGAACAGCCAGGTGAAACAGCCATGTGAAACGGCGATTGAGTGAATTGTCGAGCAGCTAGCTAATCTAGAGAAGCAGCTCACGGCGCAGTTCTTAACTCAGCCCGTGGAACTATTCCGAAAAAAGCCCTGGATTTTTGATTTCCCCCTTTCTCCCACCTTTTCACCCACTTCTTGAGTCTTTCTCAGCTTCCACAACTAATCAGTTCCTCTCTGTATGGTCGGAGACATCATCAGCCCCTTAGCTGACGGTGATGGAGGCCGAGCCGCTGCTCTGGTAGCCCTCGGTGGCCACAATCTGGTAGTTGTGGCTGCCGAGCTGGAGACCGGACTTGGCCCAGGCGTCGAAGTGAGCACCAACATCGACGGAGCCCGAGGTGCGGTGGTTCTGACGGACGGACCAGAACTGGTAGAAGGTGCTGGTGCCCTCGATGGACGGCTGGTTAACACGCTGGGTCTTGGCGATGGTGTAGGTGCTGCCATCAACGTCGATGCTGCCGATCTTTTGCGCCTGCGACGAGGGGTCGTACGTGCCGAACGACTCCACGATGTAGTACTCGATCAAGGGGTTCTGGGTCCAGCCGTAGATGGAGAGGTAGCCGTTGCCCTGGGGGCTGAAGGTACCCGAGTAGTTGATCACCCGCGAGGAGCCAGGGTTCCTATTTTGTGTTAGTGAAACTTGACTTTCAAAGGAAACATGAAACCGCCTCGACCCTTAAGCGTTCTCAATACTGAGACGGGATAAAAAATAAACGTACCAGCCCTTGCCACCGACAAAGTTTCCGCAGTTCTGCCAATTGACAGAGTAGGAGCCGCCGGCGCCGTTCTGGTAGTTGACGTTGCCGCCGTTGTCAGTCCAGAACGAGTAGTAGAAGCCGTTGTTGGTGCCGGTGCCGCTCGGGGTGCCGCCACGAGCGACGAGCTCGCTGATCTCGGTGGCGTTGAAGGGGAACGCCAGGGCGCCAACGGCAGCCGCCGCGCCGAGGAGGATGGTCTTCATGGACACCATGGTGACGGTAGTTGTGAGGGGTGTTGTTGTCTGTTGTGGGGACAAGAGAGGCTGAAGCTGCGGTGGTGAAGAGAAGAAGTGAAGGTCAAAGTCGGGGGATGATCGTCGTTCTTATACTCTTCGATCCCTCCATTGCCTTCCCGTTAATGTTCGTTCTTATTATCCAGACCGTCAACCCCCAAGTATACCACGGGAAAATTACTGACTAGGGATCCTTCCCGTGCCCCAGTCCCGAATTGCGAGCCGTGAAGAGCCATGCGTTCCCCGGCAGTGGGACTTGTAAGAGGTTTCTTCCGGCAACCGAGGAAACCCCCGGACCGGGTTGTGGGCGCCCTTGTCCTTGTTTCCCCCTCGTAACCTGTCATGTCGTGTGGGTTGTTTGGACAGCCACTGACGCGGTTTCAACCGCCCATGTCACCACACCACGCCATCCAACATCGTGCACTAACCCTTCACAAGTTCACCCCCTCGTCCTTTCGCGCCAAATTACTAAATGGGGGCCAAGGCGTGCGGTTAACACAAGAGTTTGCCCAGAGTCCGGGCACGAATCAACAAATTCAAGGGGATTTAGCCTGAACTGCGCAAGTTCTTGGGGTCTTTGGGGTGCTTCTCCGGGGTCCCCGCAAATCAACGGCGCCATCGCGGAAGGCACGACCGCAACCGGGTCGTCCTTCCTCGAAGTGATGGCTCCGAGATTCCCCAGATGCAGAAGTTTCAAATGCCGATCGCGCGTTGTGACGCCGAGACTGGCCATCTCTGGGCAAAGCTTGAGGGGCGCCAAGCGCAGCGCCGAGCCTGGCGACTCCGGCGCCAGCACCGCCAAGACGTTGGTTTGGCTGCATGACAAGCCCCTGGGCATTGCTTGTTTCTTGTTGATGATGGCGAGCCGCCAAGACGAGCGAAAATTCGCGAGCGAACACCCAAAACCACCATTCCCGTTGTCTGATTCTCTCCCTTTGCCCGCTTTGTCCCCTTTCAAGATCTGCCAAGCACGCGGGCGTGTCACTGAGCCAGTCCACGACGGCATCGTTCCGAGAAATTCCCTAACCAGCATTTCCCCCCATCTTTTTCTCCATCCATCAATCAGCCCACGAACCCCATACTAACTAACGTTAGTGTAGTTCTCCCCCGAGTCCGCCCCGCCTTTGCGCTCCAATCCCATCTCCTCATCCGCGCAAGCCGGTTATCCCGTCGAAATGGCCAAGACTCTTGGCCACTATGCTCGGCTTTCACTACCGTCTTCTACCGGCGCTCAACTGCCGGATTCGGGCACGCCTTGGCTACCCTTCGGGAGACGGCCGTGGCGTCCGTTTGCGGGTTCGCGGGCTTGCGGGCTGGTGGCCAAGACCAACACAGTTACACGCGGACACACACCCACAGCCTGAACGCGCGAAACGACATGGGACATGGCTCTCGCCAAGACCGCGTGCCCACCTCTGTTTCGCTATTTCTTCACGGGGGGCGAAGGCGGTTGTTCTTGGCGATGTTTTTGATATTGATCGGTTGACGTTGATTTACAGTTTTGGCTTGGGGAAAGCTCAGCTGTCGATCAGGGAAACGAACAACCCAGAACCGGGGACGGCCAAGGGAAAATTAATAGGGTCCAAGAAAATACCCGCGTAGATCTTTTGACCACTGTCCCGGTGCCTGGGAATCACTCCAAACGCAGGGTGCTTCGATCTTCACCTCCCTCATTGGAGCCTGCACGAGGAAAGGAGGGGGAGAAGGGCACGGGGGCTGTCGGGAACAACCACAGCGTGCACCGGGAACAATCTGCTCAATGCTCGCCCGGCTCGCTGCTCCCCTATTTTTGGGGGAGATCGGCCGTTTCGCCATCGTGGAGTCGAAAGCGTTGGGTTGGATGGCCGGAGACTCGGAGACATTTCAGGGCCCAGGGGGGACCGACTACAGCCTGTAGGCTGTCGGGAATACGTGGGTGACGTGCCACTGTGCCAGTTTGGATGATGATCATCCCTTTGCTCACAACTCTGGGGTCAAGGCAACCCTCGAGATCGCCGCCCGCGCCTACTGTATCGAACAAGTGACCCATTGAAAATGGGCGCATGGCTTGCGTTTAGCCGGAACTCCTGGCTGCAACCTTGGGCTGTGTACTTTGTAAACATCAACACTGCATCTCTTGTAAATTGTCTCTTGCGTCCCTAATTTGAGGATCCGAGGGGACGCGCAATAAAACAACGACCTGACCTGACGGTAGAACGTCGACATCGATAGGCTATGAGACAGCCGAGCCTACCAGCGCGGGGCTATGAGAAAGTAGTAAAGTACCTTCGCACCCCTCGAGATCCCGTCGGGCCCCTGCCCAATCTCGCCATCGTTGTAGTTGTTACACCATGGCCCGGGGTTTTGCGGGGAAGGGGGTCTCGATCCCACGCTTCATTCATCCGCGATCCATGCCAGTCACGCTATGTCCATGCACATCTCACGACCAATTCGTGTGCCATCGAGCTGATCTTCGCATTGCGGCGGTCTCGCCCGCCTGTCCCCTTGGACGGATAATACTGATCGAGACCCGGAAACCGAGATGAGTTGTGTGCGAATCTCCATTCTACCGGGAAATCCAAAGCAGCCGGGAGAAACCACTTGTCAATGAATGTCCATATTGGAAGAAGTACCACTCACGAAAGACCGTTGGGTACAGAGGAGTACAACTCGCTATTCTTAACCTAGCCGCAGAGATTTTCGGGGTCTTCCTTAATCCAGACAACGAATGGGGAAAAGACCGGCACGACACGACCATTCCACGATTCTAAACATATCACAGAAATGATCACACCTCCAATCCTCGCTTTCACATGCATAGCGACGAGTGCATCTAGTTAATATTCCCAGCCCCCAAAACCCACTGGCATGCCAACAAATCCCTGAATCTGTGTCCCCGACCCCGAAAGGCCGAAACACAACGCACCAACTCATGACTTCGCCCTCTCGCAACATCTTCCTCTAACACGTCCTTTTTTTAGACTTTATCCCATCTGCCGTTCTTCTTGCCGATACCGTGACCGTTATCATGTATGTAAGCGGGCCCTCCGGTCCTATGATACAACCTTGCCGGATCGTCGACTTCAAAAGTCGGTCGAAAAGCGAGAAACCGGGTTAGTTGTGTCATGACACCATCCGCCCACGCTATGGTGGTGCTGTAGATATTAATTAACCATTCCATTTTTGCTTTTGCGCCGGTGGATATTCAACAGTATCGTGAGCGACCCAGGACGAGGGCGTAGAAAAAGCCGTCGGGGTATTCAAGCCGTCGGTCCGACTTTTAGCAGAGGGCAAGTTTGAATTCTTCGCCCCTTTACTTTTTTCAATTCTGTCTCGTCGCTCCCCTTGCCCGAGAAGAAAACCTGAGAATCAAATCCACGCCGGGCCCGAGTCAGGATTCCGTCCCCAGTTCTATCTTGACGAACAGTGTGGCCGTGTTGTTGGCCTCATGATTTTGGTACTCGCCCAAGGGTTTCACTCGCCCACTGCCACTTTGGATCTTGTATTCTGGCTATCCATTTGGAAAAGCGAAAGATTTTGTGGTCTTCTCATTGTCATGATTATAATCATGCGCTTCATGCGCTGTCTCTCAAATCGATGTGTCTCATAACTTTACTGATTCCCTACTTCTAGCTAATTAGTCATGAAGTCGCACGGCAGACATAAGAGAGACTGAAAGGACAGGTACTACTGGTATGACATCATGAGCTGGCAGTCTAAATAACCAAATCTAGCCTGGATTCGCCTGGAAACCCTTTGATGGAGCGACAAATTCTGTCACGAACTACGAGGCATTGCGTTGCATAATAGGTATATACCTACCAAACCACGTTCCCGGTCCACATCAATGTTCACATGGTATAACCTACCTAGGATCCGTATGGGAAATTAATTGATGATGGAGTCTAAAATCTGCTCAGTTTCCAAAATGGCCTTTGTAGTAACGGAACCGATATCGAGGAAGGCCTCAACCGTATTAACATTAAATAACCCTAACCCTCCCCTTCCCTCACACGCACAATTATTCATGACCGTCAAGTGTCTAATTAAGGTACCTACCTACCTAGTTACTTCCCCGAGTAAGTCTCAGATCACTCCACCTCTAGACAGAGGAGTTCTGATAGATCTCCAGTTACACCACACACAGTCGTGCCATACCACCTCTCAACTGCCAACGTACATCCTAACCGCGATTCCCGAGGCCAGCAGTCTTCAATCATGGCGGCCCCCAAATTCTCCAATTACCCCATTCGGACAACCAGCGTCTCATTGGGCTGCGCTGACTGACCCAAAATGCCCGCATGCAGCTGGGCCAAAAAGCTGAGGCGGCTTTCGACGCCTTACCCACCTGAAAAGGGAAATCGAAGCGCGACCTTTGAGGGAATTGCGTGATCGAGAGTGCCCCGCACACCATCTTCCCCAGACACCAAACCCTCCAATGGCTTCACGACCTCAATCCTCCTTTTCCTTTCGCGATGGCTGTGTCGTCGAAAACAACCCGCCATTGTTTCCCGTCCTGAGGAGTCGAGTCGTCTGTCGTCTTTGTCCGCATTGAGGGGATTCCCAATCCAGCGAACCGGAACCGAACCAAGGGCCACGGCTAGAAAGACAACACAAACAATGGACTCCGTCGAAGTTGTCGTCGTGGCGTCGCCATTCGCCAATCTGGCACCCCTCTACGAAGTCGACCCCGACGCCGATGCGCTCCTCGTCGTATCGCCCTCAAACCGCCAGACACGCCCCCAACAAGGAGCCAATGGCACCGCCACAGCCCCGTCCGAGCAAGGACTGCGCATCAAGGTGTCCTCCAAGCACCTCGCGCTCGCATCTCGCGTGTTCCGCAACAAGCTGCAGTTCGGCAGCACCAAGCCGGCGCGTCAGGCCGACGGGCGCGTGCACCTCCGCTTAGCCGAAGGCTTTTCGGCCAAGGCCGTCAGCATCGTCGCCAATGCGTTGCACGGCCGCGGATCGAAGGTTCCGAAGGCCGTGGACCTCGACACGCTGGCGCAGATTGCGCTATTCGTCGACCGCTTCCAGCTGCTGGATGCTGTTGAGGTGTATGCGGACCGGTGGATCTCGCGGCTGGAGCTCGACGCGCCAGGGACGGTGGCATCGGCCCCCGTGCCGTGGATCTATGTCGGTTATGTTTTCCGTCGTGCCGACCTATTCAAGGAGGCAACGAAACACGCTGCCGCGCAAGCGTCGGGGCCGATTGAGACCGGCGGGCTGCCCATCAAGGCGAAGATCATCCGTATGTATCCCGTCATTTTCCCGCTCCTTCCCCCCCCCTCTTCCCCCAACGGGCACACAGACCTAACCCGCTGGCTAGAACACATCGAATCCCAGCGCCAGGCCCTCCTCGCCGAAGCCATCACCAACCTCCACACCACGGTTGATAACCTCGCATCCGGCAACGCCTCGTGCAAATCAGCCACCACCCCCCAATCCTGCGATGCTCTCCTCCTCGGCAGCGTCATCCAGTCACTCCACACCCGCCGTCTCGCCTGGCCACGCCCCGCAGCCCCGTTCACCAACCTCGCATTTGGCGACGTCGTCCAAGCTGTACGGGAGGGCGTAGCTGGCCACCATCGGCAGCGACAGGCGGAGCGCGAGAAGGTTAGGGAGGAGGCCGAGCCTTGGTACCTGCGGACGAACGGCGCGGTGAAGGAAGAAAGGAACGGGGACGGCAGCAGCGGAGGAACGGGGCGGGCGAAGAAGGAGGGTGTCGTAAATGGGGCCGGAGAAGAGGGGACGGGGCTTGGTTTTCCAATTACGCCAGCAGCGTCGCCGGAGCCGGTGTATCGGAACGGGGGCGGGCGATTTGAGGGTCGGGGACATGTGCGCGTGCATGCGTGTGAGGTGGACCGGGTCGTGGCTGGGCTAGAGGGTTTGGAGAGGCTTGGAGATGCGGTCGAGGGGTTGGTGTTGGAAGGGCGGTTGGGTTATTTGGCATATTGAGTTCGGCGAGGCATTGAGACGGGTCGCCCGTTTAAGGGTGGGTAATGGGATCGAACCGGCTAAGCAGAGCGCTGCAGTGTCAGAGAGAGGTATCTGAAAGCTCGGCTTATTAGTTTTCTTTTGGTTTCAGTTTTGTTCTCGTTTCTCAGTCTCCGATGTCATTATGTATTAATGAGGGGGCAGCCGCGCAGCACGCAAATCCCTGTATCATATTACTTCCATCTTCATCATACCATCCATTATTCTTTCAGTCGCTCGTTGATCCAGCTTCCCACCAGTTGGAGGTACCACGATTCAGCGCACCCGATGCTTCACGGGGTACCGGTTCTTGTCGTCCTTCGCGGGTGTAACTCCAGACATGGCCTTGTGGTGCTCCAAGGTTCCTCGTGTAGGCCGGAAGATCCGTGACGGCCTGTCTCCCTAGCGGCGTCTCCATCGTGGCCACCCCGTTTGGCTGGTAAACAACACCTGGTACTGCTGTTGGGGGGCCGACGGAGCGCTGAATTCGCCCGGACGAACCGGTGAGACTCGGGTCGAGAAAGTTCATCGGGTTGTGGGTGTGAGCCATGGGCGGCTCTGTGATGTCGCTCTCCGTTGCGATCTCGGAGGGGGGCACTTCGTGTACTGGCACCCAGTAACCCCTGACAGCGGTGGCTTGGGGCGGGGGCACCTCCTCAGCCGAGCGAGAGGATGTTGAAGTTTCGGATGAACCCTCGGTAGATGGGTCACTCGAACCGGAGCCTGAGGCGTCCGAAGAGGTTAGGGACCGTGCTCGGGAACGGGGGCGTTCGGATACGTTCCGGGGTAATGGTGAGGCTCGCATGGAGCGAACCTCCTTCCTCAACCGCGATCCCTTCTTGTACATCTGTATTTCTTTGAACGGCCCTCTCTGTGCCCGACAACAAGTGTACCAAATAAGAACCAAGGCCATGACAACCCCTAGACAGACGCCGAGGGCGATGAGACCTGCGGGCTGTGTTTCTCCTGGGGAAGACCGCGGTAGAATCGTCCGTGGGTTGGGGGTTGTCCTCTTGCTCCCAAATGGCGAAGGGGGAGGTTGGAAAACGGGAGGCATGGTGCGCTCAATCAGTGAGAAGGTAATGATGAGTTTTTGAAGGTGGCCGGACAGTCGGGCCGTATGATCAAGTTCGGCTAAGGCGAGTAAGGCAAGCTAGGCTGGATGGTTGTCGGGGTCGTATGTACCTAACGATGGCTCACAAAATGAACAACTTCACAATGTGCTATAAGCTCTCCAGTGTCAAGTGCTTGTCTGGTGGCCTCTTTGTAAACTAGGCCACCCGAATGTTCCCCTCTAAGAATCCCTGTTGTATGCAGCCAGAGATGCAAGCGAGGCGCTAAAAGTCGGTGAGGGCATGATCCGTTCTCACATGCAACCGAGCATTTTGAAACCGTCACAGCGATAGACGATCGCAATAACCATGAGCCGTCGTGTAATGCGTTAGTTGCTGCGTCTGGCGCCCAGAGCCGCGAAAGTGCAGGCCTTTGAGGGTGTGATGGACCTTTTCCGATCAGTCCCTTTACCCCCTTAGCTTCCTGCTACCATCGAACCGTTCTTGGTTCTGAAAGCCCCCAAGTTCTAGCGCAATTACCACACCGCATCGGGTCGGGATCAGTCGAGTCGACTGCGTGGTGTGTATTCCTGGGCTGTCTGCAAGTTAGAGACGTTGGATCATTCGCCCTGTATCGGTCTAGACTGCCTGGAGACTGCCAACCCCCGACGTTGGATCCCTGGCAGAAGCACACGTCACGTCAGGGGCCGCTCTTGGCTTCGTGCAGATGGGGTCGTGGACCGGCACGCCGGAGGGGCTGTCACTGCAGCATGGTATATCCAAGCAAGGTACCTCTTTGAAGTCCAGGATAGACCAGTCTGGGCCTTTATGGCGGTTGATCACTGTCTTCAATCAAAGAAACAGTTCCACAAGATGGGAAGTAGAGTTGACGAACATGTTTTGTTTACACAGTACTTGACTGAGGCTCAGTATCCGGGAAAACAAGTGGTGTAGTCCGGTTGGGTCGCCTTGCTCCAGATATGGTCTCACCTGCAGCAAATCAACGGGAGCTACCAGCTTAGTGGCCCGGCGCATCAATGAGAAGTCGCCAAATCAAAAAGTGGCGGCTGCACCAAATCGGTTCACGTCACCATTATGGAACATTTTAAGACGAACCGGTGAATGCGTGGCTGCCGTGGCAGGCCGTCTGTCAGTGTTTTACGGACACCGGAGGAAAACCCTTGGCGGCTGGCGCGGACGCCGGGGAAGACCCCCGGGTTTCATTCGGAAGTCGGAGTCGGGGCACGGGGGACACGGACCGAAAGTTATGCCAAGTTGCAAATGTACCCTGTATTATTCCTTGAATTGCAGGAAACTCGACGGTGAACCGAGACCAGCGAGTGTGAAGGTGAAATGGGTAAAACAAAGTTGACTGTCGACCACCTTTAACAGGCGTCTTCAAGTGGACGGGAGGGAAAAGAACAGAATTGTGCGCGAGCAAGGCAAAAGCGTCGCTTATCGATGGGCTGATCTCCTTTGTCCTTGCCAACAAGAACAGACTGAGGGAAAGAAGAACCGTGCAGGGTCCGGCAGCTGCCACCAGCTGCACATACCCAGGCCCGCTGCTGCCGCTGCACAGCACGCTGATCAACTGGAAACCCGACTGCACCACCACACACACCACTGCACAGAATGCGAGGCAGTGTCAGCGACCAACGCCAATTTTGTCCACCGACCGCCTGTATGGAACTATCTCCCTACAAAATGAGAAGGGGGGCAAGGCACTGTCCAAGGCTCTCCTCCTCGGTCGCGATTTTCGACATCTCCCGCGAAAACTCCAATTTATCGAGCGGGAACGAGCAACTGCGGACCTCAAACTTGACGGTGTGAGTTACATCGCTTCGCTTTCGGCTCCCCAGAATGGGCCACCGAACAAGCTCTTTGACGTTACAGCCCGCCGCCGATTGAGAGGCTCTGCCGGCTGCGGGCCCGTCTCTAGTAATCCGGGGCTGAGCTTACGCCGACATTCCGATTTGCTGATGCGATTCTGGTGCTTCCATTCCTCTCTCATTCCGCGATTCCGCCTTGCTTCTGGCGCGCTTCCATATGACGAAAGGGATGTCCCGTGCCTGCGGGCCGCCGGTTTCTTTGTATTAAAGTTAACGTTATTGCTGACTTGCCTCATTCGCTCTGCGGTCCCCAAGTTGTGACCGAAGGAGGTGGCACCTCCACAGGCTGAGGCTCAGCAGGTGAGGCGCTATTAGGCGGTGCGGGGGGCGCTAACACCAAACAGGTTGGCTCACCAAGAACCCCTAAGCGAAGTCCCTGCCTGCGGAAATCGCAGCGCAGTGACGCAACTTCTCCATTCCACCAAATCCATCGCCCCTGGATATCCCACAGCGCCCAATCAGACATCACATGGTCGATTCAGGCGAGGCAGAGCGACAAGAAACGCCCCGTTTATCAACGTTCAGAAAGGATTTGTTTGATCGCAGCTGAAAATGGACTTGGAGTGAAGGGTCCCGTAGTTGATTCTAGGATATAAGCTGGGGTGAACCCACTTCTTCATCTATTCTACATGAAGGAAGAACAACGACAACACTACGGCATAAAATGATAGGAGCGTAGATCTGTTATCAATTTGTGATACATGGCATCTCGCTTCTTCTACCAAACATAAATCTTCCATTTACATCGCCCTCGCGCGACGCCAGCTCTTCGCCCGCGATGCCATCAGAGCGAACGTCTTTCTTCAGTCGGCTCCGGCCGAGCCCCGACGCAAGCGAGACGGCACCACCAGCATACACTGCTGAGGACAACACGCCACAACCTCCCGGCGCCCAGGGCGGTCCGAGCAATGCCACCGACCTTGAGGCCGAGGCGGCTAACCTGACCGCCGCATTCGACAACCTCTCGCTTTCCAACACGCCAGGCGACCCCACCGTCGACAGTTGCCTCGCCCATCTCAAGCTGTTGTTCGCGATCCAGTGGATGAAAGAGGACGTCGGTTTCTCTGATGGGCTTTGGGGGCTGTGGGACTCGAATGCTGGGCCGATTGACCCCATTCTGAAGGCACGGCCTGAGAAGGAGAAAGCGAGGGAGAAGAAAGATGAGAAAGGAGTCGAGGAAGCTCAGGAGCCAAGCGTGGAGGAGAAGCTGCGAAACAAGAACCTCGAGATGCTCAGCAAGATCCGCGAGAAGCGATGGGCTCTGTTTGTGGCCCGCGCTGTGGATCGGTACGAGGCGTGGTGGGAGGCTCTCAAGAAGATGACGGACGCAGTGCCGTTGTGTGAGGCCGATATGGTCAGTCGAGAGTCTTTGACGTATGCCGGGTTTCCTAGCAACCCATCGCCGTTTTTTAAGTGGCAGGAATCTATGCTTCCACCTCTCGGTGAGTGCAGGACCACCCGATGGATTCTCTCAAAATCCCATCCCTTTCCCATCCCTTCTCTCTTGTTTTCACTTCGGTTGCTAACGAGCTATTGAGACGTTCTCATGGTGTGGCACACACACATGCTGAACCCTCGCGCGTTTCTTGAGGACGCGATCCTGGCTGGGATGCGGGACTTCTGGGGCATAGGCCTGCCGTGGGACTTGGTCAACAAGGCCATTGACACAGACTTCAACTACAACGTCTCGCCCGAGTGCAAGAGTTTCTGGACCGGGATGACTGGTCGGGCCTGGGAAAACCCCAACGACCCCATGAGCAAGACGATCCGATGCCCTCGCTGCAGCACCGATGTAGAAGTGCCATGGACGACATGCGAGGTTCCCGAAAACCGCACCTCCGAGATCTTTGACAATTACTCGGGCCAGGGCTACGGAGACTCCCAATTCAGCTTCCCCTGTACGAAGTGCAGCGTCTGCTTACGAAAAGAGCTCCTCGCGGTCGACAAGTTCATCCGGGACCACAAACTTCTCCTAGGCCCAAGCAACCGCCCGATGCCAGGCACGATTCTCGATCCCAAGACGGGCCGACCAACGGCCCCTCCACCCGCCCGGATGCCCCATACGTTCCCGAACCGGATGTTGAAGAGCGGGTGCGCGGCGATCCGGAGCACCATCACCTCGATCGTGACCTCGCGGAGCAACTGGAATCCGTCGATGGAAGACGTCCGCCAGGCGATCGACGCAGCACTTGCGGAAAAGGACAGCGCCAAAACGATCGATAAAATGACCACCGGCGGTCGCTACCGGTTGCCGGCCGCCTCGCGCGTCGCGGTGCGCAAGATGATGTCGCGGTACTGGGAGAACTGCAGCATGTTTGCATTGGACCTGTCCGGTGCCGTTATGCGGCAGGGGGTCTTTGTCGAAAAGATGTGCCAGCTCGACTGGTTGCACAGCCCGTCGGCCCGTGACACCATGGCCCGACTTCTGGTCAAGTACCGGCGGTTCATGGGCATCTTGACGGAACGCCCGGGCAACATCGCGGTGCCGACGCTTGACGTCGACTTGGCCTGGCACACCCACCAGCTGGATCCCACGCGGTATTACGCCTTTACCGTCAACCGGGGCGGTCGGTTTATCGACCATGACGACAAGATTGCGGAGAATACGCTGAGCGAACAGTTTGAGTGGACCAGCAAGGTGTACCAGGAGTTGTACGGCGAAGTGTACAGCGAATGCACTTGTTGGTATTGCGAGTGTGCGTGAAACCCTGAGCCTCAAGATCCCTTTGCCCCTTCTTCGGCCGGGTTGCATTGTGCTAACAATTTGACTTTGCAGCTATCCGCTCATCGCTGGTGAGCTCCGTGGGCAGAGCGCTTGGAGTCTCGAAACAGGGGAAAGGTAAGTTTCAGTCAGACCCCAGGGGCAAACAAGAGTCGAAGGGTACTTATTAGAGATAATGGTTTGATGACTGACCTCTGTCCAGTTGCCGAAACGTTCCACAAATCGGGCGCGGCCTCTCTTCGTACGTCTTGAGCTCTCTTACCGCTCTCACCTCTTCGCTTAATCTGTCCATAGTGTAGTGACTAACCAACCCACCTTCATTGATCCAGACCCCCCTTCCTCCTCAGCGCACATCTCCGCCCACCCGGCCGTCCTCCCCCGCACCCGCGGATTCGTCAACGCCCTCGATCCAGACGCCGTCACCGCCGGCCTCAACGCGTCCCACAACCGCAAACTCGACATGGCGTACCTCAAAGCACGTGACCGCGCCAAGAAGAAAGGCCGTGAGCCTCCCCGTCGCGAGGAAGTCTACTACGACCACTGGGGGTATCCGTACCTGTACGCCGCGCCGTACGCTTACCCGCTGTGGTGGACTCCCGGGCTGTATTACGGGTGGTATCCCGGGTATGTCGCAGCATGTGCCACGGGGGCATATGGAGGGTGTTGTAATGGGACGTGTGGCGGTGGTGTGGCGGCTGGTGCTTGTGGCGGTGCAGGGGTATGTGTTGTTGTTCTCTCTTCTTCTCTCTCTCTCTCCAGGATCAAACGTTCGCACTGTTCAGGGGTGATTCGTTGCTAACGGCTTGGTGTGACAGGGCTGTGGTGGTGCAGGAGCTGGAGGGGATGGTGTCGGTGGAGGATGCAGTGGTAAGAGATCCCCAACAACGTCTTTGATGAGTTCTGCAGCCGTTGCTGACACAGATGGCAGGTGGAGGTGGTTGTGGTGGTGGAGGGGGAGGAGGGTGTGGAGGGGGCGGAGGCGGAGGCGGATGCGGAGGTGGAGGGTGTGGTGGTGGGTGATGCGGCTGGGGTGGAGGGTGTGGGCAACTCGTACACACACCCAAGCGAGCGACGCACTCACGCGCGAGGTGCCGAACGGTCGGGGCGGTGACGTGTTTACTTGGTCGGATGTTTCGCGTCGTTTTGCTTTTGCATCGCTTGCCATTTTGCTTTTTGCCTTTTCCGTTACCTTGTCCCGGCCCGTAATTGATCGAATGTACTTCGTACTGAGTTCTTCTTACAAGGCTACGCCTTTACATAGTATCACAGCTTGATGTGTGATTGCTCGTGGGTTTACTAGGTGATTAATTATTTCCACGGCCCAGCTTTTCGTGGGTGACCATTTTGAGGCCTACCTCCCGCCACCCCACTCGCTCCCCTGCCCTTTTCCGGCGGCAATGGAAAGGGGGGGAGGTCCAAGGGAGTTTGTAGCTGGCGGGAGTCCTGGTCCAAGGGTGGCAGGCATGGCGGGTTAATCCAGGGTGGCCGACATAAGTCTCCGACAGTCGCACAGGGGGTGCCAACCTGTCGGGCCAGCAGAGCCTCTTTGCCTGCCGCTTTTCCCGTTTTCGTCGTTGTCAGGAGCCCCGTGGGCCGTTGAGGGAGTGCCCATCCCCAGAACGCCGGTTCGGTCGGCGAGCGCCCTCGAACTAGCCAAACCAGTGACAATCTCATTAGCTTACATAGTTATTGCACTGTGTAGTGCAGGAGAACATCATTTAAGATTTAGTCTACGTGTCGGCTCGGCACAGCAAGGCAACCAGACATGAAAGTGTCTGCAAGTTCAAGGCAAGCTTCGATCCAATAGTGCGGGGGGACTGGGGTCTGCAATGGACACAGCTTGAGGACAAGTGGTGCGCGCACACTCAGGGCCTGATCGGTTCGGCGTGGTGCTCGACTCGCAAAAGTGGTTAGACATATAGTTGGGTGGGGGGATAAAGTTAGGCATGTATCTGTCGATCAGTGGGCACTCATCTTCCTGTTGGAATCAAGGGTTAGGGTCTGGTATGGGGCTCACTGGTGCGCGCACAACTCTATGTGGCTCCCAGACCCAAGGCAAGATACGTACCAAGATCCCCCTGTTTCTACACTAATGGTGCGCGCACCCACGGTGCGGTTGGCATTGCCCGATCGAGATACCCATTCCCCCCCCAAGGGGCCAAGACAAGGCACCAAGATCTCGACCCGCTTTATTTCATCAGCCTGTCTCTGGACCTTTCTCGCGACCACTGAAAGCTGGGCATTTGACCCGACAACCTGGTCCAAAAGTCCACCTTTCACCTTCCAGTGCAGACAACTCGAAGAACGCCTTGCCGTGCCTTGGAGCTTGCCTTGCATTCCTGCACAAGTGTGCCGGGCCGGAAAAAATCTCAAAGCCACCACCATGACCATCCAGTGACACCCCCACATTTGCGGTAAAAACCCGAAAATATTCAAGAACCACACGGTGTTTTTTTTTTTTTGATCCAAGACCCCTGTCCGCGCCCACAGATCAACAGGGGATGTTGACCAGGATGTCCAGTGAGCACCCAAGCACGGCCGTGCCGCTGATCCCAGAGACCTCGAGGTTGGCGAAGAACGTTCCAATTGACAACGTCAATCTAGTGTTGGGCAGGACGTGACAATGAAGAAGTTGACCGTGGGATCCTCAAGGGGATTCCAACATCCTCCAGTTCCTGTATACATTTTCCTTTAAATCATTTATCTTTTCTCGCTCCCCCCTCCGACTTGTTGCCCTTGATGTCTTCACAGTTCACATCAGCTCAGGCTACTGAGCGCCTTCCCTCATTAGCTCTTCTTTCCAGTTAATTACCCGTTTTCGGGCCACTCTATCCTCACCATGGTTGTCCCATATCCCCACGAGCTCGCCGGCATAGGAGAGGGGCAAGATACTTTCCATCTTGCACCTTCAAGATCTCGGAGGGAGAGCTCGATCAGCCTGTTGTCGGCAGCCTCGACCAGACCTTGTGAACATGAAATGACAAGGCAAGTCTGAGTCTCCGATTTACCCTCCTCCCTTGATATCATACACGCCTACCATTCTTCATCGTTCTGACAGTCTAACTCCTCACTCGCTCGACAGTGTCAACTTCGTTCGACCTCAAAACTACCAATCCCCGAGTCCGTCATCCCAAGTGCCCAGTGAGGTCAGCCCCAACGGTTCCATCGACTACCTCCCCGTCCACGGTGCCAATTCCCCCACTGCCACATCCATTATTGAGGATGCTGAGTTCGAGTACGAGAATGGGTACGAGCCGGAGCCCGTGTGGGAGGATGTCGCCTTGCGCCGATACATCGCCGACCCTTCACGTCATGAGCGCCTCGCCCTAGGTGTCGCCCTCAGTCTCGCTGCAGAGGGGGAAGTGGGCGAGCAAATCGCACCGACAAGTATGCCGATACACTCCACGGAGCAAGGTACTGGCTCATCCATCTCACTCTCCCCGCCCCCGAATGCCGAGGATGAAGGCGATTTCGAGAACGATAACGACATCATGTCTGAGGTGGCTCGAGAGCGGTAAGTAACACCTTGACCTTCCTTCTTCTTGTCCTATGGGCCTCACCCTGCCATCTGAACCCTCCTTTTCTCTCTCTCTTCTCTTACTTGATCTCATTCTGATCGATGTCTCTGTCACATTAGCTTCGAGGCCCGCCGACGACGTACCCAGATTGACCACAAGCCCCGTTCGCTAAAGGAGCCCAGGATGCGCAAGAGGAGCGCTGGATCCTCGCGTGGGGAGAAACAAAAGGTGGCCAGGACCAAGTGAGGACGGTTCATGATCACTGATGACAGGCTTCCACCGTTGATAACTGAACCCAGAAAACGGAAGGGATCTTAGGACGTTTATGAAATGGTACTCGGATGCTCTCGGTACCGCAAAGTATTTATTCAGAAAAGAGGATCAGGATTGAAGGTTGGTGAACGTTGGTTATACACTCTCTCAGTTCGTCATCCGCAATTATTCAGTCAAATTGTCAGCCATCTATAGAAGATATATTATCACGTATTATCAAGTCATTTCAATCTCACAAACTCATGAATTCCCATCATGCTCATACCATGTAACGTTGCCGTGCGCAAAGCGAGTAAGTAGCATGAGATAATAACAGGAAAGATGCAAGAATGCGTGAAAAGATACCGCTAGAATAAAAGGTCTTTATAAAAGAAAGCCTACAAGTATCGTGATTACTATAGTTTATCCGACGATATCGTCCCTGTGATTGACCGGTTTCTCAATATAATTATTCCCTGGGGCAACATGCCATTTCATTTCGCGGTAATTTGCGTCCATAATACCGGGAAGAATGTATTTACTCAGCTTCCATTCGTGTTGACCCTGTCCAACACCATGAATGAAATAAATACGCGGATGTGGAGGCAGAAGTACATGAGACTTACACTTATTCAATGCTAAAGAGACAGTTGGGCGAGTCATCTGACTAATGGGGCATGGTTTCACACGTCGTGGCACATGATGTATTTCTTGAGTTAGGGTTATAAACGTGAGCTAACAGCACAGCAATGAACGTTGGACAATGAACGACGGATGTGGCTACACAAAGATCTGTTGATGAGGGATAGAAAGGCTTCAGATCACGCTTCGTCGAGACTATTCAGCTGTCGACATGTAACTCGAACTCTAGTTTGGCAAACCCACGAAGCGGTGTCAATTACTATTGCGCGAGCTGGGGTCTTTAGATACGGTGGGTGGTAGATCGCCGAATTAACCTCGAGAGGCCCGGGTTGGGGTCAGTTGCCGCTAATACAAGCTGCCTAATTTGATAGCTGGGCCTAGACTGCACGACAAACCGCGGACAGAGCTCATCTCCAAGCTCTGGTTGATGGATCTGAGCATATGGGCCTTACATCAGAGTGAGGTTAGACGGTAGGAGCCCCGTAGCACGAGGGAATCCCAACAAGGAAGCGGGATCGAAGAACTGATTCTGATTTGACCTGTATATCATGCAGTGGTATGACTCCCTAGCACGCCGCAGCCAGAAATGCAAAGCCTGCCAATCCTGCCCAAGCCTCTTTTTTGTGGCCCTCGCTCCTGTCTTCCTCATCTGAGGCGGAAGATTATTCCCGGTCGACAGAATCGTTTGTCCCCCGATATCCCGCATGCCAATGACCCGTCACGCCCAACAAATGACCCTTCTTTACATCACAACACCGGAGTTGCTGGCAATACGGGGCCAGAGCTCGGCAGCCTCCTTGCCGACGGGGCCGGTGATGGCAGAGCCCTTCATCTCGCCCTTGGGGTTGACAATCTGCAAATTCTTCGTGTCAGCGCTCTCCCACCATTGTACACACCGGAGGGGGGCTGTTTCGGCAGAAGGCTCCAGGGGTTTCCTTCTGGAGTTCACCCAAGCCAACACAACCCACCCGCCTTCGCCTTGCCCCCTCGGAGTAAACCCAGTTGACTCAGATTCCCAAGCAAAACCACGTACCACACCAGCGTTGTCCTCGAAGTAGAGGAAGACACCGTCGAAGCGCTTCCAGGGCTTGGCCTGGCGGACGATGACGGCGGGGTGGACCTTCTTCCGGAGTTCAGGCTTGCCCTTCTTGACTGTGGCCATCACCATGTCGCCGACACCGCCAGCGGGCAGCCTGTTGAGGCGGGCACCGATACCCTTGACGGAGATGATGTAGAGATTCCGCGCGCCGGAGTTGTCCGCGCAGTTCATGATGGCACCGCTAATTTCCCGTTAGCCTCCCGTTCCGATCCAATCACTGCAGAGGTTCGGGGTCTCGATCGATGGTAATCGTTCGCGGATTCGGTGGTCGGAGGGGTTTCCATGGGATTCGAACGTACACTGGGAGACCCAGGGTCATCTTGACCTTGCCACCAGGGGCACCACGCCTTTCAAAGGGGTTAGCAAAGTCTGAATGGGGTTATTCGTTCTGCTTTTCCATTTTCGCAATTTCTCGATAGCTTCCGCGTCAAAGTAACCGCCGTTATCGAGTCCAGCCACCGGTGATCCGTTGCCCACAATCCCACTCCCCCCTCTTGTCAAGCAATTTGTCCCCCAGCAGTAGACAGCGAACGGTTCGACATTGCGGCGGCTGCTGATCGAGAATCGCGTAAAAACGGTAGGAGCGGCATGTACTCACGAGATCTTGGCCATTGTGAGTGTGTGGTTGCGGAAATGCGACTTGACGTTGGGGGAGTCGAAATTTCGGGAAACGCAAAGGCACCTTGAAATTGACGGCGATTCGCGATAATTTTTGGTGTGGACCGGAAACCCTACCGACTGTGCGAGGAGTCACGTGTTGAGCACGGGGCTGCCGTGAGACTTTAATTGGCTAGGTTCCTGGGTTCGAAGGGACCCTAACCCTGGAGGGCCTTGCTTGCCTTGGTCCGAGCTGGTGGGCTCAAGGCGGGGTGGGGCATTCCAATCTTCGAATTGGCCCACTGAATCCGCGCTCCCCCAGCGACAAGAAATTATGAACTGAGTTTCACGTCAATTGCCTTTCCCATTTTGCGTGTGGCATTCGTGGAGGCCATACCAATTATTCGTAGAAGGCTTAAATCGTATCAATATATCACACTCATCCCCCTAACCTCAATCTCGCTCCGGTAGACTACCCACGACACGCAGCTCACCTTTGGCCTGGCGACTCGCAGTGTGTGCTTCGACGTACTTCAACGGGCGGTACACGGGCTCCCACATCTGCGCCGCGATCCACTCGTCCAACTCCTGCTCATCCCCAGGAATGCCATCTTGTGTTGCGACGCCTTCCTCTACCGCAGCTTGAATCACCTTTCGCGCCACGCTGACGCTCACCTCACGTACCACATCGACCCCCGGTAGCAACGGCGCCGTGTCGTCCCTCAGCGCCGGGCTGTGCTCGACCACGCCGTTGACGGCTGCGACAAGCATCTTGTCTGTCACGAGCCGGGCCCGGCACAATACGCCGCCCAACCCGATCCCGGGGAACACGACGCTGTTGTTGCATTCGGCCACCTTCATCTCCACCTCCTTTTCATCCGAGCCCCAGGGGCCTTTGACTGGTTTGAACGGGCTACCCGTGGCGACGAGTGCTTTGCCGTTGGTCCATGCAAAGAGATCTGCAGGGACAGCTTCGTGAAGCTTTGTAGGGTTGGAGAGCGGTAGGATGATGGGACGATCCACATGCGATGCCATCTCCCGGACAATTTCCTCGGTGAAAGCGGAGGGTACAGTGGACGTTCCGATCAGGACGTTTGGCTTGACTTCCTTGACGACGCCCATGAGATCTGTTTTCTTGCCGCTCCAGTCTTCCGACCTTGCAAAAGTCTTTTGGGCATCCGAGAGGTTCTCAACCTTGTTGGTTAGAAGACCAGGTTTGTCGATGAGCCTAGTCAGATTAAGGAGGCACAGTTTGTCAGCGTGGTCAAATGGAAGAACGGCACATATGAACTGACCATATTTGCTTTGAAGCGTCCTCTTTGCTAATGCCGCAGTCTGTAGCGATGGCATCACGCACTTGATCCGCAATGCCTACACCGGCAGTTCCCGCACCGAAAACCACTAGACGGAGATCTTTGAACTTTTTCTTTGAGACGTGCAACCCCGCAAATATGGCAGCAAGGGTCACACATCCGGTCCCTTGCACGTCATCGTTGAAGCACGGTATTTCCGGCCGCCACTTATTGAGTAGTCGCCGTGCTACCTCCGGGTTAGATTGCTCCATGATGTAAGCAGGGCCACTCACCGTTTGTGAAGCCAAAGTCCTCAAAATGCAGGTATGCTTTCGGGTAGAGTTCCCGCGCAGACTTGACGAATGTGTCAACCATCTCGTCGTACTTTTTGCCCCTCACACGTTTCTCCTTCAACCCGAGGTAAAGGGGGTCGTGCAGGAGTGACTCGTTATCAGTACCGCAGTCCAACACCACAGGTAGCACACGGTTGGGGTGAATACCGGCGCACAGGGTCATGAGGGCAAGTTTGGCAATGGAGATGAGGACACCGCCACATCCTTGGTCCCCAATGCCGAGAATTTCTTCGCCATCTGCCTCATTGTGAGTTCACATGTGGTAAACGGCAGCAGAGAAGGGGGGGATGGCGAAGTCCTTTACCAGTCACGACGATGTAGTCGATATCTTCTTCCGTTCCCCAGAGTGACAAATCATGGTGGATGCGGTCGATGTCATGTATGTTCAGAAAGATGCCCTGTGGGCGTCTGAACAGGCGCGAGAAGTTCTGGATCGCATCACCTTCGGTGGGGGTGTAGACAACGCTAAACATCTCCTCAAGGTGGTCTAAAAGTAGCTAGATTCCCTCAAACTTATAAACATCAACTCCCACTCGTGAGGGATGCGAACATGACATAGGACGCACCCTAAAATACAACACCTCATTCTGCTCTTTCATCGACGTTAAAAACGTATTCTTCGCCAGATCGTCCGCCCGCGCGGAATACTGCTGATAGGCGCGCTGGACCTGCTGCTCCAGTGTCTGGATACTTTGGGGCAGTAGGCCTGACAGTTTGAAGTCACGTCGTTCTTCCCGGGTGAACGCAGAACCCTTGTTGAAGAAGGGATGGTTTAACAGCACGGTCCCGCGGAGGGCGCATTCCAGCGGTTTGTGTGTGCTGAGGGGGAGGTGGTCGAACTTATCGGCGGGGTTGTCTTGTTGTTGCGAAGCCATGGTTCAGGAGGTAATGAAGAGGAGAAGAGGTTGTGGAATTGTCCGGAGATAATTACGGGTTAGATTACGAGGATAGCAGGGGTATCACAAGGATATACTATTCCAGGAGCTATCGCGAGTCCAGTGATGGTGTTGTGCTCGGCGAGAGGGGAGATAAGCTACATGAGACGGTCAGAGCCGTAGAAGTTGGGATGACGTAGGTGACACCACCAAAACAGGCAACCCCACGTGCAAGACAGATCCTAACGACAAGTCCACAACCCACCGTGGGAGAGCCTGCGAAGATCAAATAACTGCATGATAAATCTACCAGAAGTTGCATATGGTCATGTCGGGAAGCTTGGAGCCTCGCCCCTGTGAAATCCGCGAAATAAAACGCAGGCAGAGACGCGGACTATGATGGCCCAAAAGTGTTTGGTCTTGCAGCAAAGATTATCGAGGGGAAGAAAAGAACAAGACCCCGAAGAAGTCATGCTCCATCCTTGAACCCTCGCCCGCTGCCAGCCCCTTCCGAGACCCAACACAAGACGTGTCGAGAAGAGAAGGCCCTCCGAAGAGAGGCTCACTAAGTGGTCCGTTGCCGGCTCAGAGTGGCTGGTTTAGGTTTGCTGCGTTCGTAGATTGTAAAGCCTGTGTCCTAGACCCAAAGACCTACCTGCTTCTGTCGTCGCAGTAGATGCATCTTCAAACTTCAAGATCCGAAGTTCGAAAGCGATTGCAGAATATTCTACCTAGTCTCAAGCGACGAATATTGGCGCCGGTGCGACGACGAGAAGATCGGATGAGCCAGCCATGGTCCTCGTTGGTGGCTGAGGAAAACCCAAAGGACAGCGCTCAAAATTTTCCAGCAATCGAGCATGAAGTGGGGCAGTGGTCGGCGCCCGCTGTGGGCCTGTGACCCACACAAATCTCCCACGCAACTGGTGCCAGCGGACAACAGCTGTCAGCAGCATGCTCAGTGAAGCGAAAAACACCATGATTGCTCATCATCCATGGACCGAATTATCACGAATTTGGCTGGTCCATCGGTGGAACGAAATTTTGAGGCGCCACCCGATCATTCCACTCGACAAAATCGATGCGCATGGATGATACATGGGCTAAATTCAGCATTTGCCTTGTAACAGAGTTTAACTTTCCCTCTTGCTATAGCCCCTAAATTCGAACTGATGGGAGAGTAGACATCGATAGTGCCCGACTAACGCAAACTGGGTTTCATATGCCGGATTATGATTAGAGAATACGAGAAAATAACACCACGGCGATTGAGAACATCACCTGCGACCAACCTGATCGGACCGACGACGACGCGTCCTCTTCATCCGGCCGTACTCTCTCCACCAACTGATTCCCTAGCGGCTGGATGCTGTTCTCAAACGTGTCGAAATCCTGGGCCGTCCAATTTGCCCCGTTAGCACCTGGCACGGCATCCTCACCAACGAACCCAACAAAAAGCGTCGTGTCCTCGTCAATGCCATTGCCTCCCGTAACGTTCTTGCCCCCACAGGCCGTCACCAGCGCGAGGGACGCCTCGCCCACCATCGGCTTATCCCCATCGTCACCATTAGTGTCCCCCCAGATCCCGTACACCATCTCACGGTTGGGACACACCACTGCCATCACGCTCAGCGGTCGCATGCCATGTGCCGTCGGGTCAAATGCCTTCCACCCATGTCGGTTGTGGGTGCCGCGCGCATTGCCAAACACCACGTACGGGTGCACGTATGGGTTGAGGTCGGTCAGGCCGTGACCGTAGCCAGCAAGGGTATCGCGGAACGTGGTGGTATTTTGGGTGTCGGGACTAAGGTCGACGCGGCATCGGCCGTCGTTGCTCGGGCTCGCCGTGCCGTTGCTGCCATTCCCAGTACCATCGCAGTCGACGTCGAGGTTGGCGAGGGTGCCGTGGCGGCCTTGGAGGTAGATTATACCTGAAGTGGAGAGGCGATCACCGCAGTAAGCGAAGTCTAGTGCCGGTTGTCAACTGATGTCTCGGACATATTAATGCGGTGTTGTGGTTGAAGAGAGAATGTACTGTTAGAACCGCCGTCTGTGCTGTAGAAGCCTGTGGCCAACTCGTGTGAACATCGGCCTTTTGCTCGGGTGGTGTCGTAGAGATCGAGGAGGTTTTGTGGCGCCTTGAGGGCGTTGCCGAGGCCGGCAAGCAATAGAACGAAGAGCATGGCGAAGATTACTAGACGGCAAATTTGGGACAGAAAAGACATCCTGGGTCATGTGTGGCCGAAGATGGATGAGAAGTGGACTGAGATAGCGCCAGAAAGGAAGGAAGAATGGAAGCGGTTTGATTTCACGAAAGGTAGGAGAAGGAAGGAGCTGCGCAGAGTGTGCTCCAACCTTTCGGGGCCCGTTGGAGTCTTTTTATACCGTCTAGGAAGCTAATGACACAATCAGGCGGGCATCTCAAGGGGAGGCTGTTGCATAATGCAGATTCACATTTGGGCTTAACTTGGCCCCATAATTCGGGTCATTCTCTAGTAAACGCAGACGCCAAAGACGATTTAAAAGACTGATGATTATATTCATAGTAAGCAGGATCTGCTCCCGGTTCACCCCCTTTTCCTCAGACACGGACTGGACTTTGATGCATGATATGTCGGGATATTATGATAAGTATGCAGGGAAACGTCATTCACTAGTGTTGTTCCTCGGAGCTGCGTGGAACGAGGCGGAAGTTATAATCTAAGTCTGTACCTGCATATCAGTGCGCTACAGCATACCGCAGCAGAACCTTACCGCTTGCAGCCCGTGTGAATTGTATTCTAGAAGCATCGCAGCCGCTTTGAGGTTAAATGGTCGAGTATATAAACCCCGTTTCCCCCCGTTTTTACCTCCGTGTTGTCTCTTCCATATCCTCCCACAAGTTACATATAACGTATATCAATTCCATCTCCTCAGCTGCCTACGATACTCTTCAAACTTTACATATTAAACCCTCGCATTTTTCAACACATTAAACATCGACAAAATGCATATCACAGGCACTTTACTCTCTATCCTTGCCCTGGCCGCGAGTTCTCCTGATGCTCTTGTCATCGCCGCTCCCATACCTGGGGAAACCGTATTGGCCGTTGGCAACATCGTCGAGGGGCTCCCTACGTGTGCTGTAAGCTTTTGTTTCACCCCCTTCCCACCGCTGTGATATTTGACCACAATTCCCGCGACACCTCGTGCGGAATTAACGAAGTTAACAATCGCTTAGATACCAAGTATGAGATCAATGGTCTTCCGTGCGCCCTCGTTTGGCTGCGAAGACACCGAGACTGGGATGCCCGACGTTGCTTGCTTGTGCAGCAGCCGCACTTTCAAGAAAATGGCCAAGAGCGGCGTCCGATCCGACTGCTCGGACCTGGCCGACATTGCATCAGCGCGGGAGTGGGCTATTTCACGCTGTACAGCTGGTGAGTCAGCCGTGTCTTGCACTCTCCCTTATTTTCCTTTCCTTCTTAGTTTTTCGTTTGAAAAAAAGTAACAACCTACTGACCACCCCACAGCCCTTACTGCCGCCCAATTCGAAAAACGAGAAGAACCGGAAGGGGTCTTGCGCGTTCCAGCTATCGCGCTCCCCGCCGCCGGAAGCACCACCCCTAGCGCCATAACAAGTATCAAGAAGGCCGGCAAGGCTCTCTCACACGCGCCGATCGTCCGCCCGCCAGACGGCATGCCAGTGGCCACCGTCTCTGACGTCGCTGCCCGTGGAGGAAATCCGGCCGTTACGAAGGGATACGCGGGAGCGCTTTTTGATTTGGACGACGACGAGGATGAGACCTCGGCTGCCCTGGGGAAGCAGTTCCAGGTGGTGAGACTGTCGTTAGCAATGGGAATTTTGGGCGCATTTGTGTTGTTTTAAGATCGTTTATAAAACGTTCTGATGGGGTAAAAAAGGAGGCAATGAGCGTGTACATACAAACTCAACTGAGCCGTCGCGTGGCAACTCGCGATGGTTAGCGTCACATAAACAGCGTACATTATAAACAAAGAAATCAGAATTTAGATTCGACACCCCCTGTATGTACAGCTCGCACTGCAGCGCTTGCCGTCTACCACCCGTCCCATAAACCGTAGGCTCAACCCCATTGTCCGTTGAATCATCCCATCACCCCAGAGGCTTAATAGTGTACACACCCCCATAAACCGTAAAGCCCCCTCCCCCCTAATCTCTCAACCGCCCATTCAAGCAGCAGGGGACCCTCCGCCAGCCGGGAATCCACAGCCCTGCTTGCCCTGCGCGGTGCTCACCGCAGGGCCAGAGCAGATCCCGAACTTGTCCTGGCCCGTGTTGACCAGCGCACAGCACTTAGACGCGCAGTCGGCATCGCTAGTGCAGCCGCCCGTGATAAACTGCTTGCCCTGGCCGTTCCCGACATTGCCCGCACCGGCGGGATCTTGCTTCAGCGGGCTGGCCTTGACGGTGCCACCGCCGTTGCCACCACCGTTGCCGCCAGCCTGGGCGTTCTTTTGGCCGCCTTTGTTTTGGTTGTTGCCGGTTGTGGTACCACCACCTGAGCCACCCGAACCGCTGCCGCTGCCACCACCACCACCACCTCCACCGCTCTCAAAACCACAGCCTTGCTTTCCAGCTTGGGTTTGAGCACCGACGCCAGAGCAGACGCCGATAGTCTGTCCTCCCTGAGGGAGCGTCGCACAGCAGCCGGAGGCGCAGTCGGCTTTCCCTAGACACTGGCCGCCGATGAACTGAGCACCTGATCCGTTGCCGACGTTCTTCTCGCCGGCCGGGTCGGGAAGGCTGGCACGGGACGAGAGGTCAGGGGCTGCCTGGGCAACGGAGAAGGCCACTAGAAAGTGTTAGTAAGTAATGGTGGCATTGGAGGAGACAGGTGGGTTAAATGGACTCACGGGCAAGGGCCCCGACGAAGGTAGACAACTGAACCATCTTGATCAGTGTGTTGTGTTGGACTGGTGTATGGTGAATCTAATAAGGAACAAAACTGATGCTTGGAACTAGTCGAACTAAAAGAATGGTAAAAGCAGAAAGGACAAGGCCCGTAGAAGGAATGAATGAATGAATGAATGTTACTGTGAAAACCAGACGATAGCTACTGTACTACTTGGAAGCGCCCTCTCGACATTTATACCTGCCAAGAGGACCTCAAAAAGGGGCGAGATCCATTTGCTTTGCTAGAGCACGTTTCATCGGACGGTTGAAGCTCGACCCAGGGGTTTGGGACTTTGGGTTCGCACGCCTAACAGGGAGATGGACGGTGTGCCCCTGTCAGCTCACCGGCGAGCCATGTGTGTGTCTGTGTGTATGCATGTGTTATTCTCCCGCGAAACTCAAACACGGTGGCGGGACCACGATCGTGGCGTGGGCAGTTCGATGCGTTTGACGTCTCAGGGCCCGCTGTTAGTGCCCAACGCGGTGTATGGCGGCGGGGCACTAACAAACGGGTCGTCTGAACGTCCAAACTGAACAAGACTGTCCCCGGTACAGGCGGTATCATGAGCGTGGGGATCCAGGGCGGCGGTTGCAAAAATACACATGGCTCACTCGGCATAATGTTCGGCACTCACGCGCAACATAGCCCCTGAGATGCGTTTCGCATGGAGGAAAACAGCGATCGTGTGAACCCAAGGTACTGGGACGCGCTGTCGGCGGCCGTGGGTCTTGGCATTGGATGCCACGATATGACGGCTTTTACGAACAGAATCCCACGTGATCGACTCGAGTGGTGGGCGCTCACGCGCAGCATCAACTGGGCCACGGGGGTTGCGATGCGAGGTGAGTAGTTTGATATCCAGATGGGCAAGAAGGATAGGTACAGAAGGTATGTACAGGAGTGCTTGCCGCTGGGCTCCTCGGACCATGAGACGAACTTTGCGATGACGGAGAGGAGCTTGAAACGTGGAACCCCGGAATTTTCGGTCGAGGCCAAGCCAAGCCGGCAACCATCCTTGCATCGGGCAGGTCAAAAGTGGGGCCTTCAGGCAAATGCAGCCCTGTGCTCAACAACACAAGCTTGGCAGACAAACGTCCCTTCTTCTGTCAACCGCAACTACATAGAGAAAGCGCGATGCTCGAGTTGCGCCTGACAGTTTCCCAATGAGGCGGATGTTGTCTTGTATTCTCTGTTAGTGCGAGGCAAAATAATGTATGTAAAATTCATCCGCTCGACTACCCCTCTTAACAAGAAGTTCACGTTTAATTTCAGTGTGGGGAGCTCGCACATTGAATTTTCCAGCAACATTTCGACCCCAACCACCAAGGTCGCAGCAGCAGCGCAGCTTAGAGACAGTTTTCAAATGGGAAAACGGCGGAAAAGATACGGATATAGAGAGTCTCAACCACAGTGGCACGTCAGCCCGTCTCATCGCTCGGCCGCCCATTGTCGCAACCCTCCCGCGAGCCAAGCTTTTTGGCGCCGCCAGCACGGCCTGCGACGACGGTCAGCGCCCTGAGACCGTGTGGGGCCTGCAATTGTCCACCATCTCCAAACGCGATTGAGTCGGACTTCTTCCACTTTGGGCCGGCCAGCTTCATGCGATTGCAAAGTTCCAGCCAACAGGAATGACAACGACCTCCAAAGTTTTGGGCTTGGGTCAGAGCACGTGAATATCGACGATTCGGGGCCGGGCTGTCTCGCACATCGAATGCAGCTTGGCTCCACACGTTGGTCCCAAGCAGTCGAGCTTCCAGGTTGCTGTGGCACATCGCCTGCGGTACTCCGTTGCGCCAAATTGCGTCCTAATTATGATTTCCATCTTCACTTTCCATGTATCACGGAATATCCAGTATGTAGGGTACTGACACATTCAATAAAAACGCTGTGCATCGCACAAGCATCATATTTTCAAGATCGGTAATTACATATACATAGGGAGATAGGTAAGGTGTCTAGGACACTCGAGAAGCCTTGGGAATTCCTAGTAACATTGTGGATTCTTTGTCAGTCCTGTAAGTAGACCGACCAATTCTGTCGATTCCGCGACGTGCTGTAACGTAATGACGATTCTGAAGATTACGTTGTAAATGATAACGGCGTTATGTGTCCAAGGCCGCCGAAAGAACTAGGGGAACGTTTTTTTACCGACTCAGCGCAACCAATTATCTTGTTGTACTGTCTCCTTGTTTATTCCAAGTTAACGGCGGTGACATCGTAAAGCTCGAAGGAAAGTTTTATGGTGGGGGTTGACTGGCCATCGCTGACGTAATCAAGTAAACAAACGGCACCCTCAGTTCAGGGGTAACCCGAGCGCTAGCAACGACTGCCATTAATCAACCCCACACTCAACATCCTGAGTTTTGATCCGCCCACATTGTACGTCTAGATCCATGATTTCTAGAGCATCGCAAACACCTGTAGGCAGATTATCAAACGCGCGGTTTTGCCGTTGATGTAATTAAGTAGAATTCCGGAGGGGGCAGGCAGCAGGCTCGCAAGGCCCAAAACTCTAAGTGATAATTAAATTGATTCAGTTGACATGGACTACGGTGATTGTTTCTTGAAAGCAACAACCTTCCGAACATACAACGCGATCTTACGAATTCCCACCTAATGGGGTCTTGTAATCCCTATGGCCGATATTGTAAACTCGTCTGATCAGTCGCCATGTAATGTGAGAGAAGTCCTGGATGATCTCCTAGATTTGGATTGAGACCGGACTTGTTGCCATCAGTAGGCAGGAGCGTCTGCTTTCATCAGCGTGTTCATAGGATAAGTATCTGGTAACACCTGGGAGAATTGGTAATGTAGATAAATCATAAATGAAAAAAAAATGTCACGTCGAGAACTACCTAGATTTGATGTTGGTCACGTTGCCAAGGGGGCGGTCGTGAACAGATAGTATGGATTGCGGACGACTTGAGAATGGAATAAGCGTAGTTTGGCTGGGCTACCCATCGTGTGGTAGCACAGAGTGTCTATACAGGTCTGGGGCCGATGCCCCTGATCTGGCCACGAGGGAGGAAGAAATTGGGTGTCATATGTGGCTACTGAATAGTGATGCTCTTTCGTCTGACCAAGACCCAGGCTCCCAATTTGAAGTATGTCCCCGCTATAGATGAACAAACCTGTGCTGTACTGGGAGCACAGTAGTTGGGAACAGCAAGGGAAACTACGCGCTCTTCAAAAAACAGCCGAGCTGTTCATGGGATAGAATCAAAAAACACCTGGCCACCAGCCCGTCCCCAAATGCCTATAAATAAGAGCCCTCCCCAAGCTTTCTTTCCCAATTCCAAAATCTTCTTCCACTTCTTCAACACACTTCACATCGAGCTCTCTTCTGCCTTCGACTTTCGAGATCTCCCCAAGCTTTACTCTCAACCACATTCCATCACACTCTTGCTCTGTCATTACAGAGTCTCATAGTAAGCCACTCCCATCCATCAACATTAATTATTTATTCCATCGAAAACATTCTCTCGACTTTTTTTCCCTTCCCATACCATCATCCATCCATCGTCCATCCATCATCCAACATCCATCCATCATCCATCCAACATCCATCCATCATCCATCCATCATCCATCATTCGCCTTCATCAATTCGATTGATAACCGACCTTGAACTAACCGATCGCCGATTAGACCAACCATCGTTTTCCTACCATGGGCACTATCAGGATGCCGTGGTATTCGATCTTTAACAAGATCTTCCGCGTCGCTTCAAGCGGTCGCAACAGTAAGTATTCTTTTCCTTTCCAGTATTTTCCGGCGATTTTTTAGCCATCGAGGTCGCACCTCAACTCCATGTGGGCTGAGAGAGATCATCGCGAACCCAACCGAACCCACTTCACCCCACCACCATACCCACTTCCCTTCCCGAATTGCCTCAATTGCCGCCCGACGCGCTCCCCCAAAAAATTCTTCGACGCGTCTCCCATTAATCCCAAGATCCGAAAATCCTCACTCCATCAAATTATTTGAACCATGGGCAGACTCCACCGGAACAGCACACTAATCACACCATGAACCCAGATCAAACTGGCACGACTCCAGCCGAAATGGAGAACATCAAGAACTCCTCGGCCAAGTCTTTGCGCTTGGCCATCGCAAACAAGGAGCGCTTGGGCGTCAAGACCCTCGCGCGTAAGCCATTCCGTCCCATCTCAAGGGGCTTTGCTACATTTTTCGAGTCCTTGAGCTTGACCGTCGCCCTTGGCGATAAAGAATCCGTCGACACGACCACTTACCTCGTGGGTGTGTCCGACTTTGCGGTGGTCTCAGAAATTGAGGCCACCTCTTACAACCCCCCCGTCGCGGGCTCCTATCCCGCGATCGAAAGCATGCTCAAGGCGACTGGCCCCATCGCCAGCGTCACCGAGACCACTCAGGAGGCTGCGGCCACTGAGACCTTCACCATTGTGGCCGAGGCTCCCGTCTCAATTGCCATTATTGAGCCTGAGACCGAGACACAGTATGTAGCCGACACTGCCGTGGTTCTCGAATGCAACGAAGATATCTTCGTTGCCAAGCCTGCGGAGTCCATCGAGGCTACCCAGGCCACCATCATCGACACTCCCGCCTCCGACTCCGAGGCCAACTCTCAAGAATCTTGCGGTGAAGAGACCGCCACTGTGGCCGAGACTCCTGTTACCGAGCTTGCAGAGCAGGATGTTCCCGCTACCATTATCCACGATGAGCTCAAGGAGGCTCTGGAGAATTCCGCCGTCCAGATTGATACCACGGCGAATGAATCTACCGACACCGAGAGCAGCATGGTCTCCGACGATGACAGCTTCGTTGCTGAGATCGGCTCTGAATCGGACCAAGATGACACTAACTCCGACTGCAAGGAAATTTCCGCAGACTCGAGCAACGACCAAGTCACCATCGACTTTCCTCTGATTTTTGAGGATGACAATGATGCTTCTGCTTCCAGCATCTTCTCCAACGACAGCGACCTCGCTCAGGTCATGGAGCTTGATCTTACCTGGATCCATCCCCAGGTTGTCGAAAACAAGGGCCAGACAGATCGGGAACTTATCAACGGCCGTCTTGACAACACCGGGACGGCTAACTTTAACCACATCAACCTGCGCCTCGAGAAGGCTGCTCGGAACCTGGCCATCAACGGCCCCATTCTTCCAATCACCTATTCGCCCATCGTTGAGACCTCGACCTTTGAAAGGATTTCCATCCCAGTCGTCAATACCGTCACTGATTCGAACGTTGACCCAGTCACCGACGATCTTCTTACCACCGTGACACAGACGGTCACTCAGACGGTGACCCAAACTGTAACCAAGACAGTGACTGAGACGCGCCGTCATTCCCGTCAGAGCTCGAGTATCAGCTCTGCTTCTAAGTGGTCTTCCGACGCAACCGTCGACACGACTTCACGCCCACACTCCCCCGTCACCGAGTTCACGGGCACCCCGATCAAGAAGGCTGAAAACAAGCCCATTACTCCGCCGCCTGTTGAATCGGCCACGATTGCCACCCACAATGACAATCCCGTTTCGGCCAACACAAACAACAACCAAGAAGCGGCCAGCATCACAGCTCCTACTGAGGATGAGAAAGATTCTCACCCTGACGTTACCGACAATGAAGTCGCACCCATTCACCGACAGCCCACTGAGGCCAAGGACCTTTCAACTGCGGACGAGCCCACCCAGGAGCTCGATATCGAAACAGAGTCCCGCGTGCAAGATGTGGTCTCAGACTAGAAGCCTATTGCCACGTTCCCCGTTACCGGTTCTCATCAGCTTGTTTATGCTGTCATGCCCGATGGCCGCATCCAATATTACTCATCCGAGGACGAAATTTACATCCCATTTGCTCTTTACGACTATGAGCAATTCCGTGCCACTCATCCAGAGGGACCCGAGATGCACCCTCAGTTCCTGCTTCCTGAGGTAGAGGAAGACCAAGACGAGACTGAGTGCTACGAAGACAAGAATAATGAAGAATTCTTCGAAATCTCGCCCCAGGACATTATGGGTCTTCGCAACACCGTTCAAGATGATTCCGAACAGGATGACACTGCCAGGAACGAGGACATGTCCGAAATTATTCTCCCTGTTAGCTATGCCCAGGCGGCCGCTGGCGACGACGAGAATCAACGGACATTCGACAGTTGGGATGCTGACTTTGAGTTCAGTGAGGACGCCAGGAGCGAGATCAGCTCTGGCTTCGTTCATACCCCAGAACGCATGCGCAGCCCGGAAAAGACTGACGACCATATCCCACCGTCACCCTTTAAGCGCCCATCTAACCCAGAGCCTTGCGAGCGGCCGGAGAGCTACGACGACGACTTCATCTTCTCTGACGACTCTCAAATTGCTGAAGAAGTCGAGTCTGACCCAGAGGAAGAGACCCATCCTCTTGTGCGTCTTCCTTCGCGCGACCATTACATCCAGCACACCTCTACTTCCGAGGACCAAGAGGACTCCAACGCGGAGCCCGAGGTCAACAATACTGGCACCGACGTTGTGCCTGTTTCCACATCCATTACTAAGAAGGACACCAACGAGGTCGAGGACCCTTATGCGCCGCCTACCTCGCGGTACCGTGTCCGTGCGACACAGTCTTCATGGACCGGCCTCGAGATTACCAGTTGGGGCTCACACTCCTACATTCATGGCGTGGACGGCACGATGGGTCTTTTCCGTGAGTGGGAGATTGAATCCGAATCCCAGCACAACCAGCTGCAGAAGTGCCGCTTCGGAGGGTTTTCCGACCCTGATCGCGTACCCCCTCCTCCTGTTATGCCAGAACACGTCGGCTGGCAGGTGCCTGAACTGATTCTCACTACGGATGAAGGCGAGAACTTCTGGCTGGATGATTGCCATTCACGGTACGAGCCGGGCTCTGACGAGTTCCAGTTCGAGGGAAAGCCATTTGGACACATTTGCAACGAAAACTGTGCGGATTTCTTTGAAGAGTTTGGTTGGGACCTGCTCCCTAGCAAGCAACTCGCCCTGCTTGAGGAGAAGATTGATGAAAAGGATGCTGCCAAGGCGGCCGCACAAAAGGAGGCAAAGGAGGCTGCTCGCCTGCAGCAAGAGAAGATCAAGGAACTGGAGAGGCGTGAGAAGATCAAGGACTCTGAGGACTGGAAGGGCATCGCCGCGTTGAAGGAGTATCTCATGAACCTCGAAGAGCGGGCCCTCCTGTTGCCCCCCAAGCGGTTCAACAAGAAAGGTCCTCACATGGTCGGGTGCATGGCCATGCCCCAACTTGACACCATTGCTGAAATCAACGAAGACTACTCCGAGCAAGACTCAGACTCTGACCGTCGGTCCAGCCTGTCCACCGACAATAACAGCAATACCGAGGAGGACGAGTCCTCCGAACTTTCAGAATTCGATTCTTTCCAATCTGACTCGCAACCTGCCGGCAGTGGTCTTGCTGCCCTCCTCAAGGAAGGCAATGCGATCTTCAAGCAGATGAACGAACAGAACGCCCGCGACGCGGCTGATGCCGCCGCTGCTACTACAGCCCAACAACTGACGGAGATTAAGCAGACCACCACCTCTTCTGCTCCTATTACTACCGCTGCTCCCAAGACTAGCGGCTCAACTTACAACCCCAATGTGAACTGGTCCGACATCGATGACGATGAGGACGACTTTTTTGACGCCGAGGCGCTCGCCTCGTTTGAGCGTGAGAATGCCGCTCTCCGGGCCCGGACCCAGCGGGCTTAAGTGGAGGGATCAAGAGGGGTTTTTGTGACAAACACGCTGTCACTGGAAGGAATTTGGGTTGGTTTTTTATGATATGGTGGCACGAGCATAATTATTAGGAACTTTTTTTTAAGACTACGGCCGGTTAGGGGATCAGGTAGATCAGGTACACCTATTATTAGACTTTTTTCCTTTTTTTGCGATTCCTAGCCTTTTCTCCTTCGGCCACGTTGTGCTATCTTTGCCAGGCGAATTACCGCAAACCGTAATCAGTGATGAGTGTGTTCTTAAAGTATGCTGGTGCAAGAGCGTGGCATCTGTGAAACAACTGCCAACGTGGTGTGTACATACAAAGGCTCTTCTCAACATACATCAAAATTTAGACCACATTGAGTTAGGCGGCCATTCCGCGTCATACGTTCAACTCTATACCTTGTAACTAAAGAATACGCCTACCATGCTCCTCGGAGTCTCGGTAGCGTATTGCTCTCGAGCACCCGAAGGACGAGAACAAAGGAAACACACCCTCGTGTCACAGCCAGGTAAGGGTTCAAAGAGCCGCCGAAATCATACGAAATTTGTCCCGATAACCTTATTTCTTTGTGCTTGCCAGACCCCTCTAAGGAGCGGCACGACGTCAGCATCCTCGTGGCCTCACATCCTAAGAACAGTAATACCACGTGGAAATGTTGACACACGTGCAAATGCTACCCATCTAGGTGGTTGGCATGTGTAAAGAGAGGCACATGAGCTAGTGCGATCATAAGGATGATCCCATAAAGAGCCCTTGATGATTGAGATCAAGTGACGATCTCACAATGTGGGGAGAAAGTATCGTATATATAGCCACGCTGGACACCCTCTTGGCGAGCCATGTTACCTTACTCTTCCCCACGCCCCAGCCCATCTCCTTGCTAATAACCATCGCAGAACTGATTTACTCAGAAGATTGTGGCACAACAACACGTTTATCAAACCCCAAGCCTAGGAACGTCTCACTAGACCAAGAGCTATAAATCATCACAACAGTAGCGGAAACCAAATTTCCCAAGAATGTGTGAACAGGTCAACGTCTACTACCTCTGCAAGCATATCTCGCCTTCGAATTGTTACCTAGTTCCATGCTCCACGGCTGGCGAGGACCCGGGCCCCAAGTGCCCTAACTACCACAATTGTCTATTTCCTGTGTACATCCACATAAACTGCCATTTCTGTACCAACAACGATCCTGCGCCGTCGTAACTATGGTCGGAATGGGAAACTTAAGGGTAGTTACGGAGGCTTAACGGGCATATTCTGGGATGAGGACGAAAAGCGATCTTCGTCTTGCCACCGTTTCAATAACCGTTTATTTTCCCGGCTTGCTGTTACTTTCTTATAATAGCAGTTAGACTTAATCGATCCACGCTTTTGTTAGCCCAAGGAATCTCGGTGTGTGAATGTCACGTTGGGAGACCCGGATAATTATTGCAAACTCAACAATAATTACGTGGTAATTAATTATTAGATAAGGGGTGTGAAAGGGAAATGGAAAGACAGAATAAGGGGGGCGATATATTAACGAGCACAGCGGTAGTACCGCGCCGGGCGGGATCAACCTCGAGCTGGATTTTATTTCTAGCGCATCAAGGGTTGTGGCCGTTAGTAAAAAAATACCTTCGCCGCTAACGTCAACGTTGAAGACATGATGAGCCACGGAAATGGGGGGTCATGGGGGTGGGAATAATTATCATTAAGGATAAGAGTGAGCTTCCCAAACTGGGGATTCCCCAGTTAATAGTCAATTATTATTGGGATTCCTGAGCCAAGTCTTGACAACACAAAGTATGCTTTGTTGTTCAGTGAAAAAAGAAAACAGAAAACTATTCCTGCTCGCAACAGGAATCGAGCCCAAAAAAAACCGAGCTATGGTCACACAGGGCGCCAGTCAGGACTTCGGCCCTGGGTAGTATCCAACTAGGTACACATCCCGACCATTACACCACCGAGGAGGTGGCTCGCTGCGACGGTGTATTGGTTGCAAGCCAGAACTGGGCTGGGGGGTTATATATCCCCGACAGACCTGTTGCCATAACATTTTCCATCGCCACTCTTTTTTCGAGAAGAATTTCAATTAAGCTGAAATCAGTTATCCATTTGATAACTGAATCGTATATCAATCTGTATAGGGACACGGAGTGAAAGATATTCTTCAATAAATTGCAAAATAACTCCGAAGATGCTACCCAACTAATATGCTTCAACGCCAATGCTAAACCCAATCTCTAAACCCAACCATGCCAATCCCACCCACCGGTTACAAAAGAAATCTCAAGATATAATCCTAATCATGAACGAAACCGTTGAACCAACCCCAACCACCTCACAAAGAACGTCTATGACGGCTGATCCAAATCCTCTCCCTTCGCCACTGGCACGGCCTGCCACAGCATAGACGTCATGTTCAGCTCAATGGCGCCCTTCTTCTTCCGCTCAACCTTGGCGTTGACCGTCCGCTGGTAGTCGCGCTCCCACTTCTCGGTGAACGTGACGCTCCCAGCGACCTGGACTTCCTGGCCGGCCTTCAGGGTCCAAGCCGGGCTGCGATCCTTGGTCTCCTGCTCTTGGCCAGCTGGGTTGCGCACCTCGACTTTCATCGACTTCTTGTTCCCGGCCTCATCCTGTCCGGGGAGTGTGACCTGGATGGTTCCGGGGGATTGCCAGACCCGTTTCGCCTCCTCGATCAGCCACTTCCCGTCCTCATCGTTGTTGATAGCACCGGAAGTATCCTGACGGGCCGGGAGTAAGTCGACAAACACCGCCTTCGACAGACCCTCGACCAACACCCGGGCGACAAAGCCGCACTTGAGATGGCGGTTCCAAAACGTCACCACGGCAAGCTGGTACAGGCCCCCTTCGTTTCTTCCCCGCGACGATGATGGTGAACAGGAATAATCGACACCCTCCAGCCGGATACTCCGGAACTCCTTATTCCACTGCACCCCGCCGGCAGCCTGGATATCTACCACGTCGTACCCGGGGGCCACCAGATCCGGCGTGCGCACAAACACCACCTCGCTCACCAAAAGCCTCTTCGCAGTCCCATCCCCAAACCCATCGCCCCCAAGACCCGCTGCGCCGCCCGAGGCTGTACCACGGAGACCCTGCTGCGGGCTATTGGGGATATACACCACGCGCGCCTTGGCAGCAGCCGTTTCGGCTAAGGTCAGGACCATGGGGCCCGCGCCGCGTGGGGGGCGGGAACGCAGGAAAACGTTGGGGGTGGAGGTCTCGGTTAGGAGGAAGGCTAGACGAGAGCCGGGGTCGTCTTCGAGGTGGCAAGGTAGGATGGCGAGGTGATGTTGGGCTGGCTTGCCGGCCCTGAGGGCTTCCTGCCCCGGGAGGACAGTACGGATCAGGTGCAGGCGGATGAGGAGGCCCTTGTTGGTCATGGAGTAGTCGGCAGCCGGGACGGTCGCGGAGGAAGTCGGTGCGGCTACGATGTGCTGCATGCCGGCAAAGTCGCGCGGGGAGCTTGCGAGCATCGGGGTAGTGCAGTTGAGGTCATCGAAGTCGATCTCGTCGAGGTCGAGGTGGTGATGGTCGGGTGGGTGGTCGGTCTTGCTGCTGTTAGCTGCGTGGGCATCGGGCTCGTCGTCGCCGAGGGTGCCCCAGGCGAAGAGGGTGTGATCGTCGCTGCGCTTCATGATTTCCTCCTGGAGACGGAGAAACGCGCGGTCACCGCCCTCGCCGTAGAGAACCGGCATGTTAACTTCGAACAGGCCGAGCAGAGCATAGGACAAGTCTTCGGGCTTCGTGGTCGTGCGGTGGGCCGCCCAGGACATGCGCTGGGCCACGCTGGCGTTGTGGATGAGCCGGGGCTCGAGCAAGGCCAGCTCCTCGACGCCCGTGATCTTGGCAACGTGCTTGACGAGGGATGACTTGGTGCCTAGCAACCGCCACCCTTTGGCGTAAAACACGACCTTCCGTGGGGCTAGCAGCTCCTGCAACGTCCAACCACGCGTGAACCAGCGGCTGTCGTTGAAATGGTCCTCCCACGTCCGGTACCCTTCGGTGTAGTCGTCAAAGTGAACGTCCTCGAGAAAGGCATAGCACACAGCCGCGCGCTGGTACCAGCCGAACATGGCGTTGATGGCCTCCGACATCTCGGCCAGGTTGCGCTTGTCGATACAGCAGGTGTCGATCCAGACGTACCGGAACCCGTCCTTCTCAGCCTGCCCGCAGGCGTACGAGATCTTGGCGTATCCGGCCTTGTGCTCGAAGGGGTGCATCGCCGATGCGGGAACCACCCTACCCTGGCTGTCCCGGCTGGCCTGACTCCCCATGCTGCCCAGGCTGCGGACACTACGGCCGCCCCGGCTGGACTGACTGCGGGTGTCGTCATCGCTACGGTCGCTCTCGTATCCGTTGGTAATCGCCGGTAGCGGGGTCGCAGTAGCCGAAGACAACGGCCGGTTGGCGCGGATGCGGTCCCCCCGGAAGGCCATAAGCATGGTCGACAGCAGCATCAGCTTCATGTGGTCCGGGTTGTCGGTGGATCCCGGCTGAGCCAGGATAGGCGGTGTGTACTCCTGCTGCGACCGGCGGTACCGCGCAATGGCCTCCATCTCGTGGAACGACACCTCCTCAGTGCCCCAGGTGTGCGAGAGGATCGCATAGGGCGGGATGTTGGCGCCATTGAACTCCTCCACCTCACGGGTCGATACGTTGAGCAGTCTCATGGTTGTTTTGTGGATGGGGAGAAATTTGATAAAGGAGAGAAGAGGAGACCAAGGAGCGAAAAGAAGAAGCGACGAGTTAGAAGACGAAGTTATGTAAAATAGGTAAAATGAGTTCAATGACTCGATTCGCGCGGTTTCACCTCATACCGTGGTTGATGTTGTTGTGAGCTCGATCCACGATACTCCAAGTTCAAGATAAAGGTTCAAAGACTGATTTTGAGATAGCACAACGGAACGGCGGTTCATCGAGTCACGGCCGTTTTATTCTAACTTGTGCTTGCCTTCCAAAAGTCTCCACCAGTCGCGTGTGCCCCATGAACCCGCATGTTTCGAGCTGGCTGTTTCCGTTGTCAGTGCTGTCACGACTGAGAGCCAACCAGGTGGCCCAATCAAATACCAGTTCCGCCCCGTTCTTGCCGAACTGGGAATCCCTTCGCGCGTGGTCGGGTGCAGGTCAGGCACCAAAGACCCCGCTACCGGAGTCAAGTCAGCCTGTGAAATCCTGCCGATTGCCCCGGTCGATGCCCTGCAACGGCGTCTGGCGTTCGCGGAGCCAATGCCCCGTTTTGCTTTTTATCACTAGACGCTGGCTGTTTCCTAACCGGGGGCCAAAACAGTTCGACGTGGTCCGTCCCGTCCGGTTTGAAACAGTCCCGCGTGGCATTTGGGAGTGGAAGCAAGGCGAAGGTCTGATATGTGGTCGGAGGGTTTGCCAGTCTGTAGGTTTAGGGCCAGTTGTGAAGTGGTGAGCAACAAAATCGAGTCAGGTGGCCGGTTGTTTGTTTTCTTTGGGTTCAGGGGGTGTTTACCCGAGCATGAAAGGTTTACCGTAATTTACACGGCAAATACCCTAGCGCTCCCCACTCTTTGTCACCGACTTCTCCTGCTCCAACCACCGAAAAGCCGACAACAACTGATGAAAAATTCAACCCTGACCATCTCCTTCCTGGATGACTCAAAGATCAAGGAAAACTGGGCCTCGATTTTCCGATCGCCAAGACCTTTGCGGAGCTTCGCTGCCTCTGTTGATCGATGACGAGATGGCCTTGGAACCGCAAAGTAACGCCTGATATCCCTGTCAACACCGTACACTAATAAACCGAAATTTACCGAATCAGGATAACTAGACAGAACGACCAACGGAATTCGCACCTGTCGGAATCGGAGACGCTTCGCAGTCATTAATTATTCAGAAAATAAAAATAAACAAAAGTCTAGTGTATCATGGCATTGTGCTGGAATATGGCCTCGGAAATCCGCAACTCAAAGCCCTAAATCGTGTCAAACCGAAAGAATCGTCACAAATCTAACATTATTCCACCCAATCGTCATCCAGATGAAAAACGCCTCCCCCACTACCCCACATACGGCATCTCGTTGGCCCACGTCGAGAGGTAAGCCGAGGGCGGGAGATAATACGTCGACCAAAAGGCCTCGACCAGCAACCCGAGCCGGATAAGCGGGAAGAAACACACAAAGATCCCAATCACCAACCACAACAACATCGCCGTCACCCCCATGCACGCCTCGCCGAGGCCACTCTTGGTCGACTCCAGCTTGAACGTCAGCCAGTTCAACGACTTGTATGCCACTAACACCACCGGAGGAAACGCCGTAATCGCCAACGACAACACCCGCCACAACGTCTGGGTCTTCTCGCCCTGAAACGCAAACTCCCACGCTATCAAATGCAACCCCCCAAACACCGTTAACCCGCCCATCAACCCAGGCATCACCAGATCTCCGTCCGACCACCAGGTAGCTGTCTTCCCCCCTGGCCGACCCCGTTGCCCCTCGTACGACGACACCGTCGACGTTGGCAGCGCGTAACTCCGGAACTGGTGCTCTTCATTGATCATCCCGTGGATCCGCGGCGCGACCCTGAGAAGCGCCTCGAATTCCTCATATGTTGGACTACGCACCGCGTGGAAGACTGTCGGCCGCCGCACGTCTTGCGGCCGGCCCCAGAGTAAAAGGTAGGTGAAAAAGGAACAGACGGCGTAGGCGAGAGCGGTGATTTCCAGCGGGGAGACGGCGCGGTCGTGCGGGCGGGGGTCGTTGCTGTCGGGCGGGTTCGCGGCGGCATCGGCACTGACTTTGGCTCGCGCGATGAGCTGGACCACGAGCCAGACGACCTGGCCGAGAGCGAGGATCTTGGCCACGGAGTCGCCCTTGTTCTTGTCGTCGATGTCGGCCGCCGTGACGTCTGGAAACCGGTCGATTATACCGACCCGGCGTGCGACGAGCATCTGGGCGGCGGTTAGCGTCCAGGCGTCGCCCTGAAATGCGCGGGCGGCGTGTCGGCGGATGGCCGGTCCTCCTGAAATTCCATGCCCTCGTTTCACCTGCGCCTGCTGTCGCTGAGATTCCTCCGACAAGGGAGGCAGGGGCGGTACATATTCTGGACGCGCACCATCGGGGTCATTGTACTCAATCCACGTCCTCGCGAGCTCGTAGTGTGTGAGGTGGGCGTCCCAATCGAAGGGGCCTAGGTGGCTGTGCCCAGCCCGGCCCTCGTGGATCATCTGCCACAGGAAATGGTCGCCCGTCCACTCTCTCGGGTCCCGGATCGCGGACTCCACCAACTTCGGCGGAAACTTCAGCACGAACCCACCCATGTTCGCATACAGCGTGTGCGTCCGCGTCCACTCGATTTCGTCCGCCAGCTTCTCCTCGTGTTCCTGAAACGCCTGGATTTGCTTCGTGCACTGCCATGATGTCCAAAACTCCGCCAACGCCACGCCAAAGATGTTCTCCGGCACGATGAGCGTGAGCAGCATCCACTTCACCTTGCGGCTGAAGGGGTACCATGCCTCCCAGAACGCGCGTCGACAGGTCTCCCAGGTGCTTTTCGGCGGGGGCAGCGGGCGGACCTGGGGTGGAACATTGAGGTGCAGAATGGACCACGTGCAAAGCAGGATGATGGCGACGGAGCTCCAGACGATGTCGAGAGTTGAGCGGACATCGGGGCCTTTGACGAATACCGGGGTTGAGTCGGGGAGGGTGCAGCGTGGTTGGAAGTTGTTCATTGCATTGGTGAGGTCGGTCAGTATCCGCCAGTTGCGTATTCGACGGCCGGTATAGGTGGGTGGACTCAAAAAGAAAACGGTAATAATAAAATAATAATTAGTTTTTAATGTCGTCACGTTGCACGAAGCTCAAGCCGTCAAAAAACAAAAACAAAAATCGGGTGAAACTCATATTTTAGCTTCTGACTGTCAAGACTGCCCAATCATCACCCTGTCGACCCCAATCGCCCCCAGCATGCCACGCTTCCCACACCAGACGCTCTCTTATCCTTCATCCCAAAAGCCCGGCACTTATTGGCCAGGGTCGGCCCGTAACCCCTGTCGGCGCTTGCCCTGACCAATCAAATCCCCGGAGAATTCCAAATCCTGCGCGGCTGTGCCCAAGTCCAGTGTCTGAGAAACACGCCAAAAAGCTGCAAGGAGGCATCTTTGGCGCTAGCGCCGGTGAGTCGAGACGGAAATAATTAGGAATGGAACCACCTGAGTGTTACAAAATCACAGCCGCACGCCCGGAGGCTTCAAACCAAAGATATTTGTATTCTCTGCAGGCTGGCGAGCCTGGATCCGCCGTACCTAATTAGCTGGCATGTGACCCATAATCCCAACGCAGAAAAGTAGAGCAACGGTTATACATCGCGGGTATGCCCAGGACCAATTCGAACTTCAACCTCCACTAATATCCCCACAAATCTCTCTTGACCCAGGACCACCTAACCAGACTCTTCGGATATCATTTCTTGGATTTCCTGCCTTCCATCCAACCCCATGTTCAAAACAATCATCAATACCATGCTCGCCAGTGCTGTGATGAAACCCAATTCATCCTCATTTCAAATTCGGCAAATATGCACCAGAAACAGAAACCCAGAAGCGCCTCAAAAAATGCATGCATGTCGGAAGATGGGCATCGTGGAGCCCAGTCATGTCCAGGCCGTTCAACCATCCTGTGTCTGCTTGATGATCCATTCCCAAATGCATTTTGCGATCCCATGGCAGAAAAAACCAGATATGAAGCGCCCATATGCATCAGTCAATACCTGAAAAAAGAGCCGAAAATCGCCCGAGATGGTGTGATATTACAAGGTTATATCGTGACCGCCGTGTTCGCGGTGTCGTGTTGTTTGTTGTTGTTGTTTGTTAGGTTGTTGCGCGTGATGTCGTGGCGTGCTGTGCTGTTACATGCGACGCTGTAATGTTGAATGAAGGGGGGCGGTCTTCTTCTTTCGACCGCGGTTGCTCCGCTCGTGATGTGGTGTTCATGTCTTGTTTTTCTCCTCCTGTCATAGGTTGAAGACAGTGTTCCTCTCCTCTTGTTTAAATCGAAGGCGGCATATACCCATAGGGCTGCTGCAGGTATCCCTGCGTCTGCTGCGATGCTTGCTGTTGAATATGGCCGCCCAGCGTGGGGATGGCCCCCGGGCCCTGCGGAAGTGCTAACAGCTGCTGGCCGCCAGGTCCCGACGCAGGCATGTTCCCGCCATGCATCGAAGCGGGCGTGGTCGGATCCGAGGGCCCCGCCGCAGACCCGGAATCGGTCATGGCGCTGCCGTTGCCATTCGTGTTGTCGCCCTCGGGTGTCGGATTTCCACCGCCGGCAGCTTTTTCGGCCTTCTTGATAGCCAGGGTTGTGCGTCGTTTCTCGACGGCGCCTTGCATTTCGCCAGAGGCCCAGCGCCCTGTTGATGAAGTTTGTTAGCAGACGTTCTTAACTAATAGACGAGTAAAGGAGGAAGGACAAAAGAGCAAAAAAACAACAAAAAAGGAGCAACGAATGAAAATCACGTACTTCGCATCGACCAACTCATCTTTTCCGACTTGGTCATCTCCGCATAGGGCTTCTCCAAGTCCGTATCCCCACCATTCGCTGACCCAGCCTGCGCTTCAGCTGCAGCTGCTGCGGCCGCATTCGCGCCCTTCTTTGCGCGCACCCGCTTCGGCTTGCCGTTGTTTGCTCCCGATGCCGGGGCCGATCCCGTATTCGAGGGCGTCGACGCACGCGAGACCGCAGCCGACGAAGAAGCACCACCACCCCCACTAGCCCCAGCACCAAGCCCAAGAACCCCAGCCCCACTAGCACCGTTAATGTTAGTGAGCTTGAGCTTGGTGATCGGCTTCTTGATGGACGGCGGAAGAGGAGGTGTCGGCTGGGTACCAGGCGTGAAAGAGGGCGCCGCGTTGAAGGTGTGCATGTATGGGCCGACCTGTTGTGTCGTCGTCTGCGCAGGCTGGTGTTGAGCGCCATTGCCTGCATCCGACACCGACGGGCTTGCCACAAAGTTGTGGTAAAACCTCGTGGCCACCGGTTGCTGCTGCTGATGTTGCTGATGTTGCTGCTGTTGGTGCTGGTGCTGCTGATATTGCTGCGGAGCAAGGGGCGGGCTTGCCGGACGAGAAGCGGAAGAGGGGTAGAAACCCGACGGCGTGCCGGACTCTTGCTGCTGTTGCTGCTCGCTTTGAGCATGGGCGGCCGACCTCTTCCTGCCCTGTCCACGCTTCTTGGCCGGTTCGGAGGGCGGAGCGGCCATGGCAGCAGCGACATCCTGCAGTTTCTGGGCCGCGGAAACCCGGGCCCGCCTCTGCGGACGAGTCTCGAGCTCCGGGTCGTTCTCCAGCGCAAAGTTGCGCTTGCGCTTATCGCGCAGGGAGTAGGTCGACTCCGAGGTTTCCGCCGTGTGCGCAGTCCCCTCAGACGACGCCGTCGACGGGCGCGAGTCTGGGAATTGCTGCTGCTGGTTCCCCCCTGCGCTGCCGTTCCCGTAAAACGACGCACCGGAAATCTCGCCAGCCCCCCCACTGCCAAACTGAGCATTGCTGGCCGCCTGCTGGGCCTTGCCTGTACGACCACGCCGAGTCTTGGTCGGTTCCGCCCCAGCTCCTGCAGCGAACGAAGTGGGTGTTGGTTCGGCCACAGCCGCAGCACCCCGGGCACGGCCACGACGCGAAAGTCTGGGCTTCTCTTCCTCTTCTTCGTCGTCCTCTTCCGTCTGGTTGCCGTCTGGGCCCGCGACCGGAGTCATCCGGTCCTGCTCATCGACCAGCAACAGCAAGGAACCAGCCGCTCCACGGGTCGTCGTCCCACGTGTGCTCCGACCCTTGCGAGGGGTCCCGGCAACGCTCCCGTTCAGCTGCGCCGGAGTGGCCGCTTCGTACGGGTCGTCTTCCCCGGTGTTGGCTGCGGCCCCGGTGTTGTTGTTGGCCCTGCGCCGCTGGCGACGGCCCGGGCCCAGCGACGAGGGGATCACACCCGCGGTGGGGGTGCCCGACCGGCTCACATCCTTGCTCTGGTCCGAGACGTGCCGCGGCCTGCGGGCCCGCTTGCCCTCCACCACGTTTTCCTCTGCCAGCTCGGCCCCCTTCTCGGTCCGCTTCCGGAGCCGGTTCTCCGGCATCTCCCAGCGCTGCTCGTCGGGGTTCTGCCGGCCCACCTGGGTCGGGTGCGAGTTGATCTTGAAGTGGTACGCATTGGCCATGATGCGGTCCTCCTCCTTCTGGTGCTCCAGCACCGGATCGTCCACGTACGGCGCGCGGGCACGGACGCCGCGCACTTCAAAGATCGGAGCACCCTTGAGCGGCTCATCGAAAAACCGGTGGATTGGGAGCGGCTCGTCTAGCTTTTGCCGGTTCTCCCAGTTAACCAGCGTCTTGTCATAAGCCACCCGGCGCTTCGCGTTCTCTTCGTCGTCGACAAGCTTGCGGAGCTCATTGTACTCGAGCTGGTACGCGGTCATTGCCTCGTTGACCGCAGCTAAGGCCGTGTAGAGCTTGTCCGTGGCCAAGCCTTGGTAGCCGTCCAACAAGTCGACAAATTCGCTTGGATCGCGGATCTTAGGGAAGGACCACTGCTTGCTAGGAATGCGTGTGACCTCAATGGGCTCACCAGGGCCGTCGGACTTGGCATCGTCGTCAAATTGGTCTTCTACATCCAGGTCGCCTTCAACTAACCCGTCCTCTGGTGCCACGGTATCGTCGATGGCGGCCGGTGATGGAGCCGCAGTGGGGGCAACGGACTCAGACACCTGTGCGTCGGGAATTTCTTCGTCATTCTGAACCGGCGCGGTGATGGTAGGGATGGGTTGTTGTGCTGTCTTCTTAGCCGCAGCGGCAGACCTGGTAGTTGACTCTGTAGTAACCATTGAAGATGAAGAGGAAGAAGCCGTGATCGAGGTTGGATCGTTCGCATGGACGGATTTGTATCGGCGAGCGCATTCCTGTTGAAACGCTACCATCGAGGGGCTTGGCTCACCTCTCGCCTCGCGCTTCTGCTTTTCCTGGCGATAGAGGCGAAAGAACTCCTTGGTCGTCAAAGGGCGGCTGAGATCCCACTCAAACTCGGCCGCCTGTTCCTGGCCGAGTGGGACGGAGGCTGGTGTGGGCGTTGGAACAGCCGCCGATTGACCCTTGGTAGTCCGAGGCGGTTGCACCATTTCTGTGTAAGGGCCTGGGTACGCAATGTCTTCGTCTTCATATGGGCTGAGTCCAAAACGGGCTGCGCTGGGTGTTTCGGTGTTATACATAGGCTGCAACGACTCAAACCGAGAAGGCCCGACTGGTTTGGGCTGTCGGACGGGCGTCGACAGTGGATGAACGGTTGATGCGAGCTCCGGTTCCGCCACAGGGGAAGGAATTGGCTGGGAGGTTTCAATCTTAGCTTGAGGCTGCTCACTCGAGACCGAAACTTCAGCGGCGGGCTTCTGAGCGTTTCGGTTATTTTCAACGTCATCGGTTAATGAAACCGGCTGGGCTGCGACCACAGGGCTGGCGAGGTTGGCCGTTTCTCCCTCTACCTTAGGGGTCGGCTGCTCTTCCTTGACTTCCACGTCGGACGTCTTTGAAATTGGCGCCGGGGCCGGGGAGAGTTGGGACTTGAGTTGCTCGCCATTGGGTTTATTGGCGACATCCGCAGTCACCTTGAATCTGTTAGTCTCATAATCTTCGATCGCAACACAAATCAATAGCTTCAATTGGTCGGAAGGCAAGTACCTGAGGTGTGACAGGCTGGGCTGCAGTGAGACCTGCCTCGGCGGCCTCACTATCATTGGGAGAGTTCAGACGCAACTCGGGGTTGGCTGGAGATGATGGCTCCTCTTCCGCATCGGACGGAGCGTTTGGGTCAGAATTAGGCACGCTAACAAGAATGGTGTCCTGGACCTCGTTATCGGATTGCGCCTTGACGTGGACGGTATCGGAGGCCGTCAACTTCTTGGATGGGTTGCGACGGCGAGTCGACGGCGGACGACCCGGTGTTTGAGCTGGGCCCGATGTCGTTGAGGTAGTTGTTGTTGACGGAGCCGGCGCTGCAGCAGCGGCCGATGATGAGGACGGGGCCGGAAATGCGGGCTGCTCCGAACGTTGACGCTTGTTGGAGTTGGAAGTCGCGCTTTCGGATTCAAGGTCCGAGCCCTCATGATCCCCTTTTCTCTTGCGGTTACGAGAGCTGGGCGCTGATACAGGCCGTGAAAAAGCATCATTCCTCGCAGCAGTAGATGCACTCGCAGCAGTGGCAGTCGCAGCAGCAGTACCGGCGCCAGCGGTAAAAGAGGCATTAGTAGGAGTTCCAAGCTCATCGTCAATCATCTCTTGGGTGTAATCGACACGGGCACGCTTCCGTAACGAGTGGCCGCCTTTGGAGTGGCCTTCATCGTCGGCCGCGCCATCATATGAGGCTTCAAAGGTCCGCGCCCTCTTGCGGGTAATCGAGGACGGCGAAATATGGGATGGCCCCGCGACCGCCATGATGGAGTCAGCCGTGGGAGTAGGAGTAGAAGGCGACTCAGTGACGTGTTGGTCGGATGTTGAGAACGAAGAAGGAAATGTGGCGCTGCGCGCCGGTGGCCGGTCGGGCCGAGCAGCAGCGCTGACACGCATGGCGTGGTCAGCCGCGGGAGGCGAGGCGCGGTGGGGGCTCGACATGGTGTTGTGGCTGGTTTGCGCCGACTGGGCCGTCTGGCCGTTCTGGGCGATAGATTGAGCCGGACGATTTCGAGAACCACGATGCGCGGCCGTATGGGCCATATCCTTTTAACAGAGTGGCGTCGAGTGCTCGGGCTTGTTCGACCCAGAAGAATCCCGAGCTGGGTCTGAGCGGATGGGAAGAGTGATGATGAAAAGCGTGATGGGTGAAAGAAAAGTGCAAAGGAATGAGAGTCGGAGTGAAGACTCGGGGGTGAAAAAATTCGGTAAATGATCCAGAAAGGGGGGAAAACCAGACGCAACAGAAAAGAAAAGCGTATCTTGCTTTCCCTTCTTAGCTGTTTGTATCGTACCGTACCCGCAAGCGATGTGGCTGTTGGTACTATGGGTGTCGCTGATGTATGTCGCTGTTGGCGGTTGGTGGTGTATTCCTTTTCCGCCGCTACCGAGAGCGCGGCTGGGGGAGCGCGGCTGTAATTCAATCAGGTCACCAGCACCGCTTGCACGACCGTCCTCGCAACTCTGTTGCGTGCAGGCGGTGGTGTTGATGGGGGTCGCGGTGTTGGCGTGACCGACTGGGCGTGTGTAAGAGACGGGATGGGATGCGGCGAAAAAAGAGATTCGCACTAAAAGCGGCACTGACTGGGATACACCGGGGCTGGTTCCAACGTGTCAGGGTCAAAGTGAGACGAGGTCGTTTTGGTGCAAAAAGGGTGTCGGTGGTCGGTTTTGCAACGATGGTGGAAGAAGCGGACCGCGCCCAAATTGATCAATATTTAAATAAGTTGATGGTAAAATGGCTAAGGTTTGGATTCATGTAATTGGCATTGTTGCAGAACCACAATAACAATGCCTGGCGTGGTTTATCAGGCCGAGTGCCCAGCGTGGAGCTGCTCTTTCCTGCGTGTTAGATTTCTTCTCACGTCAATTTCTGGAGGTTCCCGAATAAGCCACGCCCAATCGCGTAGTGCCAGCCGGCGGTCAATACCGCCCCACAGCCTGCAGCCGCCACCACCTGGCACCGAGCTCCTTTTACTCCTTGCGTTGGCTTGGGCTGCCCATTAAAGCCCGTTGAAGAAGCCCGATGAGCTGCTGCTGCGAAGCAGGAGTCGGCAGGGTATTCGTACCCACAGCCCACCTTACGTTCAGTTAACCCGAACCCAGACAGAGCCTGCCGGAGCATGGGCGCGTCTGTGACGCAACCCGCTTGCAGCTTGCAGCGCAACTGGCTCTGATTCCCCCACTTCAGTTGTTTCATCTGCTTCCTGCGCCGACGACCGCATCTGTCCGTACCTTACCTTAACGCAATATTCTCGTCGGTCCCGCCTACGACGCACCTGTTCCCCCAACGCACAACATTCCCGCATCGTGCGCCACCTGCCCGACCTCTTCCTAGCGGTACCAATCGCATCGACTCCTGCAAACGCACATCCCCGCACAGTCCTCCCCCTAGACGGCAAACGATGGCCGGCAAACGAACCAAGGCGCCCACCGCCGACGACGAGCTGGGCGAGCTATTCGAGGGCCTCGACACCAAGGCTCCCGTCAAGAAAGCCACCAAGGCCAAGCCGGCCGCACCCAAGCCCAAAGCCGGCGATGCTGCTGCTAACCGGGATGTGCTCGCGGACCTAGAAAGCCAGTTGGGCGAGAAGGCCCCCGAACGGCCTCACACCCCGCGCGTTCGAGAAGTCAAGCGAACTTCCACCAACACTCCGCCTCCCCCGTCTGCGACAGCCGATGCTTCGCGCAAATCCGCCGAAAGCGCCGCTTCGCACCGTGCGAGCTTCACGCCCAGCGCAACCAGCTCCGAGCCTGTCGACAGCGAAAAAAGGGCATATGCTCAACAACAGCAACAACAGCAACAAGCACAAGCACAACCGGCTGCAGGAGGCGGTTGGTGGGGTGGTTTTCTGTCGACTGCCTCGGCCGCTATGAAGCAGGCTGAGGCGGCCGTCAAGGAAATCCAGCAGAACGAAGAAGCTAAGAAATGGGCCGACCAGGTCCGCGGCAACGTGGGCGCGTTGAGAGGCTTCGGTATGTTTTCCGGTTGCCCTGTAGCCCGTGAGCAATCAAGAAAGCAACAATCTAACCAATGCCTTCACCTCCAGGTGACGAACTGCGACACCGTGCCCTCCCGACCTTTACCAACATTCTCCACACCCTCGCGCCCCCGATCTCCTCGCATGAGCGCCTCCTGATCCACATTACCCACGATCTCGTCGGCTACCCCTCGCTCGACCCGCTCATCTACGGCGTGTTCAACCGCGTCATGGCCCAAGTCGAGGGCGGCGATCTGCTCGTAATCCAGCGCGGCCAAGAATCCACTCTCCGCAGCCCCGCGGCCACATCCGAAAAATCAGGCAACCCCGCCGCCGTCCTGTTCAGTGCCGCGCAGCAATCGGCCGCGGGCTGGCGTGACGGGCCCTGGTGGCGTCAAGCCGACGTCCCGCGCAACCTCGGCGTCGTGGCCGGCCTGATCGAAGGTTCCAAGCTATGCCGAGCCAATGCCGAAGGGTATGCGACTGAGTTTTTCGTCGCGCACGGCGGAGGTATCGAAGCCGCCAAGCAGCGTGCCCTAGAGGTCGTCAGCGAGTCCAACCCGGTGCGCAGCTCCGACATCTTCTTGTCGGTGCAGGCCATCCGCGTGAGCGCCGACAAGTCGCTCTTCGCCGGCTCCAGCGCCGAGGAGAAGGCCAAGGAAACCTCGCCCGTGGCCGAGGAAGACGATGATGACGATGAGGTTTGCTTCGCCGTCTACCTTTTTGACCCAGTGCACGAAATCGAGTATGCCACTGTAAGCCAGCGGGTGCCCGCGCGCTGGATCCGCTGGCTCGACGCCCCCGTTACTCCTGTCAGCAGCGGCGGTAAGGATGATGACGATGACGACGATGATGATGACGACGAGGACGACGAGGACGATGAGGAAGACGAGGAGGAGGAGGAAGACGAGGAGGACAAGGCGTTCCGGCGGGAATTCGGCCGCGTGCCGGAGGAGATCCGCGAGATCATCGAGAGTGGCGGTGTGGACCCTCGCGAGTGGGTGGCCGAATGGGTGGAGGAAACCCTAGGGCTCTCGGTCGGTGTGGTGGCGCAAAAGTACGTCGCTCGCCGTATGGGCGTTGGTGAGGGTGGTATTGGAAAGGGGAAGCAGAAGGTGGAGACCTTGGTCGAGGACGGTGGAAACGAGGCTGCACGGGCTGGGCTGATTTAAGGTCGGAAGAGCTGGAATCCCACAGAAATATCTAAAGAAACAGTGTTATGATGACGATTATGTCACGATGCTCCTGACTGGACGAAAGGATTTGCTCGGGCATCAAGGCGTTGGCAGGCGGTGATTCGTTTTCAATGGTTTATCAGTTAATAGCAAATCTATACCTACCTGATTCTACTTGGGTAATACCTTTCCCATTTAGTCTTCACCTGTAGTCCCGTGACACAGATGACGGCTCCATCTCCAAGTGTCCTTGGAACGGACTCGATAAAAAGGGTTGAGGTATGCGAACGTCTCCCCACAACCCGATGCTTGGATAACTGCTTGATCTTTAGATTCCCTGCCTGTACTCCCCAGCAGCCTCTACGCATAGATAGGTATCTCCACCGAAGCCACAATCCCCCGGCCTTCCCCAAGCACCTCGCTAACATTGGTCAAGGAACGCCTTCTAGACTCTAACCTATCGACTCAAGGAGAGGACCCGTTCCGCCGCCTGCCGAGCATCATTCACAATATTCGTCACCCCAGCATCCGCCAGCATGGTCTCTTGTTCCTTTTCCGTTTCCCTGATATCATTAGCACAATATCCAACACAGGATATATGACCATAGCCACAGTAACAAGAAAAGGGGAAATGAGACTTACATGATCAGCAACTGTATGCTCAACGAGAAGAACCGCACATACGACCCAAACAGCGCCGTATACCGGTCCAGCACATCCCGCTTCGCCGCCACCGCACCCGCTGCAGCCCCTTCTCCAGTCTTCACCGCCGATCCAACTCCGCCCGTAACCACATTGACCGCGCTCTGGCACTCCTCTAGTCCAGACTGCAGCACCTGCGCAAATTGGGGGTGAATGACTGGCGCGTCAAGGATGATCTGGGTGGCTTGTTTCGTGTGATGGCTGAATAATTGTAATCGGGCTCTGAGAGTGGAGAGCTGCTGGGGGTGGGTGTTGTTGTTGTTGTTGTCCCCGTCCCCAGCAGTGGAGGCTAAGGTGGTGTCGTTGGAAAGTGCGAGTTCGACCTGAGCGAGGATCGATTGGGCGTCTTCAAAGAGGACGCGGACAGTGGCTGCGGCTGCAGACAGGGAAAAGTCGCTCATCTTGACGGACGATAGGCTATAACTGTAAGAGCCTGAAAGGCCTCGAAAAGGTAACGGAAATCGGAAGTTGCAAGTTGCAAGTTGCAAGCTTGCTTGGAGGTTGGCTGAAACTACCGGGTTACCTAAAGATAGAATATGTGTAAGAATAAGTGATGTTTGAAAAGTTATGACGTAAGCTTTATATCGCCAGTCTGTAGAACCCGAGCACCCAAGATTGTTGGAGAAGTCGGGCGAAATCAAACGCGAGAAGGCTCTCAAGTGGTGTTTTCCCAAGAACCCAACTTAGAAAGCGGTTTCTCCACTGGCCCGAGTCAAATTTCTCGAAAAGCATTCCGGCCCGGGTCCATCTGCGAGTGTCCAATGCGGGGTTCGTCCTTTCCACTCATGGGTACCCGCCGATTCAGGGGCGGCACTTCAAACCCCGAAGCGTGGGGTTTGGGGGAATCCAGGGCATGTGTTCGATTGGCTGGATCGCTGTGGATGTCAAGCGCCGTACAAGAGAACGATTTAAAGTGGAGGGAATGCAAGCCCTTTAGAATCAGGAAACACCCAAGACGTGGGACAAAAAGAAGGTAACCGAGTTGGATACGGTAATGAACTAATATTGTCTCAGAAAGGAGTAGCCAGTACATACGGTTATCTCACAAATCTTCGTCCAATCAATGTGATCCGTGCTCTATTAACTACTAATTATGTCCAAAGACGGCCTGACTAAGACCAAGTACCTAATGGGAGTCATCTAAGACTGAAAACCACGAGCTTTCGACCCTGAGAAGGCAACCAAACTGCAAAGACATTGACGCAATTCGTCAGAACCGCTGACCAAATAAAACAGAAGAGCTTCAAGACAAGCAGGACCTGCTCAGAATACCGTGGATTAGGTAATTACACTTTTCATTTTCGGAGAGTAATATGATATAATTACCAAAAGTCCAAGGCCGCAGTCAAGTCATTCGCTTCTTATAATCATGTCCAAGGCCGTCAATTTCCACAACAGCGTTCTCTTGGATCCCGGAGTGCTGTGCTACTGCCTGATAGCGGAGCTATGTCCAACATCGTCACCTAAGACCTGTCGTTCCCGGGCCAGCACACTGTCCCTTATTGGGTTAATTATAAGATGGCTACGTCTCACGAAACTCAAGTCACACAACTTCGACTCCGACGCACAAAGAAACGCCCGCGGCTGGACCTCAGAACAGGGAGTGTGGTTCACGCTAACTATTTTATCAATCGTACTCCTACTATCCTCGGCTATTATTTTCTCGAAATTCAGCTTACAGATGCTGCATCTGGAAGCTCTTGACCTTGACTTCTCCTCCCAGCGCCTTCGTAGCAAAGTTAAAGACACCAAATCGATACCCCGTGAAGTAGTTCCACGTGTTGCTCATCGAGAATGCCGGGCCAAGCGCGGTAAAAGTCTGCCCACCATCCACACTGTACGAGAACGACGTGGTCCGGGCCGTGTTGGTCCCAAACGCGGGTGTGATATCCGCCTCGATCCGGAACCAAACATCGCTTGCGTCGCTCACTTGAGGACCCGTGGCCGACGTCTTGCCCTTGGACGACGTCCCCCAGTTGCTCTGGTCCAGTGCCAACCCGTCGACGTAAACGATCTGCGCCGAGTCCCCTTCCTTGACGACGCCAATGTACGCTGCGGTATCGCGGAAGAGCACCGCACCGGCACGGTCACCGTCAGCCATGCTGCTGAGGTCCAAGCGGAACGTGCCGCTCGACTTGGGCCCGGCGATCCGGCGCGTCAGTGTGTTCCTAGCCCCGAACAGATCGTCCGTGACGGTCGCTGTTTGCAGCACCAACCCGCCCTCGCTATCCAGCGAGAACTTGGACCCATCCGGGTTGTGGTTCCACTCCCAGTGGGCGCTCAGAGACCCGCCTTGGAACTCGTCCAGTTCGGTGCCGTCAGGCACGGTCTTGTCCGTCTCCACCGGCAGCGGGTAGCTGGTGCCCCATTTACCCTGCGAGTCCTTCACCAGCTCGGGCCAGCCATCATCCGTCCACGTCAGTGGGGCCACCACGGGAATGCGCCCACCCGGGTAGGCGTCCATGAAGGCGACGTAGTACCAGGTGCCATCGGGGGCGTCGACAAGGCCACCCTGGTGCGCGAATCCAGCGCTGGAGAGGGGGCCGCCGATGCTGTCGACCAGAACGCGCTGCTCGTAAGGGCCGAGCGGGCCCGACGTCGACTTGAGCACCCACTCGGCGCTGGCCGGGCGTGTGACGACGATGTAGTAGTTACCGTTGATCTTGTACATGCGCGAGCCCTCGATAGTCGTGCCGCTGGGGGGTGAGTACACGACCTTGCTGCTGACCTGGCTGAGCCCATCCGAGGAGAGCTCAGCAACCGAGATCTGGGGGTTGCCGTACGAGATGTACATCTTGTCGTCCTCGTCGTCGATAAGCAGGCCACAGTCGTAGTAGCACGAGTTGATGGGCGGGTGGGACTCCCAGGCCCATGCAGAAGGGTCGACCTCGCCGTCGTTGTCCCCCGCTTTGCCGCCGGAGCTGGTCCAGATGTACGTCTTGCTGAAGTCGACGCAGCCGTACCAGTAGAACTTGTCGTCGGAGGCGCGGTAGCGCAGGGTTGACGCCCAGATACCCTTGACGTAGGCGGCCGGGGTGCCGCTCGTGAGGTTGTACTGCGAACCGAAGTTGAGGGTCGAGACCGAGTGGGTGACGGGAGTCCAGTTCACGAGGTCGTAAGACTTGAGGACGGGGGCACCGGGGGAGTAGGCGAACGTGGACGAAGAGTAGTAGAACGTGGAGCCAACTCGGAAGACGTCCAGGTCGGGGTAGTCCTCCCAGAGAACCGGGTTGTTGAAATCGGAAGCACGAGACTGGAGTTGCGCGCCCACGGCGGCACCCGTCACGGTGCTACTACCGAAGAGCGCGAGGAGAGAAATGCATCTGCCCAGGCGCGCCATCGTATCGAGACAATCTTGATGCCGTTTGCGGAGCTGTGTGGGAAGAGGTTCGATTCTGACCGTTCGAAGCTTGAACTCGTGGTCTTCGAACCTCAAGGAGCGGAGGCCCCGAGGTTATGTAGTTGGGTTATACCATGGCTACCTTGCTGTTAGGCCCCTGCTTCGGGTACAGTACATCGCCTATTTCAGATGGATCACGACCGGTAAACCGTCGTCGCTACGCCTAAAGAGCCGACACCAACCCGCCAACCCAGGAAGTTAGCGACTTCATTGGCGCAAATATTTGGCTGGTTAAGGACTGAGGTCGCTGCAGATCCGAACTACTTGCGTCATCTGAGTGCTCCGGAACCAAGCGCACCAATGGTGCGACAAACCCATTCCCGGATGCATGGGTCGACAATTCCCGTTTCCCGGAATGAGACTTCAACACTGCTGAATCGGGCTCGCTCAGCAGGGTTGAGGGTCCGTCACCTTGTCCGTGGCTTCCATGATTCGCGCGCAAGACACGCTCGCAATCCCATCGACGTGAAACCCAACGTTGAAAGTATAGGCGCCGCCTCCAAACTACAACATTTTTGCTCCAACCAAAAGTGAAAGTGTTGGATTGCAACACAAGAAAACTGCAATCGTGATGGTTTTGTTGTTCGTGAGGAAACGGCCCTGCGCTTCCAAACCGACAAAAGTCTGGAGAAAATGTGGGGCTGGCCCACCCATAATCGAATTCCGGAAAAACTCTCCAGTCCATGCTCTTGTTCGCAGCCGGCAGTCAGGGGCTACCTTATTGCAAGCCTAAAAGAAAGACCGGAGCGGAGGACGAGGATAAAAAGAGGAAAATTCAGCCCAGACAAAGAAGGCATCAATTCGACCTGAAATCGGAATTACGTGTAAAAGCGAAAGAGTGAAATATCTATGGCATTTCGCGAGTCCTTATAAATTACTTCGTACCTGAGTCTCTTGAATACCTTCTAACCAATTGGCGGATGTTGTCACTCCCGTCCCGTCTCTCACACAACTTGATCAATAATTAATCTACATGGTCACATCAAAAAGCTTAAGGGCCGAACCAAAACGAATACACCGCTTGGGGCTTACTTGGTGACAGACAATAACGGTATCTCCCAGCAATGTTTGCCACGAACAACGGAATTCTTGATTAAATCGACTACATCAATTATGAGAGATTGGTGAATCGGTTGGTAATTCCATGTAGTTACATACATCGCTAATCATATGTAAGATACTGTAGGTACCGGAGGTAAGGTACTCAAACCCCAGCTTCGAACGAATCCCATTGTCTCTAACCCCTCGCGTTGACAGGTTTGATGTCGGCCAGGACCTTAGCTACCGAGGGCCTTGCACGCATCTTATCCAACCAGTCCTTCACTGCCGGGTACTCCCCAACATCATACTCGCTGTCCTCCAAAAACCACCCCATCCAGCAATACCAAGGGATAAACGAAATATCGGCGAACGTCAGTTTGCCGCCCACCAGCCATGGTCCATCGCCGCCGTCTGCCTTTGCCTTTTGCGATTCCAGGTAGCTCTGCAAAACCCCCGATACTCGCTTGACTTCGCCGACGTACCGCTCAAACGCGCTCGGCACCTTTTCGTGGTGGTACATCTTGAACCATGTCGCCTGTCCAAAGTACGGACCTTGACCGGTGGTCTGAAAGTATAACCACTGCTTTGTGTGGTAAGCGTCGGTGGTTCCCGGCTCGAAGCTCAGTTTACGGTCCGTGTCGTAGCGCTCCGTGAGGTACTCGATGATAGCGCCCGACTCCCACAGCGTCAAGCCCGAATTGGGGTCGTGGATGGCTGGCAGCCGGCCGTTGGGGTTGATGGCGAGGTATTCTGGTTGTTTGACGTCCTTGAACTCAATGGGGACGTGCTCGTAGGGCAACCCTAGTTCTTCGAGAATCATGGTGACCTTGGGCGGGTTGGGCCCCTTCCGTCCCCAGAGCTGGATGGGCTTCATGTCCGACCGGGACCCCATGATTATGCTAGTTGGGCTTTTTTGGTTCTCCTCAGAGTTTAGGGTTAGGTAGGATGAATCGGACAATGATTTTGAACAAACAAGCGGACATTAATTGGAAGCAGACAAGCTGAATGATTGAATTCAGCTTGATTCCAAAACCAGACTCTGAGGGGGATCGTCCCGCTATAACAACCGCCTACTTGCCCCGCTCTTGGAAGCCGTCGGCATGGAGAAATGGAGGCTGGCTGAAACCCCTTCTACAGCTGCAGATCATTGCATAAGGGAGTTAGATTTGGATCTGAAGTCCTGCACGTACGACACTAATAACACTGTTAGACCGCTTGCTTGCAGCGTGCCGCCGTCTCCTTGTTAACATTGGGAATTTTTGCTGCTGCTCGCAAGACACATGGTCAAATCCGACTCCAGCATTCGTGTCGGGTTTTCTAAGTCCGTCATGGATCGGCGCCATGCAGGTGAAAAACAGGAGGTCAACCAAAGATTGAGACCTGATTGGTTCGTTAAAGACGAAGAATGCTTCAAAGAGAGTTGACAACATTTCTCGGTAAGTTCGCAACATCTGTGGCAGACGCCCCTCCCCCTCCCCCGCTTCTCGCGCCCAAAAGTTAAGCACCACAATGGACAACCAACTAATGATGTAATTATTTACTGACGTTTTTATCGAGACCACATTGATTCGTTCTCAAGGTGATTTCGACATTGTTAGGCATCTACTAAACCCATGGAGTCCTACCAAACGCGGCAAGAGTCAGCGGTTGGTCCTGCTCATACCCACGTACCTTCCTTCCGCGCGCCAACTACCGCACCAGCCCTTTATAACTCCCCCTTTCGCCACTCTTTCCCAACAGCCCCCATCCGGCAAATGCCCAACCTCCCGGATGGTGTATTTGGGGGGGGCGCGGGCAGCACCGGCGTGCCCGCTTTCTCCCCCTCCCGAGTCCTCCTCAGGGAGGGGGCACCCAAGAAAACCCATCAGGGTTTTCGTAGCTGTCCACTGAACCTCTACGGAGGAGGTGGGCAGTGAGCTTTTTGATTTCTTACAGCAGTTTTATTCTTTTTAGTTTGATCATTCACCAATTCACCTTTTGCCATCTGTTAGAACAGATCTGTATATCTATAATACTAGAGATTTGGTGGTGAGCTATGCCCCTGCAAACTAACAAGCTGCATTTTAGCTCGAGGAACCGCTAGAGATGTTACAGGAACATCTGTCTGGCCGAGGCATAAGGATCGCGGCCATCGCCGAGATCGTGGGCGAGATCACCGTCGGACTGAAGAACGATACCTCACACTGATGAAACATTAGGTAGTTACCTGGTAAAAGAAGGGGGAAATGACTGGCATTATACGCTCATGAATCTCAGACTCAAACTTCCGTTCGTTGTTCGTTCCGCTCTAGGAGTCGCAGCCAGCCCGCAGCACGGCCGCAGGATCTACCCTTTTCTAATGTTTCCCCCCTCCTCCTTCTTCCAGCTCTCTTATTCATCTCTTTCAAGTTGTTCCCCTTAGTTGCGACGTCCGTGCCAGCGGTGTATGCTTCCCATAACAGGGCCCCGCAACACCCATTGCAACACCAACGTTGCGTCGGTTCGCCGGGCAAAAAAATGCCCAATCACGCCTCGGACAATTTTTATTATCCGAACACACCTCAACACCCGCACTCGCTTTCGGAACCCACATCCGGACTGGTCAGACAGGGTAAGAGTGGGATTGAAGTGACGGCTATGACGGTGATGGTAGGAACGATAGGTCTTGGCCTGGGGTGGTTTGCCGTTCTCATGGTTCAGGCTAAGCTTGAGGGGCACCATCGTCCATGGAGAAATATAACTTGGGCCGCTCAATCCCACCAGTGAGTGCATTTAGTCCTCTTTTCGCGCACTCCCAAGCACATGATCAGACCCCGTACCGGCCCCTCAGAGTCCCCTCGAGAGAAACCCCACGTCGGCGCCCGATATTGGATCGTCCGCCCAGCAGGTCCCTATTTACCCGGTCCGGCATTTGCTTCATCAACATGAATTGAACAATTATTGAAGGGTAGGTCGTGGGTAGCAACCATGGAACGGGACGGCGATCCTTGGCCATCCGAGAGTAGAAATCCGGAGTGTAGAAGGGGAAATCATTTCGATGCCGCGTGGATGACGGAATGAGAAGGGTGTTGAGCTATTTGTAGATACGCAGATCACATTATACTTCGCGCCGACATATTAATATACCCCCCCTTCCCCTTCCTTCGTTGGCCCTTCCAGAACAAATTATCACTTTACACTTTACACTTTCCTGCCGCCAAGGTCCCCAAAACAACGGCCGTTCATTTGTGTCTGCCTGTCTTCGTCATCTTGCGTCTCGATAGATTTGCCTGCTTGCTTCCATGCAGGCTTCCTTTACACATAGAAAACCTAGCCACACTTCAAAATCACCAGCCATGCGCAACCTCCTCTCCTACTTCCTGCTGGCGCTCCTCAACCTCCAACAGCAAGCCGTAGCGCAATCGACAGGCCAATACTGCGACTCGACCTCGCAAGTGTGCTACCTGCAGTACTCATGGGGAACCACAATTCCTGTGTTCCGGCTGGCAGTGCCTGATTCGGCGTCTACAGGCGGCAACTATGACACCCTGTTACAGGTTGTCGCGCCCGTGTCAGTGAAATGGGCGGGTTTCTCTTGGGGCGGCGGCATGACCTCGAACCCGCTGACGGTAGTGTGGCCGAATGGAAACTCGGCGACGGTTTCCTCGCGTTGGGCGACGTACGTTGTTTCCCCCCGTCTCGTCCGCGTTTTTCTGTTTCCTTTTTTTTTATTTTGCTTGGTTTTATCCGTGACGGTCCTTCCGGAATCCAATTGACACCGTGTAATACAATAGAAGCCGGACCTTACCCACGGTCTACTCCTCCGCGACCTACAAAACCGTCTCGGCCAGCAACAACGGCACGCACTGGACGGTCGAGACAGTTTGCTCCGGGTGCAGCACATGGAGCGGCGGATCGCTCAGCACGACCGGGACTGACACTTTTGCCTGGGCTGTCGGCCGCAATGCTGTCTCGCAGCCCGCTGATCCCAGTAGCAGCTTTAGCGTCCACGATACCATTGGTACGTTTTCTGGGGCGCTCTCGCAGGGTACGGTGCCCCAGGCGACGTTTGATGAACATATCAAGAACGCATCGTAGATAATGGAAGGGGTGCTCGGAAGTCTGACGGGGGCAAACGGAGACGAGAAGTGGAGAAGCGGTCAGACGAAAAGAAAACAAGGGACCACTGGAGAGGGGGACGGTCATCCGGAGAGGCACATGCAGCGTTGAAAGAGGGATAGATAAGGGGGCATTTATGCCGTTGAATGAGGCCAGGGACTGCTGACCGAGAATCAGTACGCAACTGTGTATGAGAAACAGACAAACCCAACAAAACATATGCTACCATGGTGACCCCAGAACGCCCGTCCAGCCTCTAATACTGTATATGCAAATGGAATATACCCCAAGTCCCGCCCTTACTTACGTCATGCGAACGCTCCTACGGCCGCCATTAAGAACGCCCCCGCGACGACGGCTAAAAAGGCATGCACCCTCCGCCTGCCCTTGAGCACCTGATAGCTCTTTTCAGATAAGAAGTCCTCCGCCAGTAGCTGCACTAGGCCGGCGAACAACAACAGCCCACTAGATATCGCGTTCATGAAGCCAACCATGAGCAGGCCGGTCTGGCTCATCGGGTCGTAGAAGCGGTGGACAAAAAGACCGATGGCCTGACCTATCGGTGTGGTCGCGCCAAAGGCGAGGACCATCAGCCAGGGACGCGGGGACGAGCGAGGGAAGTGAAGAGCCGCAATGCGGGTGCCCAGAGCGAGGCCTTCGAAACATTCTATAGGAGCAGTTAGATATGTGCAAAGTACTTCGCCAAATTACGGGGGGAAACCCACGGTGGAACGAGATAGCAATCAGGAAGACGGCAAAGGTCGGGCCCGTGGCAACCGACAGGGCCATGCCAATGAACACGCTGTGGAACAGAATCCCCGCCTCAAGCAGCACACATTGCAGCATCATGCGCTGCTGTTCCTCCGGTGTTGGTTTATGCTGCAAGGACGAATGCCCTAGGCCAGTGTCCTGCTCCTGGTTTGTTCCCAAACCAGGTCTCAACTCGTCAAAGCTTAGCTCGAGCTCCAAAGACTCCCGGCCATCTTCGTCATCATCCCCAGACTCTTGGATGCTATTTCTCTTTTGAACTTTTAACAAGCTTTCCCGGGGCGGCGGTATGGTAGGAGTGGAGCCGGGCAAAGGTGATGCTCCCGATACCAGGCCCTCCGTAGCCTCCAGATCATCCAGGGCTATGTTGGTTGGCCGGCCCCGTCGGGCATGTTGCCCGACATTGAGGCCATGGCCGTGCACATCACCACCGATATCATCACTGTCCTCGTCATCCTCCGGTCCCCAAGCATGGTGCGAGTGCGAGTGGCCCGCCCCTCGGGTTGACAAGTATGACTCCAATGCGACTACTACGAACGCCGCGACCATCGCAATCAAGCCGGCGAGTGGCTTGTAGCCAGTGCTGAAGAAGGCGGGGAGACATGGGTCGGTTAGGGATGTAAAAGCGGTCGGGAGGAGGTGGACAAAGGCCGTGGCCATCAAGACGCCCGTCCCAAAGTGTTGGCAGAGGAAGATGATCGTGCGTTGGCGTTTGCTGCCCTTGCTCAGGCGCTGGGAGAAGAGGGGGAATCCACATGCTATAGAGACGAAACAATTGTTCAGTATTGAAACACGCTATACGGATATGGAGGACAATCAACAAGCAATTACTCAGGGCAAGGCCCTGTGGCCTGTGGACAGCGACATACCCAGCGTGCTCACCGTCAGTATCAGGAAGAGGGCAAACACATGGATGGCCGTGTCATAGGATCCAGTCTCCCCCGAACCGCAGACCGGCCGTTCTGTTGTCGCGTCATCGCGTCTCGAAAGCTCCGCGAGGAGTAGATCGGTCGAAATCGCGGACAAACGGTGGTCTAGTGTAGAAACACGCAACGCGTTGGTCAGAGAAGGTCTCAAAGCTGGAGGAGACGTGGGGCAGGGAGGGGGGTCGTTGTGAAATCTGACCCGGGCAGGGTTCACTCATGCCAGTCGGCTAACTACCGGAACAAGCAGGTGGGTGTGGGTGAGGATGCAATCTGCATCTGCCGTGGTGCGTACCGTTTGTCCTCAGGTCGAGTGCCAGCTTCTCCATTCTCATGGACCGGCGACTACGGAGTCCAGTACCAAACTCCCGGTCCGATACCCTTCGAACCACAAAAGGAATGCCGGCGGAAATTGCTTGGGTCGGGCGATCACTGCATCATGGCGTTGGCGCGGGGGAAGTCGCAGAAAACGAACCAGCGGGGAGGGCAGCGCTCCGAGACACGCGGGTTGCATGTGCCGTGATGGCTTTGCCGTTTCCGATGGAGGAGTTGGTGAGGATGCAACCTTGATGGACTGCAATGGGGAAAACCTTGTGTGTGCTTGCGAAAACCTCGGCATGCTGAGCTAAGGCCGCGCCTTCGGGTTGGTTCGCTCCAGCTGCTGTTTGCTCGCTGCTGTGCCTGTTCCTGGCCAACGTAGACCCACTGTTTGTTTCCCAGCGCCCGCTGCGGGCGTCTGCCCCTGAATTCAACCCCCGCCCAATTTTAGCTGCCGCTCTGTGACGTCCAAACTGAGCCAATCCGTTCCGTTTCCTCTGACCGGGCCGTTTCCTCTGTCAATCCCTGCGGCAATCTTTCGACGACGGCACGACGGGAACCACTCACAGACAAGGAAATCCCATCAACGTGCCGGTGGGATTCAGGAACGAATCCGATCCGTCGGGAAGGGTCTTGGGGTTCTCAAAATCATCCCGAGATTCTCATGCAGTCATGCTCTGTGTATTTTTTATCACATGGTCTGTCCTTACTGTTTCTTTTTCTTCTTTCGCGATATCCTGCTCACTTTTACCCCTCTTCAGGTTCCCCTCCAGATCTCAGGATTGACCTGACGCTAACCCGCGAAGTGGAAAATCGCCAAACAACGTGCCTTTTCCCACCCACCCATCACGCGCTGGGAACTGCGGTTGCCCACGGAAATGCAGAGGCCATTGGCGAGCCATACGACCCGAGGTCGTTGTAATCTCTATCCGTCGGCGTGCCAAAGAAGATCTTTTGCACAAACGGCAAGATAGACGTACTAAGACGGTGAGAAAGAGTCCTTCCTGTCAGCGCTTGTTCCATTCCAACGAAACCCAACCCCGTCATTGAGAGCATGACACCGATATTCCCTTTACCCCCTCATCCATCAACGAATATGGGGGTTACTTACAATCCGCTCATGTCACAATGCCCGCCCCCACGCACACTCATGGCGATCTGGTTACCAACGCCCAGCCAGTCAAACACCACCTTGGCGGCTGGGTAGACGGCAATGGCAGTGCCTTTGCTGTTGGTGAACTGGTCCCCCGTGCCCTGGTCAATCACCAACGCGCGGGGCGCGATCGCTGCGGCAATCGTGTGCGCGTCAAAAGGCAGATTCTCCGAATGGCCCACAAACGTCCCCAGCGCGTTGTCGGTCCACCACCCGGCGCCCTCCTTGCTGTTCTCCAGGTTCTCGCCCTGTCCACTTAGGTCGTAGTACCGATACGGCCCCAGGCCCTGGACGCCCGAGGACATGGGCATCGTGAGCGTGATGCGTGTGTCGAACAGGCCGGCGGCCAACGCCGCTTTGCCCAAGCGCGAGCACCCTGTCACGCCGACTCGGCCCGCGTCGATCTCCGGGACGGTCATGTTGATGGCGTCCAGCGTGCGGTGGAAGCCCCAGGCCCATGCCGTCAGAACCCCTAATCCGAAAGGTGCAACGTCAGTTACATCGCCAACGTCAAGTTACGGGCTGTGGCTCTGTGTCAAGCTAAGTCACATAGGAAGGTACGCAGGACGTTGCCGCGGCTATTCCCGGGGCGTCGGGAAGCGTGTGGGTTGGTGAGGGAAATAAATAAAAAAAAAGGGGGGGAAACTCGGCAACAGCAAAAAAACTAAAACAAAACGGGCAGTTGGACGGATAGTGTGACGACTTGTGATGAATCCGACCAGGTATGTACTGACGCGATCCCACTCACCAATGTCTCGCCCTTCATAGATGCTCCAGAACGCGCCTGTCTTAGCATTGCTATCCGGAGACACGGTCGTGTAATCAAATTGCGCAATGGCAATGCCCGCGGCCAGGTACGGCTGGTTCGACATTCCGCCAATGTTGATGACCACCGGCGCCGGGTTGGACGCGGACGCCCCCGCTGGCAGTGTCACCGTCGCCTTGAAGCTGCCCTTCTTGCCCTCCGCCCCCGTCACGGTGATGCTCAGCGTGTTCCCGCTCCGTGTCGCCTCAACGGTTTCCTGGGCCGGGTCCGGGTAGTAGCCAAACTGGTACTCCTGCAACAACTGCACAATCTCAGGCTGCCGGCACTGATACCACTCCTCGGGCGTCTGCACGCGGCCCTCGCCTTTACCGGCCATCACATCGGCCGGATTATCCGGCGTGGTGTACCACAGCGGCAAAAAGGGGTCCGGTAACGAGGACTGACGTGGGAGCTGCTCCCAAGTCGGGTAAGGCGACGGAAGAGGGGCGCACTCGATAGCACTACCGTTGCCGTCCTGTCCGGACCGCAGAGACGCAAGCGCGGGCACGGCCACGGCAGCTGTCGCAGGAAGAGCGGCCACAATGCCGCTGGCGATCGCTACCGCGACGCTGGGACGGCTGATCAGTGTCATATTTTGGTGATCCCTCCTGGGCAAAGCGGGTTTTACTGTGTCCCTAGTGAGCAAGTTTCGTAACAGTAAACAAGTGTCAACGAACGTTGATGTGGACCTGGGAATGATTCACCTGATTCTGCTCTCGCACGGGGGATGGCGTCTGTCTCACACTCCGCCGGAAACGCCCATATCCACGGAAAGGGCCGTGAGGACTCCGAGGAGTTGGTATATCATCATCTTCTTCACCACCTGACCCCCCCTCAGATCATCAGGTCCCGCCCGGCCGGTATGGGGCTGGCGCCGTGGCGTGAAATAAACCTCCGAAAAACGCAACCTTAACATTTCCCGTCGCCCGGCTCGCTGGAGCGCCGCGGGTGGGATTTGCAAAGTGAGATCGTGTGGGGTTCGTTGTTATTAGCCATATTAGATCGGCACGCTAACAATTGCCGCCGGCAATGAATTCAATAAGGCTTCGGAAGTAATTCCGAGTCTGCTCCGAGCCATGTATTGTATGTTTTGTGAAGACAACCAGAGTCAGAAAATCTAAGCCAGTCACGGATTTATCGCTTGTTCCGCTCGTCGAATGTTGTAGGTCCATTTATGGCTTGGGTTAAGCGGAGGCTCAATTCGGCCGAAAAAGAGTAGGCGCGGGGGGACCGTTGAATCTCCGGTAGTTGGTTTGTCTTTGTCTTGCGCGTCAACACGCCATGTGGTCCAATATGCTTATTATATTTTAGAGTTCAGTAATCAACAAGCCTCCTTTAGCGTTGCAAATCCCCCGCGATGCCCGCCCCACTCCAGAGGAAAAGCAATACACGAGATACGCCATGATCTCAATGGACGTTCAATTCGATGGGGCCCTGGTTCTTCTCACCCCCGTTCGAAGGAGAGAGGGTTGGGCTGCATACCCTTTTCATTTTTGAGTCGTCATTAGTGTAGTTACTAGTTGTGTAATTCGAACTTGAGAAAATCAAATTGGACCAGTGCCTTCTTGGCAGCTCCGTGATCATTCCTCGATTGTTCCAGCGGGAACAACTGCAGCAGGCGATTGTGTCCCTTGGACTAAACGATTGAGGGCCGTGTTAGAAAACGTAGCAACCAACGGTAGAATGACTGTCAGACCTCGTCCTATATTGTCATCACTGAATGCCGCTAAGAGAAAGTTGTCTTTTCCCTCCAAAATGTGCTCGCCCTAGGTCCGTACAATATTGCTAAAATCAGAAATGCACGTCGGCCAAGCCAAACCCAACATGGGAGTTCATTAGTTTGAGGAGTGCAGAGTCGAATGGACTAATGGAGGCTAGACTGATCGCCAGGTACCTAAACTAGTGCAGAAATATTCTGAAGCCATTTTATGCGTGCACTTGGTGTCCATGACTTGACATGATGCAATCCCATACCCGAAGAATACTAGGGCAAATAGTGCAATGTCTGGGAGTTAGTCAACTAATTACTACACTAGTGTACCCGTACACGTGTAGTGTGCCATTGAGTGCCTGTCGGGGCGTTGCGTCTCGACACACATTCCTCTTTTCGATGGCCAGGCACGGATCCGTACCTGATGCTGTGTCATGTCGTTTTCGTAGAGCATTGGTACCCGAAAGACTCGGACAGTTAACGTCGGACAACCGCCCGTTTAAACGAAGTGTGACAGGGTTACACGCAGTCGGAAAAGTCCATCCTTTTCTACAAGAAACACGAATCTATGGGCGTGCTTTGATGTTTTAACCTACACTTGGTCTCTTGCTGTTACATCAGTACGATAATTATCAGGGTGTGAACGGCAGATCGGTACCAGCGTTCTTGGTTTACTGAGTCAAGATTCCAATAAAGCTGAAGGTACCAATTTTGAGATGGCGGAATCGGGATCCTACGCAGTGTTGAAAAGAAAGCCCGAGAAAAAATACAAACAACTCAACTCCGATTATCCGGGCGGACTCCCGTTACGCACAAGGTCAAGCACCTGACGTAGTGCTCCAATATCCCCAGCTGATTATCAGCGGAAAGGAGCTCCCCGACATTTCACCCATTAACAACAAAGAGTCCCTCACGGAAAAAACCGCAGTGAAGGAAGGGAGGCCACTGTTCACTTGATGCATTGACTGCGAAAATGTAGTGAGAAAGATTTCGAATGATCGCCGACTTGCACTGGAAATTGCGTTGATGCGGCATATCAATCAAACTCAGATGGCGAGTTTGTCGGATTGTCCCTCGTCAGGTAGCTTATCCTTCCAATCTCAAAACGACTCCACAACCTTCGAGAGCATTGAGATGAAGGGACAAACATGGAGGGGAAATGACCACTCACTGCGGTTCATCGGACGCCGATGGATGTTGGTAGTTGCCCATGGATCCCGGCGCGAGAAGAAGATCAATTTCCTTAGGGCTGACAAGAAGAGAGCAAACAATTGCGGTATTGCTTGTCGCCACATCACAAGCTGGTGGGAGTTGTAAAGGTTGTTTGCGTGGGGGGCCTGGACCCGTCCAAGCCGAGTTGCTTGCGGGGAAACGCACAAGCTCGTGTCAAAAGCATCACGGGCTCACCAGAATGTGATCAGTGTTGGCGGCCATGAAGTACCTTTTGCAGGGCGCGGAGATTGTTAACGGTACTACTATGTATGTAACTCGATACGGGTCCCAAGTTTTGGACAATTATTGACGGATCTTTCGGGGTACATACAAAGCTGTAACTAGTTAGTGGTTACAAGCCAAAAGGCATTTGCGGCATTGCGCGTTTGAGGTTGGAAGGCACTGCAGGTGGGTGAGGGCCGAGGCTGGGTAATGTGTAACTTATTGCCTTTTCTTCAACGCAGAACCCGTCGTCACTTTCTGATCAAAATATTGCTTTCTCAACTTTCCCCGCGCCTTCCACTCAAAGGCGGCAGGCGCGTCCAATTCTGCAATTCCCCAATGGAGCACAGCAGAGGAGGGGGCAAAAGCGGCCAGGGCATGGAACCCGAGAGGGTCGCACCGGCGGCGTGTGGCTTGGTGGGAACCAATGGAACGGATGGCATGGTTGGAGTGAAAGACATCGGCGGGAGGGTAAGCCGGCGAGGTGGTTTGTGCCGACCGTCGGGCAGTGTGTGATCCCTCCCGCGTACGGTTTCCAGTTCCATGTTCTAGCCCTTGCGCCTGCCGTCCGCATCTGCACATCACCGACCGCCAGGGCGTGCCTTCCAGCTTCTCCGTTCCGGCTCGTTATTTTCCTGCCCACGCAGTGTTACATTTTCTCCCACAGCCTTTGTCTTTTTGGGGGGGTAACTATCGTTGTTAACTTGTTCCTTTCTGCCCCCATCCACGTAGTCGCCTCCCCCTCCACAACGACGTCACTCGTCCAAGGTTAACCAGAATAGAGTTGATATGTTTCAGACAACGTCCGCCTGGTCGGAGACGCTAAATATGCTGGTCATTTGGCCAAAAGAAAGGCCTCACAGGCAAAGCGAAAACAGGACGCATGGGATACCAGGACAGGGAAAAGGAAAACCTAGAAGAACCATCTTGGGTTGGGGAAGCTTTCCGGCAACCGAAACAGCGGCAAGCAACCCAAGCAGCCCAGGCCGATCGTGGAAAAATCTGGTTGCTCTCTTTCTTTTTTTTGTTCCAGCAGAAGCTCCGGCTCCCTCAGCTCAACACTGTTCATTGGCCAGCCGCGACCGGCAGCCCTGGTACCGGTCTGCCATCCTTGGCCTTGGCGGGTTAGTGTGTGGAGGAAACGGCAGCCATCGAAGGGAGGATGACAGACAAGAGAGCAAAGTCGTTGGGCCCATTCGAGGCGTTTTCCATCATTTTCCCTCACTCAGACGCTGGAGAATGTGGAAGATGAGTTATCACTGATCGCTCACATACGAGCCGGGCACAGTAACCATCCCGAGGCCACTAACTCTCGTTGCAACAACATATTTTCAAGGGCAATCAAGCGATTTCGGTCCCTAAACACGATCCAAGATGCAGATCTCATCCTCCCTCTTGGGACGGTCTGGCCGTTCCTGGCTTATGGGGCATCGCCGGACAACCCCTTTCATGGAGCCCACTTGAGAAACCCCGGAAGCCCACCCAAGCACCAGGCCGGAGAAAGCGAGTGTTCTGACGGCCAGTGACGAGCACCGATGGAGGCATTTCTTTGCGTCGGACACGGGTGTGCCACGGAAACACTGCAGACCCACCGCCTGATGATTCAGTGCTGCCCCTGTGATAATAGGGATCGACAGAAGGTGCAGTGTGCAAGCATGGCAAGCAAGGGGGAGAGTTGATTCGCCCATGCCACGCCTGGTTGCATCCCGGTGCAGTCCCAGCTGCACTTTTTGCAGGTTGGACAAGGCAAGACGAGAATCCAACGACGCAATGATGCGATTTCGTCACCTGAAGAACATCGAAGCACGAAAATGGACAAGAGACAAAAGAAACAAAAGGTCAGAAAATGATATCGGCATTCCGTCCACGCGATGGAGTTTCCGGGCACCAAATGCCGCAGAAATCCTCCCCTCTCGCCCCGACAGGCGTCGGAAGCGCCAAACATGATCCCGGCACGTGGATTCGGATCCTCTTTTATCGGTGTGGATTTTGAAGGGGGCCGTGGAGTACCCCTCGGGATCGACCGAAAACCACCCGAACCTTTCTCACCAGCGGCCCCATTTGCCCCCGCGGGCGCCAAGTTCCCGCCCGGGGAGGATGGGTGGAGTGGGTCGTTGATCACTTTCTCACCCCACTTGTCCTCGATTCAGGAGAATCAACATCTGAATCACAAGACTCTTGAGAAGAAGAAGGCGATGGGAGGACGAAGACGTCGAGATCCGAGCCATTCTTGGGCTAAAATGTGCATTTCGTTTTTTGCGTGGCCGCACCCTGCAGGACTTGCCATGCAGTTGTCCCAAGTGATTTGGTTCGTTGCGGAACTGCGCGAGTACTTCGTCGTACCCACACCATGTTCCCTCTCTTCGGGTATCTCGTCTGTCGTCAATCCCCTCGAGAGCCGAGGGATTCGGTGGTATGTTGGCAATCGGTGGGTTGTGACGACGGCTGTGTCACCATTGGATCGCTGGGTCTGCAGCCTTTCACAGCGGTCACAGATCGGGAGTACCACCATACGGCATCCCGATGTCACCTTGACGGGCCTTGCCAGATGGATCCCGCCCTTGATTTCCCGCCCCGGCGCCTGCGACCGGGATCTCTGGCTCTCGCAAGCGGGCCCCGGTCAGTGGCTCGTCCGTCAGTCGCTCGAGCCTCGCGTTCCTCTGGGCAGCATATCATTGTCGCCCCATGTGCGCTCCAGGCTCAGCCAGCCTTTGCTGGTGTGGCCTGCCTGTGTGGCCTGCCCCATGTTGTCTCTCTCCCTGTGTCTGTCTCCGCCGTAGAGTAAAGGGTCTGCAGTCTTGGCCAAGCCAAGGGCGGGTCTTCTGCTCACTCGTCCCCCCCCTCCCTAGTTCCCATATCCATGCCGAACGAGGTACACATGCATGGGAGTGGATGCGGCGTGGGTTGTTGCGTGCGTGCTGGAGCTAACTCGCAAAACGGTAACTCCTGTTAGTGGTTAGTCCATCGGCGGCGTTCCCACGAGCCGGGAAGGAGAGGGAGATACATATTGCTCACCCTGCCCAACAACCCCCGTCCGAGTTGAAAACCCATCTCGTCGTCTCTTTTCCCACTCCCTCGGTTCGACGAGTATCCAGAAGCAAGCCACCGTCGTCGGAACACACCCCGCCAAAGCCGGTCTCCCCTCAACATACCAACCCTCGAGAGTAAGAGAGAAAGCACAGCAATGTTCTTGCCTCGAGGCGAACACGGGGCCACCGCCGCTGTGGCGGGCTCTGAGTTCGGTACCAGGCCCGACACCAAGCCGGAGGCCCGGACCGATGCCGTCGGCATCTGGTGGCTCACTTTCGCCTGCGTTTGGACAGTCCTCCTCGCCTGCGGCATGACATTCCTTTACAAAAAACGAGACACACCAACACTCCGCCTACGCAGTCTTTCGCTTACCTTCGCCGGCGTAATCCTCCTCCACCTGTACTGGCTCTCCGTCCAGATCGCCTACACCATCGGCCCGTTGGCCCCCGAAGTCGCCGAATTCTGGATCATGAGCATCTGGTACCCCTTCGGCATCGCCCTCTTCCAGGCCGGCAACAGCCAGTTCCTACACATCGCCAAGGCCCAGAGCCGTTTCGCCCGGCCCCCGAGTCAGATGAGAACCCGCTACGATGAGAAGCGTCCCGCCCAAAAGCAGAGCCTCTTTGAGCGCATCCGAGACATGGACTATTCCAAGCGCATGTTCATGTTTGTCACGATGGGCATGGGGGTTCAGGTGCGAATTCCATTTCTGTGTTTCCCTTATCGCACGGTGGAAGGCTAGGAATCCGTGGGCGGCACCGATGCGCTGGGCGGTTTCTTGCCTGGGGGGTTCCGTCACCGTCATCTGGCTAACAAGACGCGTGATTTAGCTGCTCGTGGTCGTCATTATCTACATGATTTCACGCAAGTTTCACTCTGATTTCGGTATTCCTGGCACTGAAGTGACGGGGAGCACTCCGCTTGAGATTGCCATGCAACAGGGCCGGGGTTGGGAATGGTACGTTGAGTTGCTTCTTCCCTTGGTTGTTCCAGCCACGCTAGCCCCTAGCTTCTCGAAGAACGCATTGCGGCTAACTCCATGCTTTTGCTGTTTCTTGTTAGGTGGCCCTCGATCGTGTGGCAATTCATCTGGGCTTGGATCGTTGCGCCCATCATTCTCTGGCGCTCTCGTGGCATTCATGACACACACGGCTGGCAGAAGCAGACCATTGCCTGCTGCATTGCTGGGTGAGTACTCTTTTTTGGTTTCATTATTGGGAGGAGGTATTTCGACACAGTCCTGCGTACTAACAATGGTTGGCAGTCTCCCGGCGGCGCCTATGTGGCTTATTGCTATCTACGCCCCTGGCATGGCCCCCGTCAACCAATACTTCATCCCGCCTCAATGGTAAGTCCCAGTCCCTCCGACCCGCTCGGCACCTCCCGCGTCCAATTTATCGTGGCTTACACCTCGTTCAGGATCGCCCTTTCGATCTTTGTGATTGAGATTTGCACGGTGTTCGTCCCTTGCTGGCAGGTCCGGAAGCACCAGGCACTCCGCCAGGAGACCCTCGAGTCGATCGCGAACTGGGAGTCCAAGAAGCAGTTCGGTACCAAGACGGAGACCTCGAGCGACAAGAGCGCCCCGCCGTTGAGCCCGACGTCCACAAAGGTTGGCGACTACAGCGCTTTTGACTCGTGGAAGAAGCTGGCGCACCTTGAGTCCGGTAACAACAGCCAGAGCAACCTGAGCAATGGCCCCGACGAGAGTGTGCTCACCATGGCTGCCCTGGAGAAGGTCCTAGACAAGAACCCGGAACCCCTCCGTCAGTTCTCCGCGCGCCGTGACTTCTCCGGTGAGAACATCGCTTTCTTGACTGCCGTCTCCGAATGGAAGGCCGCTCTGCCCGCCGACTTCGCACACGATCGGTTCACCGCCAGCGAGGCAGGAGTCCGTGAGCAGTTCACCCGTGCTCTTCGCATCTACACCGAGTTCATCTCCCCTCGCGACGCCGAGTTCCCTATCAACATCGCTTGGACCGACCTGCGTAAGCTGCAGGGTATCTTCGAGCGTGCCGCGCGCAGCGTTGCTGCGTCCGGTCCGTCGAACTCCGCAACCCCCTTCGACGACAACGCGACTCTCGCTCCGCCCGCAACTGGGCGTGCGCCTCCCTCGCGCGACTCCGAGGTCCACATCCTCGGCGGCCACTCCGACCACCACCAGTCGACCCCGACCCTCCACTCGCAAAACCAACCCACCCACCTCCGCAAGTCCTCCAACACCACGTCCATCCCCTTGTCCGTCAAGTTCGCCCACCCAGACCCGCTCGACCCGCAGTCCGCCCAGGCCCAGGCCGCCAATGCCTTGCCCATCTACACCGGTGACATCCCTGAAGGGTTCGATGCCGCCGTGTTTGATGCCGCCCAGGCGAGTATCAAGTACCTGGTCCTGACCAACACATGGCCCAAGTACGTGCGGGAGAGGCGCAACTCGGACGGCAACTCGTCGACGTCCGGTACCAGCCGATCCTCGTCTCGGTCGTCGCGTGGGTCGCGCACGGCACGGAGTGACGACGGGGCCGAGAGCTCGGTTGGTGGGACAAGTGTTGGGAGCAAGATGAGCTTGAAGGGTGCGTTGGGATTCCTGAAGGGGTCGATTAACTAACGGCACCCCGGCTATCGAACGCCTCTCTTTTGGATCTCCTTTTGAAACCTTTCCGGTTACTCCTGACGTCTTTTAACAATTCGCTTCTTCGGTGCCGATAAGATCGGATCTTGGTGTAACCTCCTTTTTTTTGAACCTCCCTCTCTTTGCCTTTGGGCATTTTTTCTTTCCTTTTCCACCACCGACGCGGTTTTTATTCGTGTCCTCACGGAAATTGGATGAAGCATGCGCTCCCCCACTGCCGGACAACCCAACGTCCGTTTCATTCCCTCGAAGCTTTCTTTTTCCTTTCACCACTTGTCTACCTACACAGAATGTTTATCCCTTCCTACGGGACCCCTTACCAACAACCACAACATACACACATACCTTCAATCGCCGGCAACAAAGAATTTATGCCACAAAAAACCCTTTGTTCCGGCCTGGCCACGTAAGATAATGGGAGGAAGCGATGTGTTTTTTCTTGGGCTGTTTTTGTTTTTCCTATTTCATGCTGATGTCTTACTCGCTATCTTGACCACAGACCACATGTGGCATTTATTATTCGTCAAAAGAGGTTGGGAGGTCAAATGTGTTTCTTGGAATGATGAAACCGGTCCGGGTTTCTCGGGGGTTAAAAACGGCTTGGATGTATTTTCCATTGTTCATGTCTTTCCGTCGCAGTTTTCTCTTTTCGGCTCTCGTATTATACCCCATCCGTGTACACTATCAAATCGAACGATCATAGTTGTAGTCCTAATATCTCTTTTTTGTTGCACACATTTGCCCATATGGTTTGTTGCCCTTTTTTTCTCTTTGTGAATGGATGGATGGGTTTGGTTTTAATTGATTTTAGGGAGATATCCACCCGTCCGAGCCATCCCATCTGCCGGGCCCGTTCATCGCTGGTTACACAAGATCGACGGGACATCCACCTCCACGGGAACACGCGGGACGGAATAGTTCGTCAAACGGAAACATGCCCACCTTTTTTCGGTTTCACACCCGCGTTTTCACCTCGCGTTTCAACTAATCAGAATACCACCACACCACCTCGCGGGATGTTTCCGGGTCCGCTCCACTCCATGACAGCGCTTGTCGAGTCTGTCAAAGCTTCCTTTTTTGGACACTGTGTTCGCCGCGAGTCATCGCCATGATGTGCCCAGCGATCGGAATTTGGTATCTTGACTCAGATGACATTTCTAATATATCGAACCCACAAGATCACTCCCCATCTCCCCGTTCCTCCCGCATGGTTCGCCCGCCGCTGGTGCTCGGGATCCACGAATCCGTAATTAAAAGATCGGCAGGTACCCGGTCAAACGACGCGAAAAAGGGGGGAACCAAGGCTCCTACCTTCCCCACGACAAACCCCACCTAGGTATCGAGTGTAGTAACCCACTCGGGAAGGTTGATGGTGCGATCTTAAGTCCCCCCTAGAATCCAGAATCCGAGACCCAAAAAAGACATATTTTTTACTGAGTGAAGTTTCCGCAATCCATCCTCGCTCCGGCGCGGCGACTGTTACTTTTCCTTGGCCAAGCTTGGAGTGAGACAAAAGCCTAAAGGCGGGCCTCACATGACAAAAAGGAGATCGGTATCTGCAAGATTGCAAATTGGGGGTCAGCAAATATACCTTCTTACGGCGGTCAAAGCTCGGAAGAACAGGCTGGAGAAGCAACTGGGAAGATTGGCAAAAGCGGAACAGCTCGGTGGGGGGGGGAGGGAGACGGGGACAAGAGTGGGAACGTGAAAACTTTGGGGAAGAGAGAGGGAAAAGGAAAAGGGGTCAAGCCGCTGAGGAAGAAAAAAACATACCAAGTGGATGGCTGCACGACAGCTGGGGCTTTTGAGTGTACTTGGTCTCGAGCACGTCACGGATGCTGTTGAGCAACTGGACGTAGCTCTGCTTGGGGTTCTGCGAGAGGGCAGTCACGAAGGCCCACGACATAGCACCCGTGGCCTTGGACGCAACCGTTGCATCGGCTCTGTGGAATGTGAGTAAGTCTTTCACCACCGGCCCCTGGGTGGAGTTTTGGGGGAGGTCTTGACAAGTTAATGATCTGGGTGTAGGGGTAAACGTACGAAGTCTGGTCGTCCTTGCTCCCACTCCACATCACGACGTCGGCGGGAGAGGTCTTGGTGCGCTTGGTGCGCTCATACGCATCGTTCCCGCGCATAGCCGACTTGGCTAACCCGAAAACAGTGCTCGCAACGCTGCCGATGTCACCGCGAGCGTAGTGGCCGACGGCCTCGAGCAAGCCCTGGCCGGCTTCCTTGGCAAGGTTGGGCTCCTTGAGCACGCCCTTAGTGCTGTACAGGTACGGTAGGTCGAGGACGGATCCCGAGTGGCAGCTGTCGAAGATGGCGGTCAAGCGCACGCCGGGTTGCAGGGGGCGCACGACGAGCTCGTGGATCTGGTCATCGACGATGTGGCCGGCCTGCTTGTGATCGACGGGGTAGATAACTTCGTCATTGCCGTCCTCTTCGTCGCCGTCGAGGTCTTGGGTCTGGCCACCGTGGCCCGAGTAGTGTAGGAAGAGCGCGTCGTTGGGCTGGGCGCCGTTGACGAGCCACTGCATGGCACGGATGATGTTGGCCTTAGTGGGGTGCATGACGGGGTCCGCCTGGTCGTCGGTCAGGGTCACCATGTCCTCGCGGCGGTAGCCGTGGTGCTCCATTAAGAACCTGGACAGGTTCTTGACATCATTGATGCAGCCGCGCAGCTCGCCGGTCTGACCAAAGTAGTTGATGCCGATTAGCAGGGCCCGGCGGCGACCGGTACAGGCGGAGTACTGAAAGGTATAACCCTGGGGCGCGCCGTGGCCGAACGCCTGGGTGCCCGAGGGTGGGGCCGGGGCCGCGCGATTCGGGGCCGATCCGCCGTAGCCAGGGCCGTGGTTGATCGGGTAGCCGTAGGCGTCGTAGCCCTGCGGCGGAGGGCCGGAGGGGCGCTGGTGTTGCTGCTGGTGGTACTGCGGCTGTTGGTAAGACTGATGATGCTGGGGCTGGGCGTACTGCTGTTGCGGGGGCGGGCCGCCGTGATGGCCGTAACCCTGGTGCTGCGGGGGACCGTATCCATACTGCTGCTGCTGCGGCGGCGGTTGGCCGTAGCCGTATTGTTGCTGAGGGGGAGGCTGGCCGTAACCCCCGCCTCCGTAGGGAGCAGGCGGCTGGCCGTGATGCCCTCCCGAGCCTCCGTAGCCTTGTCCAGGGTATCCGGACATGGTGTAACGTTCGGTCGGTGTCGCGACAATGTAGTGGGGTTGGGAAATGGGAGCTGGCGGGGAAATGAGAATACCCGAAACCGGCGATGAAGATGGGCGCTTTGGAGTGTTTTTGCGGGTTTGGTGGGGGAAAGTGAAAAGGAGTTTTTGGTGTTTTAAGTTTTGAAGTGAGAGGGTAGGTGCAAAGGACGTTGGTCACAGGTTCCTTCTGTGCCTCTTCCAACTTTCTTTGCCTCAGTCATTCAGCCCTCGCACGGGTAACCTGGCAACGCATGGAAGGCACGGAGCCCGGACGGCGCCTGGCCGTGGTGGGGAAGTTGCAGCTGAGGGGTCGTGGCATTCAGACGAATTACAGCCAAGAACGCCTGCCCGATGCTGTGTGGGTGCTGCCGTGCTCACCGTGGCAGGCCTTAGGGGACCTCCTTCGTACTTCTATCCAGTTTCGCTGCTGGCGCGGGGTCTTTTGTGGATTCCGACTTCCTTCATTAGAAAAAATACTCCATTCGGGAGACAAGCACAACGGAACACCGTTCTTTTTTTCTCACAAGTGTCACGCTTGGCTCAATGACTGCATGACTTGGCTGCATTGCCAAACCGACAAAGAAAAGAGGCCGCCGACGGGACCCAGGACGGTTTTCTTCCCATGTCATTTGGCGCGCGCGACATGACTGGTCTTTGTTCAACCCGGCCGCGGGGCCGAGGCGCCCAGGGTCGTTGCGAGGATTCGTTGTGCATGCGCGCGCGCGGCTTGGGGCTGCATGGTGGGGTTGACGATGAGGGGTCAGGTTGCGTGGTCGGCTTTGTGCTTGCATCAGAAACCCCTCTGGTTTGACGATTAAACGGCTACTCGCCGGAGGGAGCCAACAGGCATTACAACGGCCTGCCGCAGGCGCGTGAATAGGCGAAAGCAACCATAAAAGTTCCCAGGGCTGAACGGATCCCGGGCCGCTCCCGCACATGGGCTTTCCAGTTTCCACTCCTCGTGTTTATTCCACGCTCCTGCTTTTCTTTTCTTTTAATACTTCCAAGCTGCCATCAACTTACGGCCCCAAGTCTGCACAAGTTCAGCGCTCCAAAGGGCTACCTCAGGTCGAGGCAATATCACCAGCATGGCTTTCTTCAAAAAGTACGCCGACGGTCTCGTCGACGATATCGGCCGCCTGGGTCTGGGCGACAAGGACAGGAATGAGCGCAAAGACGATAACCAGTATGCATCTAGCCGCGACGGCTACGGTGGCCAGAATCCGCCCCAGCAGTACCCTCCCCAGGGACAGTATCCTCCTCAACAATACTCCCATCAAGAGTACCCTCCCCAAGGAGGTGGAGGATACGGTCAGCAGAGTCAGCAGCCCTACTCTCCTCCCCCGGGATCGTACCAGTCTCCGCCGCCGACGCACGGCGAGTATCGCCCCCCACCGCAAGAGCAGCAATACCCGCCGCAGCCTCCTCCCCCGGGTTCTCGGCCGCCTCCTCCATACACCCCGCCAGCCGATAAGCCCCCTCTTTCCTCGGGCTGGACTCCTCGCTGGGATGAGGAGTATCAGCGCTGGTACTGTACGTACAGGGATCGCAATGGAGGTTGAAAGTTAACTGGTTTCACACACTGACGCGCTCCCACAGATGTAGAGGATGCTACAAACCACACCCAATGGCACGCGCCCGGCACCCCGCATCCCTCCTCGTCTGGGGATGAGAGTCGTGGGCACGGGACACCGGGCGGCTACTTCCCTCCTACCGGCGGCGACCACGGCTCCTCGCATGGTTTCGCTTCCCCCAGTCACGGAGGCGGTGACCACTACGGTGCTCATGCGCCCCAGGGCTACGGCGGGGGTAGCTACGACGAGTCGGGACGTGGCGAGAAGCACAAGGAGAAGAAGGGCCATGGTGGCTTGCTCCTGGGCGCTGCGGGCGGTTTGGCCGTAGGCGCCGTCGCTGGTGCTGTTGTCGCTCACCGCCTTAGTATGTTCTTTCATTCCCTAGACCCCCTACTGCTTAAACCCGAGAAAAAAAAAGACAAAGAAGACAAAAAGGAAGAAAAACTTGACCTTCTCTGACGCGGCATACTTTGTCCACTTACAGACGACGACTCGTCCTCAGACGACGAATACCACGGGGGGGGCCACTCTAGCTATGGGGCCGCGGCCGCCGTTGCTTCCCATCCCTCGACTACCGTGACCAACAACTATTACTACGATGAGTCTTCCGCCCCACCTCCTGTCCCGCCGCAGGACTTTGGGGGCGGCGGCTACGGCGGTAGTGGCGGGTACGGTGGCCCTGAGCCGGGTGTACTTCCGACGCACGATGCATACGGCAATGAGATCGATAGCAGTGATCGCGAGTCGCTGAAAGAGGCCCGTGATGATTATGAGGAGGCACTCGAGGAGGCGGCGAGTTCGTCGGCGAGCAGTAGCGAGCGAGAGGAACTTGAGGAGGCGCGCGAGGAGTACGAAGAGGAGTATGAGGAGGCGTATTATGATGAGTAGATGGACTGGGTGTGGTTGGTGCGCGCGCGTTGAGCAGAGGACGTTTATGATAGAGATGTCATTTGAGAAATTGAATTTTAGAAGTAGGTTGTAGTTCCGGTGAGTGCGGTTGACTCCAGTAGAAAAGAAGTTGTTTCGGCCCTCGGGGGATAATTGAGTTGTCACGGGGGCCGCCAGCTGGAATATAATGTATGACATCGTCGTTCGACTCGTTCCCCTCTTCTCGGCAACAGTATCCGAAATTCAATCACGGCCCGATTGACGATTCCCACAAAACCCTACATAGTGTAGTAATTCCTGCATCCTGTCAAACATGTCAAGAAGCATCGGATTGTCAAAATCACTAAACGTTGGTCTTTCATCACAGGGGGTGCTTCCCCGGATATCCGGACATGAAAATAGCCGCACTACCAATTATTGCAACTGGTGGACGACCATCCAAGTGGGCCTCCAGCTGCTCAACAAGCTTAGCCTAGATTCTGTCCACAGCTTGGCCGAGCTTGCCTCGCCTTCCAGCCTCACTAGAAAGCTTGCTTCCGGCCACCACCAACGCTTGCTGGCCGGAACACCACACTTCCGGGCTGGGTGGCGCCAAGGCAAACGACCGCTTCGGGAAGGGAGTGGCAGGCTGAGGAGTGAATGCTCCGTAATATGGTCACTTCTACTCGTTCCCCGTATGGAGGATGACGACCAACTTCCATCAACCAGTTGGTCATCCAGTACCATCGTGGCTCCTTCGTCCCAAAGCGGAACGGGTTCACGGAAGCGTGAAGTTAACTCCGATGGTAATTGGTGTTTTCGGTTTCGGGTACGACCTTACTTCGAAATCACCGGCTCACCAGGCACGGCCTCCAGGGATTGCTCACCATCACGATGGAGCTATGATGTCGCTTTTGGGGGCGTTGAGGGGCCGTATGCAAGGACGAAATGTCAAACAGCGAGCCCGACCGTCGACGCTAGGAGTCGGATGTGAACTGTTCCGTCTTCCAGGAAATTGGGAATTGTTGCGCTGGCCTAGACTGTGACATTGGATTCATTGTGTGTATCCACGAGAGTTCCAATGACGAGACCGCGATGGATCATGGTGGCCCTTGATGAGTGATGATGAAAGTTGTTGAGGGGATCGGGAATAACTCCAACGCCCGAGGAACTAGCATGTTGGACTAATGGCCACAGGGGGTGGAAGACCGAATGAAGAATGGATGTGATGGCCACAAGAATTCAACGGATTCAGTGTAGTCGTATATAATTGTGGTGCTCTCCTAATTAGCAGACGCCCCTTGGCTGATCTGAGTCCCCCATCTGACTGTGCTTTCGACTCGTCGACACGAGTCTTCTCAACCATCATGCGTTTTGTTCAAGTTATTCCCATCTTGGCCACCCTGGGAGGTGTAACCGCCCAGAGGCCTAAAGACACACCTATTTGCGACTACTACACCACTGCCCTGTTCAAGAACAATACGGCGGAAAACCAGTACACCCTCTTGACTGCTCTTGTCAACACTGTTGTCATTGGCAACTGTAAGTTTCAACTTTTGACTTCCTTTTTCTTATTAGGTAGTTTCGAGTCTAATCAACCACCACAATTCTCAGACACCCAGCCAAATGTCGGCGTCTCCGTCCCCGGTATCCTCGCCAAAGGCACCTTCGATGGTACCGAGGTGAACCTTCTGCCGTACTTTGACGGCACCCGCAAGAGCACCAACCGCGGCGGTGACAAGGGCGTTTCGGTCAACTTTCTCGACGGAGGGGGTGCAGAGCCTCTGAAGAAAAACAAGCCTGCTGATGATGAGAAGTCTCATCAATAGTAAGTTCCCCAAGTGTCTAATGATTCGTGAACTTCATCACTATTTCAATGACTAACCTCAGCGCCCACCCTCGGGCCTTCAGTTTCCTCCTAACCCATCTCTACCAATTCTTCGGCTCCCTCCTCGGCTGCACCCAACAAGGCATGCCCGGATTCGACTCCTACACGGGCGCCGCCTCCATGTTCCAAGTTCACCGCTTCATGGATCTTGGTCCAGCCGAGCTCGGCTATTTTGTCCAGCAGGTCGCGCTCGCAGCCTCGTCGTTTGGTGTCGCTGAGGACGACATCAAGGCCGTCGGTACGGCGCTCAACACGCTGTTTGGCATGCGCTGTGCCCCGCCGGCTACGGCAATCAAGAGTCAGGGGAACCAGCTGCAGGCGATTTGCGTGGACAAGAGCTGCCCCCTGGCGATGGATGCGATGTGTAGCAAGTATGACAATCCGGACAACGGTGGTGGTACGGGCTCGTCGGCTTCGTCAATGAGTATGAGTATGACCGTGGCGCCGACGGGGACGACGGTGGCTCCTACTTCCACGGCAGCTACGGCCACGGACTCGGTGTCGACTGGCGGTGCTGCCGCGACAGGGTTGGGGCTTTCGGGCGTCGCGGCCTTGGGCTTTGCCGCGTTGTTGTTGTGATTGTCATCCATAACCCCAGTATACCTACTCTTTGAGATCCTATGGGGGCGGTTTTGGATACCCCCATTGTACATTAATTACACATCCTAAAAACTTGCAAATCAAAACTGTGTCATTTGAACGTTACTACAAGCAAGGGACCGGGCAAGATATGAGTTAATATATGGCTTCGGGACCGGGCTTCCCGTTTTACTGGACCCCAAATCGTGCGGTGACTTGGTTCCTTGTTTAGTGGTCCTGGTCTTACTCTAGGAGCAAGATACGGCGGCAACCATGTGTTAGAATCATCTGCGTCGTAAACTGAGGGACGTGTTGTCGGTAGATACCCGCCGGTCTGACTGCACCGGGGGGACCATTCGTGGCGCCACGAAACTTCCCACGCATAGCTCCTATCCCACAAGAAAGGTCTGGTACGACTTGTGCGAACAAGTTGCGGTGAAGGTCATTTTTGATTGTGGTGAGTTTGGTTTCATCCATCAAGACCTCTATATGGAGGCCCAGAACCTGCCCCAGGTTGACTGCCCAAAACCGGTTCGTGCAACGGCCGCGGTCCTCGCCGTGCAGCCTGGTTGCAGGCCTATGTACGAGAAACCGGAGACACTCTCGAGTCCCGGGCGATGACCGGTGGCGTCCGTCGCTGGGCCCAGGCGTATGGCGGCAGTTTGATGGGTAGATATGACCAGAAGGTGTGGCAGGCCCAGGGGAAACGGTCAACATAGATGACCCAGTCCGTCCAACTTGGGGTATTTGTTCCTCCACGCAACAACGCAAACATCCCCAATTGATCCATGTTCCTGCAGCCCGCTCAAACCATTTTGTTCTGCCAAAATGAACGCCGTTATTCTCGTTTAACCATGCCCGGTCGACTTAACAATCCCACCAGAGCCCCCGTTGACCTCCGTGCTGTACTGGGGACGGGGCTATGCTGTTTGGTTATGCTTCGCCCTCTTAACGCCCCCCACGCTCGTCCCCGCCAATCCTCTCGAGTGCCTCTAACATAACAACCGAGTTACCGCGGATAACCACCATGCCAAGTCTCGCTTTCTCTCCGTTGTCCTTCTCCTCGACCGCGTCATCTAGTACAATGTTGAGGAAGACCTAGATCCCATGTGAGCTTTTGTCGTGTGTTTAAAAGAGTCAAACGTAGGATTGTTCGTACATCGTATCCACGGAGCACGCCAATGACTTTCCGGCTACCGTTGAGCTGGACAAACAGCCGCTTGTCGAGGTACTGGGAAGAGTCGGTCAGCGCAATCGGGCATACAACAGCGGATTGGGAACACCAACAAACCTTCTTGAGCTCCGGTTGGGCGGGTGCCATGTTTATGTACTGTGTGTTGTCGCGGGCCGAACTAGATGGGCTAGAAAGGCGTGTTGTTGGGCGTCGGCAACTACAAGTCTTGGGGTATTGACATGGAGTGGATGCACTGCGCATCAGAGGCACGCGCTTTGGACTGGGAAATCTGGGGGGCAGTGATGTCACGTGGAGGTCCGATAAGAGCGATAAGGCGCGCGAGGTTCGACTTGGCGAGCTCTACCGCGGCTTCGCAGCTTGACTTCAACTCTTTGTAAATATCTCAAGCCATTTGCGACTATCGGCTTGAATAATTTCCCACAATGAGCTCCTTTGCGGCAAAGCGGAAAGCCCGCGTTATTCAGACGTTCGACGACGACGGAAACGACCCAAACCCACAATCCACCACTAGCGACGAGGGGCAAAGCGACCGTAAGTTGTCTGCTACTATTTCGGCACAAGCCCTCCTCAATGGCCCTCCGTTGCTGATTCCGTCTCCACAAAAGAGCGAGCAAGCTGATGCGCTGCCGGCAGAATCAGCGCCCATAGGGCGGATCAGGTTTGGCCGCAACAAACCGGCCAAGTCATCAGCTCTACGCAAGAGCATTCACATCAATGACGAGCTAGAAGACGACCCAACTTCCGCGCCCGCCACATCAAGACGCGACAATGGAGAAGATCGCGGCGATGAGAATGAATCCGGAGCTCCAGTTGTCGTTCGGCCGACTTTCGGCCGCGCCGGCTCCTCGAAGGTGAAGAAGCGACCTGGGTCCACTCGACTTTCCTTTGGACCTGGCACGGCCACTACCGACGCAAACGAAGATAATGAGGACTCGGCCGGGGGAGGGGTCGTCAAGCCGTTTACGCCAAAGAAGCCCCTGGGCCAAAGGATACTGGGCAGCAATGCGCTTCGCAAGTCGGCCTCCCTGCAGAACTTGGCTGGGGACCTTCCCATGCGTTTCGGCGCGGAGGAGGAAGCGCCAAAATACAGCAAGGAATACCTCGAGGAGCTGCAAAGCTCAACACCGAACACACCGCAGAACCTAGCTTCTCTCCAGATCCGCGACGAAGACGAAATGGAACTGGACCAGGCCGAATTGGAAGGTGCCCTAGTCGTGCAGTCCACCGAGGTCGCCCTTCCACCAGCTCGCCAGGGCGCGCCGGCCAGCATCCTCACCGAAACCGAGATTCGGGAACGCAAAGAACGCAGAGCCCGTCTTGCCAAAGAAGCCGACTTTATTTCGTTTGACGACAATGGATCCGAAAACGATGAGGAACAAAGAGGAGGCGACCGAGGCGAGGGACGCCTGACGGTCAATTTTCCCACCAAGAAAAAAGAAACTCGGCTCATCGCCGAAGACGAAGATCTAGGTGAAGGGTATGACGAGTTTGTTTCCGACGGCCAGCTAGCCCTGGGCAAAAGAGCTGAACGCGACGCCGTCAAACGCCACCGGAAGGAAATGGCAGATCTAATTCAAGCTGCTGAAGACGGGTCGGACGCCGAGAGCGATGACAGCGAAGCCGAACGGCGGGCAGCATATGAGGCCGCACAACGGCGCGCGGGGATGGACGGGTTACACCGGCCGGATGAAGATTTAGACGCAAATGGGTCCAGCTTTGGGGCGGATGGAATTGTCATCCCCCGGATGAAGCCGCTTCCCAAGCTCAAGGAAGTCATGCAGCGTATGCGCGAGAATGTGCAGGGGCTTGAGGATGAAGTCAACCGGAAACAGACACGAATTCAGGGTCTGGAGAAGGAAAAGGAGGAGATTTTGGCGCGAGAGAAGGAGGTGCAAGAGATTCTGAACCAGGCCGGAGCCAAGTACCAGGCTGCCGTTGCGAGCGCGGGTGGTGGGCATATGGGCGATGTCGCGAAGGTGGCCATGACCACAACGACAGCCGCAGCCGCAGCTCCGGGGAATACACAGTCACCGCTGCCGGGTTTACCGCCAGGCCTGGCTGGGCATTTACCGGTCGAGCGGGGGTTGGAGAGTTTCGGGGCGACACCGACGCGTAGAGAGGATACAGAGGAGATGGCGTAATGTGTTTGATGGGGAGAGTAGCGCTGTTGATATGACATTGGAATTGTACAACAGTTTGGTGGCGGGCAAGTCCCGAGCATTGAACAAATAACCAAAGCACATTGCATTTGTGATCATGATACTAAGTCTAAACGCAAAATGATCGATCCAACACCGTATCTGCCATGCCGACGCCCTGAATACGTATGATACACCGCACAAAACTTCCATCGCACCACGACCCGCTCGTTCATATATCACAGATCACCCCTCTTCCTTTCTCACGTGAACTGATACACGCAAAGCTTGACGTAATGTAAAGAACAACCTAAAAGCACCCATCGATTTACCCTTCCTTCCCTCACATCCTCTCCCACTCTGTGACCTTCCTCTGACCGCTCAATTACTTCGAACGACTGACACCAGCACCAATCACGCCAGGCAACTTCTCCTCGCCGACATTAAATAGCAGGCTGATCGCAAATGTGACGGCACCGACAAGGAGAATCGTGAACCCGGCCAGTATCCAGAACTGCACGCTGACATCCTCCTTTTGACACATGTTGCCGCCCCAGTGCACTGTCTTGCGGCCTGGCGTGCGGGCACTGTCACCGCGGTCAATGACGGACGCCTTGCACGCGCACACGAAGCAGCTGGGACCGGTGCTGTCGCCCTCGTCGCGGTCGGTGAGGGGGGATGCGGCGCTGCTGCGGCGGGCGTACTTGTCAACGCACTCGCCGTGGCCGGAGCACGAGTTTGTTTCGGTGGTGCAGCGGCTTAGGGACGAGAAGCATTGCGGGATAGCCTTGGCGCGAGGCGCGGAAGAGGGTTTCTTCTCCTGGCGTTGTTGGTCCAGCTCCTGCGGCGCAGCAGTTGGGCCTGGGCGGGTGCTGTCGTCTTCCAGATCGGTGATGACCATCTCGGCGTCGCGACGACGGCGAAGGTCAGGGCTGGCCCCAGCGGCGGCGGAGCTCCAGTGGTTGAGCTTAGAAGAGCGGGTAGACTCGGGCATCGCGACGAGGAGGACTTCGAGATCGCCATCGGCGACGAACTTGTTGACCCGGGAGAGGTTGTCAAACAGCGAATCAAGTGTATCGGGAGACTATATTTTGAGGGTTTGCAGCGTTAGCACTACTGTTTCCCCAACCGGCCATGCGCGTTTCGGATTGGGGCAAGGGCCTTCTCTTACGGTTCGCAGGTCGTACTTGACGACTGAGGACGAGCCGGTCCAGCAGTCCGCCTCGAAGGGATTGATCGCGGCGGACAGCTCGCATTGCGGGGACGATGCGATGCCGAGGTTTTGGAACTGCGATATTAATTCCTTGTTGGCCGCGGCCGAAGGAGGGTCCGAGATCGTGAATGCTACATCCTGCCCCAGCTTCTCCCTGAGCTGGCTGGATTGTTTCGCGACAGCACCCTCTAGGATAACCACTAGCTGGGCTGGATCAGCGGCATGGCTAGAAGCTGTAAATAGCGGCGCGGGGGTCTTGCCGAATGCCGCAAGGTGGGCTACGGTAGCCTCGATGTCGACGGAGTTGGGAATGTCGCGGAGGTCGCTGCCGTATCGTTGCCTGGAGGTCTACCGGAGGGAATCATCGGTTAGTCTTGGAACGTGAATCACCGAATCAGGTAGAATCATGAGTGTGGTATATGGGAAGGGGGATGAGTTACCCGCTGGAGGAGAATATGGCGGGCGACTTCTTTGGGGATGCTCGGGGTCTCGGATGAGCTCGGCCGTGATGATTGTAGCACGAAGACGTCGGCGCTGCTCTGCTGGGTCGCGGCAGCTGCAAGCCCGGAGACGGCCGCCGTTGTGAGACCGACAGCGAGCCTCATTGTGTAGATTGATTGCCCAAATTCTCCGTTATGTGTTGCGGTCGAGCTCGATGATTGAGGGCGGGCTTGGTGGTCCAGTCGTTGGATGTTGTTTCGTCAATGTCGCGGCTTGTTCTGGCTCAGTTCCAGGTTGGTTGGCGGCCCACAGCTGGGTGGTTGGTGCCGGGATGTACATCCAGGCCGCGTGCATGTCCTGAATGGCCCGTGCGCTAGGCGAGAAGGAATGCTCTCTGCCCCACGCAGATCCGCTGCGCAGGCGTGAAATCGCGACTGGGGTCAACTTTCCAGTCGTTACAGATTACCCTTCCATCGATGGGCGATTCTGAAAGTCGACCCGACAATTTCCCAACCCTTCGACATCGGCCTCGACATTTTCTCCCCGCCATCCTCACCCACCACCACGACTGCCTCGTTCGACAGGTCCGTACCCCTTATTCGGTTTAACCACGATTCCCGCTCCTCGCTGCCGTCGATCATATTGAGGTGTGCAACGAGGCCCTCCGGCGCAACAGGGTCCGATTTTCGTCGTCAACCTCCGGTTTTCGCCCCCTTGACGGCGCGGATCCAAGACTCGTCGAAACCGACCGCACCCGTCCGCACCTAAACCACCCCTAACGCTCGCCATTCTTCCAAGCCGGTGTTCGCTGTGTTTTCGTATCCCTCTCGGCCGCCGCTTGGCGCGCCGAGGCCATCATCATCACCATGTCGCGTTCATTCTACCGCCCACTCCGTGGTCTATTGAGTTCCTCGAGCCGGATATTACATCGGCCAACCGGGCATAGTGTTCGGTTGGAAACTGTCAAAGTTAGCAAAAAGAACACTTTTTTTCGGACAACGTAAGAGTTACGCCCCACCTCGGGCGTTAAAAACCACCTGCTGATATCGAGTTGGATAGATTTACGCTGTTCAAAGTCTTTCTCGCCACAGATTTGGCATTCATTGTGTATCGTATGGGCCGCGATTACGATCCCGGGGAGGTGCAAGACAGGTCGGATTCCTTAGCCACCGTACCACTGCCTCTCACAACGAGGCAACTACCGACCGAACTGTATGATAAAAGGGGGCCGGAATGGAGCCAGTTCAAAAGGTTTGCCCAGGACCCTGAGGCTCAACGCAAGGTCCGGTGTAAGTTCGGCCGGTGTGCTCCGGGTTCCGATGTTCGCCGCTAACATGGAGTGTAGCTGACTTCTTCCGATATGCGTTTGATGCCATACGTGAAGCTCATGGGCCCTTGGATTCCACAGGGGGATGGCTGACTTTCGCCTACCCCCAACATGCGCCTCCCGTTTGGGTACGGACCTGGTAGGCCTCGTCTTGTCCCTTCCGTATCTCTCCCCTTATCTGTCCGCCTCTTCCGCCCCCCACTGCTTTTTTTTTTTGTTCCGGGGTTGGCGTTGCTGCCGCGGCTCTTGACTATATCGCTTCTTCACACTGTTTACTAGTACTGCTAACACAATGAGCAGCCTCCGTATTCCCAAAGACCGGCTCACCCTTGAATTGGTGACCATGCCCCACGAATCGTTGGAAATACTCACCGTCAGACGATTTCTGTGGCCCCGAGTCATCTTACAAAGTCACTGGGCCGCTGGGAAAGCGTTAGTTAAGCAGCGGGCCCGTGAGGCGGCAGAATATTTTGGCTTCGCTTCCGAGGAACGTGGAAGTTCGCAGAAACCCCCGTTTTCAAAGTCACCGCCGGGGCCGCCGACGCCCCCATTAGCAACAACTCCCGGGATGCAGAAACAGCTGCAACAAATGGGTCGGCCAACGACCCAAAAGCCCGAAGCAGTCAACAACCCCGGTGCCTCCGTATCTTCACCGGCGGCCGCGCCGGCGGCAGCCTCAGCAGGAAAACCAGCACCTATCCAAACGGGCCAGGACGCCGATAACGAGGAAGCGCGGAACGTGCTAAAAGAATTACCAATCTATATCGCCGCGTCCCAGTCATGGAAGGACTTGAGGGAAGCGTATCGAAAACGGCGACCGAGACTATTACCAATGCCCGCGCGCGGGTCGATCCGCGTCACCGGTGTCGTTGAGGCACGGGTGCAGAACCACTTCGCCGTATTCGATGTGGAGGCATTTTACCACCCGAAAACGTTGGTGCGAGATCCCTACTGCACCCGGATTTCTCTACGAACATCTCGACCTATCGCTTTGTGAGAGTTCATGGCGTGGACGGACAAGACGAATTCCGCGGGCCTAGTTTCATCGATAGTGGTCCGACAGCCGAAGTTTGGTCGCTTGGACCTAGAAATATGGGGGTGGTTGGAGACGTGACGACAGTCCGATGAAACAGCTGGCCGCTTTTCCATCTTTCTCCATCTTGCTGCATTTCATGCACTTTTTTCTTCGGCGCAAGCGCCTTGGTGAGCGGGACGGGATAAAGGATGGGTTACATGGTTTTTGTATATCCCGGCGAGCGGCCTAGAAATATCCATTGCCTTGAGTTCATTGCACCGGTGCATCGCGGAAAGTTCCATTCTTGCCTGCGGTCTCCTCCCCCCCCCCCCCTTTTGAGTTTGGCTCGGGCCCCGCTTGCGCCCAGCCAGGACACTAGCTCACTAGCTTCCGTGGACCCGCTGTCCCGTCCATCGGGGCCGATCTTCGTTCGGCGGCCCGCGGCCGGTCTTCAAGGACGACACAACACAACACTGAATGACTAGCGTTCATCGCGCGACGGCCCTTTTCCGATGCACCATTACTACCATTGTGGCTCCTGGTCCGTCTTCTCCCGACTCGTCACCGAGACACCGACCAGTACCGGTCATACCCGCGACCCCGTGGCCCAGCCGCCGAGGTTGAACAGAGAAAGCACACGTAGGTAACCTAACTTACTTGCCGATGCACGCAATATGGAATTCTGTTTGTGCATGAGAAAACTCTTCTTGTTTTTTCACCGGTAGCGACCCCGTCCTGGTCCAGGTCCGAGAAATGAGCGATCCAGTTAGACTCGTGCCTGACGAAACGTTGGGCGGTGCAGGCCCACTCGATTACCGGCGAGAATGTGATAGCATTGAGATCCCCGGCTGACCGACAGTGTGGACATGAAGCGCCAAGGGTTGTAACTGATAAGGAGGTCATCGTGGTTGCGAATTCCGCCTGAGCCACCCCCCGATACCTCCGGGTTTCCGACCCGGCTGCCTTGGCACGGAGTGAGCCGACACCTCTCCCGCTGATCGGAACTTGGCCCCCTGTTGATCAGCGCATCGCGCCTGGGCACCACTCGGGAACAATGCGGCACAGCACTACAATCCCAGTCGTTTCACTCAATCTCAGTTGTGCGTTTGCCGCGTCGCTGGGTGGTCCGATTCCAGATCCGAGATGCCTATTTCCCAGTGTTTTATTGGTTGCTGGATCGTGGCTTGGCACAAGTGGTCAACGCTCTTATTCGAAGCTAGAAGTCGTTAGTTACCTTGTTGACCGCGCGGTCCGGCCCTTCGTCCAGAAAAAAAACAGAGAACATGAGGAAAGCCTCATTTCGAAGTAAAGAATACTTTCACCTACGCTCATAGTATCGGGAAGTTTATTGGTATCATTGGAAGTGCAATTCAGCGTGTAACTTGACCAGGCAATCAAAAGGTTTTAAACGCCCACGCGGAAGACGACATTCTTCTAGCAAAACTATGTTGTTTTGGAAAGGGAAGGAGGTACTCCGTCCTTGATGAGGCTCCACCAGGACCTACACCACTAAAATCACCCGGCCGCGTCATCCACTGTTTGGCATGGGTTTGTTTCCCGACCCCTTCCTAGGTTTTATCACCTACTCTTAACTCCCCACTCACAGGTGGTGGATAATGAAACAAGATGGGCCCAAAGCAGCTCCAGGCCCTTGCCCGGGCGTTGCTGAGCTTATTGTCTGCGCCAGTGCCAACACGTGTTGCCGTTTCGGGCTTTGAGCACGTCGGATCGCAACGAGGCCAGCAAGGTTGACCGGTTTAGCAGGGCAATGGCAGGGGGTTTTTCGAAACCGGGTAGCGAAGGGCGGGACGGAAAGCAAGCTGAACGATCAAGGATTAGATTTTTCCGGTGCCCCTGGTCCTGGGTTGGGTTCTAGTGTAGCTGAGCCGCCTGTCATTCGAAGGCCCCGTGGGATGTAAATATTGAGAGAACGCCGCCTCCCCCGCCCCCAGTCTCGGTGGCCCCCATAACATTTTACAAGTACCCTTCTTGGGAAGATCTAGAGCCGGTGCCAAGTGTCTCACGGCTTCCTATTTTTCGAAATGACGACTCAACCTCGAATCGACGAGCTTCCAGACCAGCCAGGACGCTTCACAACCACAGCAGACACGACGATGATGACACACGTAAACCGGCGGGCCGACGTGGCCGACGTCGAGGACGATGGAGCCGGTAAGCATGCCGTAGCTAAGGAGCAGAGTGTGGCTATGGCAACCCCGATCTCGTCCGCATCATCGTGGATGGAGCAGCCCGAGTCTGAGTCCGACCATGTCCGGGAAACAGAACAACAATCACCAAGGGGAGGGTTGCTAGGCCGGTTGCTGGCGCCTTTCTCGTCCTCCCGAAAGGAGCAAGGTGGCTTCGCCACTGCGACAGCGATCGCGAAGAGCTCCGAAACAGACCTGTCCTCGGACGACGAGAGGCCACCGACACCACCACTCCCACCAGCCGACAACAAGCCGGACGCCGGGCCCGACCCCCCATACCACGTGTTTACCACGCGGAAAAAATGGCAGATTGTGTACATTGTCTCGTTGGCGGGCTTGTTCTCACCGCTATCGAGTAACATTTACTTTCCTGCGCTGGGGGACATTGCCGAGGTGAGATACATCTTCTTGAATCCACGCAATGGGGGGACGGAGATAGGGCAACACGTGGAAGGCTAACCGGTTGGGTCTTATAATAGTACACCGAGACAAATATTGCCATGATCGCGCTGACCGTGACGGTCTACATGATTGTCCAGGGGTTGGCGCCGTCCTTTTGGGGTCCGTTGAGCGACACGCGCGGACGCAGGATCACCTTCATTGGCACCTTTGCCGTGTACCTGGCGGCGAACATCGCATTGGCGTTCAGCGATGACGAGTTTGAGATTCTCATGGCGTTTCGTGCGGTGCAAGCTGCAGGGAGTGCTGCGACAATTTCCGTTGGTGAGTCCAGAGTCTAGACTGTCTAGTCATAGTCTTGGATTGTTTTTCTCCTCGTCGTCTTGAACCAATGAGGTGTAGATTGTTAACTGATCGTCATCTAGGCGCTGGCGTCATTGGCGACATCACAACCGCAAAGGAACGCGGTGGATTCATGGGCAGCTTTGGTGGCAGTAAGTCAAAAAACAAGCCCTAACTCCCCACCCCCCGGCATTCCATGCCATCAACTTAAGAATGTTGCCCAGGATGTAGCGTTACATCCGGGTACGCGAACCGTCCCGACCCGCGCAGCCAAAACTGACCGTTTCCACCACCCTCCCTAGTCCGCATGCTTGGCCAAGCCGTCGGCCCCGTCATTGGCGGGATCGTAACAGAATACTTTGGGTTCCACGCCATCTTCTGGCTACTCTTCATTCTGGGCGCGATTGCCTTGGCGCTGGTCGTCCTCTTCCTCCCCGAAACCCTGCGCCGGATCGCGGGCAACGGCACCATCCCGCTTCGGGGGATTAACCGGCCCTTCGTGTACCAGTCTCTCAAAAAGGACTGGACGGCCCTGCACCCGGACGACGACCCGAACGCCGAGCCCGAAAAGGCGCCCCAGATCACGCTTTCCTCTGTACTTTCCCCGCTCCGTTTCCTCTTCGAAAAGGATGTCTTCTGCACGCTGCTATTCGGCGCCGTCGTTTACGCCATCTGGAGCTCCGTTACGTCCTCGTCCACCGCCCTCTTCCAGCCACGCTACAACCTCTCCGATCTCCAGGTCGGCCTCATTTTCCTCCCCAACGGTGCGGGATGTATCTTGGGGTCGTACCTGACGGGCAAAATCCTCGACCGCGACTACCGCACCGTCGAGGCACAGTACCGCCTCGAGAAGGGCCTACCCGCCGATGCGCCCGTGAGCAGCAAGAAGACAGCCGATTTCCCCGTCTCACAAGCCCGTTTGCGCTCGGCATGGTACCAGGTTCTCATCTTCGTCGCGAGTATCGGCGGGTACGGGTATGCCATCACGAGTCCCGTGCTAGGCACCTCGCCGAGCGGCATGGCCGTGCCGCTGGTGCTGCAGTTTATCATTGCGTTTACGGCCACCGGGCTTTTTACGCAGAACAGCGCGTTGATGGTGGATCTGTACCCGGGGGCCAGCGCAAGCGCGACGGCGGTCAATAACCTGATTCGTTGTGCCATTGGCGCCGCCGGCGTGGCCGCGGTGCAGTTCATTATTGATGCGATTGGCGCGGGCCCGACGTTTTTGATGTTTGCCGGGGTGACGGTTGCGCTGTCGCCGCTGTTGTATCTGGAGTGGGTGTTTGGGAATCAGTGGCGCATGGCCAGGATGGAGCGGCTAGAGCGAGAGGCGGCTGAGAAAAATGGCGTGGATGGGGGGGAATCGGGGAAGAGTGCATAAGGTAGTGGGGAGTCTTGGGATTGTCGGGAGGCCTGCCCACCGGCTTTCTTCTCTGTCTTTTTTCTTTTTTTCTCTTGTTTCTTTCTTCTCTCTCGTCCATTTCTTGTGCTTGCTTTTTTTTCTCTTTCCACCTCAGTTCAAAAGTTACCTTGGTTTGTTTTTTTCGGTGGGCTAGATGGCGGGGCATTGGGAAGCAGGCTAAGAAATGGTTTGCTTGGTCCAAGATGGGAATGGGTTTGCATTTGCGTTTTTCTGCCGTTTCTTTTCTTTCTCTTTTGCTAATTTTGTTGATTTCCTTCCATTTCACACTGTTTTCCCATCCGATTCTTCTCAACTCACTGTTGTTCTCTTCTCTTGTCATTATTTTCCTGTTTCACCTTTTTTCTTTGCTGAAAAGTTATGTCTCGTTTAGCCAGCACCGGCATGGCGTGGATGGGATTACAGGGCTTTTAGGGTACAGGGGCACATTAGAGAGTGTGGTCTGGGGGGTGAAGGTTTGGGACCGGCGGTAAAAAATGCATCATTTTCTTGATATTCCCGTTTTCCCTAACGAGTTTGATCGTGAACTGTGCCTAACCGACAAACAGTGTTAAGAAAGCTTGACAAACTCTTACCTGTGCCAAATGTTGTCAAAAGGCTCGTGTCCACCCACGCCCATGTTTTCACCCACGCTTCCGTTTGTCTTGCTCCTTTGCTGCCCCTGAATCACCGCATGATGGGTGTGCAACGGCCCTTCATATTGGTGCAATGGGCGGTTCTCCTTCAAGTGAGAAGACAAAGCCCTTGGGTCCTCTGCCCTTGACACCAAACCTGTGTGATTGTCAGGCTGTTCCTGGACCGCAAAATGTTGGACAAAGAGGCCAGGAAGTGCCCTTCCCTTGTGTTGGTCTCCGGACGAGGAGCCGGAGAAAAAGACAAACAATGCTGTGATGGTATTAAACTGTTGAACCTCAAAAAGCGTCGAGCCCTGTTGAATGCAGCACTGGCCAGTTCTGTTGAGGTCTCGTTCATTGACCCACCGAGAACAAGTAAGTTATTTGCAGAGCAGTGAAGCCCTTAGGGCACACAATGTTTATTATTCACATGTGTATTTGCAGGCACTTTGGCCACTATGTTAACGTCCTGTAATCCGTCCAAAGTATAGAATCCTGCTTCCGCACCACTCCCATCGCTCTCATCACTTTCATAACGACCAGCACCACCCGACTGTACCCAGTAAGTCAAAGTAAATAACAGGAAGCCCGACATATAATTAACGACACCAGAAAATCGCACGGTTCCCTGCGAACAAGATTTCTCTTATTTATTTTTGTCCTTCGAGTCTGGATACTCACCCTTGTTTCCGCACCAGGTCTTTTTCTTCAGGTCTCGCTTTCTTCTTTAGCTGTCCTTCTCCTTAAGTCGTTCCCAACAAGGAAAAAAGAACAAGAACAAAAACAAGAAAAGATTATATTCAAGAACAACGAGTACAAAACAAGACACCATAATCACACTCGACATGGGTGAAACAAAGTTCGTCCCACGAGTTCGGGGCCAACGAAGAGAGCTCGGCAGGCGACAGTTCGTCGTCAAGTCTCTGGTCAGTGTAGCCCTTCTCCTCGGAACCGCCACCGGGTTCCATTTTGCCATCCAGAACATCGCTGGCGCAGACAAGTATCTGTACTGGTTTCTCGCTCTTTTCGTCTGGCGGTATCTCCGCTTTGTAGTCAACCTCATCGGCTTCTGGGGCTACAGCCCTGCTCCGCAACACCCGCGGCCAACCTACCATCCTTCTCGCGATGTCACCGTCATCGCCCCCAGCGTCGCCCCAGCCAGTGAGGGGTTCCGCAAGACAATCCGCGCGTGCGCAGACAACCACCAGGCCAGGATCATTGTCGTAACTGCAGGCGAGGCCCTGTTCGAGACAGCGTCAGCATACGTCCGAACCCTCCAACTCGAGTATCCGACGATCAAGTTTCTAGTGGATCGGACGACGGTTGCGAGCAAACGGGAACAGGTTGCCCGGGCTGTGGCCTATGTCAAGACCGACATTACCGTACTTGCCGACGACCATGTCTACTGGGGTCCTCGGTTCCTCACTTCCACACTGGCTGCGTTTGAGGACCCTACGGTTGGCGTTGTCGGTACGAACAAGCGAGTCCTCTTGAAGACCGACACCAACCTCTGGGGCCGGATCTGGAACATGATCGGGACCACGCGTCTGTGCCGGAACAACTTCGAGAGCCTTTCAACCAACGTCGTTGACGGCGGTGTCTCTGTTGTGTCTGGTCGGACCAGCGCCATCCGTACCGAGATCCTGCGCCATCCGGACTTCCTCCCGGGGTATACTAACGAATTGTTCTTCTTCGGCCTCTTCGGGCCCCTTAATGCGGACGACGACAAGTACGTGACCCGGTTTGTGGTCCGCCAGGGCTGGAATGTCAAGATCCAGTACACCGAGGACTCAGTGATGGAGACGACCCTTGGCGTGGAGAAGCCCCTCCATACCAAGTACCTCAACCAGTGCAAGCGCTGGGCTCGCACAACGTGGCGGTCCAACATGTGCAGTATGGTGACAGACCGCAGCATTTGGGCGTTCCAGCCCTACTGCGCCTACGCCGCACATCTGACGTCGTTGGCCAACTTCGCCGCCATCACAGACCCGCTGCTCTTTTTCCTCTTTTCCCGCTCGTCTGCTTACAATCTGCCCCACAGTCTTCTTGCGCTGGTGGGCTGGGTTCTCTTTACCAAGATGGTAAAGGTGGCCGACTACTTCCGTCGGACCCCGCAGAACTTGTTCTTGTTCCCTATCTATCTTGCGTTTGGCTATTTCCATAGCATCATCAAGTTCTGGGCTATGCTAACATTCTGGGACTGTACCTGGAGCGGACGCCAGCTCGACGAAGTCAACAAGTCGAGCCGCGGTGCCAACAATGATGGGCCGTTAGCTCTCCCCCCTACATCGCTCCCTCCCACGCCGCCTCTCTCATCTACAGAAGACGAAGACGAAGCTGGTCAGCCTAAGGGTGAGCACCCACACATCGGCACCTTCCGCGCCATCCGAGCCCGGATCACGAACCTGCGCAGCCAGCAAATGGCGCACATCGAAACCTACCAGAAACCCCTGTTGTCTGAGCTCGGGCGGCTGCGAGACTCGTTCGGTGACCTCCATGGCAACACAGATGCCATCGTCGCAAACCACGGTACCATCCGCACCGAGCTCCAGGGCGTAGTCGTCAAGAGCAAGGAGCTGGCCGACGCGAAGGGCGCCACGGCCGAGGCAGTCCACCTTGACGATGAAATCAGCACGACCATTACGGATGTGAAGAATGCCGTTGCGGGGGTGGAAGAGACCTGGCGGGGACTTTTTTCCACACGGCCAGCTGAGGAAGAGGCTCCGGTTAGGTCCAAAGGCCTGACTTACTACCACCATACAAGCTGGGTTTATCCGGAGTCCTCAACCTTGCAGTCGTCGAAGGAGTCCCTTACCAAGGAGTCCTCGACCGAGGAGTCCCAGGAGTCGGAAGCCTGGCACTCTGAGGTGGCACCGTCGGACGAGAAGCAGGAGGAGACGTAATGGCCTGAGGGGTCAAGGTTAGGGTGACTGACGAGGAATGTCGGATAAGAAAGAGAAGGAACGGATAGACAAAATAGATGGGGAGGATGTGTACATTTCAATGTATTATATCGCGTAAGTACTCGTAGTACTATACCGTACCCGGGTATTCTTTACCTACTAGTGACCGACATGCATGTAAATCGGTCGTAAACCCACAAATAATTACCCTAAATAAAGCCTATAGATTAGGAACCTTTGTCATTGGTGATCTAGTGGTATGTACATGTACCTGTGAATACAGCTTCATGACATTCATTTTGATCACCATTACTGCTTCTTCATCACCGATCTCAAAGCCGGGCTCTCAATGCTCACTACCTTGCCCTCAGCATCCACTTCAAAGATGAACTGATCCAGCGGCAGCGTTCCGTACACCACACCCGTGAACGATACCCACGTGCCACAGTCCGTCGAAAACATGTACTTGTTCCGGTCCCGTGCGGGCATGTTCAGGTCCTCGAACACGGCTTTGAACGCCACTCGTTTGCTCCCATCCTCCCGCACGGTCTCCAGCCCGGCCGGGTACAATCGCAGACTCGGGTCGACCGGCGAGTACCCTCCCTGCATCCGCACCGCGGTATTGCTCATATCGGTTCCATTGCTGACCCAGTTCTCGATGCCCAACCCAGGTCGGTCCGGTTGGGTGGTCAGAGTCAGCGAGGTATTGCGCCCTTCGGCATCGTCCACATCCAGATACTGGCCGCCAAATTTGGTCTCGGCCTGTTCCCGGCCTGCCGCTTCGAGAGCGGGAATCAGTTGCACACCTAGGATATCTGCCAAGTTGAAATTTGTGTTTCCCGGCGTCTCTGGCCCGGCAATCAACACCGAGAACCCCACATCATAATCCGGCATTAGGACGAGCAACGAGGTGTAGTACCCGATGCTCCCGGCTTTGTTGAACGCATCGACAACCCGCTTGCCGTTCTCGTAGGCCACTTCCACGCGTCGGACACCCCATGGGTAGCCCACACCGGCGACGAGCTCGGAGGACATGGCGGCCGGCCGGAGCCAGCGGCGCGTAAGCACGGGGGAGAGGAGGGTTGATCGCATAATGGCCCGGCCGAGGGCGGAGATATCGGCTACTGACGAGTACATGTTGCCGGCTCTAGTCACAGGAAAGTAGGTAAGTACCTAAACAAATCTAGAAAAGGGGGGAAGTGGGGAATCAACCATTCCAATGATTGACTTACGGATTCTCATCGCCCAACTGGTAATCCCACTCGGCCGCCTTCAGTGTACCCGGGATGATGCCCACCTCTTCAGGGGGGTCCTGATAAAATGTGTGATTCAACCCTAGCGGCTGCAGCACGCTCTCTTCCATCATCTCGCGGAAACTTTTGCCCTTGATGTTTTCTAGAGCATACGCAAGGATCTGGTAGCCCGTGTTGGTGTATGCCGGCGTGGCAAAGGGGGCGAACGAGGGGTATGCCCGAAGTAGGCCGGCAAAGAATTCTAGGGTCAGTAGTTATTTAGTTTTTCTTTTGCTCCAGGTTAATTAGTCTTTTCTCGGCAGACTTACCCGTCCGATTACACTGCGGCCACTGTCCGCACTTGGGCAACAATGGATCCGAAGGCGGTAGAGGTGGAAAGCCTAAGCCCACTGCTTGTGTCTGGTTGAATTCTTGCGTGATCTCACTCATTAGACCATCTGATGACGCACGCACCCTATTGTTAGCTTCTTCCTTCCAGCTTTGCCTCGCCGGTTCCAGTTTTCTCGGCTAGAGCAACTCACAATCCCGGATGGCCCCCGACAACTGACCCGCCAACGCCCCAATCGTCACCTCGTCCCACGCTACATGCTCAACCGGATCATCCTTGGCCAAGTCCGCCGCAACTGCCAGTTCCGGCACGTACTTGGTAATCGGCTCGTTCCACTTGACATCGCCATCCTGAACCAGCCAGGTATACACCGTAAACACCTTGGTCAGACTGCCCAGGCGATACACCGCATCGGGTCCGGTCTCGCGGACGCCAGAGGTGTTTTTCGTGGCTTCGGCCAAGGATGCCGCGGTGTGGTGCCAGCTGAAGAGGAGCGGGTTCTTTTCGCTGGTGCTGAAGACTTCGATGCTGTAGCTGGTGGTGTTGGCGCGGATCGCGGAGGAGTTGTTTTGGTCCCACGCCGTGAAGGTCGCAGTCAAGTTGGCAATGGCGGCTTGCATCGCGTCGCTGTCTTTGAAGTTGTAGCGCTTCTCATAGACAGGACCTTGGGGTGGGCAATTGGGACCCGCCAGGGCCGTTGCGGCCATCCCCGCGAGGGTGAGGGCGAGTGAGGCTTTCATCTTTCCTTTACTGATCAGAAGGAAAACCAAAAGATGGTCCAGCAAAACCGCGTCGCGCTAGCAGAGTTCACCTCATGAGCTACGATGCCCAACGGGGGATTTCATTTCATATCAATGCTTTTAATGCTTTGCTAATATGACATGGTAAATCTATATCATCTACCGAGGCACTTCCCGGCCCTGTGCACGAGCTCCTGGCTCCGAACATCAACCAGTGTGTTCGGTAACATCCGGTTAGGAGATTTAGAGCTTAAGGTCCATCTTCACCGTCAGGGGAGGACAAGAAGGACCGCGAGGGCCTTTCGGATGACGATCTCGGTATTCAATGTTCAGGGGTGTCTATCTCAACCACATGCCTTAGTATTCTGACGTCGGCGAACCAGGCCGATGGAACGTGTGTAATGCTTTACCTACGAGTTTGGGACATTTGGGAGTATGTGATGTACGACGCTCTCTTCCCGTGAACCGTATTTCCAGGGATCGACCCCTTTATCTTCCGGAGCAAACGCATGTTAATCTTTACCCACGCGGTCATGCAACACGTTCCAGCCACTATACGACGCCCACTATTATTTCCCTCCTCGGAGCTTTTACGACTCGGGATTTGATTGACAGGCAATTGTCGATCCCTGTACTTCGTACTACACTATTCAATGCCCATTAGCTGATCCAGGACGGCTAAATCATTCTATATTGCTCGACTCCGGGGTCGCCAAGCCAGGCCCTGTCGGGCATCATGCCATTCGGGTAATTCAGGGCCTGGGCATGCAACGGCGCTGGGGTTCAGAGATGGTGGTAGAATTGCGATTTGCTCGTCCTGTGACAACATAAAAATTCACACAACGTTTGACGAATAACGTGGAAACAAGAAGACGTGGGGAGTGCGCGGGCAGAGAAACGAAATGGTTGAGGCGTGCCGCATATTTGTCAGTTGCCGAGTGTCCTAATGCTCCCCACTCAGTGTGGTAACCGCGACCGAACCACAGGACTTGTTGAACCGGTGCTCCGTCACTAATTATTATAAGTATTGTACGACCGTTTCTATCATAGCCGTCTCGCCTAACATTGACTAGCTCGGAAACGTGCCGATGAATGATTAGCCATCTCTAACTCTCGCTAAAATCATAAAACCACCACCAACGGGCGCGATGCTCCGATGTGCAAAACCAAACCAAACCGTCTTGTCGTTAACATCATAACATCATGACATGGGACCTTGGACCCCTATTTCATCTCCCCTTTTCAGGGTTAACCCCTCATACAAAGGCCCGCAGACTCTCCATATTCCGATCCGCGTATAGCCGCGCGCGGACATTGACTAACCCACGTTCGGGGCCGGCATCATATGGCCGCACAATCCACATCGACCGGCGTTTTCTCTCTGGCGGTTGCGACGCTTCGGGGGCTGGTGTTTCATGGTTAGCATGGCCAAGGCAACGTTAGGCGAAAATAGATGTGGAAAGACCTACTTGGGTGCCGCGTTAATTGCTCCGATACCATACTCGGCGAGGGCATACCCCTCGGCGTAGCCTGCGCACCTCCGCTGGAATGCGGGACGTAGTTGCTCGGTTCATCGAACATGGAAAGGTAGGACTGCGGGTTTTCAGCCCACGCCTCAACCGGCCGTTGTTGGAATTGCGGTGCATCTGACACGGGAATGGGGACCAGTTTCGGTGGCTCTGGAAGTTGTGGTGACCGGACCGGGGATGAGATGGATGACTTGGAGTTTTGATCAATAGGCATCGATTCATCCTCCATACTTTGATTCTCTTGGTCGTTCGAAACCGTCGGCAAGGGTTCTTGCTGCGAGTTTTCCTCGTCAGGCTTGTAGCCCACCATATCCGCCCAGACAAAGGCTTCGGCCTTGTTCCACCGGTTCGCCGCCGTGTCGATAATCATCTGCTCCACCCCTGTTTCGAGCTTGATCCCCAACATGGACCCAATAAAAATCAAATGATGGGCGAGCATCTGGCACAAATGCTCCTTCATCGCTAGCCACAGCGTGGGGCTGCGCTGGAACTCGGGGCTCAGCAACTCTGCGGATGGGAACTCGGGCGAGGTGGTTTCCAGCCGAGAGGACGAGTATCCCACGCCGAGAACGGCCCCGAGGACGAGGAGGAACAGCACCTGGCACGACTCACGGCCGCACCGAGATAGGAACTGTGGGGTGAGGATCCGATCTAGTCGTTTGAGTAAGCGGTAACCAGATATATGACCTGCCGCGCAAAGCTCTCGGGACCTGATTGGCTCGGGGCTGCTGTTGTCGCGCCAGCCAGCGTGGGCTAGTGATGTAGCGAGCAGAAAGTGGCGGAAATCAGCCATCAAGCCGTCCGTGCCTGCGGCCGGATCTTCCTGGAACTGCAAACCGAGCAGGCTAGAGCAGCACAGGCCCACAATGCTCCCATTGGGGAGGTGGAAGTCTGGGTCAGTGAGCCATGAGACCATGGTACTGTTGAACGCCGCCGGGTTCGAGGTGAAGGAGAAATGAGCGGGTGTGGCGATCCTGGTGAGCAGGCGGCTCATGGCGAGCATGAGCGTTTCGGCCTGCATGGCGGTGGGGAAGTCGCCAGTGGGCAAGGAGGCCGTATCAAAGATGTTGACGTCGGCGAACCGGGTCCGCACGCAGTAGCAGAAGGATAATACCTTTCTCTCGGACCCTCTCACGGCTGACTGAAGACACGGCTGACAAGGGTTGTCGAGCGAGCACTGGGAGAGCGTATTAGAAAAACCGCCTCACTCACCGATACAAGTGTTAATTATGAGCGTGGGATAATGGGGGGATGCAAACCTGGATCTTGAGCATCCGACACCTCAAACAGGCACCCTGCCGTCTCACTCCCAGGACTCTCTCTCGTTCCTCGTTGGTGAATCTTGCTCGGATGGAATTTCGTGGGCGGTCGACAGTCCGGAAGCAGTTCATGGATTGCGCCAGCGAGGAGGTTGTTGCTGCCGCTGATGATGATGGTAACGACGACGACGAGGACGCTGAAGAGGGTGTCGCTGCTAATGTTGTAGCCGTTGGCGTGGTCACTGTTGGTATTGTCACCGCAGGTGTTACTACTCGAGCATTCGGGGTGGTGGCGCCGGTGGTGTAGCCGGTGATGGACGGATCGGGTTCATGTTGAAGAAGATCGGCCATCGGACATAGCGGAGCGCTTTAACTTATGGATACCCGGGTTCGCCTACTGCGGGTCATACAGCGTGACAACCTACACTAGAAGGTGGGTACTAGACAGACCCGGCCGTCTGGGTTCATCGATCGACCTAACGATAGTCGCTGCCAGCGGTGCCAGCTGGATCTAGACTCGGGCCAGTGCCACAAGCGGGTGTCTGGGTCTGGGACCAGTGGCGAGGCGTGTGAGCAGGGAACCCAACGAAACGGGTGAGACAAAACGAGCTGGACGCTGGACGAGGAGCCAACATTCCGGGGGCATATTGGGCCACGGTCTTTCTTTGTATATTCCCGCTAGTAAGCGGACTGGCAATGCGTCTAGTTGCAATATTCAAAAGCCTGGCTGGCTGACGGTTGCACACATGCAGCGCTTGGGCGAGCAAGGGTCCGCGCCCGTGGTCGGTCGTCGTCAGTGACCCATCGAGCCGCATTGCACTGCAACTTCGTGTAATCCGTACCGGGGGTGAGGTACCGGGGTGCCTTCGAAACAGGGCGCATCACCGAGCTTTCCACAACCGGTTAGCGCGACGACGCTGTTTAGGGATGGCGCTGCTTGGCCATGTCGAACCAGGCGCCGCCACTTGCGGCATTCGGGGCGATGGTGGGGACCGCACGTTGGGTGTCGAGAACGTCCCAGCTGAGGATCATGCGGGCAATCCATGGGAAATTCGAGGAAAAATCCAACGGCACGCATGGCTGGCACGGCTGGCACAGCCGGCGCAAGCACCCCGAACCCATGATGCGCGGAACGGCAAAAGAATGAAAAGAATGGACCGCAAGCTGCAGGGTCGCTTCACCGAAATCAAGACGCAACGCGCAGCATCCCACTCTGCCTCTGCAGCGGGTCACAGGGTGTTTTGGGAGCAGCAGGTGGCCCGAGCGTCTAAATTTTGCATTTCTGGAAGGGGCATTTGTGGGTGTTGGGTCTCGCTCCGAACCAATCGGGCTTGGGGGCTTGAATCGAGCAAGCTGAAAAGGAAAGGAACGATGGGAGAAAATGTGGAAACCCATCACCTTGGGCAGCTGAAAGGCCAGCAACCACACACCAGCCGGCGCAACCGGTAGTTTCCGCCGGGGTCCCCCACATTCAGGTAGGCGAGGTAACGTTCTTGGACGAAAACCTCCGAGTTTGCCGCAGTTTCAGCATCGCACGCACTTCGCATTGCACACCAACAACAGAACCCGGCCCCAAAACGACGGAGATCTGATCGACGAGACAGCGCCTAGCTGAAGACGCTGAAAATCCGTGGAGACCATGGCAATTGTACAAGCTGTGCGCACACGCTTTTTCGCCGCCCTCGTCAAATGAGCTTGGGCCCCCAACTTCTTATTGACTCGATTCTTTTCTTTCCTGCTCAAGTCTGTGGCGAACCTTCATCCATCAACACCTGAAACATTGGCCCCCGGGCGCGCCCAAACCCAACACAACAAACACGCACACGCGCACGCTTGTCGGCTTCGATCGAGTGACGGCTCCGAACACCCCGCCGAGTCTCCGTCTATCAATTCATCTTTCGATCCATTATTCATGCATTCGACCCGGAGATCGGCGCGCTCGCGTGGACCAGGCGTGGGAGACCGAGACTGGTCGGGCCACGAGCGTCGCTGATAGGTAGCGCATCCGAGGAAGGCCAAGGGCTGGCACAACACATCACAGCTGGAAATCGAGCACGGCCAGGTTGCGCTTCTTGCGCGATGCCTTCGCATCCTCCGCCATCATCACCATCACCGACAGCACATTGTCGTGCTCGAGTCTGGCCGAGTCCACCAGCGGTTCGCCCGTCAGTCCGCTGCCCATCCACACCTCGTCGTAGCTGGAGTACCCGCTCGCTTTGGATGAACGCATGATACGCATCTCGGATGCGGCGAAATCAGGGAGCACAATGTACAGATCGCCCGTTTTGCTGATGGCCAATCGCCCTCGAGCACTGCCGGGGATGGGCTGGATTGGCCGCTGCGTCCATGCGCCTGGAGCCCATCAGCGCTGCTTGTCCAGAGAGGTTGGGATCCAGTGGGAGGGAACGGGGAAAGAATGAGGAGAAATGGGATCCGGTTGAGAAGACAAACCACATCAACAACTAAAAAAAGAAAAAAAAGGGGAGAAACACAACACTCACCATCGGGCGGCCGGTAATAGTGTTTCCACCGCGGATGTTTTCCCCCATCTAAAGTATCTCTATTCAACACGTGGACCCCCCCTTCCTGGTCGACCGCCTGGGCTTCCTGGTTCGTGAGGCCCGAGCCTTTGGGGACCTGGAAGACGGCGATCCCCTCCGCGTCGTTTGTGATGGTCTCACCCTCGCGCAGTCGAGCGATGGTCTTACCGGCGCTGTTGGCCCACGTATACCCGAAATCGTCGCTGTACGCATAGCAGATGTCGTGGTTGTTCTCTGCTCCGTTCGGCCCGGCCTGCTGCTTATGCTTGGTATCGAGAGGGTCATCCCAGCCCGGGTAGGACACAAAGCCGCGGTAGACCCAACTGACGTGGAGGCGGCCGTTGCGCCAGTTTAGGCCGTGGGCGTATGGGTTACTCTGGATGCCGGTCAAGTGGGTACCGACAAATGTGAAGAGCCGATCGTTGGCTGAGTACCTGTACAAGTGGTCATTGCCGAGCCCGGCCTTACCGTCGCGGAACGAGAAGAACATGTCGTCTCCGAGCGTACCAAAGCGAGGGTATGTTACATCCTGAAATCTTGGGTCCGAGGCGGGTAGCCCAGGAAGGGAAGCAGAGGTGCCTGAGAAAAGGGACGAACGCCATTGATGCTTTTCCGGGTCTGTGGCGACTCCTGGGGCGGAACGACGATACTTCAAGCTGGACCTTTAGTGTCAGCGGCCCCCGTGCTTCATACACTTGAGGTTTGGTTTCTGTAAATGCTGCTCACACATCACAGTGGTGGTCAAATGAGAGATGAATGGTCCCGTCTCCAGGGGAGATGCCCATCTGGACGGTGTTGTGCCCATCGTCCGTCGTTTGGCGGTAGTCATCGAGCACCAACAACTCCCAGTCGCCGCGGGGGAGCCGCCTTCTTGCGAGGTGGATATAGAGTGGTTCCGCGGTGGGGTCTGATGAATACCACTGGATAAGCGAGTAGAAGCATGTATACTGCCACCCGTTGAAGGATAAGATCGCATCCTGCTGGTAAGAGTAACAATTAATGTTGAACTTCCGCTGTGCCGGGCCCGGGCCAAGCACCGTCACGTTCGGGTCGGAAAGCATCTCGGAAGCCGGACTCGGGACGGCCAAGCTTCGGCGAACTCGGAGGGAATGTGGTCGCACCGACGGCTGATTCGGGTGGTTGGTTGGGTGCGTGCAGGCTAGCCCTTCTCCGACCTAGACTCCGCTGCGAATTGTCGGGCCGTTTGTTCCTCCCAACGGGCAAACAGACCCGGATGGAAAACTGGCGCAAGTTCCCGGGGGTTTGGGTCAACGGCACGTGCTTCAGATGACACTAAGCCGCCCTCGATATTCCCGCGTGATAGATTAATGGGCTTCTAACATCAGAGGCTCAGGGGAGGAGAACTATCGGCCCTACACTTCTTGCCCCGCGTGAGGGGTGATGCGACCGGTCTGCGTGTTGGTGGGATGAAGTCTCGCTGCCATGAGCTCTGATTCGTGGAGAAATGGTCTCTGGAATTCTTCCACGGCAGGATCAGCGCTCAACTCCTCCCAGGTTCCCCGGAACACCAGACCCCAAGGCCAAAAGTTACGGGACCTCCCATCGTGATCAGTGCTCAGAAATTAGGAGATGGAAATGATAAGAGGAGATGTATTGCAAGGGCAGCATCACCGGGAGCCCAAATATAATTACGTGGGAGTTAGAACCCCGTGTTAGCGTACGCTCGCCGCAAATCCGCTTGCTACCCGCCGAGTTTTCTTGAAGACTCCGGACCAGCCGTTCTTGTGGAAGAACGCCATTTTTGTAGAAGCCATCGACCTCAAAAGCTCCCATCAACTTGAACCTCTTAGCTTGAGGGAGTGGAGGCTTCGAGAGATTGTTTATTTCGGCAGTCGTTTCAAACGTCGTCTTTGAGAAACAAGGTTCCTGCAACATAATACGATAACAAGCCGATGGTGACTCCGGGGTTCAGCGAGTGGATTAAGAACTGTTGAGGTACATATTATTATCAAAGGGTGGGTGGAGACTAGCGTTGTCAATAATTCCATCTTAGTTGGAGCTCCAGATCTCCGGAGGATCTCTTCCCTGACGAGGCCGTTGTAAGAGGATTAAAGCTTTCTACTAGAATTGCGGCTGGTTTATCCTCAATGAGCCCGAAGTGGGTTTGGTAGTGCCTGAAATACTTCTGTAGACGGGCAAAAGACGAAGTTGCCCTGGCTCAAATCTTATCACACAACACCAACCCCGACCCCCGAAACCTAACCTATCTAGCTCACCTAATCGCCTAGATGTCTTTCTGCACAAGGTTCACTCTGTGTGGCGGCCTGATCTATATGGTGCTCCCAAAACGTCTTTGCGTAAATGTGCTATGCCACCTAGGATTTCCATAACGCATCGCGGCCACATTCTCGTGCTCCTTCCCTCCCCAACGACCACAGTAGGTATATATTGAAGATCCACGTCCCTACTGCCACCGAGCCCCCCAGAAATCACACCACCTTTAAAATGGCATAGTTGGCTTGGGGGGCGGCTGCCAGTTCAATCCGGAGAAAAACCCATTGGGGTTTTCGTCACCAAAGCACCCCTCTTCAGCCGGTGAAGAAGGTCGGCTGGTGAGCTTTTTAATGTGTCTTGCCTTTTTCTCACTCAGTTGAATTCCTCTGTGACATTTAACCCTTGCTCAACAAAATGAAATATAATCAAGCCCGATGGTATAGGAAATATAATAATGTGAAATTCCTGTGCTGGTTAACCACTGGCAATGTACCAATTCTTCTGATTGAATGTCACTCTGCCCATGGCGGAACTTTGCATGACGGTGATTTCTAGATCAGGCTCAGACTTCTAACGGAACAAAACGAAAGAGAGCCCCACGGCCTACCTCCGTTGCTGTTGGTGATAGTTGGTGATGCTGTTGGACTATGAAATGGGGTAGGTAATTAATCACAGGCACAGGGGGTTTGTGCCCAGGTCCAACTTCCCAGCACATTCTTATATACGACGAGTTAATCTGAGTTGTTGTTTCAGAAATATATGCCGAGCTTGTTGAGTATACTGATTATGCCTCTAAATGACAAGTATCAAGAATCCCCCTTTGGAATTCTACACATCAAAGTATTGGGTTTGTGTCTTTAATCTGCGCTGAAATAACTAACTAATAATTACAAGGGTGTTTAGAACGTGATTGACCGCGCGACTGCAAAGGACACGCACAGCAATCCGAGTTCCAACTGTTATTTTACACCCGGGACTACCAGAATCCCCATTGCAATTTCTTCTCGCTTGGGCCTCCGCTCGCGTTTCTACAACTGTCGAGAAATTATCAGTCTCGACGGCGTTATTCCTGCTAGTTAGCGGGGTTGCCGGTGTCGGGGAAGTTGGTTGTCGGCGTGCTCGTCTCGAGCCGTGCGCCACAACGGGCATGATTGGCGAAACCCCGCGAGCAAAGGGATACAAACAGGGATTCTCGATAACGAGGAAGCAGTTCCACGGTCGGCCATCCCCCATCGACAGACGGTGGACCATATGCTTTCTCACTGTAAGGTCAACATCTTGACAGAAGTAGGCAAGCTGAGAATCAAGATGGGAATGATGGCTTAGGAGTTGTGACCAGCTGACGCCCTCTTGCTCCGTTTCCCCACCTTTTCTTTTCAAGCTTCTTTCCCCGGAACCCCAGACCTTTCCAAGCCTTCCCCACCTTTTCTGTCCCTGAACGACTCCAAGATGAAGCCCGTTTTCGTCTGCGCACCCCGGCAATTCTTCCCCACACCATTGGGAATAGGCTAATCAAACAGGCGCAAGCTGCGCTTCACGGCACTTCGCGCCGTGCAAAAAACGGTTTGGCTGTTGAAGCTTGCAGTTGTTGAACGGAACACACACTCAACAACTCAATCCTCTGCTGCAAAATAAGGGGTTTGTTCTGGGAGTCGAGGCGAACGCGGAAGCGGTTTGCGCCAAAACTAAACGGTTAAGTCTCTGGGAAAAATAAACTTGGAATTAAGAATACGAATAGTTCAGCTCCAGCCCAGGCGTTCGGAGAACTATCCCACCTCGTGGTCGACACTCACTTGGCACGGGGAAGAAAGAGCCGTTGGCTTCCTCGCCGTTGGCCTACGCGGGCTCCCTTTGGTGGAAAAAAGGACGGGATTGAGGGGCTGGAAGAATCCGTCCTAGCGTGGCATGGCAAACGCGCCGGGGGAAGGGAGAGGACTGGGAAAAACCGTTTTTCTCATCATTCCAGCGTGGCTTCTCCGCACTTGGCTCGCGAGCCCCAAGCAGATGCCAGAAGCCCACGGCCTTTTTGTGAGAAAAGGGACAAAAACATCTCCAAAGATTTCTCCGCACCTTCGAGGGTACCATCGCACATGGGGCCGGTCCGGGATTGGGGCCCTGGAAAGCTCCCAATCAGGGCAGCCGGTCTGCTCCAGGGGTTGACATAGCTCGCATGGCTCTCGCTTGCTCATGGGCCGAAACCCCATCCTCCGCCCACCCCCCCATGTCTGATATCGCGGAGACGCGGTGCAACTACAAAAAGGCCCGGATTGCTTGCCGCCGACGGCCAAGATGTTCGTTCGCCGTCTTGGTCTCTTTTGCTCTTGGATTCCGGTTATCTGGCTGGGCTAGGATCTGTGCACCCACTTTTTTTCTTCCCTGTTGTCGTGTTATCCTCCTCTCATCTTTTGTGATACCGCAAGGACGACAATCACCGGATTACCTTTTTTTACCCTCCCCTCAGATCCCCGAATCACAGATCAAGAACCTGTGTGAGAGTCGACCGAGAGCTCAACTTCAACAACATTGTCGCACTGCGACAGCCAGACCGCCCAAAATGACGGTCTCGCAGAAGATTCTGTCCAAGATCGTGCGGAACGAGGCCATGGCCTCGGATCCGCACGAGATCTATGGCTGGCGTGTGTACATGCTGGCTTGTTCGGTATGTTGACAACGTCACAATGCGACTGAGACTGGGCGGAATTTGCGGCGGAACATAGTCGTGAATGAGGATAGCAGCTGTGGACCTGATCGCGAGAAGCAAGGGAAAGCCGCTCAATCGCTGACTTGTGCTTCCCTTCTCATAGGCTTGTTTCGGTGCCATGTCCTTTGGCTGGGACTCGGCCGTCATCGGAGGCGTCATTGTCCTGCCGCCGTTCGTCGAAGACTTCGGCCTGGGTGATTCCAAATCCGTCGCCACTGCCAACCTCGCTGCCAATATCGTCTCGACTCTCCAGGCCGGTTGCTTCGTCGGCGCGCTCCTCGCTTCCCCGCTCACGGATCGATTCGGTCGCAAATGGTGCCTCGTCGGCGTCTCGCTGCTCATCATCATCGGTATCATCATGCAGGCCGCCGCTAGCGGCAGCTTGGGTCCCATGTACGCCGGCCGCTTCATCGCCGGCATGGGCGTCGGCGCGGCTAGCACCATCAACCCCATCTACGTGTCTGAGAACGCGCCGCGCGCCATCCGCGGCCTGCTCACCGGCCTGTATCAGCTCTTCATCGTCACTGGAGGCATGGTTGCTTTCTGGATCAACTACTCCGTCAGCATCCATTTCCCCGCCACCAAGATCATGTACATCTTCCCGCTCGCCATCCAGGCTTTACCCGCTGTCCTGCTGTGCGTGTGTATGATGCTCTGCCAGGAATCTCCCCGCTGGCTCGCGCGCCAGGACCGCTGGGATGACACTAAGCGTATCCTGTCGCAAATCCGCAACCTACCGCCCACTCACCCGTACGTCCAGGATGAGTTCCAGGAGATCGTTGACCAGCTCGAGCACGAGCGCAACATGATTGGCGACGCTACCTTCTGGAACCTCCAGCGCGAGATGTGGACCATTCCGGGCAACCGCCGCCGCGTGCTGATCAGCATCATCCTCATGATCTGTCAGCAAATGACGGGCACCAACGCCATCAACACCTACGCGCCTACCATTTTCCAGAACCTGGGCTTGACAGGTACCTCCACCTCGCTTTTCAGCACCGGCATTTACGGCATCGTCAAGGTCACGTCCTGCATCTGCTTCCTGCTCTTCATGGCCGACTCGCTTGGCCGTCGTCGCAGTCTGCTGTGGACCTCCATCGCTCAGGGCCTTGCCATGTTCTACATCGGTCTCTACGTGCGCATTGCCCCGCCCGTGCCTGGCCAAGACGTACCCCCCGCCGGCTACTTCGCCCTCGTCTCGATCTTTCTCTTTGCTGCGTGAGTTTATCCCCCGCCCCCTTTCTCCCGACTCAACTTCGGTGAGTAATTATCTGGCCACTCACTAACACCGCTGCTTCCTAGATTCTTCCAATTTGGCTGGGGCCCTGCTTGCTGGATCTACGCTAGTGAAATTCCCGCTGCTCGTCTTCGCTCCCTTAATGTAGCTTACGCCGCCGCGACCCAGTGGCTCTTCAACTTTGTTGTCTCGCGTGCCGTGCCCAACATGTTGGTCACCGTCGGAAGCAACGGTTACGGGTAAGCCTTCTCTAAATAACCCACCAAAACAACACAACACCCCAAAGGCGCTGGAGCCAGTTTTGAGACCTTTTGAGACCCTTTTGAAACTGACTTTTATGTTTCCCTCCTTTAGAACATACCTCCTCTTCGGTTGTTTCTGTTTCTCCATGTTTTTCTTCGTCTGGTTCTTCGTGCCCGAGACCAAGGGTGTATCGCTCGAGGCTATGGACGCCCTGTTTGGCATGACCGACGACTCGTCCAGCAAGGGCCTGCGGGCCTCCACCGGTGACGGAGCGGCCGATGGTGCGCAAGACTCCAGCAAGGAGAAGGAGAAGGAGGCCGAGAAGGATAAGGAGGTACCGCATGCTCGCGAGGCCGAGGTGGCGTAGATAGCTAGTTTGTGGCAGTAGCAAGGAGCATGTGTTTATTTGTGTTAATTATTTTATTGATATGACTTCCAGCCGTTGTTTACGTTTTTGTTGGCTCGCAAATACATACCCGACGTGTTTCTGTATATGAGAGTCCTCTTACGGAACGGAAGATGGAACGAACACCACGAATATGGTTGCTTGAACGAAGTGCGTGGCAGCCGGCAACAAGTGTTCAGCGCACCGCCCTATGACCACGGAACATCTGCTCCTTTGTTTACTTTAGAGCCTTTGAGATGTTGAGTCTCACACTTTATCTCCCGTTCGGGACCCAGAGTAAGCGTCTTGCAAAAGGATGGCGGATGCCTCTCCCAAATTAGTTGGGGCAGCGTGGGTTTGATCATTTCGCCTCCCTGCTTTCTGGCTACTTAGAGGGGTATCAACAAGCACTTAATGTTTCGGGCTCATACTCTTATACTCTCACACACCACAAAGACGCATCAAAAGGTGAATAATATAATATCATTACAGGCATCAAACCCAAGCTTCAATTGGTATCGCAAATATCATCCACTACGTTGCCTCACAATGGATTAATTATAAATCGAGAAAGTCGGCCATGCGTGACAAACCCGGGTCACGTCGACCTAAAACGCCGAGAAGAGCTTGTCTAGCACGAATCGGCAGGGCAAGCGATCATGGAACCCTTGGTACCACCATCAACGCCAGCCAGCGTGAGAATAGCACCAACGACACCGCCGAGACCCTCACCAGCGATGAAACCTAGAGAAGAAAGTCAGATTAGCCACACTGTTTGACGGAGACGAAAGGATGCATCAGAGATCGGCTTACCAGCAGCGACGGCGTAGCCGTAGATATCCCAAGTGCGCATGTTGTACTTCCTCCAGAGAGCGGCAATGATGGCGCCGAGCAGCGCAGCATTGGCGAAGACGGGAGCGGGAATGACCCAGGACAACGCGATGGCACCCCAGTTGGGCAGCCAACTGCGCCACTTCTCGCGCTCACCAACCAGGAAGAAGTGGCGGACCAGGACCTGGATGATCGAGACGACACCCATGACGATAGCAAAGATACCGCTCTTGAGCGGGATGGAGACGTTGGGATCGGTGACGGCCTGCGCGACAGCAGCCCAAGCAGAGACGGAGGGAACCAGGAAGGGGCAGTGGGCATCATCAGACTGGTCAGGCTGCCAGATGCAGGGGTAGGCGGAAGTAAAGAGCACAAACAGACCGGGGCCAAGCCAGACGGAGCAGAAGCTGCCGATGGACTGGGCGATCCATTGCTTGATGGGCGAGGTACCAACAAGGAAACCGGTGCGGAAATCGCTGACCAGGGCAGTGGCCATATCAGCACCACCAGACGCGAGGGCTCCGGCGACAATGTTGATCTTCTGGGCCTGTTGGATGGTGTAGCCACTGTGGGAGGTGGCACCACCAAAGATCAGCTGCGAGGCCTTGGAGGCGGCGGTCAGCGGAGTCGTGTCGGTGACGGCGCCAATTTGGATGGCGAGGAACGAGAAGAGGAAGGCAAGGAGAACGGCAAGGATAGTCAGGCCCGGGTGGGTGGACCACTGGAAGTGGAAGATGATCATGGCAACGACCAAGGTGACGAGCAGACCCAGGGCCCACATCCACGTCTTGACCTGCTGCTCCGGGGGGAAGGGGTCCTCGACGATGTTCTCGTCCTTGATCTCGTTCGAGCCGTGCTTGGCAAAGAAGGCGCTCGACTTGCCGCGGGCAACGAGCATGCTGTTGATGCCGGCGCACGACTGGTTCCACACCGACTTGAGACCGGACCAGATGGCCCTGTACTGCACAAAGAGCTCGGCCATGGAAGAGCACACCATGACCATGACGCCGGGCCAGAGCAGCCAGTAACGGGGCGAGGGGGTCTGCTTGCCCAGGTGGCTGAGGGACGAAAAGGTGTAGTAGCCGTTCCACTTCGGGTCACCGCCGCTCACATCGATGCCGATGCACTCGCCGTAGTGGACCAGAGCAGGGCCAATGATGGCCCAGGCGATCACGGAACCGGCAAACATGGAGATGGCGGGGTTCAGACCGATCAGGATACCGGACCCAATGAAGGCCGGAGTCCACTCCATGTACCAACCCCACGACTCAATGTTCATGGCCCAACTGGTGTAGCCGCTCCAGATGTGAATCCAGGTGAAGACGTGCCAGTCGTAGAGGATGCCGACCGCGTAGTAGGAGCCGACGCGGTGGACGAGGGCGCCAATGAAGCAGATCGCAAGGCACTTGAGCTTCTTGATGGCATCTACGCTGCCAGCGGCACCGGCGTGCATGGAGCGAATCGTCAGGGCGACGGCGGTAGGTGTGGGGAACATGAGCTTGAGCTCACGAGCCACCTGGATGATGAAAAACCGGCGGAGCGGCGTCACGTAGAAGATGCCGATGAAGGAGGTGACGAGCGTGATGGTGAAGATTGCGCCAATGTCGTCACGGGGCGAGTGACCCTCACCCATCACGCCGAGGCGGTACATGGCGGGGATACCAGCAACAAAGATACCACCAGTGCCACCAGCACCGGTGGCCGCAGCTTGCACAATCGAGTTCTCCTGGGGGCCGAACAAGCCACCGAGAACGGGGAGGTGACCAGCGGATCTGGTCAGCAACTTGAGGACGCCATAACCGAAGATGGCACCAAACATGTTGGCGCTGAAGGTGAAACCCGTCTTGAGACCTGTTTATCCCATTCCGGCGATTAGCACATTGTCGCTTCACTCACTATCGCTCACCAGAACGCGAAGCGTCTCAATGATAACAATGCAACTTGAGGAGGGCGGGGTGTAGGGGCTCAAGGGAATCAGCCGAGGCGACTTACCGAGATAGAGGTTGGAAGCGCAGACCAGGGAACCGAGAATGCAACCGACGACGACCGCACGCACTGTGAGCGGGTTCTCTTCATGAGGAATCGACGGGTCCATGATCAGAGGGCGGTAAAGATCCTCCTCCTCTTCTTCATCAGAACCATCGCTCTTGAGGTTGGCCGTATCCTCAATTGTTGGCTGGCTTTCGGAGAAGGGGCGCACCGCGCTCGCAGTCGCGGCGGCCTCGAGAACCTGCTTCTCATCCGTGGTGGTGACCTGCTTTTCTTCCATGGTGGTGCTTGTTCGCTTCTGCGTCGGAACTGGTCAGGACCACCGGTGAAGGAGGGGCTCACAGCCTGGCCTGGCGGAACCGAATTGACAATGGGTCGGAAGAGGGCGATAAGTCGAAAAAAAGAAGGGAGAGAGACCAGAAAAGCGAACCGCGTGGTGCGGGGTGGTGGTGTGCAATATGTATCTAAAAGCGGGCGAAGAGCTTGGAATGCAACACAGGGATGATACGGGGAACCAAAAACGGTCAAATCAGTCGAGGTGGCCCGGAGCGTTGGCTCTCAAACCAGCTGCCCAGTGCGGTTGACGGCCGAACCGGAAGCAGTATGTGGTCTTGATTGCAATTGCCCCGCGTAAGGGAAACTCGAGTGTTGTCCTCTCGCCACCGACCTGGGGTAAGCTTCCCCCTGCTTTGCATGTCTGGTGCCATGTGCTGCCCCATATTGCCCCGTGCTTAACCCGTGATAAGGGACGCAGGATGGGATGGAAACGTTCTGCCGGGAGCGACTCGGCCGCTCGCTGTGTTGCTCTTGTATGTCAAACAAGGGCAGGCGCGCAGGATGTCGCTCAACCCGGGGTGGGGCCGAGGCCGAACAGCAGCTTGGCTTGGGCTTGGCTCCCTTGGCAATTGACAACGCGGCCAGCGATTCGCTGGAACGAAGAAGGCAGCACCAGATTAGGCAGGTCGATAGCCGTTGTCTATGAAAAGAGCAGAAAAATTAGGGCCTCCGATGGACCCAGATATTTACAGGCCCGCTTGCGACACCCGCTCAAAAGGTTGCCGATCCGGCAAAGGGCGTCCGCCCCCCTCTGTCTGTGGAGTATTATGGGTTTGGGTGATAAGGGGACGCGATGGGTGATTGTTAAAGATGTCGGGTTCATCGCAATGACTCGGCGGGACCCGCTCGTCAGTTCTGGATTTCGTTGTGATTCTTCTTTCTGAATGATCTCTGCGTCTTGCGAGTATGCTGGGTTCTTCGCCCCCAACCCCCGCCTGGGCTTGGGCCGCCAAACTAATCTAACAGGAACGAGAGGCGAGGCGATCGGCAAACAACCCGATCGTCCCCTTCGCCAGCCCACCGCTCAGCGGTTATTCCCCAAAATGGAGAGAACTTGTGGAGGGGATGCGACGTTCACAAACCCTGTGGATCATGGATCTGATTGGCTGGATTTTGCGCCAACTGATCGAAGAAGGCAGGTTGCTGGTTCCCATCTGCAGTGGCCACTAGCCCAGGAACAGCAGGCGGTTTGTCCAGCTCGCGTTGCTCGCTTGTCAAACGTTGTCAGCCGTCTTCCCATCTCCAATCATTCCCCCGAACACGAATGATTCTCGCAGTTTCACGCCCCCAGTGTGGAAGACATTCGCTTTACAGAGGTACCGCGACCGGCTGACGAAAGGGCGCCGTTTACGAATAGTTACTTCGTACTCGGTCCGTTCTCCCCAAAATTCCAAAAAGAAAAATTGATACACAGCTTTCCCGAGGCACGTAATGTCCTTGCCCGTGGAACTTTGCTGGACCTAGGCGCGCCTTTCCACAGTTGGACAGTCGGGGGTTATCAACAACTGATCCTGTTGGATTCTTTCCCACACCACCAAGTCAAGTTCCTTCCCTGTAGGTAGTTCTGCCCGGAGGTCAATATTACATAGTATCCATGCACATTGTCTGATCTATTGACCGAGAACCCGCAGTTCTATTGATAAACCAGGAAACTCCTTAACTACCGTGGACCAGACCGCCACGTGAACATGTGTGTACCATATTTAGATGTTTTTCTGGGGCCCCTCACCGGGGGTCATCACGTCGTCAAGAAGTGACCCCCAAGTTGAAGAAACACCAAATTCGGCACCTCAGCATGCGAGCCGTGCACGGAACATCCCGGTCCAAGATCTCAAGGCAGCTTTCTCACCTCGTGGCATGGATGAGCCAGCCTCTCTGTCCCATCCTCAGCAAGTTGGGTAAGCGCAGGCACCGTCACAAGGCTACGTGACATGCCTTGCAGCCCGCACTCGCAGCGGCGATCAAGACGACGAGTTCGAACATGTCTCGGGTCCACCCCGTAACGGCTGCCAGAGCGCAAGGCTTGGCGGAGCTCGACCACGTGAAGAAGGGGCATCGCGTTGGTGCCCCAAGCCCACTCGGTATCTCCCCGTATCGTCGCGTGGCATGTAATTACTATTATGGAGTCCCTCCCGCCGATTCATTGGAAGCACTTCCGCGATTCCCCTTTTTTAGGTCAAGAGGGCCGTCTTTCCAGACCAAACCTCATCTAGCGCATCGCGAGATACCAACCTTATCTCGTCAACGTTTAAGCCAAACACGGAGTTTCTCTCCAGGCTAGCGCAAGACCATTCTTGGAAAATCCCCATCATGCCACTTTCTTGTTCCAAGGTTGTCGTATATCCGAACAATAGCCATCCTCTCCAAGTCCACGATCAGTGCCATAAGCTCATGGTGGAAAGAGTCCTTGAAGCTTTTACGCTAGAACGTAATCCGCTTGGTACCCAGCGCAAGTATCAAGCTCCGGTCGAAACGGCATTTACCTTATCTACACGTATGTGCTCGTCAACCCGGCACAGCGGCACCGATCGAGGCCCCCAAGCTCGACGCCCTGAAGGCTTGCCTTCGCGACATGCTGAGAGTCCACGACTGCTGTTCACGTGACAAGAATGGTGGTGCGATAAGAAACAAGAGTCGTTCTGACGGTCTGGCCACTAGTCACTGGCGGAGACTTGGTTGATACGGGACATCGCAGCGCAGTCGCGAACCGGCGCGCGGGAAGCCCAGATAGAAGAATGGGGAAGGGCAGGGTGCTGCATAGTAATGGTTCGGGAACGAAGAGGCGGGCCTTTCGGAACTTGATCGCTCGTACCGCAGGACAGACGGCGGAATCGCAGGCGTTTCGCCATCTTCGTTTTCGGGGAGTAGCGTTGTTGGGAGGGCGCTCGCCGCAGCCGGGCCACCCCGATCCCACTGTGTAATGTGTGCTAATTCGTACTCATGGATGAAGCCAAAGAAATGAGCAACCCACCAGTCGTTCTCATCTTGGCTCTTGGCATTGAATGTGTTTGCGGCCCATGCGTTCCTCCGCTCTTCCATACTCCACCATCCTGCGCCCTTCGTTTGTTGACACTCCACGGACACTTGTTGGGGCTTGTTCGTCCACGGAAAGTGTCAACGCTCAAGGCGGCAGGCCGAGCTCCTTGCCACTTTAGCGATTTCCCAGACCTGCCGTTCCGGCGACTCGGCTGCCTCACCACGGAAACACGGCGCAAACGGGTGTTGCACCTGCCATTCCGGGCAAGGGGCAAATGCTTGGCGGCGGACCGGTCATGCCTCCACAGCAGCAAGGTGACTCCCCGACCTCGCTCGGGGGCCGCTGGATTACCCCAATTCGTCTGGTCCCAATCGCAGCCAGAAATCTGCATTGAATGTGGCAATAGCATCCCACTTGGAACTCTTTCGGCTCGAGGCGGTGTTTCCAAACCCATGTTTGTTCCGGCGGAAACCATCGAGAAAGAATGAGCTTCCTCTTTTCCTCTCGGACCCAACGTCGTCTTAGACCAAGCAAGGCCAAGGCACCAAAAGGTCTTCCTTGCTCCTCCAGTAACTCCTGATGAATCGTCGTTCTATCGGTGAGGTCTCGAGGCAGTTCACTCGAATCTTAGGATCATGTTGCGCTTGTGTTTCGCGCCAACAATGAAACGCGATGGAGGTCCTGTGTAGTCCGTCTTGGCTCGCCCTCCTCCATCTTTCTTTTCATTCCCTTCCTCCTTTCCCCTCTTTTTCGGCACAAGGACAAAGTTAACTACCTATAGTTATTCGTTAATCTCCGAGCGGACGAACCGCGTCGAGCAACGTCGGCGTCGCATTTGCTTGCCTCGGAGAGTCTGGATGGTAGTAGTGTCTCCTTTAACATTCAGCCCCTCGGCCTGGCGCGCCTACCTCCTGTCATTCCGGGGAGAATCCGTGGGGATCTGATCTTCTGAAATTATCTGGGTTTTCAGCAACTTCAAACCGACCATTCATGTGGAAGAGCTCAACATCCTTAAATTCGTTCACGGTTCCGGACCACCAATGAGACTTCGATTATCCCGCAATAGACAATGGTACTTATGTGGTCCAAAAATTTCCAATTATTACAGTAGTACTATGATAGACTTGAGATCTGGGTTACACGCTTGGTTTAGGCAACGTGTCTGGCGTCGGTCGATGTTTCAAGGATGAGGACCATTTGAGTCCCACATGCATGACGTTGGCTTGATTGGTAAAGGATTCATGACCTAGGATGTATCTGGTAGGTCACTCGGTTTGGGGTATTTGGCGATTGCAGACGACGGAACCCCCTCTATTCTGAGGCTCACACGGGCCGATAAGATCAAGACCGTTGCAGGACGAAGGCCGAGGAGGGTGGCATCTTGGCAAGGCGACCCCAACCCTCGATCTTCTCATTCAAGCTTCGAGCCAAGCTGCCAAGGCGTACTTCCCGCGTGTCAAAGATGCACGCCAAGATGATTTCCTTGCCTCGACTTGAGATTGCCGATTCACGTTCAAACTCTAACTTCACGACGACTACCACTAACGTTAGCGGCATAACCATGACTACAGGGCCTATCCTCTCCCGGCTTCAAATGGGGCATCGGCTTTACCCCTCTCTTCCCTCCCGTGCTCCAACAGAAAGGCCAAACTGGCCCCGCAGCGACGATCCTGCCCCAATGTTTCCTCGGAAATAGCAGTCACCCGTGATCTCGCATCTGGCAAATGGCATCGCATTTGCCGTCCATGCCCGCTCGTTGCGATCCCAGTCTGGCTGGCCAGACGAGCCAACCGAGCGGGCGCCGCCAGCTCGTTGGGCCTTTGAGGGGCGACTGAAACGAGCAGGCGCCAAGTATCTCCGATGCACCGCAACCCAAGAGCCTGCTGAGGACTCGAATCGAGCCAAACACCGGTTGAAATGAGGCAAGAGGCTGAAGAGATCGGCATAATCCATGGATATGCCGTCCTGCGCATATCACGCAACGTGCCAGGCGCGTCGCTCCGTCGGTCGCCAAATCCGCCGCTTGAAACGACCGAGGCTGTGCGAACACTGCAAGACGGGCCTTCCCGGCGCTTCCTCAACCCCTCTACACCGAACAATGCTGTCTCCTTTGAGCAAAAATCGGCAGCCGATTGGCCGGGTTGGGGAAAACATCCGAATACCAGCTTCCACTTCTGTAGATGGTTCTTTCCATTCGCTAAGATCAAGGAGGCAGGCCTGGCAAACGAACGGGGAAGGGGCGATGACGCCGTGCTGGCGTGCTTTGGGATTGCCTCTTCGGTGCGAAGGCAACCTCCTCTCCGCCGTCTTCCTAGGTTGCCATTGTGGAAGCTTAGAAGAAACCAATGGCCGAAGAAAAGATATAAACCGATCGCCATCCCATGATCTGAGCCAAGTTTTTGCCCAGACCAGCCTTGGACCCAAACGACCCGACCCGATCGCACTCGCAATCTCTAGGTAGTTATCGCGAGTTGAGGACACGGACAACCGCACTGCACTGAGTTGCGTCACCCCCGATCATGATCCCTCGTCTCGTACGTGCGCAATTTTACTAACAGTGGCTCAGAACTAAGTCCCACTCGTTGAGACTACACACACATCATGCGTTTCGGATCCGTCTTCGTTTCGGCCGCCCTTGGCACCAGTGCCCTAGGTGCTGTGTTGCCCCCTTCCCCCCAGGCCAGCAAGGGGAGCGTCTCGCTGAAGCAGGTCCGTAACCCGAACTTCGTCCGCCACGGCCCCATCCAGCTCGCCAAGGTTTATCGCAAGTACGGCGTGCCCCTCCCCAATGATCTCAAGTCGGCCGTGGCCCGTATCCGGCAGACGGCCAAGCGCGCGACCGGCAGCGCCAAGACGACCCCGGAGGCAAGCGATGTTGAGTATTTGACCCCGGTTTCTATTGGTACCCCGGCCCAGACCCTCAACCTCGACTTCGACACCGGCTCCAGCGATCTCTGGGTCTTTAGCTCTGAGCTCGGCAGCGGCTCCGTCCACGGCCAGACCATCTACGACCCTAGCAAGAGCTCCACTGCTAAGAAGCTCTCGGGTGCTTCTTGGCAGATCTCGTACGGTGATGGCAGCTCCTCAAGCGGCGATGTCTACACCGACAAGGTCGACGTTGGCGGCCTGACCGTCTCGGCGCAGGCTGTTGAGACCGCCAGCAAGGTCTCGTCCTCTTTCAGCTCTGACTCCAACAATGACGGCCTGCTCGGTCTGGCTTTCAGCTCCATCAACACCGTCCAGCCCAACCCTCAGACGACCTTCTTCGACAGCGCCAAGGATAATCTTGACGCCCCCGTCTTCACTGCTGATCTCAAGGCTGGTGCTCGTAAGTAAGCCCGACCCTCTCACTACGGTAGAACCCCGAGCTGACGTGTGTTTCTTGCCCAGCCGGTACCTACAACTTCGGCTACATCGACGACAACGCCTACACTGGCGACATTACCTACGTTCCCGTTGACAGCAGCCAAGGGTTCTGGACCTTTACTACCTCTGGCTACTCTGTTGGCTCTGGCAGCTTGAAGGGATCCCAGTATGACGGCATTGCCGACACGGGTACTACCCTGTTGCTTCTGCCCTCTGCAGTGGTCAAGGCTTACTACAGTGAAGTCTCTGGTGCGCAGTACGACCAGAGCCAGGGCGGCTATACGTTCTCGTGCGACACCAAGCTTCCCGACTTCGTCTTCGGCCTTGGTGACAGCGGCGCCTCCGTCACCGTTCCTGGAGACTACATCAACTTCGCTCCCGTCACCGAGGGTGGGAGCGACTGCTTCGGTGGTATCCAAGAAGATACCGGCATCGGTTTCGCCATTTACGGTGACGTTGCTCTCAAGGCTGCCTTTGTCGTCTTTGATGGTGGCAAGGAGCAACTTGGTTGGGCCGCCAAACAGCTCTAAATAGAGGGCCGTTTTGTACCGGCCACACGCTCGGGATGATGACGTGTTCATTGCAGACATTTCTTGTGATTATTTGAGTTTCACATCTCTTAAGGCAGCCTCGCTGTGTTTTGATATGGCTATGGCGCGATTTGGGACTCAGCTGTAGGAGGAAAGATACTGGGTGGCCTAGTTTAGGAGCGTACTGATCATTTAACGAGCTTTCGCCAGGTGTAAAGAATTGAGAAAGTTAATATCTGTCCCATCATGGTATCCGCTGTTGTTTCCATGTATGCGCCGGCCGTAGCGGTGAGCCACTGAATTGCCTGATTAGGCAAAAATGAGGTCGTGCCCGGGTTCGAACCGGGGTTACTGGAAATATTGACCATCAGTCAAAATCCAGAGTGATAACCACTACACTACACAACCTGTGCAACATATTTGCCACGGTTCTCTTCAGAGCCTGTCATACCAACACAATACCCTGTTATCACAACGGGAGGTTCATCCCACCACATACCTATTGGTCTGCGGGTCTGCGCTTGTGCGGGGGTATTTATTGCCAGGGTGGGATCTACCGAGAATTACTTCGCACAGCTTGCATGTTCGCATTTTCCCCCATGGAAGCCTCGCTTAGTTATTCGTCCTTCATTTGGACTCGGGGACAATGTCCAGGCCGCGGTACCTCTTTCGGCGTCGAGCATAGCAGTACCGCCAGCTCATACAAGTAGGACAAGTAGGAAACTATAGGGCTATTACGTGCTCATTATCTCTCGCCAAATACCATTTCCACCGGGTATCTGACTCTAATCGCCCCCAATGCCAGGGTATCATGCGCAAACATTTTCTACATCGTTCCGCCGGTCTGGTTAAAACCTAGACTTGGCAAGCTAATTTTTGGCTTTGCAACCGAAAATATGCGCCCTGGAAAAAGCCCATCATAGCTTCTACAAGATGTTATCTTACTCCTCACCTTCCTCTATACCCTCCTCTTCTCCGATGTCTACCTCCTCATCCTCTGGTGGTTCGGGGACGTCCACCGTAAATTCGGCCTGGGTCTCCTCTGCGTCGTGGTCCAGAACCACAAACGCGACCGTGCACATGTCTGTGAAGCCCTTCTTGCCTAGCTTGTCGCTGGGCACCGCATTGATGTACTTCCACCCTTCGGACAAGTCGTCCGGCTGTTTTGGGAGCCCGTAGGCGATCTTTGGTGTGATATTCGGTGTATCGTCACTCTGGGAGATTGAAATCGGTGCGGGGATGGGAGTCAAGTCAGGGGAGCCGACCGAGGTTGTGAGGCCATTCGGGTAGCGTTCTTGGATGACGGTGAGGAGTTCGGTGGTGAGGCGCGAAAAAGGCCAGTCGGGGCTGGCGAGGAGAGAAATGGTGTGGATTCCATATTTGAGGCGGACTGTCATGTCCGCCTCATCCACGTCTTTGGCGTTGCGCGGCTGGGAGCAAGGTTAGGAAAAGCGTGTTTGGTTGTTGGCTTGGTGGGGGGTTCAAGGTGGCGGCGGGGCCAGGGCTTGCCGTACCATTTTGGACGCTTCTGGTGCCAAATTTGAGGATATGGTAGACAGCGTCTTTTGGGGGGACTTCGAGAACAGGTGACTGATTTGGCTCGATGGTGAAACGATGTTGCCGAACACACGTCTTTCGAGGAGCTTGTCAAAAAATGTTCCAGATGCTGCGCCAAGCTAGGTACCCAGGCAGCTGTGGAGGGGCATCTTTATCCTAGCAAGCAGGAGCTTGGACCACCTGCAGGCATTTTCTTCTGCAAACAACGGAATCATCAATTAACCTGTTCATTAACAAGCTCCGAGGTTTCGGGAGGACAGGAAGACTTGGAGTTAGTCCCGACTTCGACGACCGCCAGCATTGAACATCTCCCAGCATGGCCACCCCAGACAATCTGGCAGACTGGGCCTCCCGGCCCAAACACCAAGAAGCGTATCGTGCACCGAACCAGGCCGAGCTTGAGGCCCTCTACCGCAACTCGCGACTCTCGTTGCCCTGGGTCCTGCGGCTTCCTTTAGCTACGACGCTTTCGTTTTTTGCCGGTTTCACCCTCGGCGCATCCTTTGGAGGCAAGATGACCGGTCTTCGCTTCCGCGCCGAACACGCACACAAGATGCCGAGTAGCTCGACTGGATGGTATTTGTACCACAAGAGCAAGAACTACCAGGTGGCTTACGGTGGGCTTCGGGAAGGGTTCCGCATGGGGTTTAAGGTGTCGTTTTGGACAACGGCCATGTTCGCGATCGAGCGCATGTTTGATGTCTACCGCGGAACTTCCGATATGTTCAACACGTTAACCTCCTGTGTCACGGTGGCTGGGGGGTTCAGTCTATGGAGTATGCTGCATGACGTTTTCGCCCTGAGGTTATACATAATTCCCGCTAACACCTGCGTCCCCCCTACAGACCGTTTTTCGTTGCCGATGACAGCCCGCACGACCCAAACAGCCTTAGTTGCCGGGGTAGTATATGGAGGGCTCCAAGACGTGCTCGGTTTAATCAGGGGTCGCCCCATCGGTTACGTGGATTGGGCAAGGCAGCGATTGGGATACCCGCCACAACCGCGGCCGATGCCATCGTGAGGGCGAATTTCCGAGATATTGTGTCCCCATCCATCGCTCGGCGAACCGAATCAGAGGCTCAAGAAACAATTCTTTTTGTCCTTGCCCACTTCACATTTTAACGACCCTGACGGATCACATTCCATTCGTCGCGCCAACGCCGCCGATTCCCCCGAAACAAATCAACAAGACAGCATCAGCGCGCGCTCCACGACGACCTGGGAAACCCCCACGTTTCCTGGGTACCAATCGCGGGTCAGCTGACTCTTTGCACCAGCTGCACGCCGACATCAACCGCACTTCGTTCCCCGACTCGGGCTTGCAGGGCGGGGATGATGCTGCTGTTGCAGCAAAGGCCGACGGTGCTCACCTGACATGTTTCGGCCCTTCGCAACAGGTTTCCAGGCTCCCGGTGGTTGCTCCATCAAACCACGACAAATTTACCCAAAACAGTTGGCTCCCGTTCGTCGACTTCTCGGCAGCCCCGCTGCAAGTGCCTTGGACGCTCATTGTGGGGCTTTGTTGCGATGCCGGCAGACAGCATCGACCCCACAGGCGCGGCTATCTGCGGTTTTCTGATAAGGGGACCGCGATAACATCATCGATTGCACCGCAGCCCGTGCCAGAGGCACCGCTCGATGCACAATTGCAATCTCGTCGCTTGACAATTCCGAGCCGGATTGGTGGGTTTCGGTGCATTGCAGCATGGGGAACGGCCAGCGATACCGGGGGAAGGGGTCAAGGAGTTGGGTGTTGGTAAGGAGTATATCTTTGCAGTTCGTCTCATCAGGCTTCGGGCCGTAGTGCAAGACCCGGCTCCTTTTCTCGACCCCTTTTTAAAACCATTTACCACCTAGCTCATCCTATCGCATTGCGGTTGGTTCACCGTCTCGTCCACACGTCTATACACATCCCATCGTGGTCACACACCTTGTCTTCTCCCACACTCGCCTCTCATCGCTCGAGAGTTTTGGAAACAACAAAACCAGCGATTGGCCTCTCTGTGTATCGGTTTGAGATGGCGCGGTTTCCAAAAGCACTACATCGCGCCAGCATCCATTCACCATGTAACCTAACGAGAGCGAACCCCAGCTTCACGACCTTGACCCGAAACCCATGCCTAGCTTCCGCCGCCCTTCAGTCTCTTTCAATTCGACTGCCTCGGCCCTTGCAGATAGCGAGGGTATCATGCCCAACCCCCCAAATATTTACAGCATCTACACGGCCGTTGCATTCCTCTTCCAGCCAATCGTCACCATCCGGTCCTCTCACAATAGGTGCCGCCGCGGTAACTATACCCGCAACAGGGCCGTCCGAGGAACCCTCAGCGAAGATGGCCGAGTCAGCTCCACTGGCCGTGCTCCCACTCACCAGCATCCTACGGTCATTCATGACAATGACCGTCTCATCCTCACCGATCTTGCTCCCGCCTTCACTGGCGGCGATGTCCATCCTGGCCAACGCAACCAGTCCGGCCCTCAACCCGGACAAGAACCCCCTTCTCCGCTTCTTCCTGAAAACCACATTTTACGCCCAATTCTGCGCTGGCGAATACGCGCCCGAGGTGCGGAGGACAATTGAGTCGCTCAAAAGCATCGGATTCGGTGGTGTGATTCTAGGGTACGCTAAGGAAGTGGTGCTCACGGAAGAGCAGATGAAAGATCTGGCGTCTTGCAACGATGGCGCGGCCGCGGAGGAATGCTTGCGGACGGAGATTACTCCCTGGACCAACGGCACAATGGAAACGGTCCTCCTCGCCTCGCCGGGAGATTTTGTCGCCCTCAAGTTTACAGGGGCCGGCCGCCAGGCGCTACACGCACTCTCCCAGTCACTACCCCCCTCGCAGGCCTTGTCGTCCGCTATTGACAGCATCTGCCAACTTGCCGCGTCTCGCGGAGTAAGGCTTTTATTCGACGCTGAGCAACAGGCGCTGCAGCCGGGAATCGACCAGTGGTCTCTAGATTTTATGCGTAAATACAACACGGCTGAGAGCGCCGTCGTGTATGGAACGTATCAGGCATACCTCAAGTCGACACCTGCTACCCTAAGTCGCCATCTCGCTGCCGCACGCGACGGCGGCTTTGCTTTGGGCGTGAAACTCGTTAGGGGCGCCTACCTTGGTTCTGACCCCCGACATCTCATTCACGACACTAAGGCCGACACAGATGCAGCCTACGACGGCATCGTTCAGGCACTCATCGAGAAACAGTGGGTCGGCCCTTTGATCCGACCACCCACCTCGGCTCCGGTCCAGGGCCGGAACCAAAATGAACAGACGGCGGCCGAATTTCCAGAGTTTGCCTTGGTCGTGGCCACCCACAACCGCGAGTCCGTCGTCAAAGCACGAGAGCTTCTTTCTAAGACCAACACAACCTCGGATGTGGCGTTTGCTCAACTCCAGGGCATGGCCGACGAAGTGAGCTGCGAACTAGTCAGCGCAAATACCCCCGCTACTATCGCCGGATCGTCAGCCACCATGGAGAAGCCACGCGCGTATAAGTACCTTGTATGGGGTTCGACGGGCGAGTGCATGAAGTACCTGCTGCGGCGAGCCCACGAGAATCGGGATGCGGTGCAACGAACTCGGTCAGGGAGGGACGCGATGCGCACGGAGTTGTTGAGGAGATTCAAGAGTGTGCTGAAGGCTTCGACGTGAGCTATGGATAGCGGTTATGATACCGAGATGGCGTCATGTGATAATGGAGGGGCCATGAGGGAATGTGGGCCGGCCTTGATGCGGCGTTTTATCTCCCGATGCTTTTCAAGCTCATTACGAATTTGGGTACATGGTGCTTTGCCACTACTATTCCTCAGCATTCTTCCGCTTCTCTTTCGTCTTAGCCTTTTAGCGAGCGTACTTGTAAATATTATGACTTGATGAGTTACCTTCCGTTCCTTTCCCATCATGGCCTTCTTGGGCGGCGTCCGAGACTCACTATTAACATGGAATCCGAATTGCTATCTTGATCTCCGGCCGACGGCCCATCCGCCCTTATAACCCTCGTAATGCCATCCCTACAATGACCAAACTCTCGCATTGTTTCCGCTTCTCTCGCTCATCACTTATCTTATCTAGGGATTGGATTCCGTTGAGCCGGTAATACTTGCGCACTTTGGCCCAGTCGGTAGTTTGCGCGAGCTCTTCGTCAGTTACAGGCGTAGGTGTTCCTTGAACATGTTGTTCCAGATGGCCGTATATGGTTTGTTCATCCGGTGTTTGTGTTTGGCTTAGATTTTGGTTGGCCGTAGAATTTGGCGGTAGAATGACCTTGACGACGACTAGATCCCTTGTCTTCCCTGGTGTGATGCCCCAACGCCGGTATGCGTCCGAGATCTGGAGAAGTTAGTTCAATTAGAAGTTTATTAAGCCTAAATTGTACTTATGTTTTTTCTTGTTAAAAAAGAAAACTTACATTATTGTTCGTGTTCAGGGACATGACGATTTCGGAGTGCACGTTGGGTGTCCGTAATGACCCGTTAAGTAAGCTGTTGATGGCGCTGTAGACGGCTGATAGGAGATGAATGCGAGAAATGATGGTGGAAGCATCGATAAAAGCGTACTCGAACTCGCTGTTCCTCGACAGGAGCTGTTTGTGGAGAAAATCGGCGTTGGCTACATTGCGGAAGAGGCCCAGGTATACTTGGTACTCAAGAGGGATGTGCTCCAACTGAAGCTTCTCGAGAGACATGGCGCTCGCGGGGATGACGTGGATTTAAGTTTGGGAGTTACCAAAGGGATTGGGGCGGAATGACGGCGATGGAAATTGTAAGCCGACAACGCCGATCTAGTTTACCGGTCTTTGGACTCGCGGGAAACTTGATATTGTTCGCTTTTTCTTCCGTTTTTTTCTGCTCAAAATGAAGTCGGAATTTGTCTTTTTCACATTTATGGGTCGACGTCGGGAGCTAGCTTTCCAGGTTGGAGGGGCAGTGCGGGGTCCGTGGCCCTGGAACGGTGCTCCAGGCCAGAGCTGTGGAGCACAGACACATGGCTCACCTGCACAGCCAACCCTAACCCACGAGCCCATCCGTCGTTTTGCTGGCGATTCTTGGGCCCCCTCTCCAGTGACAGAGGGTGGAATTTCAATCTGAGACATGTGCGCGTTCAGAGCGCAAATAAACGGGAATACACTAACTACTTAACTTGTGAGGCGCAGCTTCCATTCACCGCTTAAGTACCCCATGCAAAACGCTGGAAAACCGATCTCGAACGATGGAAGGCCTCGAAACCTGGGGAGCTGATCGACGAAACAGTGGACTTGGAAGCCGAAGCGAGGAGCGGCTGCGAGCTCCCGTCCCGAAGCGCGGATGTTGTGCCCGTGGTTGACCCTTGTCAAGAACGTGCCTTGTGTGAAGAGGCATTCCGACAACTTGGGCGCGGTCCATCCAATTAGCGGGTTGCCAAGGCCTCTCCTTGGCACCGGCCGGGGCAGGCGCGCCTGAGCGGCACTGCTAAACCCATGAAGGGGCGCCCCTGAACATCGACTGCCCGCCCAAGAACAAGCAATCCGTCCACAATCAACCTCGAGGTTTAGGGAGGGCCCCGGCGCTCTCCATCTTGAACATCCCCTTCCATCCCGCCATCGCGACGGCAATTCCTGCCCAGGATCGGATCCAACACTCTGGTTTTCAAGCTGGCCAGTCGAGGCGCTGGGGGGAATACTTGGTTCCGACGCGCTTTTCCTGGTAGTTATACAAAAATACGTCGACACTTTACCCGAACACCGTATGCATCGGCATCCGACTCGCGCCCCAGCTCGCCACGGCGCCAACGCCGATTGAAAGGACCGCTCACCTGGACGTCTTGCGACGCGGCGCCGCATCGCCCGCCCCCAGCGGCCCCATCTCGGGACCTGCCGCCCGCCGAACGCCATGCCTCAAGCTCGTCCCCTCAAGCGGCCTAGCGACGCCGGCGATGTTCCCGGAGGATCCGACGCGGCGGCGCCCAAGGCGAAACTGGCACGCCTCGATCGTGGACCCGAGGAGTTCTCTAGTGTCGTCAAGAGCAAGTTGCAGTCGTACACGCGAACGGGGCAGGCCTGCGATCGATGCAAGGTACGAACGCGATATATCATCTCTTGTCGTTGTCTCGCACACTGCGCATCGCCCGTGGTGTACGACGCATGGTGCACCATCGATCGTGCATCTGTAGTTCAATGTTGACTAACCTTCTCCTTATCATTTGGTCCTCTTAGGTCCGCAAAATCCGCTGCGATGCCCTCCCTGAAGGCTGCTCCCACTGCACCACACAGAACCTCGAATGCTATGTTACGGACCGCGTGACCGGCCGGACCGAACGACGCGGCTACTTGCAGCAACTCGAGCGCGAGAAGGGCGCTATGCTGGTCCATATTCGAGAACTCGAGAAGCTTCTGGAGAGCAACGACGTGGTAGTACGGCCCTGGCAATGGCCAGGCTATACGACCACCTACCCACCTGGGGTCACTTTCGACCACCACGGCAACGCCGTTCAACAAGACCCGTCTTCTAAAGACCAATGGCAACAAGTTGGATTGGTATGGGTCAAGAACGACTTGTCCAAACCACCAACAAATAGAAATGGCGGCCCAACTCCGTGGTCGATGCTCTCGTCGAGACCCAATGATAGCTATCTGGGAGTTTCTTCCGACAGCGCCCCCCTGAGCTCCATCAACGGGACGACGTTGTCCGTTCTGGGCACCCATATTGATATTACATGCTCCGACGCCCCCGACATGGACGAACCCGCCCCTGGCACGCCGATCGGGTCGCCACTCTACAACAAATCTCTGATGGCTCTCCTTCAATCTAGCCTCAATATTAACCCCCCGCTCACAAACGTCGAGTTGCCTTCCAAGCAAGATGCGTTTCAATATGCAGAGTGGTATTTCCTCATGGTTTGGCCGTTTCTTCCAACGCTTCACAAGCCATCATTTATGCAATTGGTAAGACCTCGGGTCTCGGCTTTCCTTGCAAACAGTGTATGTCCTGCTAACAGTCACCGTAGTTGACTCGCATGTACGAGGATCCAACACATAAACCAACCGTGCCGGAGATGGTGACGATACACATGGTTTTTGCGACAATCTACTTTCAGTATGGCATCAGGAACCGGGAGGAGCCGGAGAAGTACGCTCAGCTCAATGAATTGTCTAACAAGCATTATCATTGGAGCATAAGCAAGCTTTTTGACCTTGCCTCCTCACAATCGGTGGCCACTGTTCAAGCTCTGGCCATGATCGCGGCTCACACCCGCAACTTCCCAAAGCCCGAATGTTGCTTGGCTGTCTCCACTTATGCATTTGGGAAAGCGATCGAAATGAACCTCCACCGAGCCGCCAAAATCCCGGGCGGCGGAACCACGTTGGAGAACGAGCTGCGAAAGAGGACATGGTGGGCGGTTCTCGCCATTTTCTGCACCATTAACGGCCGGCTCGGCCGCCCGATGCCGATCTCGATAGAGGAATTTGACGCAGACTTTCCGATTCCTATCAATGATGAATATCTGGGAGAAGAAGGGATCCTTGACCCTTCCAAGATCGGTCATTGTAACTACAGTGCAGGCATCGCCGGGTTCAAAATCACGCCGCTGTACATCGAGATGTACGCCAAGATTTACAGCGTCCGCCGCGATCCCAGCAAGTATGTCCAAGTGGTCAACCAGTTGGAACAAGCACTCCATAATTTCCTGGACGAGCTGCCGGATGAGCTCAGGGTGGGCAAATGCGCGCCTACAAACCAGGTCTTTGCGCTGTATTGCCAGGCCTTCTGCCTGGAATTCACTTTGTGTCTGAGGCACCCCTCGGTTTGTCCAACGGACGACCCCAAAATCTGCGCTGAAAACACCAGAGTTTGCGAAGATACTGCTCGGAAGCTCCTCAAGGTCGTCGGTTCCCTGTACAAGCTTAAGTCCTTGGACACCACTTGGTACCAGCAAGCAGTCTATATCGGCGCTATGTTTTCCACGCTGGTGGCGCACTGGCAGCGGCGCTACGAGATTACTGCCTTTGAAGTCGCTTCTCTGCGTAGCGACATGTCGCTCTGGCTGCAAATTATCGCAGAAATTGGGAAACTTCTAGGTATGGCAACCCGAGCTTGGGATGTTCTCGGTTATGTTATGTTGTGGCTAATGGAGTGGAAATAGGCACTGGGAACCGGGTCGCTTCCGAGGTAGGGGCCGTCATTGAGCGTACCATCAACTGGATAGAGCGGGACATGACTCGGCCGCCTGGTTCACCCGCCAGACAAGTTGCCATTAAGCAGCAATCTCCCTCGTATCAGCAAGCCTTGACAAGTAAGCAACCACTGGATAACGCATTGGCTCCCAGTGGTGCTCGAGCGACCGTCTCCGAGTCTCGCAACCCCGCTACAACCAACGGCACCAGCTATTACGATCCTGGGCTAGCGACTCCCGCGACTTCTTACCCCACGCTCAACTACGGCGAGCAGACGGCTAGCGCAGTTTCCCTGGGGCAAAATGGGGCTGGAGTAGTTGACTCAACGGACGGGGCCCAGTATCTCTACGCAGCAGCGTCAGCCGCGACGGCCGCGACCACATCCAACACCACAACCGTCGCTATGGAGCAAGCAGCAGCAGCACAAAACCCCCTGATAGCCTTTGCATCGCAGGCAACCCAGCACGTGTCCGGGCAGGCGGCAAATGGGTGGAATCCACAACCTACGCTATTAGCACATAACGGGACCTCAGCAAATACGTGGCAAGACTGGACGAATGCGATTCAGGACACACAAGATCGATACAGCGCCAATGCGCTACTAACACTCAACTCCGGTCGGTCAGGGGACGTGGGCGCCAGTGGAGTAGTTAACCCGCACGCCCCAGGCCCAGGCGACGCATTAAGCGGCGCGCATACCGGGCAATGGCCCCTTTTGCTGTTCCATGACGGATCTGGGAATGTCAGCGGACCATGATATACTGTCTTATTTTCATTTTCTTTTGTTCCCAAAGCTATTGCTTGAACCCCGGTTCCCACACTATTTATTATTGATACCACGGTATACTGGTTTCCTTTGTTTGCCTTCAAATTCCGCCCCTCTTACGCCACATCTAGCGTGAAGGGGCACAATGGCTATTGTCACTGACCGTTGTCAAGTGCGACAATTTTTTGGGATGGAGGCGTTTTAGGTTCAGGCGCAGGGTCGACGGTTAACAAGTGCTGACTGGGAGATCTCTTTTCGACATTACGGACACTCGGCGCTGACGGGTCTTTGGCAACACATTCACTTGGTTGGTTTTGGCAAGGGGGACTGCATCATATACATCTACTTTCTTTGCCCTATCACGGCGTGCTGTTTCATTTTGCTGTCGACGGATGGGGGGACCTAGAATTGAACTCATGGCAACATGCGAATAGAGCTGTATATCGGAGTCTCACAATACACCTTTGACCACCTCATCGTGACTGAGATGTCTCAGGTAGTTCCGGATTCCCTCAACCAATGGCTTAAAAATCCCGGCAATAATCAGCCGCTTTCGGCCAGTATCTCCATGTGCAACCTTGGACAAGCAGCAGTAGTCAGGCTTCGTCGCATCCTGCCACCATATCCGTCCGGTCTGCTCTAGCATCAGAGCTGCACCCGCTTCACGCCCGAAGAACTCTCATTACTCGCCTTCTCGTCGATGTCCCCATCCTTGCGGGGATGCACTGTCTGACCCTCTAAGGGTTGGTCCTCCTGGCGTGGGTTGCGTCTCTTACGGACAACGTCGTAGACATAGCGAATAATGCCGAGCGCGAGCCCAGACGCTAGCACCGCAATGTTGATGGTGAAACCACGCCGGTAAAATGGCTTGTCTTCCTCGCGGAAAATCTGAGCGCCATAAATGCCTGCGATGTTGGCGCCCATGATGACCCTGAAGAGAAGTAGAATGTGTTGTTAGAACTTCGCCCTGCAGTGGTCTGAAGGGGAGTGGCGGATGATGGGTATCAAAGTTGAGCTTACATTGCCATGGCCAAGGCTCGCACTTCAGAGTCTTCGCAAGTGAGGGACATCCAGGCGATGTTTAGGGGATGAGAGAAGGTGCCAAATGTTTGCGTCCAGACGACGCCAAAGTACCGAATGCCGCGGAGGTCACCGAGTTCGGTGAAGGAGCGATTAAAAATGTAGCCAAGAAGATGGCAAAAGAAACCTGCAATGACGGTTTCCCCTCGCTTGTTGCTAGTCGACTGTTAGGGCACTCGACCAAATACCTGGGTGAAGCGAGGTGGGAGAGACAACTCACAAGCGATCCGAAATGTAACTAAAGGTGAAAGACACGGGAAGCTGAAGGAAGAGGCCAACAGATGCCATGGCATTGCTTGTCAAAGTGCCAAAACCGAAGCTCCTAACGATGGAAGGTGAATACGTATCAAAGGCACGCTGTGGGCCGTTGTTGCAAAGTGTGATCAGAACATGACACCACAAACGCCAGTCGGCAAAAGCGCGCTTGAAGGCATCAAGCTTGATGTGTCTCTTCTTCCTCCCCTTCATGGGGTCATCCTGCAGCACGCGGGTTTGGAGGATATGCAGCTCTCGTGGGGTGAAGAGCCTGACACCGGGGAGAAAAGACGGGCAGGGGTTGCGGAACGAATCCGGGAGACAGAAGCCGAGGATGAAGCCGCTGAAAATGGTGAAACCCCCCATTATGATGAACAACCAAAACCAGCCAGCCCGGTCTGCAACACCCCGCATGTGCAGAATCCCGTACGCCAGGAGTTTGGAAGAGGCCTGGCCGAATTGATTCCCAAAGTAAAAAAACATAACACGTTTGGCCGTCTCCTTGCGGGTGTACCAGGTGGACAGCGTCCAGAGTCCGCCAGGGATGAAACCACACTCGGTCAGGCCAAGCAAGAAACGGGTTGCAATAAAGGCCCCATAACTGCTTTGAAATGCCTGGAAGGTACTGACGATTCCAAAGAGGAAGAGTTGGAGAGTGAGCCACTTGCCCGGCCCGACGCGGTAGAGAATCATGTTGGAGGGGATTTCAAACAAGACGATACCGAGTGAAAGCATCTGCTGGCCGACGTTGAATTCGTTCTGGGTAACTCCAACATCTTCCATGAAGCTGTCTGTGATGGCGTTGGCAATGTTGCCTCGGTCGAGCTCTGTGTGTTGAGGACGTTGTTAGCCCAGAGGAAGTCCCCTCTCGGTCCCTCCGCCGCAGCATTGGTTAACGGCGTGACATACGTAGGCAGAAAAACCCGAGTGTTAACAGTGGCATAATAATTAGATCGAGCCTTGGATACAAGTTAGCGTCAAAGGGACACCCCTGCTTCGATGACATAGCAAGTTCGAGGAAGCTTACTTTTTCTTTGCTCTCGCCTCCTCTTCCGGAGTCCAATCACGGCCCGATGAGATTTGCAAATTCTCCTCATCGTCATGCGATGACGCGGAGTACTGAGCCGCATCCGTAGATTTGGTGTCAACGTCCGCCATTCTTCAAGGAGCCGAGCCTGTAATATGTTCTGACGTCGTAAAGAGCAACGGGATAGGTCGAGAGGTCTGGTGAGGATGATCAACTTGAAAATGAGTCTTAATGGTGATGATACGACAACACTGGAGACAGCATTGCCTCGCATTCTTATAAGATGTCATATCCCTTGTGGTCCATCATCCTCCCTCCATGTTGGGATCAGATACCATCCTCCTGGGCAGCGCACGTTTTGGTGGGATGCTGAGGGTTTGTTTCTGGGCGTTGATGAGAGCATCGACAATGAACAGCACGCCATACTTCCAAGAACCGCGCGAGGTCCGTGGATGGAATACTTAAAGTCTTGGATATCCTTGGCTCGCTGACCCTGAGACTTCCCCTTTTGACAGTTTTTCGAGACTCATCAATGTACCGCCCAGAGCGCCGAGAACAGCCGTCCCCCTTGGCAACAACAATCGGATGAGACAGGCGAACTACCAACATCTTACTAGTTTCTATTTCGACCGGGGATTGGGTTTCATGACACCACTCCGTCCCGAATTGCTGGTCCGCTTTGTTTTCGCGAGTGGATAATTACTTAAACCTTGGGGAAACACCAACATTTTGAAGGTGATTATACCATGCTTCAGTGAGACCCCCAGTGCGCGGTAGCTGTTGACGCCCACAGGTAACTGCCGCTGAGACGGAGCGGAGACGTACAAATCCCGGATTGCTATCAACGCCCCCCTCTCCCTGGATCCCTTACAGCGAAAAGTTGAAAACACCGCTCAACAACCGACGCTTTGTGGTTTTACCCCCACGCCTCGGTCTTCCCACACACCAACACCCCGACCAGGAAGAGGAACACTGAGAATGCCGGTGAAACGCGATCAAGGACCCTGCCTTGGCGGGCGTCCTCGTGGGCGTGCCAAGAGTAGATGCCAACATCGCCAAGGAAGTGTGGGCTATTGTTTGGAGGAGCAAAGGCTCGGCGTAACCCGGACTTGACCAGAAAGCCGAGACCTCTGCGTGTACGGCTGACGGGGAGTCCAATGAAACAGTCAAAGAGAAGAATCGCACAAAAAAAGTTGGCTTGGAGGTGGGAGACACGGCTGTTGGGGAACACAGAACTCTTGTTTGGCCGGGTGACAAGGCGCCCGGTTCGAGGCGCGCGAGACAAGGCGAATTCCGCAGCTGAAGCGTGGGCGGCGCATGTTGCTGAGTATTTACTGCGTTTAGTGAATCTAATTCAAAACTGAGAACTGGTGTTTGGCTAAGACTTTTTTAAGGATTATTGGGACAGGAGATAATTTGACTTATCATAGCAATGAAATTCGAGAACTTCAGGGAAATTACTAGTTATTCAGTTAATTCTTAATTATAGGGTAAAGGATGAAGAACTCAAAATAACCGAGGCAAATGGAAAGGAAGGCGATGAGAGCGACGTGTGGAATTCTCGCTTTTAACAAAGATTCCAGTTCCACCCGACCCCTTCGCTGGCTGCTGAGCGTTGTTGACCTGCGGTTGTCGACGAATGTAGTGTAATTCGAGAAAAGTGGTTTGTCCCTAAAAGGTTAGTTAAGTCGAGATCTCTCTTGTCCACACCCTAACCCAGAGGCGCATTGCATCTGTTGGTACCGCTGTGCCGTGCCACTTCAGGACCCCTGTCAAGGGTGCTATCCTTTTTTGGGTGGGTCCATTTGCAACTCCCCCTTTCTATTTTGGACGACTTTTGCCAAACAACCGCGACAACACCGTCAATCGTTTCGTTCTCGTTTTCTTTTCTTTTCTTTCTTAATCTTATGTTTTGTGGTTTAATTATTTCTGCTGCTGTATCAACAAACTCGGGCGGCGACTTGCGCGCCCGCAGGCCGTCGTCTTGATGCCACGCCTAACCGTGACGGCGCTCCTCCGCCACGCCCTGCGGTTCCTGGCCCCCTTGTCGATTGCATTGACCGTTTACCTTTACCTCTACCCGGTCTTTAACACCTGCGCCTTTCCGTTACCGCCCGCCCCGGATTCCAACACCCACGCTGCCGACACCGGGAACGCAGCTTTTCTTGAGACTGCCAAAGTTCACTGGCAGTCGGCCGCGGGAACTACCGAGACCCCGACACGCTTTGTCCCCTCGCGAACCCCTGCGCCGTTTCGCCTCCTCACCCTCGGCGACCCCCAACTCGAAGGCGACACTTCCATCCCTACCGACTACCTAGGCGTTTTCCCGCACGCGAAAAGCGTCTTCAAGCATGTGACGTTCCAGTCCGAGCAGTTCTCCCTGCGGTACCGCATCCGCCAGGTCTTCCACGACATCATTGATATCTTTTTCGAGGACATTTTCGATGCGCTCGAGTCGCTGCGCAAGCGTATGGATCACGTCGGCAACGACTTGTATCTTGCCCATATCTATCGGACCGTACACTGGTGGTCTCGTCCAACTCACGTCACCGTCCTAGGTGATTTGTTGGGCAGCCAGTGGATCGACGACGACGAGTTCTACCGCCGGGCCGCCCGTTTCTGGGACCGGGTGTTCCGCGGTGCGGAGCGCGTGCCAGACGATGTGGCCGCGTACCCGGCGGACGAGTACGATGTGGCCGGCAGTCTTGGAGGTGGCCACTTCAACGAGTCAAAAACATGGACACGACGTCTGATCAATGTCGCCGGGAATCATGACATTGGCTACGCGGGTGACATAAACGAGGAGAGATCCGAGAGATTTGAGGCTGCATTCGGCAAGCTCAATTACGAGCTCCGCTTCGAACTGCCACTGAGCAACGCGCCCGTGGCGGGGACCACCTTCGACGCTGATCCCAGCTCCAACCGCCTGGTCCCCGAACTCCGCATCGTCGTGCTTAATGACATGAACCTTGACACTCCCGCCGCGTCCACGAAACTCCAGGATGACACATACTCTTTCATCAACAAGGTCATCAACACCGCCGCCGCTGTCGAGTTCAAGGGTCAATTCACCGTCATTCTCACCCACATCCCCCTGTTCAAGCCTGAAGGTGTTTGCGTCGATGATCCGTTCTTCGACTTCCATGAACACGACGGCAGCCTAAGGGAGCAAAACCAACTGAGCGACGCTGCTAGCAAGGGTTTCCTGGAGGGAATTCTCGGCATGTCAGGCAACGTGAACGCTGCTGGTCGCGGCCGTGGCCGGCCGGGGATCATTCTCAATGGTCACGACCACGAGGGTTGCGATACCTGGCATTTCGTTAACCAGTCCGTTACCGATGCCGAAGAGCGGGCGTGGGAGGTAAAGCGCTGGCGTCAGGCCACGGGCGCCGGTATCATCGGCCGCGACGAGCTTCCCGGCGTTCGGGAAGTTACTGTGCGGAGCATGATGGGCGGATTTGGTGGCAACGCTGGGCTGTTGAGCATCTGGTTCGACGAGGCCAGTTGGGAGTGGAAGACAGAATACACGACTTGCCCACTCGGGACCCAGCACTTGTGGTGGCTCACACACATCTTGGATCTCGTTGTTGTTGTAGGCATCGTGTTGTTAGTCATTGTTACTGCGCTTTCCGCCATTGGGGTGAATATTGATGAAAAGGTGGAGAGGTCGGTGGCCCGGCTGTGCACGCGGCAAGCGCGGTCGCCCACGGACAGTGGGCCAGTGAAAGTTGGAAAGGTCGGCAAGGGCGGCGACCCAGGAGAAAAAACAGGGCCACCTGCATATTAGTATATGCTTGAAATGCATTCTCCATGCAGATAGATGTATAACACACAAATAATCATTTTGTTAGCAGTTGTATCTTTGTTAGTCGTAGTGCTTAAATCAGGACAGTACATAGGGCTCGGCTGAGACAAGTCAATGTTTGAGAGGTCGACTAGCTGGGCTCGGGGCTTTCTGGCTTAATAATTCCATATGGAATGGGACTTGTCCGTGAATCTTAGAGTATCTCAACTCTGAACGTGGTGCACGCCAATGCTACATGGAACGATTAACAGACAAAGCGGATGACATTCGGAAAGAAGGACATTAAAACCTGGGAGATTGAAAGACGGCCCCCATGATTGTGAGTTTGGTTTCTTCGTAATAGACGTGTAATATGGTACAGTACAGATCCCAACAGCCCTCCTGGACTTTGCGGGGATTATCCTATCTAACATGTCGCTTTTATACACCACGGTCCAGACCCCCTGATATATCCCGCCCCCATGAAAATGCACATCCTCAACTCGGCAGAAAAGGCGGGGGTTGGGACTCAAGATGTTGTTAGTACATGGCCAAGACAACGGTAGCGTTAAGGGTGGTTATCGCGGCCGTAGCCCCGCTAGCTGTTCTTCGTCGCGCCGGTGCTAGGGGCGCTGGCTGGCTTTTGCTCCGATGGCGTGAACCAACCAAAGAAGGACGACTGCATGCTCTTCATGGCTTCTTTCTGGGCTTTCTCCATGAGTTCCTGCTCTTCTTTGAGCCACTTCTCACCGTTCTTGCGGATCTCCTCCTCCAACATCAAGTAATTCCGCATGCCACGCTCCCGAGCGATGTCTTGAAGCATCTTTCCTTTGGCGAATGCTTCCTGCGGATTCTCTTCGCCTTCGGGAGACACCATCAGGCTCATGTTGCTCGGCTTGAGGCCCAGATGGCTGCTTAGCCAGCTCATGCCACTGCCACGGGAAGACTTGGCCTGAATCCGCTTGTTGTGCTCAATACGGGCCAGAGCCTCTCGGCGGGCAAACTCTGTGGGGATATGGTGGCCCTCAAAGGACTTGATGACCTTGCGCACGTCGTCGTATTGCATCGTGTGGATAAATTCCAGAAGAGGCACCAGCCCCACAAGTTCCTTATCCTTAGGCTCCCCAACCCATTTTGGGAGGATGATCGCGTTCTCGGGCTGTGCGCGTACGTGTTTCGCGTTGGTGTCGATGATAATGACTTTGGACAGGTCGCGGTTGAGATAGGATAGGTCCTGTTCCACCATTAATTAGCAGCTGTATCTCTAGCAAGTGTAAACCTGCCACTAGCCCGACGGGAGACCACGTACCTTGATGATTTCGCCGTCCTTATACTTGGTAGCCTCCCGGAACAGAGGCCACATGATGAACCGGTATGGGTCTAGCTTGCGCACGAGAGGTTCACCAGTAGCGAATGGGACGGTTGTGAAGAGGACGATCTCGTAATACTGGCTGAGATAGTGTAAAAAGTAGTCCACGCCAGGGCGCTTCGCCACACGCCAACCGTGATCGCGACTCCACTCGCTATGTACCAACATGTCTTCCAGGCTGATACATAGGGTGTATGGCCGCTGAAAAGAAGGGTCGGGGTCTGGAAGGAGTTTTTCGAATGCCGGCTCCTGGTAGTACGTCACGGTGTCGCCCATACGTGCCATGGCACGCTTCCACCACAGCCCAACACTCCATCCATTGGGAACGTCCGGGTTCTTGGAGAGCTCCTCCTCGTCCCAGTCGCGACCAAGGTATGCGACGCCAAGGATGCCCGCCGCGCCGGTGACTGCAAACGCCCAGAGTGCCAATTTTTGGCGCCGCCTTTCAGTTGACGATACATATGCCGACTTGGGCAACTCCCCCTTTTGCCGACCGCCGCCGCCGGACTTTGTTGTTGGCTCCTCCTCAAACGCAGCCAGGGCAGCTTTGTTCGTCGCGCCCGATCTCTCGTACTCAAGCGTCGAGGGGATGCCTTGTGTGAGATCAGGGAGCTTGGAGAAATCGGGTTCTTTCTCAACCTCGGCGGGATCTTGCGCAGCGTCGGAATCGGTGGGCTGTTCCGAACCCGGTTGTTTGGGTGACCCAGCACTGGGCTGGGAAGCGAATGCGGATTTGGCAGTGGAATCAGGGTTGGCGGGGGTCGGCTGTGAGGGGCGATGCGTGGGTGCTTTTGGTGGTTTCGGGACTTGTGATGGTTGGCTCGATTGGTTCGGTTTATTGTCCTTTGCGACGCCCCGAGACCAAACTGCAGGCAGACCGGATCGAAGTACGGACGGGGTTGCGAGGGCGGCCGCCCTCAGAGTGGCCGCTGGTCGAGCGGCGGCTCGTGTTAACATCATCTCTCTTGTCCTTGACGGGGCACTCCCGGGATTTCACCGAAATGTGACCGTTGGTTTGGAGAAGATGACCGAAATGGTCCGAGGTGAATTTGTGAGCCTTCGACTGTGCGTGGGTTGTGAGCTGCTGCCGAACTTGAAAAATCCACAATGCCGCTTCGGTGTAAAAATCCACGCTGCTTGCGCAGAAGCATGCACACTGGCCATGCCGCTAAGCCAAATTCGTTGGAGCGTTGAAGTGGGCGTGGTGGGGTCTTCTTTCGTCATGGCCAATTCGCCCGACACTTGCGATTTGCCGCGACTCACCTCCACTCCTGGCTCACGTGCCCCACTTTCGTCGCCCCGCTGTGGGAGAGGCCGGCTCTGCCTTTGCGGAAGGACATCCATCAAACATCTTCACACTCTGACACTCCCATCACGCCTGTAACGCTCTTCTACATTGACCCATTTTGCCGGTGTATTAGCGCGTCTTCTGGTGCCCGCCAATCTCAACTTGCCTCCTCTACAACGCAGCACTCGTCTATTTAATGACTTCCATTTCCGCCGTTTACAGACCCGCTATTCTCTCGAGGTTCCCAGCCATGGCCACGGCGGATGAATTCTAGAGGGTGGCTCAATTGCTGTGTATTTGTAGTACTCGCAATGGGACCGCCCTCCGAGTTCTGCCTTATATTTAGCACAAACACTACGTTCAAGCCGCCGTCCCCATCGCTCTCCTAGGTATAGAATACTACGGCCGTTTCAAGAACTTCGAGCAAGCGAGTTAGTGTGCGTTGGATGCCCAGTTTCTTGCAAGAGGCAGATGTTTAAAGCCATGGAGTCCTAGCTAACCAAATCCCGGAGTAGAACTGCAGGCCATTATCCCTACGGAACCACGATGCCTCAAAAAACCACTCAACGGAAGGGGAAGGCATCACGCCCGACCCGAGGACCTGCGTCGTCACCATCTGCCGGCACCGGTCGCACAGCCGCTAATTCTGCGGAACCCACGACGTCTGCTTCGAAAGGCGATGAGAGTCTCGATGATGACGTTGGCAGCCTCCGGATGGAGGCCCTGACATTGACTTCCACAACTGGCACGCAGACTGCCGCCCCAGCAAAAGAGGAAAAGAGCGTCAAGCAGAAGCCATTCAGGTTCTTGGATCTGCCACCAGAATTACGCGCTGAAGTATATCTTTGGTACTTTGAGGGAATAGACCACGTGGATCTCGACTCCGATAATTACAAACGGATTCACAAAAAGCTGGGAATCTTCCGGACCTGCCGCATCATCCGCCAGGAGGCGCCACATGCTTTCTACAGCTTCCGCACGTTTCGTATCTTCCCCACGCAACCAGGCCGACACTTCAAAACCAAGAGACCGCTTCTTGCACGGCTGAATGAACGTCAGCGTAGACTGCTGACGTCGCTAGAACTGCGCCTCGGCCCGGGCTGGAATAAACCGCCACGGGGCTGGGTCGTGAACTCGGCATTGGGGCTCAGCGACTGCGTCAACGTACGCAAGCTGACCGTCTTTGTTGAATGTGACCCTAGCGATAATGCGTTCAAGGGTTTCCGTCAATACGATGGGTTTTACGAGAATTTCTCTCGAAATTTGCTCGACGAGGTTCTGGGAGCGCTGCCGACTGTTCGCTGTGTTTATTTTGATGCGTGGAGCAGCGTCAAGAAATCAGGAGCCATGATGGCGGGCCTGTTAGATGTTGCCGAAGCACGAGGGAGGACAATTCGCTGGGGTCCCGAAAGGAACTGGACGGACCAGGACGAGGAGATTGTTGTTGAAGCACCGTTGAGCGCTGCGCTTATGTTACTAGGCGGCCTGTGAACCACTACAGCGGGGCGTCCGGTATTAAATCGATATCTCGATATGTGGGAGCATGCATCCGTGGGCGTATGCTAGCTAGCGTTTACAAACCACCACTCAATGCCTGAATAATGTTTCGTGCTTCGCTTCGAGTCTTGTCTACAATCTCGCCCGCCGCCGCCACTTCTGTGACTAACCCAATATTGGCTCCGGCATAGGTTGCCGTCCACCCGTCCGGGCCCCATGCGGCGTCCCCTTTACCGACGGCATCGTCATGTTTTTTCTTGATCTCCTCAAACGATGTCCCACGTTCCTTCTCCCGCCAACTCTGGTTGACAATGGTGCGCGGGCTAAATTGTTCGGGCCAGCCAAACGTCCCGCGGAGATGATTGTACAGCTGCGTCCGAAGGGTGTTGGCTCCGCCGTCTGTGGCGCGCACCACTTCGTCCTGATACCCCTTTTTGATGCGGGCCTCTTGAGACGCGAGAAATCTTGTGCCCATGGTGATGCCGGCCGCGCCTACTCCGAGTGCTGCGGCCACACCCCGCCCATCGGCAATTCCTCCAGCCGCGATCAATGGGATGCCGATATCCTTGGTCGCGTCGGCAATTTCCGGCAATAGAGTGATGAAGCCGGTGCCATCTGATGCCCGACCATGTCCCCCGGCCTCAGCGCCTTGGACAACAAGAACATCTGGAGCAGAGGCGCTCCGGGCGGCATCTAGACCCTCCTGAAGTGTTCCGATCTGGAGCCAGATCTTGGTCTCGGGAGATGCTTCGCGCAGCTTTTGGGTCCAAACATCGACATCACCTTGCCCGTTCCTCGGTGCAAAGAGCCAGGCTGCTGCAGGACGATACTGCGAGACTGCTGCTGCCGAGACCTCCACATCGCCGTTCCAAATCTGGAACCCGACACCGAGGGGTAACAAGTTATGGGGCGCTCCCGGAATGCTAGACGACGCGAGTAATTCTTTCGCGGTTTCAAGGTCGGTTCCCGTACTCTCCGGCTTCAAGCCGGGGCCAATGAAGCCAAATCCTCCCGCCCGTGACACGGCTACGGCCAACTCTGGCCCAGACATGACCCGCATCGGTGCACCCACGATGAGCGGGGAAGTTGTCCAAGGATATGCCGCCGCAAGCCGTCCCCGGAAATCGACAGCCTGGAGTCTAGCTTCCATTGTGAGGGGTGGCGATCGTGAGGTGTTTGGTGGTGAAAAATGAGAAAAATGTCTCTTGATGATCTGTCGGGGGCGTGTACAACTGGTGTGTGGTAAGGTCGTTGCGATGTGGCCGTAGAAAACACCGCTCATGTCTCGGGTGAGGTGGGGTTGGCGGGAGGCCGCGATTAGGGCCTCGGTCCTAAGCACATGTGTTGTCGACACCGGCCGACGGCTTCCGGGAAGTAAAACCGAGGTTCGGGGCACTCTAACCCCCATTGTGGACTTGGGGTAAAGTGTTACGGAAAAGCAGGTCTTGGGTCGTTGGCGGTTGCGTGAGTGTTGTGGTGGGGGCGGTGGGTCGAATTCGAGGAATGATGTAAGATCCAGCTAGGATTGGCACTTAACGGAAGGGGAAGACATATTCATAGATTTTTATGTGCATTATCGCGGGGGCAACATCATGCACTCTGCGTAGAGTGGTGTATCTAAGTGGAGGCGCATCATATCGAGGGAAGGCCGTGGGAATACGGCGTGGCGTCTCGGCCGTTTAACTCGGTGGTTCTCACATGCGGTCTACCTAACGCTTGGGCGTTGCTCTATCAAGTGGTTAAGTTTTGCATGTCACGCTGTCCCTTTTCGCTCTCCTTGTCAAAGGGGAAAACGGGATGGAGCTCCGGGGGGAGGGGGGAGGGGTGAGGGGTTAGTGAGGCTTCAAAATTTACAAACACTTCTGATGCTGTTTCCCCAAAATTTCACAGGGAAGTTTTGTCGCATTGGCACGCCCTTCCTCTGACTTGTTAAGGGGCGAAAACACAAGGGGTCAGTGTCACGTGAGGACGCGGTGTTCTCGCACCACTCAGCCCCTCACCTTCCACTGGGGCTTGGGGGCACGGGCCTAGGCGGAAACATCGCGTGGGCGCGCCTTCCATGTGGTTTGCTGAGAATGAAGTTGTTGGACCTTGGCTGCAGGATGGCGGGGCTGCCCACTGCGGTTCTCAGGAAGCTTGCGGCCACCTTTGAAGTTGTCTACACCCAACACGGCCACCCGACCTTCCCAGGATTTTGTCCTAATCCAAGGAACTACGCTTCGAGAGTACACTACTCCGCACTCTACCCGCCCGACTTCTACATCCGACCTCTTTCACTCCAATTGGCACTGAACTGATGGCGACCGCACCCTCTAATCCCTCGTATCATCAGACGCCTCCGTCGTCCCCGCCGTCGGATGAGCAAGATGCCGAACTATTATCGGAATCCGCGCGCTATCTCCGCACCGGCGTCGCCCCCCCGCTGAGGGCTGACAATTGGACACGGTTCAAATCGTTTATTGACCGAATCAACCGCCGCCAGTGGGAGACGCTCAGCGATGCCGTCCAGAGCCGTGTGAACTACAATCAGCGCGAGCTGTCGCTGTACGAGTTCACCCAGCTGTTGAAGCAAGAGTTTGCGCCCAAAACCAACACCACCATGGCCATCGTAACCACAGTTGGGGGGGATGCCACGGTAGACGGGCCTGTCATCACTCGATTGTGTGTCAAGACGTCGCTCGTCGAGGGGCCCCGACTCCCATCTGCGCCGAGACAACACTTTGAACATTCCCGGCACATGGTTGCCTACTTTACCGACAACAAAATCAGCCAAGTCTATGACATATCAGACGCGGCGGAGAAGCAAACCTTGTGCCAGGCCATTGTGCCCCCCCCTGCTCTCCGTCCTCCACCCCCACCTGCCTCGATTGACCTGCGCCAGTTCTACGCAGACTACATCGCCTGCATCAACAGTGGGTCCATCACCGACGACTTGCATCGATTCTGCAAACCATCGGGAGTGACTTGGAACGGCACCCCGATGTCCGTTCAGAAGTACGGCGAAATGATTCAGAGCAGTCTCGATGCCATATCCGGCCTGTACTTTGACATTCACACACTGGCCGTGGATGAAGGCCGGCAGCAGCTAGCTGCGCGGTTGGAGTTTACCGGCACTCCTGTCAAATCGTTCGCTGGGGGAGCACCGAACGGACGATCCGTGGAGTTTTCCGAACATGTATTCTATTGGTTAGAGCAGGGACTGATATCAGATGTGCTGTCCATCGTCGACTGGGAAGAATACAGGTCGCAGCTAGCCCGCTAAGACCGGGACAGCTCGGGGACGGACTCAAGATTGAAAGGGGGTTCTAGCTCTAATGATTAATCCGTTGTCCTCCAAAAAACGAAATGAGATGTGAGTATACAAAACGATTGACTTCATTTCAATGGGTATCAAGAGAAAGAAAAGAGAGAAACGAAAATTGTACAACAGCCCCCACTCCACCCGCCTCTCCTCGTAGAGCGTTAAACCCCTAACTCATCGGTTACCAGCGAATGCCTAGGTACCTAGTCACACACTTGGTCACATGTGGCTTTCTCCCACACTTGTACGTCTCGCTTAAAATGCAGCGTTGCTCTTCCTTGTTAAACCGTTTGCAGCGATGTTGTATTCGGCGCGTTTCCGAATGAGGAAGGACAGCCCCAGCAGGTAGTCGGTATAACGACGACTCGATTCGGCGTGCATGAGGGGCTTGACCACCCGCGCTGCGATACGTTCTGCCGTCATTTCGTTGGTGCTCGCGGCCTCGGCCACGTCGCCCCACAAACCAAGGAGCAACTTGAACAGACTCCGACCTGGGCCGCGGATGCCCATCATGGCCTCCTCCCAGAAATCGAGTCCCTGGTCTAACCGAGCGCTGCGAATGGTCGCTTGTCGGGACATGGAGATCCACCGTTTTGCGACTGACTCGGACACGACGGGTTGGGGGAGCTCGGTGAGGAATAGTAGAATCAAGTCGGCGGCGTCGTGTACGGTGAAGTGCGCCCAATCCAGGTCCTTTCCATAGCTCGTGCTTGGAGCACTGAAAATGGATTTGAGTTGCTCGACGCGGGCTGAGTCACCTTCCAGACCAAACAGACGCGGGGTTTGGACGCCGCAGTCCCGGATGTAGTAAACACACCGTAGCACACTCAGTGGGTATTCACGAGTACCACGCGATGAGCCTTCCCCGGACCCGTGGCGAGCACTAGCAATCCCCTTTGCAACCTGAATGCTCTTTGCTAGCGGCGTTCCAAAAACACCGGTTGCATCACTCTTTGCCTCGTCGGCCACGGTGTTGAGAGCCGACCGTTTGAACCCAAAGCCCCGGAAAGTCGTGGTGAGTTTGGAGCTGCCACGTCGAAGTAAGTTGGCTTGATCGATCTGGGGTGTGTCGCGACCTGAAGCGGTAGTTGGCCGGCTGGTTGGTGTGGGGACGTCCGCCCGAGGGTGCTCCCAGATGGAATGGAGCGTCTGGCCGATTATACTGCTGCGACGGCTGTGGGACCGGCTGCTCAGAGAAGGGGCTGAAACCGAACTACCGCTATCATCACTCGGCTCTGGGAGCTCGGTCACTGGGGTAAAGTATCGATCATGGGGACCGGACCCCCTGGAGTCCCAAGCGAAGGGGGAAGTAGAAGCGGGATATTGCCAACTCGGTGACGTTGGTGAGGTTACCCGAGGCGACTGACCATCGACCGCAGAAGGGCGCCTTCTACTGCCGCCAGTTCTCGAGCTCATCCTGGAGGCTGACCGGGCTGGCAATGGGGGTGTAGCAATGGGCATTTCGTTGAGCTCACCAACGAAATCATCTAGGTCGGCGGCCCGGGTATCTTCCGCGCTGTTGATGGATGCTGACGAGGGTGGGATCTCTAGCTTTGAAAGAGATAGAAAAGCACTTTCCCTGTCGTCTCTGTCGTCGTAACTGACATCGATAGCGCTGTCCGGGGGACCGCCCATCGATGAGGAGCGATGAGGCCGGCGGAAGCTTTGTGGCTTGGGCGGGGGGCTGCTCATCTGTGCCTCGGCCTGAAGGATGCCCAAGTATTGCCCGAGTCTCGCGAGGGCAACGCTTTGTTGCCGCCCCCGTTCCAAATCCCGGGCTGCCTGGTGAATTTGAGAGGATACGACGGCCAGTTCGTTGTCGTCGACATCCGCGCCACTCGGTGGGTCCAATTGGTGTTCATCTAACAATCCCCGGTCGCCTTGTTCGCTAGTTTGTGCTTTCATCCTAATAGTGTCGCGAGTTAGCACCTTTTGGGATTTGGGCGTAGCTGGCTGGCGCCCCCATAAACGTGAGATGACTGCTTACACGCCAACAAAATCAGTGGCTAACCCAAGGACTAGCTTGTACTCGCTTAACGTCCACCGGAGCTTTTCAATATGCCCGCGGCTGGCCTGCCATCGAGATTTCTTTTCCGCTCTCCCCCCATCTGCCTGGTTCAGGAGGGAGACGCAGCCCTCGAGTTCGGTAATGAGCGTGACGCAAGTTCCCAGTACCGTCGGCGTGCTCACAGCTATTGCGAAGGGGATGTGCGCTGCGTCGTAGCCGAGAAGATCCAAGACACCATCAAGGGAGTGTAGTTCCGCAGAGATGCCGTCAAACTCGGGCCGAGCCTCGCGCACTTCTCGCACAAATTGGTTGATGGCGAGGGACGTGCGGGCAATGGCATCGCTGGCGGCGCAACAAGCCGCGGTCACAGGTCTGTTGTGTGACGGTGTCAGCCAAGCATGTCCAATCAGGGCCATTCAGGGCGGTGGTTGACTTGAGGAAAAGAGTACTTGCGTTCGGTCCATGTTGCGTTTGTGGTGTCGAAAGTTTGATCACTACAGCGACTCCTTCAACTTGGCCTGGTGGACTGATCGCCGGCCTCAAGTGGTCGAGGTTGGAGGGATGCGAGGGTTGGGTGGGAGAATTGTAGCGTAGGGTACGCGGCCTACGCAGGCTGCCGCATGGCGAGGCTCTTCCTCGGGATTCGGTCGCACTGCTTGGGACCCTTCTCGGGCGGGGCGAGTGGTCTCGGCCTTAATATATCGGTCGACTTTTTCAACCCAGGTCTTCAGCCGCTGCGCTTCTTGGTGAGGAGGTGGGGTCGGTTCGTCAGGCTCACGTCCAACTGCTCAAGCGACCAAAAACCACAAGTTTATATCTGGGCGACGCGAGCATTCCGGTCTTCCGGAAACGCGGAAAGGTGGGGATCGCGATCGCAATACCCGCTCCCTTTCTCTTCGTCAGCATCATCCCTCTGCGTGACAGGAGCGAGGGGGCGATCCTTTTATCAAGAGACGATCCTGACCAGTATCAAGCAAGCGACCCTGCGGGGAATTGTTGGGAGGCATCTGTGGCATCCAGGCTCAGCCTGGCTCTCAAGGGTTGCCGCGGACCGAAACCGGGTTTACAAGGACCCCTGACCAGATTATCCCCTGTCCCGTTGCGGGACGCCCCCACTACAAACGTCCGAAAGTGCGGGGGAATCCACGAGCGAGCCGAGGAACCTGGGGAAAAGCGGGCAGCAACGTGACCATTTGGGGTAGGGGGCGATGTTCCGGACATGTGTTGACGTTCAAAACTATTTCCTCGTTTCTTGAGGGACAGACGTCGGCTCATGGAAAAGATCGCGTCGAGAGTGAGAATTGCGGTTTTCTTGTGGATGCCCTGGATCTCGCCGAATTCGGCAGGCAGCCCCGACCCCAGCGAACTTGGGTCACTGACACGGTGACTCTGCACGCGCTCTGACCCGCAATCTCGGCGCCCCCACCAGTTCAAAACGTCCCACTGTGATAGGCCTCCACTGCTTTGGAAAGTGGATGAAACAAAAACCATCCGCTTGTAGAATTTGTGAACGATGGTGATAGCGCAATGTTGTTGTTTCTTCAGTCTGGGAACGACAAGCGCGAATAGGTTCCCATACAGACAATGTGTTTTGACCGAGCGCCTGCTTCGCCGTCACATGAATTGCCCCAGACCTCGCCCTGGAACCTCGGCCGCCTGGCTACGAGCCGGTGCCGTTCATCGCTGAGGTCACATTTGTCCTATTCGGTTGGGGTTGCGAGGTGGCAGTAGGATGGGCCCAGCTGCAAGCGAAGCCCCTCGCCTTACCCATGCCCGCCATGCGACCTTGCGACCATCCTTTTGCGGGACTTTGGAACCGGATCTCACATCGCTGGTCTTGTGCATGGGGAGTTGTGAGAAAATCCCTCCATCCAATGCATCCCTTGTTTCTTCTCTCGACGTCAAAGTCTTGGTGCAACGGTTGTGCAAGGGCAGGGCCGGGGGGTTGGAAGTGGCAAGGACATTTCAGGCTGATTCAAGATTGTCTCCCCCTTTGTGATGGGACTCGAAGTTTGGGTGTTGTCACTGCCAGGCGGCGTCGAGGCCGCAAATATTAACTAAATTCTTGGTAGTGTACATGTAGCGCCCTCCATGAGTCTCGCTCGTCTCGTTTACCACTCACTTGCCGTCATCGGGTCTCGGCAAACCGAGGCCGAAGCAAATAACAGTGATGGAAAATCTCTGGATCGGTAGACTTTTGTCTTGGCGTCGGAATCCTTGCGAGAATCTCAACGTCGTACAGGTCGCGGAGGTCGTCAAATCGCGCTGCCGAGTAGCTAAGCGAAATCCAAAGCCCTTCTTTCTCTAAGCAGCCCCGGACCGCTTTTCCCATCGAAATAAGCGCGCCATCCTCGCCGCAGGCCACCGCATCAACCGTGCTCTTGTCTATCACAAGTTGGTACTTTTGTGGCAGTTCCAGACTCGTCGCATCAGCCACCAAGTAACTCGTCTTGACTGAGCCAAACCGTTCCCGTTCCAGTTGCTGGCCGCGTTCTAGCGCGAGTGGCTCATAATCAACGTTGAGAACATTGGTGAAACCACGGGCTCGCAAGTGGTTATGCAGGTCGCTTGTTCCCGGGCCGAGATGGAGGATACGAGCCGAAGGGGACAAGTGCCGGAGGTGCGGTTCGATGATTTCGATGAAAGCAGCAGACGGTGCCAGCCACTCAAAGGATGTTTCCGACAAGAAACGGCCATGCCAATAACTCGGATTGCCGAAGTCCACGGGCATGGTATTGCTATACGGTCGACCGGATAGGATTCTCGATGGTCTCAGGTTCTTGCAACCCGCCAGTGTGTTTTGGCGCGCGTTCCTGGCTGCTCAAAATTTATCAGGTACGAAGCATTGGTGGTGGATCTCATTGTGGGGCTCTGGAGTCCAAGAAACGGCTAAAGTTGTTCCCGCCAACTCCAGTCTCCGGATGGGGGTTCCGTACTGGCTTCCCCGACTACACACCGGGATGCGATATTATTTTGACCCCTTGTCTGCCATAGGCATTTTCCGGACACCTCACCCCCTCCGCTCATTGAGGAAACACAAGACTAGTGAGGCGGCCGCCGGTAATGTGCCAAGGTAGGTTACGACATGCAAGTCCCCAAGTGACCGAAGGCGGGATGGTGTCGCGTCGTGGCACCTTCTCCATGCTTGAATGGAGGCGAACGAGCCAGGTACAGTAGTGGCGATGTGGATGGCCACGCTCCAAGGTAGGCTCAAACGGCTACAATGTAGTGTGAGGGGTGTCAGAACTAGGCCGGGGTGTTGGGGCAGCTGGATCAAATTCTCGTACGAATAATGACTGTCATTAGCTACCTACTTCATTCTACATATGTAGGTACATACCTCCTTCACTCTCACTCTCACCGCTCCTGTAAGACGGAAGGACAGTACCGACGGAGATATCTCAAGGGCACTTACATAGGTAGCAGAGGACGACGATCGAATATTACTGGACAGTAACCTGAACCGCCGATAGTCGTTTCCAATTTTCCGGATCGGTGTTGTCACCAGAGAGGCGCGTGCTGCTGGCGGGCGTGTGACAAGACAGATGCAGGGCCAGCAGTCAACGATGCCTGACATGGGCCACCACACCTACTGGGAGCATGGTTCAGGAGACGTGCCGTTGTAATTGTTTATTGTATTTCCCACGCGCCTTGTCTTCTGACCGCGGGGAGGTGGCCGCCCCCTGATAAGTATTACCCACTCCCTGTGGGATTGCTTATAGGACTATGGAAACCCTCCAACTCCGTGGCGAAGAGAGCACTCTTTGTGGCCTATCTCTTTCTTGAATGCTTATTGATCTCACAACCAGGTCGAGTTAACCCCTCATTCCTCCTTGACGTTGAGTCCGTTGGCTTCCATCTCGGTATCCGTATTCCCTAACATGGCTGCTGCTGCCATCGCCGTCTCGCTTTCCACGATCGCCCATGAACTCGGCGGAGTACTTCCTCCAAGGGCTATTCTTCAAAACGCGCCCCGCCATGGCCGAAGCCGAGGCATGAGTGTCAAGGGGAAGGGAGGCCGGCACCGTGGCTACAGCGTGGTTGAAGAGCGGGACGTAAGCATTGCTAAGGCTTTGGTATTCGTGATTAAGAGGGCGATGCAAATGCAAGAGGTCGTTGAAAGTGACGAATGCGAGCATGTTGCGGCAGATCCTGAGAGCTGGGCCCCAGCCCCTGACCTAGTAAGTATTATAGGACATTGAAACGGGGGCTTGGAGCCTGATTGACCATCCGTCAGCCGTCAATTCCTTGGCACCGCAGTGAAACCGGCACCATCATCACCGCGGACGATGTCCTAGGATGTCTTTGGACCAAAGCGGTGGCACGGAGGCCTGGAATTGGTGTTCTGTTTAAGAACGGAGAGGTACCTAAGGAAAGATATTCCTGCCAACCTTCCTGGAAAGGGATCCAAGGGCAAGGCCCGGAAAGGAAAGAGTGCCCTGAAGCAGAGTAATACCGAAAGGGAGGGCTCCGGCAGTGCCAGTGAAGAGTAAGGTAGTATTCGGTGGCTGCAGGCTGCGGGGCGTGGTATTCCATGCGGAAGGTAGAATTTGTCGTCACCGTATCTAGAAAAGGCCACCTCATCCGTCATGGCACGATTTAAGATTGCCGTAGCCTCGCCACTTTAGTGGCTATGAATAGCGCAGAGTCGTCTCGACGTTCTTGACGAGTAATATTATCGGTTCCTCATCGTCTGACATCTTTTGCCTTGAACCTATCTACCTACTTACGCCTTTTCCCCCGGGCTTTACTCGTGCTATGTCGCTCTTATCATTTGCATTGATTAGGTACGTAGTTACTGACTTCCAGGTTCTCACCTTATTTTACGGAATAATTAGAAAACTCCCGGCCGCACCGGTGGAACCCCCAATAATCGGTGAATGTACCTACCTGGAGGTGGAAGTGTAGAGACGTGTTGGGCTTGTTTTGCATGTGGTGTTCCTCCCCACCGTAGCATTCAAAAGTGGGCGTGGTGTCTATGTTTAGAAGATAGACTCACAGACTAGATTCAGCTGGGAGGACTATTAATTAAACAGATGTCATATACTCGTACATGATTTCCATTGGCCATCTTCTTCGTTCCAGCACACGTACCCCCCTCCTCACCCCCTCCCTCCCCATGACTAGGTATTTTCTTCCTCCGCATTATTCAATCAGCGTCCCTGATGCCACCCAGGACTCCTCATCATAGTTCCAAACGTCACCTGCTTACGTGGAAAGCATCTCGTGCCTTTATCCCCCCTCGCTCCCGGGCGGTCCTCGCACTCGCTTCAGTCCAAAGTCGCTGTCCAAACTCCTCCTGAGCCCAATCTGTCTCTCTAAGAAGGTGGCAAGCAAGCCCACGACCGCCAATGCCAGAAATACAGCCCAGACCAGTTCAAAGCTCGTGGTAAATGCGTGAAGGACCTGCGGCTTGACGGTGCCGTCCAACTGCGAAATAAAGGACGTTGAGGCATGTTCATAGGCCTGTCCATTGCTCAACTCGTGTTTCGCTAAAGAATCGTCCATCGAGTCGAGCGCCGTGGCGAATTGGGCGTTGAACACTGTGTTGGGAATGGCCACCCCCAAGAGGGATCCCAAGCCCCGCAAAAAGGCCCAAGACCCGGTCGCCGCGGCATTCTCTTTGTCTGTAAGCTCCACAAGGACTGTGGGCAGTGTGGTTGAAACGATGAGGCCGGAACCGGTCCCAATTAGGAAGGACAAGATGACCCAAAGACTGACCAACCCAGAATCAACGTAGAGTATGCAGGGGAGTAACCCCGCCACCATGAGGGTAAAGCCCACCAGGTGCATAAGACGGTATTGCCCAAACTTTGCTAGGAGGGGGCCGCCCAGGGCAGCAAGCACCACAATGGTAAGACTACAGGGGAGGATGAGAACCCCTGATTGGGAAGGCGATGCTTCCAGCAGTGCCTGGAAGAATGGGGGGAGATAAAACTGAAACCCGTATGTGATGAAGCCGTGGACCGCCGTGATGAACAGGGCCGTGGTCGTTGTGCGGTTGGAAAAGACATGCGGCGCCATGATGGGGTGTCGACATCGCCGTGACCGTTGCCAGATGATAAAGGCTATGATGCCCGAAAAGCCGCCGGCCACAGACACCACAATTGCTGGATCTGACCAAGAGTACACAGTGCCTGCTAAGCTCAAAGCGCACAGGATCAACACTACCGCCGTTGTCAGGAGGGCGATGCCGACGAAATCCACCCGTCCGAGTTGTTGACCGAGAGTACGGCCCTTCCGTGAGTTTCCGCTCTTGAGTTGCAGCCAGAACCACATGAGGACCAGAGCGATGACACAGACGGGGAGGTTAATCGCAAAACACCACCGCCAGTTGGTCTGAGCAAAGACACCACCCAGGAGTGGTCCCACAGTCGTCCCTAGGGCGTAGACAGCGGCCTTGATGGCCACGTAGTGTCCTCTCTTCCTCAAGGGGATGATGTCGCAAAGAACTAACTCTGCAAACAGATCAATGGCTCCGGACCCAATGCCCTGGACTACCCTCCCGAATAGTAGAACGGCCAGACTGTTTGCGTATCCCGCAATCGCGCTCCCAGCTCCAAATATCACCACGGCGACCATCATCAAATAGCGCCGGCCATAGATGTCTGCTAGTTGTCCAAACAGGGGTTGGAAGACAATGGATGCTAACAGGAACGCCGTAGCGACCCAGGAGGAGCTCGGGCCGAGGCTGAGAGATCGTGAAATCGTCGGAAGCGCGGTACTGATCACACTGCCCTCGAATGCAGAGAGGAGAATGGGGATGCAAATTGCGGTAAAACATCTCCAGAACCCTGCACCACGCCTCCATTCTTCAGAGGTGTCCGGGTTGTCTTCAACTTCGTTGTTCTTCTCTTCCAAACTAGGCAGCGTTGTAGACGAGGACGACGAGATCGGCGTGGATGCCACGGATGAATCGTGTGTCCCGCTCACAGCGGAGGCTGAGGTCGATTCCGTAGCCAGAGATCCATCCTTGGAGGTAAAGCGACGATTGTGGGAGGCATCACTGGCCATGATATGATGTCTCAACAAGATGCGTCTTGTGTATGCGCCGTCGGAGCTGAGGTAAAGGAAGAAAATACTAGTGTGTATAGCAAGCCTAGCAATGTCAACTGCTTGCACGGTTTGATCTTGAACAGCCGCCCGGTCGGTGGTAGGAGATGGAGCCCGAACGAAAGGAACGGAGCACAGCGAGGCAAGAAGATACTACTCGACTCTCAGCAACGCCCAGCTTTTGAGTGGCATATTTGCTGTCCTACTTGTATCCCGAACCCATCGTCGACTCCATCAACAACTCCTTAAACCTGCCACTTGCGGGCATTTCCCCGGCCTGAAACGACTCGATCGTGTTGCATCCCCAAAGTTTGTGTCAAAGGCCCGACGTCATGAGGTCTTCATGTTTTTCTTCTCACGAGGGAATACGGCAACCTACTCAGACTCAGGGTTTTGTTGTCGGATGAAGTTATCTAACCCCTTTCCTCCGCGGGCACCGACATTCATCTGAGATCTGGGCCATATTGGGCCCCTTACCCGTCGTACAAGTACGAGGATAACATAGCACCATCACAATGTGTCTTAACTCAATCGCTGATTTATGATTATAAATTTTGGCCGAATCTATCACAAGGACCGATTCCCCTGAGCTCCCTTGACACCCGACCCACCTCCCCTGCCACAGGCGTTTTGCGTCGACTTTCTTGTCAGTTGGTGTCGCCAGAGATTTCAGCGGGGCGGTGACGCACATGTCACTCTCATATCTTGGAGGATGTCTCACAACAAGGATATTTGTTCTGGCTGTCTCAGACGGTCCGGGGATTCAGGAGCTGAAAGTGTTGCCGGTCTTTTTTTTCTCCGGAATTGATCGACTTGGCAGAGCTTGACCGGGGCCCTCCTATTGAAACTGAATGACCCAGCTTCTTTGTCCTTTTTATTAATTGATACGAGTTCTGCAGACCAAGATGTTGACGCCGTTGGTTAGGCTTGTTGTCTTTGTGGCGGAAAGCTGTCCACCCAAGATCCATTGGCCACGCTTAGTTGTTATTAGCCCAAGAGTCTCGGCCAATACCATGGCTCTGGGCGGGCAGCTTGGCGCTGCATATTTTCTTTCTTGGGCGATACGGAACAACAACAGCGAAATAGAACACGCCACACGTCTCTAATACGGTAGCGTTTGTGTTTCTAATTCTGGCCTTTTTACCTAACATTTGGGCACGATGACCACGTCGGACTTTGATTCGTCCATTCCCAGCCGCCAGTTTGTCACAATGAGTAAGACGGTGCCAAAACGATGTGAGTTGAAAACAGGGGAGACTGGACTATTTAGTATCCTCCAGATTCCTCCTGTGCGCCCTGAGAATTAGGACTGTTGTCTGATACATCACCGGAAGAAGCACCACAACTCACCACCACCTCATACAACCCCTCAACCCCAGATCAGACATCATGGCCATTATTTCCCTTTCCCGGGTCTTGCTTGTGGCCCTGTTAGCCGCCACCAACGTCATCGGCAACCCTATGAATACCGGCTCGAACTCAGACATCACCTGCAGTCTCGTCCGGTGCCGGGCTGGCACGACTTGCAAAGAGATCGATGGTGCAGCGCAATGCATCAAGGGCGTGGAGTGTGGTAGCACCGTGTGCGAGGCTGGCCTGTCGTGCTGCAACCCATCTTGCGGTATCTGTGTAAAACCTGGCATGGCGTGTACTGCTCAGGTTTGCGCCAGGGAAGCCCCTCCCAGCAAGGTACAATGCGGCCAGGCCGTCTGCGAAGCCGGGCAGGTGTGCTGCAACGCCGATTGCGGGACCTGTGTCGAAGCCGGGATGCCCTGTACACTGGAGGTTTGCCCTCCGCAGGAAGGCAAGTGCGGCGACACGCTCTGCACCGAGGACGAATTCTGCTGCAACCCGAGTTGTGGTATCTGCGCTCCCCTGGGTGGCCAATGCACCCAAGAACTGTGTTCCTCCGAGTAAGGGGAAGCTGATGAAGCTTGATTGGTTGGGAGGGACAACGGTCAGGGGAATGGTTGCAATATCGATCGTTCCTGTACACCAGATGACTGGGGTTTTTTTGTTATCTTGTCACATGGCAATCCCGATGGGTGTAAAAAAGTTGTTGGAACACAAAACAAAACGGGGGATGGTCGTTAAAAATCAAGGGCAATTACTACCTCGCGGCTCGCGCTCGCTTCCGAAACCAGTTGTTTACATGTGCTCATTCCTTGCTCCACAAACTGCCTGAGATCATCACCATACTTATTTCCATCGAAAACCTCAACGCTCAGCCATTCGCGAAACCCCGTTTGTAAAACTGCCCGGACAACCCCTTGAATAGGCAGGTAACCGCCATCATACCTACGATGCTGGTTAGTGTCGTTTGTCGGTAGCACCGGCACCAAACTGGAGAAACGTAGGACATACGGGAGTGATCGATGCTCGTGGCTCCATTCTCCTCGCGGCTGGAGGCCAGATTCATGTTCCGACATGTTGTTGAGGGGCGGGTCTAAGCGGTACGCATCGCGTATTTGGAGAAAGAAGACCTTTTCGGCAAGGACAGTTTGGACAAGTTCTTCGAGGCTGCCTTCATACGCCTTGCACTTAAGAACCTGATCTCCAATTACTCCAGATTTAGTTGTTGGATCTCCCCACCCCCATTACAGTCCGGAACATGTCGAGGTATAGTCCGATGTTGGGACGGCCCGCTTTCTCGACACTGGCCCCGACGTCTCTCAAACCCGGAGCGTGTGTTGCCCAACACCAGTTCTCGTAGGCGAGTCGGAACCCGTGAGATGCCAACTTGTCGGCCAATTCTGACACCTCGGCAGCCAGCTGATCAATGTTTTGAGATCTTCCCCTTGAGTCAGACGACCCAACTTGGAGCATATCGGTACCCACGGCACTCATGATTTTGATCCAACCCCTAGCTCGTGAGCAGGCATTTTTCTCGCAGTGGGCTTCCTCCGGGCCAGGCTTCAAAGTTGGAGAACGGCTGGAGGACATGATCTTCAAGCCGTACCCTGTGCACATCTCGCCAACTACGTTCTCAACTTCGTAGAGTGCTGCATAGTCATCCTCCACAATATCATACCCGAATATCGATTCGCGGAGGCGAGGAGGTCGGGGAAAGAAAGTTCAACGCCGTCAAATCCAGCCCCACTGCTTCAATTTTCTCATGGAGCGTGTACCGCAGCAAGCCAATCAAACAAGATGCAAACGCCATCGGATGGCGAGTTTGGCACGGGAGGTTCACTTTCGGTAACCATGATGTTTTCAAATGGAGTTGATGCGAGACATTTATGCTTTGCTGGTGTCGGCTGAGTTCTTTGTGGTGCCGAAGCTCGGCCCACTGAAGGCGATTTATGATGTCAACGCTGCAGTCGGCAAGTTGGAGGTACTATGTAGCGTTTTCGGTCATGGTTGTGGTGCGGGCTATTAGTCAGTGCAATTCCACCTCTTGCGGGTTGAGCTTCGCGGGGATCTGAACCTGTGACTCTTCACTCATTGTAGACTCGGCTCGTAACTTGTCATAAAGTAACGTTTGGGTGGACCTTACATAACAAGGCGCAATGTTGGATGCCAGCCGCCACGCTACAGTGCAGATACTTATAATTGGGAGGCGGATTAGAGGGGAGCAAGTGCGAGGAGAAAACAAAACCAATTAATTGTCAATCTCAGGAGAATAAATTGTAGAACACACTGCAACGAACCAAACCAGTCCCGTCAATCCCGTTTACCCCCCTAAGACATTGGCCGACGTAACCGAGCAACCTCTATGACCAAAGCGCCTTCCTTATATCCTCCCGAACAGCTGCCAAAAACCGCCCGCCAGCATGAGAAACCTGACATGTGTATTATTCCATCTCGTGAAACCAAGAAACCGGCCCAGGATGCCATCATTCGAGACGTGTTGTTAACAGGGATAGTTGACAACTCGCATTCCCACTTGCTTTGGTTGGTCCTAGACCTGAATCCCGCAACGAGGGCAGAAAGGGGTTGTAACCCCCTGACCACATTGACCGCAGTATTTTGTGCCCATTGCCGAGTGTTCCTTAGAATGAGCAGCGGCGGGTGGTTGGGCGGGTTGGTAGGGCGGTGCGTTCTGGTACGCCGTGTTTTGGTATGCGGGGATGCCGGCAGTAGGGGCAACGGGGGCGTTGGCGTGCGTAAGGGGTTGGTATGTATAGGCGACGGAGGTTGGCTGGCGGCTGCTCCGTTTCACACACCAGACAATAAGGAGGATCCAAGCTGTCAACTTGCAAAGTCCGCCGAGAACAAAGCAAGCAATTGCGCCATACCACATTCCGTCGGAACCGCATGATGAGTATGATGAGTAGTAATAATCGGAACCAAGGCAGCTGTATGACGAGGACGCTCCGGCCCCAACAAGAGCACCGCCGATGATAAAAAAGAGGACGGCGGCGATGAAGAAAGAGATGGGCCACCATTTCGAGAACCGGCTCTTAGCGGGGACGACGACGGGAGCCGCTGGAGGCGGGTAGGGGTAGGCTGCGTTATTCATCTCGTAGGACATGCCGGCGATGGCGACAAAGTTCTGCGAGGGCGACGTGCAAAAAGGATGAGCGGAATCGGTGTTTGAGGCGTGATGAGGAGTCGCTCTCGACGGAAAAGAAGATGTTGGAAGAACGTTGCTTGGGATGAATGTGGACGGTTGGGTCGAGATGAATATTTCGCGTCGGGGAGCGCGATTCAGCCCAGCGGGCCGGGAAAGGCGAAGATCTTCATGAGCTGTTCTAAAATAAGGTTTAGCGTTTGGCTGTGTTTGGAGTGCACTGCGAAAAACGACTGCTTACTCCCCTCATCGGACAAGATTCCCCCGATGGACTCAACCTCACAACATGATTGGCACAACAAGATTGAAATCTTTCAGCTGGGACGGCAGTGACAAATGAAAAGAAGCAGTGGGTGTGGACTCTAAAGTTTCAACCAATGAGACGAGGCAAGGTGTTGGGTTGTGAAGGGAGAGGCAGGGGATAGGAAGCCTTGGCAAGGAGTTTTTTGGGTCACAGATTCGTTTCCTCATACTGCGTAGTGACGGCGACATTGCCCAGAGTGGAGATCTCGTGGACATTATGTGAACTCGGGTGTGTCAATGGCCTTTATCGTCGGCTGAGGTTTAGTTATCCTGAGAGGCTGAGAGCAAAGCTTGGCTCTGGATAACAGCTTACAGAGGATCTCAGCATCTCAACCACAGGTTTTGGTGTTTGGTCCATGTATCATTGTCGACCCTGCCCCACCCAACGGACGCCACCAATCACAAGACACGCACACGAACCGGGACATGTGCATGTGCAGGTGCTACACCCGACCCGACTGGACTGTGGCGCAGTAGTGCATAGACCATAGTGAAAACAGGCTGTGATCCAGAGATAATTCCCTCGCTCTTTTAAGTCCCTCATATGAGCAACTAGTGGTTTTCCCAACCATAGCCTTCACCTGCTATATAAAAGACTCCACCTCACGTGTCACTAAAACAATGCCTGCGTCGTACTCTGTTTTCCTCACTGGCGTCACCGGATTCGTCGGCGGCACTATTCTCTCTTGTCTCTCGAAGGCACATCCAAATGTTCGTGTCAAAGCTTTGATCCGTCAGGAAGTTGTTGCCAAAGAACTCCAATCAGTCTATCCGAATCTCACTCCCATAATCGGCGAACTCTCTTCGCTTTCTCTCCTCACATCCACCGCAGCGGAGGCCGACTTTGTAATCCATGCGGGAGGTGACAATGTCCCTGCCGTGTGCGCGATAATAGACGGGTTGGCATCCCGCACCACCGTTGGATCGCTCCTGCCTCGTCTCATCAGCGTAACTGGCCCGCGCAGTTTGATCGACCTCTCGAAGCCGATCACTGGGAATCTTGGGCCGAGCAGCCGTCCCTGGAGCGATATTACCGATGCACATACAATACTGGCCGTTCCTAAGGATCGAATGCATGCGGGCGCGGATCAAGCAATCATCGCTCACAGTGCTGCCAAAGGGGTGGGCACAATACTCGTCTCGCCAGGCCAATTGTGGGGCCGTGGCAAGGGCCATCTGAAGAAGGAGAGCAATGCAGCTTTTTATTATGCCACGGTTAAGAGTCGTGGACGAGCCTTCGTTATCGGCGAAGGCACTGCAACATGGTCTTGGTGTTCTATTGGTGATTTCGGCGATGCGGTCGTGTTCCTGATGGCGCAGGCACTACTGAGTGAGAGCGAGAGACGCGGACAAGTGGGAGTGAATCAAAACGGCTACTACTTTGTGAGCACTGGAGATTTGAGTATGATCGACAGGGCGAAAGCTGTCAGTGAGCGCTTAGGTCTTGGAGAAGTACAAAGCGTGTCGGTCGAGGCCGCCAAGGAAATCCATCCGTTTGGACACATCATGTGGGGTTGTGGCGAAAGAACGAGAGCCGACAAGTTGGCTGAGTTGGGTTGGAGGCCTAAAGAGACTGACTGGAGGGCTCTAATGGAAGAAGAAGGGGGGGAGAGGGCATGAACGTTGTGGGCCTGCTTCGGTGGAAACCAATCCTGTGATGTGAGGTAACCCAAGAGCTGATCTTCTCGAAGTCTGAAAAGGGAGGAAAGATGAAAAAATTGTGATTCTAATCGCTAAGATACAAACATGAGAAGTCATCCTCGACATCAAGGGGGGCGTCTACAAAGTGTCTATACTCATCCCTTTTTCAGTCATCACGCTGTTGTAGTTTCGTGAATGAGCTTGTCGACTTTCGCCATCTGAGACTAAGGTGTGGCTCGCCGAGGGTTATCTCAGGAGCTCAGACCAGCTCCAGGGAGTGTCTGTAATACACTGAGCGGGAAGGGGGTTGGCGAAACGGTTAGTATTAAATCACCCCCCTTTGTTTTTTTTTCCTACTTACGACTTGACTTCACTGAAGGTAGTCCTTCACTGTATCGAGGCAACCGTTCAAACGTTTTCTTAGTGTCCTCTATACTCGTCGAGTCCTCAGCCATGCAAGCTCATGAGCGGATAACGTGATTGGGTAAAAAGTCTTGTTGATTTCTGCAGGCACCTTGACCGCTCGTCGTCGGGCATTGCAGTTCCTCACAACAAACCGTACCTCTTTGAGTAATTGGCTTCTTGTACTGCCGTGGCATTAGCAACGAGTCTCACTGATTTACTTGCACACTACCTAGGTAACCAGACGAACTTGAACACTCCGCCGCCGACAGAGCCACTAGAAACATCACTAAACGCGACACGATGAGGTCCTCAGCCCACAAGTCCCCCAACCCGGACGAGATAGCGCCGTCTTCGTCCAGGGCCCTATCAATTCGGCGTCGCCTCGACCAGTTTGGTAGCAAATGCCTTGAACCATTTAGCCGCAAAGGTCGCAAGACTGGGTTGTTAAAGGCGGCCTTGTCGACTCGTCCTGGGAGTGCCACCACCACAAAACTCCCCGAAGATGCTATTCCAGGCGGCCGTGCCAGGAAAAGTACACCAGGATGCCCGCAAGCGAGCCTGTTGCTGTGGGATCGTGCGTACGATGCCCTGAAGGAGAAGGATCGTTTGCTGGTGGAAGAATACGAGGCGCTCCTGTCCAGGGAGCTCCCGGCGACGAGTGCGTCCAACCCGCGTCGCCATCGTTCCAAGCACGGATAGCACTAATATGAGACGACCGCAGATGCCGAATACACTAGCGAATCTTCTACCTACACCGACACAGCATGCAGAGACGGCCAATACTCGGTACACGATTTCAATCCCGCCGCCCGTCAGGTTCAGATGATGGCGATAGCCGAGGGCGCTCTAGCCCGATTGGACGCGAAAGCAATCCAATACCGCATCTTCGGACGCACCTACGTACTCAAGGACCAGATCACAGAAGCCGTAAAGGTGGTGGAGCAGCTCAAAGGCATCATTGGGGAGGCCGTCAAGGTGTCTCCCCAGGCTTCCGTCGCCTGGGCTGGCATCTGTGTCGTCATTCCGCTCCTAGCAAACCCGAGCGCCCAGGACACGGCCAACCGAGATGGATTCACCTACGTCGCAAATCGCATGGGTTATTACACTGCGCTTGAGCCCCTGTTATCTCGTCTTCTTCACGACTCGTCCGGCGCCAAAACGGCCAATGATAACCTGGCAGCCAGATGCAACGACAATATCGAGCATCTGTATCAACACATTCTAGAGTTTCAGCTTCGAAGCATCCGACACTACCATCGGCATTGGCTCTGCGGTCTCGCCCGTGACACGATCGCGTACGATGGCTGGAAGCAGACGCAGCTCAAGGTCCAGGAGCTTGAAAAGGCTGTCTCTTCGGATCTCTCGCAAATCAACGCCCTTTCGTCGAGGCAAGAACTAGAGTCCCTGAGCAAGACGGCCGATGATTCTTTCCAGGTGCTCCGCCAGGTCCTCCTCACCAACAAGGACCATCTTCGAACGACGGGGGAAGTCCGAGATTTGCTGTCAGAGAAGCAGCAGATTGAGAAGGAACATCAGGCCCAAAAATGTCACCAAACCTTCCGCCTCACACGAGGCGGAACCGAAGACGATTCTTACGAGTGGTACAAGGGAAGAGTCGAAGATCGTGTTGAGGGCACGTGCGAGTGGTTCCTCAAGCATGAGAACTTCCAATCATGGCTCAAACGGGATACGGGACCTCTTCTCGTATCTGCGGATCCCGGATGTGGAAAGTCGGTCCTAGCCAAGTACCTTATCGACCGCGTCTTACCTTCTAGAGGAGAAGCCAATACTTGTTATTTCTTCTTCAAGGACCAAGATCAGAACACCCTCTCGCAGGCTCTCTGTGCCCTTCTTCACCAGCTCTTTTCCCAACAACCAGCCTTGATTTGCCACGCAATGCCAGGGTTCGCCGAGAATGGTTTCAAGATTGTGACTAATACCAAGTTGCTGTGGGATATCTTAGAAGCTGCTACCGAAGATTCTGCCGCTAAACCGACGACTTTTGTCCTTGACGCGCTGGACGAGTGTGTGGAAACGGACTTTCGGGAGCTGATGCGACAGTTGACGGCCTTTTTCGTTGGGAAGTCGGTTGCGTCACGGAGAGTCAAGTTCCTATTAACCGGGCGGCCATATTCTACAGTCCTATCGGGCTTCCGGGAGTTGGTGGATGCGTTTCCCTACATTCGAATTCCAGGAGAAGACGAAAACCACTCTGATGCCATCAGCAATGAAGTGGACCACGTCATTAGGCATCGAGTCCGAAAACTGGATCTTTCAAAGCACATCGAGGGCTACTTGGAGCAGCGCTTGGTGAACGTTGTTCATCGCACCTACCTCTGGGTATACCTTGTATTTGATTACTTGCAGGCAGAAGGCTTCCAGAAAACGAAAATGGGCGTTGACTTGGTGCTTCAAAACATTCCAACGACTGTCAACCACGCGTACGAGAAGATCCTCGCAAGGCACAAAGACTCTCCAATAGCTCAAAGGATCTTTAGCATTATCTTGGCAGCAAGTCGGCCATTGACCATGGCTGAGATGAACGTCGCTGTTATCATCAATCTCTCATCGGGTTCCAGGGACGACCCTGAGCTCGAGAGTGAAGACGACTTCCGTGAAACTCTCCGACGTGTCTGCGGCTTGTTCGTCTCCATATACCATGACAGGGTCTACTTCCTTCACCAAACCGCCAGAGAGTTCCTCCTCGCAACGCCACCATCGTCTGGACATGCCGTGCCGCCTTGGAAGCATTCCATCACAATGCGCCAAGCCCACACGGTTCTCGCCGAAATCTGCGTGTTTTATCTGGACTACTTGATGCCCCACAGCTCTCTTGAAGAGTTGCATAGGATATCCCAAGTCAACGACGGAGAAAACGATAAGAACGACGATGAATACCCCCCTCTCCTGGGCTATTCGGCTCTGTATTGGGGTATGCATTTTCGAGAGGCCGCTGTTGAAGAGGACTTCGTGATAATACCGTCCGCATTACGAATCTGTGACGAGACGTCAAAATGTTGCCCGGCGTGGTTCTACCTATACCGAAGGCACTTGGACCATACCCTTCCCGGGGGCATGTCAGGTCTTGCAATAGCCTCGCATTTTGGGCACGAGACTCTTGCTGCGCTTCTGCTCGCGAAGGGCGCCGACGTCAACGCCGTTGACAGTAACGACTTCACGGCACTCCACATGGCCACTCTTCAGGGCGACAAAGCTGTCGCTGAACTGTTGATTATGAAGGGCGCCGATGTCGACACCGCGGGTTCCTCCTACTGGACGCCACTTCAACTAGCCGTTATGCACGGGGACAAAGCTATGATCGACCTGTTGATGACGAATGGGGCTTGTGTCAACAAGGGTGGGCACGCTCAGACGCCACTCCATCTAGCGGCAAAGGAAGGGCATAAGTCTATTGTTGACCTGTTAATTACAAATGGGGCCGATATCGAAGGGGATGATTTTGGCGAGACGCCACTCCAGTACGCGGTGGGGGAAGGGCATAAGGATATCGTTGACCTGTTGGTTGCGAATGGGGCCAACGTGGATCCTACGGATCGGGGTTGGAGTTTAACGCCACTCCAGTGCGCGGCTAAGGGAGGGCATGAGGCTATTGTTGATTTCTTAGTTGCAAAAGGGGCCGACATCGACCGGACGATTTCCCACGCCCATTTAAACATACAAACAAAAGGGTATAAAGCTATTGTTGACCTGTTACTTGCGACTAGGGCTAACGTCGATATTAGAAATTATGATTGGAACTTGACGCCACTCCAGCACGCGGCTAAGGGAGGGTATAAGGCTATTGTTAACTTGTTGATTAGGAATGGGGCCGATATCGAGCGGGGAGGGTTGGGCGATCCGCCACTCCAGCTGGCGGTAAAGGGAGGGCACAAGGCTATCGTCGACCTCTTAGTCGCGAATGGTGCTAAAGTCGATACTAAGGGTAGGGTGATAGATCTACGCCAAGGGTAATTGTTGGTCATTATCTAGGTACTTACCGAAAGCGCTGAATGTAAATACTCGTCGGGGGGTTAAAAATGCCGTTCGACCAACCCGGCTGTCACGGATGTCAAGGCACGCTAGCAGTGCCCGGACCATTAGCAGCACCGAACCTAATACCATTGTAAGACAACTTCAATCAGATTAAACCCTAACAGGACGAGGTCTAGGAGAGGGTCGTCATACCGCCATAAGGATTAATTAATCGGGACGGGAATTACATACATACCTACTTTACAGGTACCTAGCCTATTCAGAGGGCAATTTTGGTGTCGGCTCACTACCTAGCTCCCAGGTACCTACCTCGGGGAGGTAATCAATCCGCCTCGCGCACGGTCACTACAGAGATGTATGGCG